ATAGTTTCGACTGCGGGGTATTTATAATTTTTTTCTTTCACCAAATTTTAAAAAAGGAATCTTTACAAGAAAAAATTAATTTTAATTTATATCGACAGCAGCTTCAGAAAATGATACTGAAACATTCAATTAGTGTCATTGACAAATGTTTTTTCTGCGGTAGACAAAGAATCAATTCAATAAAATGTAATTCATGTCTAAGAGCGTACCACAGTAAGTGCCTTCCAAAAAAGTACAATTTTATAAACAATCTTTGCTACCTATGCCACAAATATAAAAGCAGGCCAATTTAGACGTTTTTAATTAACTAAATAATTATTTTATTTTAACAGAGATTTTACAAAATCCCGGAATTTAACCAATCGTTATTTCTTAACCATTTTTTTGTATCTCAATCCCAAAAGGGAATTTATATTACATATACACTTTTTCTTAATAAATTTTTTTCGTATCTCATTCCGTTCTCAAAAGAGGGGTAGAGGGTATTAAACCATCACCCCTATCGCCCTTATTCCGGGGAGGCAAATAAATTTGCAAACGTCAGAAATTTTAAAATAATTCTACAAACACTTTTTCTTAATAAATTTTTTTCGTATCTCATTCCGTTCTCAAAAGAGGGGTAGAGGGTTATAAACCATCACCCCTATCGCCCTTATTCCGGGGAGGCAAATAAATTTGCAAACGTCAGAAATTTTAAAATAATTCTACAAACACTTTTTCTTAATAAATTTTTTTCGTATCTCATTCCGTTCTCAAAAGAGGGGTAGAGGGTTATAAACCATCACCCCTATCGCCCTTATTCCGGGGAGGCAAATAAATTTGCAATCGTCAAAAATTTTAAAATAATTCTACTAACACTTTTTCTTAATAAATTTTTTTCGTATCTCATTCCGTTCTCAAAAGAGGGGTAGAGGGTTATAAACCATCACCCCTATCGCCCTTATTCCGGGGAGGCAAATAAATTTGCAATCGTCAAAAATTTTAAAATAATTCTACAAACACTTTTTCTTAATAAATTTTTTTCGTATTTTATTCCGTTCTCAAAAGAGGGGTAGAGGGTTATAAACCATCACCCCTATCGCCCTTATTCCGGGGAGGCAAATAAATTTGCAAACGTCAGAAATTTTAAAATAATTCTACAAACACTTTTTCTTAATAAATTTTTTTCGTATCTCATTCCGTTCTCAAAAGAGGGGTAGAGGGTTATAAACCATCACCCCTATCGCCCTTATTCCGGGGAGGCAAATAAATTTGCAATCGTCAAAAATTTTAAAATAATTCTACTAACACTTTTTCTTAATAAATTTTTTTCGTATTTTATTCCGTTCTCAAAAGAGGGGTAGAGGGTTATAAACCATCACCCCTATCGCCCTTATTCCGGGGAGGCAAATAAATTTGCAAACGTCAGAAATTTTAAAATAATTCTACAAACACTTTTTCTTAATAAATTTTTTTCGTATCTCATTCCGTTCTCAAAAGAGGGGTAGAGGGTTATAAACCATCACCCCTATCGCCCTTATTCCGGGGAGGCAAATAAATTTGCAATCGTCAAAAATTTTAAAATAATTCTACTAACACTTTTTCTTAATAAATTTTTTTCGTATCTCATTCCGTTCTCAAAAGAGGGGTAGAGGATTATAAACCATCACCCCTATCGCCCTTGTTCTATGGAGGCATTTTTTTCAATAAAAGTACTAACAATGTTTCCTATCGGTGTTTTTATATAAAATTTGTTATTTTTAAAGTTAAGGTAATTAAATTTTGCCTTATGAATTAAAAACCGTCGCTGAGAATTCGTCGCTGAGAAATTCGTCGCTAACTTCACACAAATGACTGCACTAGTACATGCCAAAATGAACCAAAATGTAAGTATACGGTCGGCTTTAGGTGGATTTTGAGCCAGGGAAAGAACGGACTGCACTAGTACATGCCAAAATGAACCAAAATGTAAGTGTATGGTCGGCTTTAGGAGAATTTGAAGTCTGGGAAAGAACGAACTGCACCAGTTCATTTAAATTTTCACGCCAAAATGAACGAAATTGGTGAACGAATGGTCGGCTTTGGGTGGGAACGAACTGCACTGGTAACTTATAAAAAAAAACTCGTACAAATCGAAACGGGGGCGTCGACGAACTGCACTGATAAACGCGAGTGTTAAACCGTCGTTAATTAAATTAAAATCGAGCAATTGGATATTCGATCGATAAACCAGTAGGCCCGGTTTTCGCCCGTTTATCGTCCGATCGAACGCAAACAAGTCGTGACGCAGCAAAGAAAATAAAAAAATGCTCAAAAATAAAATAAAATAAAATAAAAAACGGAAAATAGTACCCTTGTCACGGGGCATTATATTTTACGGTCCCCGATGGTAGACAGATACAAGAACCGTAGTCGTGGGTACCACTCGCAGCACGACATCCGAGACAGTACCTGTACCGGTACCTGTACTGGCCGTACCCATATTGTCCCTTCTGCCACCGCTAATAAATAATCGGGTTTGTTAGAGAGGAGCGGTCACGCGACAATTTTTTATTTTTTTTTTAATCTCGATTTTGGAATCGTTGGAATTATAAATTTTCACGTATGGACACCTTTATTTGCAATAAAATACGCTAATAGTGCATGGACTACTTTAGGTTAATTCTAAAAGTATCAATTGCCTTGTACCATTGTAAAAAATTAATCATTAAATAGAAATAGTGCATGGTTTCCTTTAGTTTAATTCGAAATGTATTGCACTAATTAAAACAATAAATTTAATATAAACTATTTAAAAAATCAATAGAAAAATATAGTAAGTTGATACAAAATAGTGTATGGTCTCCTTTAGCTTGATTAAAAAGTACAAATTGCACTAATGAAACCTTTAAATTGAATACAAACGGTTAAAAAAATTATTCATTCAATAGAAAATTTATAGTAATTTATAGTAAGAAATAGTGTATGGTTTTCTTTAGTTTAATTAAAAAAATATCAATTGCACTAATAAACCAATAAATTGAATACAAACTCTTTAAACATTGTTCATTCAATAGAAAAAATGTAGTAAGTTTATAAAAATAGTGTATGGTCTCCTTCAGCTTAATTAAAAAGTACAAATTGCACTAATTAAACCGAATACAAACTCTTCAAAATATTGATTAAAAAATTGAAAGTACACTGGGTAGAAAAAAGTTGTATGGCCTTCTATACTCATGTATCAACTGCACTAATGAACCAATCAAATTCTAAAAACTTCTAAAATTCACAGCATGCTTAAAAATCGAAAAAAACCGCGGGAACGTATCGATTGCACTCGACGGAATAAATTTAATCCGGTTCGTGCTGCGCGTCCGAGTCGAGCAAATTATGCCAAAGCAAACTGAACGTTCTAATTTCGAATACGAACAAAATTCGATTCTCATTCAAATGAATTTGTGGAAAACGAAAATAAAAAAAAAGAAGAAGAAAATGGAGAAAATCAACTGGCTGTTCGCGCGAACGACATACCATAACCGGTCGTATTTGTGGTTATTATTTACGAAATGTGACGAGTTCGAGAACGAAGAAAAAAAAATGTATATTCCACAAACAACGAGTTAAATATTTACATTTCGCGGGACGAGAGAGGAGAGAGTTTCGAAGAGTTTTAACGATGTCGTCCGGGCACGGAACAATAAAAACGAGTTTTCGAATTATTCATACGACACCGAAGCCCCACGGAACGTGTTATGTATGTATTAATTATTATTACATAGAGTAGATTCGTTTGAACGACGCTCTGACGTCATGATGTAGAACAGAGTAGACCGAGTAGAGTAATGCAGAGTAGATTCAGAGTAAATTCGGAGTAGATTCGAGTCAGTTGAAAATGAATTGAGTGTAGATTCATAGTAGATTCAGAGTACATTCATAGTTTATTCAGAGTAGATTAAGAGTAGATTCAGAGAGTGAATTATTGAGAGTAGATTCAGAGCCAATTCAGAGTAGATTTAGAGACAATTCAGAACAGATTTAGAGTAGATTCGGAGTAGATTGGAGTCAATTGAGAGTGAATTGAGTGTAGATTCATAGTAGATTCAGAGTACATTCATAGTTCATTCAGAGTAGATTAAGAGTAGATTCAGAGAGTGAATTGTTGAGATAGATTCAGAGCCAATTCAGAGTAGATTTAGAGATAATTCAGAGTAGATTTAGAGTGGATTCAGAGTAGATTCAAAATGAATTGTGAGAAGGTAAATTCAGAGCGAATTATGAGTGGATTCAAAGTAAATTGAGAGTAGATTCATACAGTTGATTCTGAATACACTCATAGCTTAGTCAGAGTAGATTTACAGTGGGTTGAGAGTAGATTCAGAGTCAATTGAGAATAGGTAGATTCAGTGTGAATTTTAAGTGGATTCAAATTCAATTGAGAGTAGATTCAGAATACATTTATCGTTTATTCAGAGTAGATTCAGAGCGAGTTGAGAGTAGATTTAGAGTCAATTGAGAGTAGATTCAGAATGAATCGAGTTGAGAGTAGATATAGAGTTAATTGAGAGTTGATTAAAAATGTGCATCGTGGTGCAATCGACGCGTTCCCGGAGTTTGTTTGTAAAAAGTAAAGCTGGCCATAAACTATTTTTTTTTTCGTTTGCTTTAATTTATTTCTCGGTTTTCCGAATGGAAATAAAGCAGATTTTTGGGGAGAATGAAATATAACAAAAAAAACGGGCCGTAAATCTGTGGAAACGAGGCGTGATTTAATAGTTGTATAAATTGGTTAATATACATTTTATTTGTTTTATAAATATCGTTTTCTCGGGGATTTACGATCCATTAATTCGATATTTACCTGACTCGAAACAGTGTAAACATTTAAACAAGACCTGATTTATGGCGCATATATTTCTCTCACTCGGACTTACAGAAGTTACATTCCACCTAAGCGGATTGATTTACAATATTTTTGAACCAACAATTGTTATTTAATTTTAAAATAATTATTACCTTTAATTAAGCCGCGTCGACGGTGAAATTTATTCTTCGTGTATTTCGTCGATTTGTAATCCTCGGAAGAGCTGAAATAACAGAAATATGTCAATAAAAGAGTTACTATTTGCGGAAAAGTAAATATTTTCGTATTCCCCTCGTATCATCGGAGGGTAGAGTAGGCTTATTGCACCGGCGGTGCGTCAGATTCTCGAAAATATCGAAAATGCACACTATTTTCGTATTCCCCTCGTATCTTCGAAACGAACCGAGCTAGATGATTCGTTTTTGGTTCATTTTATAGAAAAAACTTCAATCTACAACTTTCCCTTCAACAAATTTCTATAAAATATCCAAACTTTTCAGATATTTCGCCTTGAAAATAGCCCATTGGAGAGTACCATTTAATTCTCGAAATGCACAACACTTTCGTATTCCCCTCGTATCTTCGAAACGAACCAAGCTAGATGATTCGTGTTTGGTTCATTTTATAGAAAAAACTTCAATCTACAACTTCCCAATAACGAATATCTCTAAAACATCCAAATTTTCCGATTTTTTCGCATTGAAAAACGCCCCATCGAAAAAACAAAAAGTACGCAGGCCAATTGCACCGGCGGTGCGTTAAAAATCCCCGAAATTATAAATAGAAACGACCGCCGTAGGAATCGCGCGACGCCCCTTCTTGGAAAAAAAATGTTTATTCAAAGTTAGTCCGAGGCGGCCGAGACGCGTAATTAGTTATTTTGATTGACGTAGAGACTGCTACGTAAACATGGCGGCGGGTCGTTAAAACCCGAAAACGACTTCCTTTTTAATAAATAATAAATAAAAAATCCGGAATTTTACACTAAACTTTTACTCCCATATGGATTAAACCCGGCGATTATTTTTTTTTCTATATTAGAAGGATTATAAATCGCGGGTGCGTCGGTGCAATCGGCGCGCGCCCGCGTTCGTTTAAAGTCGACCGTACACGTTAATTGCGAATCGAATTAAACGGGAAATATAAAGGGAAAATGGGGGTGGGAAATGAGGGAAAAAGGTAAAGTTTCCCGTCGTAAATCACGTGTGGGAAACGAGTAAGGGTTGGAAGTGCAATCGCATGCATAATGCAAAATCGCAGGTAAACTTTTCGAGCAGGTAAACATTTACGGGGGGCGGCCGGAATGTTCGGAGAAAAAATGTACGGGGGGAGCGGGAAAAATTCGAAGAAGAAAAACGTACGAGGGGAGTCGAAAAAATCGGTTTTTTTTGTTCTATAATGGCGGAAAATGTTAGTTTAGTTCGTTAACCTGACGCGATTTCGCTGACCGATTGTACGAGTTCTATTAGGAATCGATAAATGCGGATTCATGACCTACTACGAGCCGTCGTTTCCGATTATTCGTAATTATTTCGCATTTTTAGTTTTATCTAACCATTCTTCACACTGTACTCGGTCATTTTCCACAAAAATTAACGCGTTTAAAACTGTCCAACTATACAGTTTGCTCCATTTTTGATGGGTGCGATAAAGACAACTTCCATTAGACACTTACAAAGGAAAAGGAAAGAGTGACATTTGTGTCATTGCAACTTTTCACTTTGACAGCTGTCATTTTAATAATCTTTCTTTGTTCCACTCATAGAAATGACCATGTTGCAATCGGAAATGGAGCAAGGTGTATAATTATAAATTAAATTACGAGGGCAACACGAAAACTAGCGATATAGGAAATTGTTTGTGATGTTTGTCTAGAGTTAAGATAATTTTGTTATACGAGTGTGTTTCGTTCACTTAACGATGAAAAAAAAAATCTAATCAAATCCCGTTGAAATTTATTTACCAGATTATAAAATTACATATTTTATGGGATAATAAAACGTTATCGATATGCCATATCGAATGAAAACGAGAGCGTAAATCAATAATTAATAAGACCGTTCCTTCTTTATTATTAATTTTTTTCTCTCTCCGTCAGACCGTCCCGTCCTATTTTAAATACCTGCACAAAACAAGGCCACTTCCAGTTTAATAACCGTCATTTTCCCATTAGCAAACTCGACGAAACAATATAATTTTATGCAAACAATGCGAATCTCGATTCCAACATCTTGGGCGGTCTTGGACTTGTCACATGTCAAATTAATCAACAATTCTCATATGTCAAATTAGAAAACTTTCGTTAAAAATATGTGATACAATTGTTTAAATAATCAAAGTATGCTGTCAAACGTCAAAATAATTAACAATAGGCACATGTCAAATTATTCAACAATTGTCATATGTCAAATTGATCAATATGCGTTGGAAATACGTCAAGAAAATGTCAAATAAATCAACGACTGCTGTCAAACGTCAAACGAATGTGACATGTGCGGTGTATTCGAACATGCAGGATAGAAAATTGATAGAAAACGGTATAAAAGCAGATATCAAATCAATTCAAAGTGTAGATAAGTAATTTTTCAAATCCCGGAGATTATTTCTCCAACGCAGATTAATAAAATGTCTGTTTGATATGCAGATAAGCAAATTGAATTGAGATAATAATAAAATATAGGTAACCCGGGTTTTTGCATTATCACCATTTTAACGCGTTCGGTATTTATTAGAAATATTTTTAATACAATTTCCCTTCACACATTAATTTCTCTACAAGCCTACTTATCGATTCGTAAAATTACGAAACTAACCAACTTTTACTAAATCTACAATTAATTTAACATTAATTGACACATAATCGAATCAATTTGACAGACGCCAACTAGATAAAAACCGAAAAATCACACACGTCAATTTGACAAAACGCCAACTAGATTTACAATCGATAAAAACGAAAAATTCCAAAGCCTACCTAGCACGGGAAACTAATCGAACAAATCCATATCCATTATCGCATTCGGCGTGTAAACATTAAACAAAACTGGCACTATTTTTTGCACCGAACAATTGTCAAAATGCCATTAAAAAAATCGCAAAGGCCACGCGCTGACGACAAACCGGCCGCCTTCGATGTAGCGATCGAACTGAAATTTGAAATTTTTCGACGGCGAGATCTCGGCCGGCCGTGGATTTTCCTCGGCACGCTCGATTCGAAGGCGACGATACGGAAACCGGCGAATGGGGGGGGCGAGAATGCGCGATCGCCGGACGGTTTGCGGCGTTGCCGGATCGGCGGAATTTTATTTGAAATTGGTGAAAAGTAGTGAAAATTCGGAATTTTGATGTGGTGCTTGAAAAATTGATTATCTCGATAATTAGGCGGTTTTCGGTAATTTTCGATTTTTTGGAATTTGTAGTAAAAGGTTTTTTCTATAAAATGAAGCCGACAGATTGTTTCTATCTCGTTTAGTTTTCGAGATAAATGAGATTTTTCATAGATATGTATTACAATTAGTGATTTTAACAGGATCCATTAAAAGCTCGAAATATCTCGAGAATTAAGCGTTTTTCGAAAATTCTTAACTCTTCAAAAATTGTAGAGAAACGTTTTTTCTACAAATCGTAATGAACAGAATGTTTCTATGTCGTTTAGTTTTCGAGATAAACGAGATTTTTCATAAATATGTATTACGACAACTAGTGATTTCGACAGGATCCATTAATAACTCGAAATATCTCGAGAATTAAGCGTTTTTCGAAAATTCTAGACTCTTTAAAAATGGTAGGGAAACGTTTTTTCTACAAATCAAAATTAACAGAATGTTTCTATCTCGTTTAGTTTTCGAGATAAATGAGATTTTTCATGGATATGTATTAAAATTAGTAATATCGACAGGATCCATTAATAACTCGAAATATCTCGAGAATTAAGCGATTTTCGAAAATTCTCAACTCTTCAAAAATTGTAGAGAAGGATTTTTTCTACAAAACGAAACCAACGGAACGCTTCTATCTCTATTATTTTTCGAGATAACTCCGATCGTTGGCACCTTCCTTCTTTTTTATTCCTATCCTACACCCTTTCACAAAAAACCCACTTAAGAAATGCCACCGCATTCATTCGACGCCATTTATATTATTTCAATATTCTAATATGGAAAGGCAAAAGTTTCTCGAGTTCTTGCTCTCGGGCGAGTTTACTCTCACCCACGCTCACACACACGTGAAAATACGTCGATCCTTCTCTCGCCCGTTAATCCAACTCGTCTCACTTTCACGAGAAATCGAAAAGTGAAAACGCCAATTCCGTTCGGAATCGAAACGACAAATCACACTGACAGGTGACATTAATGTCAATTAAAATCCTTCCCTTAATCTAGCAATCTAGAAATCTATAGAATCAAGTGGTAGGACCGGTGATTTGGCGACAAGTTATGCAAGTGACAACTGACAAGTGACGTATTAGTTTTTTTTTCAGAAATTCGGGAAGAGAGTGATTCTAAGTAAGGAAGTTGTAACGGCAACGCCAACTGACTTTTAAATTTAAAATGGGTTTTGTATATTGTTATCTAGTGGGTGACAGTCGAAAAGTCAGGTAGGTAAATCCCGGAATTTACGATCTCTCATTATGCTAAGAGTGATTTACAATCGGCCCTTTTTTTTTTCTCTCTTTATTTCATTGTCCTTTTTGACGTCTTCATAAACACACCACAGGTCCGTAGGATAAATGATTTTACGATTTTCTGGGTAAATAAAGGGAAATTTTTTCGCCTATTCACGTTCTCGTCCGTCCCCCGTATAAATCACCTGGAATTGTTGTGACTTGTATTGAGATTAATGGCGAAATTAGGAGAAATTTCGAAATTTGCGGCTGAATGTGGGGTCTATATAGGTTGATGTGAAAGTCTATATTGAATAGAAATAGCCTAAAAATATATACGAATTAATTGGCTGTAAAATATGATATTAATTACTTATCCGCAATAGTCAATTACACGCTCAAATGATTAGTTGTTTCCCAAATTCAATCAATTATCTAGTTAAGACAATCAATTGATTATAACCCAAAAAAATAATTCACTAATTCTACCAATATGAACCAATTATCTACTTAAAATAGTCAATTATCTGCATAAAATAGTAAATTATTTGCCTAAAAAATAATTATTCCTCCAATTCAGTCAATTATCCATCAAATTACATCAATTATCTACTTAAGACATTCAATTTTTTGACTAAAATAGTCAATTATTTGCCTAAAAATATAATTGTTCCTCCAATTCAGTCAATTATCCATCAAATTACATCAATTATCTACTTAAGACAGTCAAGTATTTGCTTAAGAGATAATTATTAATCAAATTCAGTCAATTATTTACCAAATTGCATCAATTACCTACTTATGACAGTCAATTATTTATCTAAAATAACCAATTATTTACCCAAAAAATATTAATTATTCCCCAATTCGATTGTCTAATTAAAAGAGTCAATAATTTTCAAGTAAAATCAAGTAATCCACCTGTCAATTTAAAAACGCATCAGTATTACCAACGCAACTTTCGACCCATCACCGCCAACTTCTCGAAAAAAAAAAAAAAAAAAAAACGAAATTCATTAAACATGCACGTACGCCAACTCGATGTAATCTAAAACGAAAAAAAAAAAGAAGAAAAAAAAAAGAAGGGAAACCGTCAGTCTCCGAGCTACCAGTACACAATGCGAACCTCGACCGCCCCCTCGTATATTTTAGCATGCCTAATGGCCGCCCCTGATGCATATGCAATTCGATGGGACGGGCATTTAACGTGCCCGGCTCGTTATAAATGCGAGCGACACCTTAGAAGTCCATCTGAATTTCAATTTGGGACGTTAAAGGCCTGGTTGTTTTATTTTATTTTATTTTTTTTTTTCGTCCTGTCGTTTTGGTAGCACTGCTTGTATACACTTGTACGTAATTCGAACCTGTTATGACTGCCAAATGGCTGGAGACAAAACAATACCAGGCCTTAGGATTATGTATATACAGATAAGCGCAAATTTGTATGCAATGAGTGCGACAAAGACAGCTTCCGTTAGTTTCATTGTAAAGGAAAAAGAAAGGGTGATATTGTGGGTAGTTTGCACCTTGCTCACTTTAACTATCTGTGTTAATTTAATAATATTTCTTTGTTCAACTCGTATAGAAACAAATTTGCACCTATCTGTATGAGTACATTGCTGGAATAAATGTTGTTTGGTGTTTTTTAACGATTTGAATGATTTATGTTGGTAATACGCTTCGTGTCAAAATGGCGTCTGACGATTTACGAGAGGTCGGTGACGCTCGGGCGTTAGTTCAAAATGGCGTCGAGGTGGATGACAGGTTTTTTTTTTGACAGTTGACAGTTCATTTACGACCGTTAAAAAAAAGGCGAGAGTCTTTTTCGAGTAAATACACAAACGCTTGTTTGATTAGAAAGGCGGTTTAATTGCTCGCGTTAAATATTTCGTTTTCTTCCTCCCGGAATTTCTTCTACCGGATTTCGAGCGCTCGGAGGTTGTTTGGTTGCGATTCGATTAATTTTACGGTTTGTTTGTTTTGACGTTCGCCTTGCGACAAACGTGGAAATATAGTGATATATTTTATTTACAGCAAACTACATTAAAAATTTTTTATTATGACGTCACGGGTATTTCATTCAGAATGAACTATACGCTATTATTGATCGAATAAGATGGAAATTGAACAGTTTATAGGATTTTTTTCAAGCCATTTCGAAACGTCATTTCTTTCAACAAAAGAAGAATCGAGTATTTACAGAGAGGAACGTCCAGCTAGCAATGTCGCTTTCGAAACCGTAAAATAAACAATCCCGGTGCGGAATAATAGAATCGAATGGTCCGTCCTTTTATTATATTATATATTATCCGTCAATCACTCTCTTTCGGGTCGTTTAGTTTCCATTATATGAGCGAAAGGGACGTTTTGCGGACGTTCGTGAATTCGCGACAAAACAAATTCTCTCTAACAAATTCTCTTCTCTTTTCGTTCGAGGAAGATTTTTCTGGAGGCTTTCTCGTCCTCGTCCTTGTGCAAATATTCGCATCTTTAGAAAAGTGGTGTATCGAAATGGAGCGGAGGAAATGGAAAAAGAAATGGGACCTGTCGAAATCGCGAGGTCCGCGCTTGGGTAAATAAAATTGTAAATCGAATTTTTTCTTATATTCCTTCTCGAATTCGACATCAATTGAAAAATAACGGTTATTTTAAAACAGTCGTTATTGCACCTCTATACCGAAAATTTATTCCCACCTTTATTGATTTCTGTCATACGAAATGTCATTACTGTCAATTCTAACAGTTTTTGTTTGTGGATCGTCGAACGCATCTTAATGTCCTACTTATTCATGTACAGGGTGTTAATTAATTGTATGTCGATAAATTATCCTAAATCATTATATTGAAAAAAATAATTTGTGGTCATTTTCCGGGGACTCTGCGCTCAATTTACCTGTCAGATTAAAAGCCCTTTAATTCTCCAAGCCCACTTTACCTACAGGATTAAAATCTATAATCGCTTTTGCGGCAAATTTGATCGAAGTTTCTAGTAGGCTGCTGTGCTGTCATTTAAACGTCAGGTTTTCATGCGTTTTTAAAACAATAGTAGGCCGCGATGAATTGACAATTCATGAAAATTAACCGATTGTTAATTATTTCTTCACTTCCATTTTCTATATAGATCAATCGCGGGTCAATTGCACTGAATACATCATTTATATTTATTTATATATTTTTTTTCCTCCAACCCAAGCTTGTATTTATAAATGTACATATAGATATGGCGATTTTTCGCCGTATTTAGCCATTCCGAGAAACATATTCGACCTTTTAATCGGCGTGTTATCGATGCGAAAATATATAACATTCATAATTTATTACGCTCGTAAACAGTTGATTAAATTCATTAAAAAAAAATATTATTGCACATATCCAGTAGGCCGGTTCCGTTCGATTTATTTCACGCCAAATGACAGTTAAAAATATTGACATTTGTGACGACTTTAAATCAAAATAAACGAGTTGAAACAATCGAATGTAGTATAGCACCGAAACGAAACATCCAAATAGCCTACTAGACCTACTCCGTATTTTTTTTTTTTTTTTTTGGTTAAAGTGCTTCTCATTCTCTCTATTGTCAGTTGATTGATTGATCGTTAATTTTGTTTCCTCTGACACGCCATACCGCCATTACGAATGCTTCTATGATATATTTCGTTCTATGGTCCCGTGTTTGGACAAACACGACACGACCGGTTTTTAGGTTACTCGATTCTCCGCCATAGATAAGCCCCTGTGCTCATACATTACATCGATAAAAGGCCATCGAACGCCCGAAATTAAAGACCTACTTCGATCAATTTCAGAAATAATAATTATTTATTTAAGTTTGCAATTTTTCCAACGTGACGTCACGAGTTATTTACCCTGCCTAGATTATATGAAATTTTTTTTCATAATGACGTCACGACTTTTTTACCCTGCCTAGGTTATATGCAATTTTTTTTTCATAATGACATCACGACGTGTTTAACATGACTAGATTATATGCAATTTTTTTCATAATGACGTCACGACTTGCAATGTATCTATACACTGGCTAGAATAAAATAGCGTATCTATACTATGTGCAAAATAAATCCGTCGTGACGTCACGAACGAGTCGCCTTGAAACTTGAATATAATCAGGCCCGTATTCCTTGTGTGTGTGTTTTTTTTTGTTTTCGTTCGGTTTATTTGGAAAATCGGGCACCGCACGAAAGTTGTCTGGCTTAATTGGTCGGGTCGTTTAAGTTTGAACAGTTAATTAACGGCGGAAATAACACGAGCGTTGACAATTAGACGGGGCATAAATCTCGAAACGAAAAATGCATGTATGTAGTATATTTATAGAACGTAGCAGGCCGTGGATCTGCGATAGAGCGAGAGCGACGCGAGTACTAACGAACATTCGTGCTCGCCCAGAGACGAGTCTACTAAATATGAATCTACTAAAAATGAATCTACCAAAGGCGAGTCTACTAAAGATGAATGTACTCTATGCGAGTTTTCTAAAGATGAATCTACTAAAGATGAATCTAGTAAAGACGAGTCTACTTAAGATGAGTATATTAAAGGCGAGTTTACTAAAAATGAATATACAAAAGGCGAGTTTTCTAAAGATGAATATACTAAAGATGAATATATTAAAGGCAAGTCTACTAAAGATGAATGTACTAAAGGCAAATTTTCTAAAGATTAATCTAGTAAAGACGAGTCTACTCAAGATGAATCTACTAAATGCGAGTATATTAAAGATGAATCTACAAAAGATGAATATATTAAAGGAGAGTTTACTAAAGATGAATCTACAAAAGATGAATATACGAAAGGCGAGTTTTCTAAAGATGAATATACTAAAGATGAATATATTAAAGGCAAGTCTACTAAAGATGAATATACTAAAGGCGAGTTTTCTAAAGATGAATATACTAAAGATGAATCTAGTAAAGATGAATCTATTAAAGATGGATATACTAAAAGCGAGTTTTCTAAAAATGAATCTACTAAAGGCGAGTTTTCTAAAGATGAATATACTAAAGATGAATCTAGTAAAGATGAATATACTAAAGATGAATTTACTAAAGATGAATATACTAAAACCGAGTTTTCTAAAAATGAATCTACTAAAGATAAATCTACAAAAGATGTATATATTAAAGGTGAGTCTACTAAAGGTGAATCTACTAAAGATGAATGAACTAAAAGCGAGTGTAATAAAGCTGGACACACACGAGACGAGCGCTATAATCGATCATTCGATTTATTCACTAACAATTAGAGCTTCACAAGCGAACTAAAGACACGCGAACATTCGGCTCGGCTCGGCTCGCCCCGCAACCGCGCCTCAATCGTAACAACTGATATACAAGCTGAGATAATTCTCGATTTTGAACTTCTTCCGGATCTCGTTCGACGTCATCACGCGCACCGCCGCCTCGGTGTTCTCGTGCCGGTGCATGAACGAGCAATTCCTCATCTTCGTGTACCGCTTCAAATCGACCAACGACAGGTACTCGTTGGTCGACCTCTCGATGTACCAGCACACCTGGCACAAAAACACCTCCTTGTTCCTGTGCCAGTAGTCCCCCTCGCAGAGTTTCCTGCAGAACTGGCAGACGTGCTGCGGCGTCGCGACGCACACCATCTCCATGCAGGGCAGGACGCGCGGCCGGCCGAAGTCGAACTGCTTGGGCACCCGTCTGCACCTCCTGGTGCCCAGCAGATCGTAGAAACCAGGACCTGGATAAGGGTTGATCTTTAAGAGCCTGGCTGGTGAGCCGGTTTTGAAGGGTCTGGCGTCCTGCCGGTGGTCTTTACGGAAGAAGGACGGGGCGTATTGGACGGGCGAGGGGGTCCTGAAGGCCTTCTCGTCGTCGGGCCAGCGCTCCACGCGATCGTCGAGGCCGGGGATGCCGTAGACGCTGCGGATCTTGTTGAGGATGGGCCACATGGAGGAGGTGAAGCGCTCCAGGTCGTACTTGTTGGGCGAGAGATCGGGGCCGTGGTCTTCGAGGGCGGTCATGCGCTGGTGGCTGAGCAGGCCGGCGCCGGTGAGGTTGGTGTTGCGCGGGGCGGTGGAGCCGAAGCAGAGCTTGGGGGCGCCTTGGACGGCGAAGATGTAGCGGAAGTCGGGGTGTTCGCAGGTTACTTCGGGGACTTTGGTGAGGTCGTCCATGCTATATGGGTTCGGATGTATGGATTAATCGGTGAGCGGTGATAGGTGATAGGTGACTGGTGACAGGTGGCAGATGATAGATGACAGGTGACAGGTGACGGCGGAGCGTCGAGAATTTCGGTTGGTATTATTGGATAAGTATGTGGTTCGGGTCTTCTTTTTCTTCTTCTTCTTCTTCGGATTTGGACCTCAGGTGCTGTATGTGGTTCGGTGATTGTTGACAGGTGACAGGTGACAGGTGATAGGTGACGGCGGGGCGTCGGGAATATCGGTTGGTATTATTGGATAAGTATGTGGTTCGGGTCTTCTTTTTCTTCTTCTTCTTCTTCTTCGGATTTGGGTCTCGGCTACTGTATGTGGTTCGGTGATTGCTGACAGGTGACAGGTGACAGGGGGGCGTTAGGAATTTCGGTTGGTATTATTGGATAAGTACAGTCGGTTGTCCAGTTCGTGGGGTAATTATGACCTAACTTGTTTATTTTAACCTTTTCTATTGATTTGTTTAAAGAATAATGAAATAATGAAGTTTTCTACATAAAAAAAGGTATAATTCTTGTTGATTTTCCGTAATTTTCCGTAACAGTTTTCACGAAAAATGACTGTCTGATACATAAGATTATTAAACTAATTGTCAACTATTGAAATGTAGAATTACTTCAAAAACTTGACATTTCGAAATGAACGAAAGTTTTTGTCATATTTTGAGGTTCTCTACTTGCTCCTAAAGTTTGACCACTTATTTCAGAAACACCCTGTATATTTTTTGTATGATTTACTTATGCTTTTTACCATTTTCTATCATCCCTTGGTAATATTAAATTAAATTCAGCAGGTATTATAATTAGGATAATTACTAGATTATGTTGGTATTATTATTGGTAACTAAATTTCACTCATTGAGCAAAAAACGCTAAACTCCCCGGTTCAAATATTTGAGGCGCTTTACTAATGACATATCTAGAAAGCTATGAAGAAGCGGAAGGTGTCCCGTCTCTCTCTCCCTCCTTTCCCCTCTCCTACCCTATTTAAGTATCGAATTTCCCGACGAAATTCGTTCTGTACGCCCGAAACCGAATACCCCCTAAACTTAGTACATATTCGAAAAAAAAAAAAAAATACGCCATCAAAAATCCATCAACTAGCCATAAATATTGTCGCCCGGTGTATTACCAAACAAAAAAAACACGTTTTTATCCCTTTGTGACAATTGACACATTTGACAGGTGTCAAAAATACTACACAAATCGTCGTAAAATCCAATTTATTCGGTAACAATGAGCTGTAATAGCGAATGAGTTTCTATAAATACGCGCGATTTATTTTCATTTATGCACCTACATAAATGCATGCGCATTTAAATTTAAATATAGCACGCGAAACACGACTACTAGATGTGTTCGCGCGTTATCTCCGGTCTCGCATATACGAAAATTCGCCCGCGTCAAATGTCACTGTCAAGACGAAATTTATCGCCTACTAGATGAGTGATTTAGGCGTTCGTAAAATTTCTCCGTTTTGTAGATAATCCCGGCGGAAAAAGCAGATGTCGTTGAGCGACAAGGGACTAAATTACCGGGAATTTCGAGTGATAAATCGCCACAAGAAATTCGAAATGAACCAGAAGTCTCCCAAAAAATTAAAACTTGTCGAAACAAATATTACCACAAAATAACTGAAATTTTTATATACCTTCGTGTTACTAATAAGCTTGTGCAGTTGACTCGCTTTTTGTTCACAAAATAACGGTTATTTCCATTAACGCCCAACTCTAACCCAATACAATTCTCCCTATCTAACTGTCATTAATAACAGACAATAGAGGTGGAACTTGCAAAAAAGTAACAGTTAATAGTTTTGTTAAGGCGATTGTACAGGGTGGTCTCGCATAAAATACCGGGTGGTCCGAAGATGATTTATCATTCTGGCGCGTCTGGAAATAAATATATTACCGGACGCTCGGTGAACGTTGAAGATTAAGATTACGAAAGGCGATAGGAAATATGAATTATCTGGTAAGTCGAGTTGGCGTGGGTCGACGTTGTGACAAGTTTGACGTTTTTATTTTTAATCGGAAAAAGGATCTCTCGAATCGAGTTACCTGGGATTCGAGTTTCGAGCCGTTTTCGGGGAAGGGCCCCGATAAGGGCCAGCGGGAGTTGTACATTTTTACACCGAGAATCGGTTAATTGAGGGATATTTCGTTTCGACAGAAATAAGAATGTTTATTTTGTTTGGGGCGGGGGTTGGAGAACGGGGGGATGGCTCTTCTCTAGCGTTTCCTCACTTTGGGGTTATTCCCGGTGGAAGGCAAACAAACTCGAGTTTTTGGCATAAAACAGACGCGCGTCAAGTGGGCGATATTTCGGAGATCACCCATGTCGAACGATTTATTTCTCAAACGACCTTCGAAAATCACCAAAATTGCCTATATAGCCTGTTCACCGTATCTCATTCGTGACGTCATACTCATACTTCTTTAATTCCAAAACGAATAAATCGCATATAATCCATTCTCAATATCTCATTCGTGACGTCATAAATATTCTTATTTCATTCCAAAAATGAGTCTCATGTATAATCCATTGACAATATCCCATTGGTGACGTCATAAACATTCTTATTTCATTCCAAAAATTAACTGTCATATAATCTATTCGAAATATCTCATTCGTGACATCATATACACTGTTAAAATTGGGTGTAATTTATTGCAACTGATATTTTGAACACTCCATGGCGGTTTTATATAGTTGAAAGAAGTCCAAATTACCTTTTCTACGTCACAGCATAGAAATCGTCGCCTGCTAGATTTTTTTTGAAGTGCCCTAACGTAATTTCCAACGCGTTTTATATCGACCTTTTTTTTGCCGCGAAGGGCGCGCGGGCTTTCGAAAGCGTCGAAGAAGAAATAATTATTAAAGAGAAATTTCCTTTTAAAACGTCGAATTTACTTCCACGGGAGCTCCTAATTTAATCAGACGGAACGTACCGGAGAAAAAAAAATGGCCTCGTTCGTTACTGTTTTAACGTCGTTGAAAATTTATTTTGTTCCTTTTTTTATCGCCGAAATGTCGCTCCTCAAAATGTCACTTGTCAAAATGTCACTTGCCAAAATGTCACTTGTCAAAATGTCACTTGTCAAATTGTCACTTGTCAAAATGTCACTTGCCAAAATGTCACTTGCCAAAATGCCGCTTGTCAAAATGTCTCTTGTCAAAATGTCACTTGCCAAAATGTCACTTGTCGAAATGTCAAAATGTCACTTGCCAAAATGTCACTTGTCGAAATGTCAAATGTCGACCGTGAAAATGGCCGATTTTTGTCCGTGGAATCGAAATCGGAACGGGTTACGGAGTAGAGCGGTCGTTAGTTTGGAAATAAACGCGCATAAATCCGTCGACGGGCTGGTAATTTGAAATTTCCCATAACAACGAGATCTGTTTAATGTTTACTAGTCGGGTAATCCCGGCGGGAGGAGAGAGAGAGAGAGAGCGAGAGAGAGAGGCGACCGACGAAAGTTTAATGGGCGACGTTCTGTTTAAATCGGCGCCCGAGTAAATTCGGTTATTTGTATAATACTAGTAGATATTTTTTCTGTTCTTCGTTCGAGTTCTACGCGTTTACCGATTAGACATAAAAAATAGTTGTTTTTTTTATAACCGTTATTTTTAGTAACTCCCAACTCTAATCTCTTCGATTCCTCTTACCTAATCGACACAGGGCGAGTGGATAATAGAGGTGGGCGTTGGGCGTACAAGTAACAGTTATCGGAAAGTAACGGAAATGCATTTTTTTCCTTTTTGCAGGTTCGGAAAATGCGCTAATTTCGCGTCGCGTTTGAACTCCGTTTCGGCGGTGGAAATGAAAGGAAATTCATTTGCTCGGAGACCGGAGGACAAAGGGAAAACGTACGTAAGCAGGCCAATCCATCGCGGGGGAAAATTCGAGCGACAATGAGAGAAGAACGGGGAGGCTTTTCTATCCGCCCGTTTCGACGTTTTCCAGTTAAAAGTAGCTATTCAGCGTGCCGACGCTTTGAGGAAAAAGGAAAAACCGCTTTCCCGGCAGAGGTTTTATTCACATTATTCACATATCACATATATAAAGTCGAATTTTCTTCAGTTAAAATACGAACGGATTGAATTTCATATTAAATGCCATATTGTCCGTTGTCAGTTGTCATCTGTCAGTTGTCATCTGTCAGTTGTCATCTGTCAGTTGTCACCTGTCACCTGTCAGTTGTCGTTAGTCTTTTCAGTAAAAAATGTACATTATGACGCGACCGTGGAACATAACATAGAGTAGTTTTTAAATGGTAAACAGGAGAAAAAGAAGACGAACTCTCCCCTATATAGTGATTTTCGTGACGCGCACGTCAATGGGAAAACTTCAAAGTGCATCGAGTCACACATGGAATTTTCTATGCGGGTCCCCGGATATAATTTATTCGGCGGCGGTCGAAACCTCTCGGGGGAGGCGAATAGGTCGGTTTCTTTCGTGTATTTTCCACCCCCCGGATCCTTCATATTGCAATTACGTTGTATAGCCGTCGGCAAATAGAGGGAAATTGCGATTTCTCCCCCAATTCGACGAACTCGCCTCGGCGGATTTTCGGAAATTTTCGCGGAAAAGCGGGTTTTCTTCGTCGAAATAGTGGCGATCATTAGAAACTGTCATATGTCAAAGTTGTCACATAAAAACTATCAAAACTGTCACAACTGTCAAGATTGTCATTTTTTTTGTAGAGTATATGAGATCGAGTGGGCGCGTATGAGAAAAAAAGCGCGAGTTTTGGCGCTCGAAGGGAGCGGAAAATTCGTCTTCGTTCGCGAATTAATTTCCTTTCTTAAAAAGGAATATTTGTTTTTCCGAGTGATTTCCTTCCGGAGCGCCGGAAATTGCGATTGCTTCTTCATTTTTGTTCGACGGGAATTCGACAGAGTAAATATCGTGACATCGATTGGAAATATTATACAGGGTGATCCGATAATACAATGAAAAAATTACTCGTACATACAGCAATTTTTCCTTCGGTTTACATTTTAAAAAGAAATATTAATAATAATATGTTAACAATAACTTTATTCATTATAACATTGATCATTCTATCATTTGCCAATCTACCTTCTTTCATTCTATCATCTGTCATTCTATCATCTGTCATTCTGTCATCTGTCATTCTATCATCCGTCATTTATATCAACTGTCATTTATGTCGTCTGTCATTCTATAAAACGTTATAAATTTGCAATTCGACTTAACCCAATCACCCTGTACAGGCTAACGCTCGCCGAACATTCGATTACAGATAATATTATATTATCGCGAAGCTGAAAAATTCCCAAAAATCCCAGCATATCGATCACGATTCCGCGCGATAGTCGAAACGAAAACAAAATTATCCGATTCCGCGATATTTTCGCCATATTAAATAGCAATCCGACCGTAGAAAAAAAAACATATTTTACCGCAATGTCCCTCATCGACATCATCGTTTTCTCGCTCGTTCTCGCCGCATTTTCCCGGAAAATCGCCAACGCCACCCAGAACAGAATCAATTTTTCCAAATGCGACGTCGGCGGATTCACCTGCTCCACCAACATCCTAAACAACACCACCACTTTATTACTGTCCTTCAGCTGCCCGGCTAAAGTAAGTTACAACACTTTTTCTACATATGACATGTGACATTTGACAGGTGACATTTGACAGGTGGCATTTGACAACTGACAGGTGACATTTGACAGGTGACATTTGACAGGTGACATTTGACAACTGACAGGTGACATTTGACAGGTGACATTTGACAACTGACAGTTGACAGTTGACAGGTGACATTTGACAGGTGACATTTGACAGGTGACGAGTGACTGTCGAATGTTTTTTGCGTCTAATTTGGTTCGATAAATTGCAGGACGTGACGATTTACGTGAATCAATTCAAGAGCCCGTACAACATGGAATCGCTGGAAATCGAGGATTGCGAGAACGTGACGGTGTCGTTGAAGAGCGCCGACAGGCGGTACTATTTCGAGAAGTTGACAGTCAAAAACGTCGGCGTGTTGACGGTACTGGCGCACCGTTTGTGGCAAACGAACGCGCCGAAGTTGGTGCGCATGGAGAACGTGGGCTACATCAGGACGATACCGAGCTTCGCCTTCGGCCAATCGGCGACGGACGACGGTACTGCTACCGGTACTACTGCTGCCGCTATCGCTGGTAGTACTTCCGGATTGAGGAGAGTCTTCCTGCGGAACGTCACCGTCGACACCGTCGAATCGAATGCTTTTCGGTTGCACGACGCGTGCGCCAACTTCACTGTACAAAATTCCAGGATCAACCGCATCCAGACGTCCGGAATAGACGTTGTTTTAGACAAAGGTGGAGAATTTCTCGTCGAAAACACCCGAATCGACGTCTTCGAGCATCTCGCCCTTCGCATAACCGGAGCCAACGCCGAATTCCGGTAAACCACGATGTCATCTGTCATATGTCATCTGTCATCTGCCATCTGTCAATCTACCTTCTGTCTTTCTATCAACTGTCTTTCTATCTATCCTTCTATCATCGATCACTCTATCGCTCTGTCTTTCCATCATCTGTCATCTGTCATTAGTAATATGACGTTCTGTGCATTGACAGCAACAACAAATTGGGCGAGATGTGGTCGAGCGCCGTCAACGGTACGATCGAGAACTTCAAGTTCTCGCACAACGCCGTCGCGACGCTGGAGGCGGGCGCCGTGGCGATATTGTGTACGAGGGCGCGTCTGTCGCACAACAGGTTCGAGTACGTGCGTTCGGGCGGTTTCGGGAAGATCAGCCCCGGCCTGCTGGTGGAATCGAACAGGAACTTCGGCCAGCTTCGATTCGTCTACGAATTCCGAGGCAACGCGATCGCCGCGATGGACGCCGGCGGTTTGAATCCCGATTTCGAGGCGTACGGCAACGTCGCGACGGACGTGCTGGTCAAAAAGAACGCCTTGTTGTGTTCCTGTTTCAATATCGGTACGTTATTTTGACGTTGACAGCTCGACACGTCTCGATTTACCGATTACCGTTGCCGGTACTAGAGGCATTTATTGTATACATTTTTCTCGATGTTTTGATGTTGAATGAATCACGAATTTATTCGTAGGTAATCGAGGGACATCCTGTAAATGTGTTTTTGAATAATTGACAACGAATGTCGCTGGATGTTTGAAAATAAAAATGTTAATTTACCGGTACCGGCATCGGAGACACTATCCTATATTTGACATGTAAAACAATTCGCGTAGGACTTCCGGCCATTTCGAGAAATTGTCAAAGTTGATATAATTTAACAAAATCTTTATCATCCTATTCATATTAAGTAATTTAGTTAAAGATAAATAGTGTTACAAGTCTCTTCTACAAGTTATAGTGAATATTGTTCAAAATAAATACAAACAAACATATCGTAACAAAGAAAATGACAGGTATTTGACGTGTCACTTATGGTTATTTAGTAACGGTTTTTTTTTGGTGGATTTTCAGGCTGGATGTTCGCCGAGACCGGTCACGGTTTCGATTCGCAGCGCCTGCGCCCCTTCTACGATCTGCTCACCGACGCCGGCAACGAGAACGTGTGCCTGTCGGCGTGCAATTTCCCCCTGAGCAAAGCCGCGGAGATATTCAAAGCGGGAAACTGTCCCGCGTCGGACGCCCCGGACGCTATTTGCTCGAAAACCACCAATCCCATACCCATCGCAACGACGCCTAAAACCATTTACATGTCCAATTTCTCGCACAAAACCAGAAAAAACGCCGCTATCGAACGCCACCCGCCTACTTCGATACCTCTACTCCTTCCATTTATCATATCCCTCACAGCCTACTATAACGTACACCGCGTCTAAACTGACATATCCGTAACGTCACTAGCTCGAAATATTAATCAAACCACACACATTATATTAGATAGTTATAGTATAGAATAATTTGTAAATTACCTTTTGTGCTCGAAGTATAAATCTAGCAATCCGTGTGTGTGAAAACGTCAAAACGAAAAACAAAACGAAACATCGACACGCGCGGCTTACTAGATTGTTTTTGTATTTTTTTTTTAAGGAAATTCCCCGGAACAGTCCATCTTGTGGCACCTTCGCGCGCCGCACTCTAGACGGAGACACGGAAAATGGCGAACCCGAGGGGTTGTTGATTGGGCGAAACATAGAGGTGGAAGGTGGAAAATGGGAAAATGCGAAAAGCGCCGCGGTAACGGTCGCATTTGCTTCCTTATGAATATATTCGAGCGGAATTGTAAGGCATAAATCTAGCGTGCCACGTCGAATTTGACGCTCGCAAAATCTAGTTACCTTATTCGGAAATAAATGCGTCTGTGTCATACCGTGTAATGATTAATTGCACAGATTGCGCCCTGATCTAGTTACCGACCGTTCAATCAAGGCGCGCTTTGATGACAAATTGCATTGCGGTCGAATTCAAAATGGCCGACGTCGCTCTATTATGAGTTATGTACCCCCTTCAATTAATTTAGGGCTAATTGCCGGTCGATGCGGTAACGATATTATCGGTTATTAATTACCCCTAATTTCGGAAATAATGTTTCTTTTTAATTTTTAATTCAATATAATCGTTTTGGGTTTTTTTTTTCTTAGCGAGTTTCGAGTTACTGTAGGAATTTCATTCGCGTTAATGCGTGATGTTTTAGTCGTATTTTTCTTTGCCAGACCGTCAAGCGAGCGTTTCTCTATCGATCAGATAGCGTCGCGACGCCTTCGCTCTAGAGATGCGACGGTTGCGACGGCGACGGCCGGTAACCGGTCGCGAATTGGCGGGAGCGAATCGAAATATTTTTATTCTTAGGTAAGTATAAATAATTCATATTAAAATGTTGTCAGTAGGATCAATTGTTGTTAATTAATTTTGTTTTATTAAAAAAATCTGAAATTATAACTTTGGCGCCATCTAGTAATAGACTATGAGAGACTAATTAGAGATTTCTTTCAATAAACCATATTTGAATTTAAATTGTTCAGTAACTAACCACTAGATGGCATCATAAATTCTTCTTTTTTTTTTAAATCGGACTACAGAACAAAATGTTAGCATTTTTGACATAAAACACAAATTACGCTAATCTAATAAATACACGTCTGCGCATTGAAAAACAAAGCATTTTATGTTTTGGATTCGGATCATATACATATAAATATATATACTGCTGGAATCGTTCAGAAAGCGTACCAATTATTAGAGTGCAGATATATAGGTCGGCGCTCTTCTGGACCAAATAGGGTTCTGCGCTTGCCCCGGTCATGTGATATTGAGCCGTGATAACGATTGGCTATCGTTTCTTAAAAGTTGGGTTATTGGGTGAATATCTTGTTTACGTTTTACGTTTACATGCTTCGTACTTTCGCTTCCGCCATTGTGATTGATTGTTTATAGTTTTAAGAGTGTCTTCCTTAAATAAAAATCATTATTAAATAATGATTAAATCAATGGATTTATTTTTTTTAATTAAAATATGTTAATATTATTAACTATTTGCTTCCAATTAACTAAATAACTTTTGTCAGTCAAATATTGTTTTTAGTTCCCTTATTTAAACATTCTCAAACAAATCCAACCCATTTTTAATAGCTTTTCATTCTTTTAAGCAGTATAATTTATGTTTAAATAATGGTGTTAATTTAAAATTATTGGCATTTGGCGGTAAAAACTGTACTTGCGCGCTTTTGACAAAAGTCCAGATGAGTGCAGAATGTTCATCGGACCTCTCTCTTTGATTGGGACGCGACTAGCTCACGGCTGGGGTAGGGAGCGAGCAGTATATATATTTATATGTATATGATTCGGATAGATAATAAATAATAAATAACAAATGATTCATTTCGACTAAAGAAAGTTTTGTAGTAAGATTGTAGATGCTCAAGAGCTTTGAGTACTCTACAGAAGAAAAAAACTAAAAAATAATTCGCTAGAAACTGGTGTTCGCTGAATGTATACATAAGAAGAGGCCACGTGTGATGTTGAAAATTTGCATTTACTTCCTTATTGCAAATTTTAAGTGATTTGCGAAAAGAACGATGATATATTTAATTAAACAATAGGTGAATTATGAATTAGAGATATTTTTTAAATAAATTATGATACCGTTGCTGTAAATAGAGACACGCTATTAATTTATCATAATCAAGTTTTTTCTGTTTATGTCTATATAGTTATCATTTGTTTATTTGTTGACAGTTGAAATTGTTTTTGAACTTTTGCTGTTTTGTATTCGTTCTATTTTCATTTTAAACGGTTTAAAATGCTTCTCTGAGTATTTTAAAATAAGCAACTAAAAACAAATTCGAATTTTTAACAATTTTGGAATCGACTAAACGTAAGGTAAGCGCGAAACCGTCGAAAATTTTCTAGCCGACGGTCAGAAAGACCCGGAAAAGTTGCGGTTACGTCACGTTTGCGCCAGTCGCCGATTGGTCGACGGAGTCGCCATTTTGTGTACAAATGTACGATCCGTTTTCGTAGGAACTAGTGAAATCGTTTTTAGTTTTTCGTCCTTAACGTGTTGAATTTTTGAATGCATTCTAATGATTCGTAAACTAACGCTGCATTTAAACGACGTAAGTCCGACAATGCGATAGAAATTAGTTTGTTTAAGGCGAGAGGTTGATTTCTTTATTGTATTGTCCCAAAGTTATACTGCAATATCTATCACACTGCAGTATTTTACAGGTAGTTTTTAAATTTGCGTATGTTTGTTTTAATATCTCTGTCGAATGTTGTATTGTGGTTGTATTGGAATTTCAACGCGATTGAGAGTTAGTGTAATGTGAATGTAATGCGTTTGTTGTATTTGTAATTATAAACGTTTTTATTTCATTTATAATCAGCTGGGTATTGATGAGTTCCTGTTAGATTTGATAAAAAAAAATAGACGTTTTTGTTATGCGAATAACACTTGATTTACTAACGAACGATTATCGTACAATTGGGACACGAAAGTAGGTCAATATGTTTTGCCCTTTTTCGCACTATTCCAACGTACCCCGTAGCTATTTTCCGATTGACATGTTTTTGACGTTGTTTTAGGTATATTTTGAAAGCGAACGAATAACGAATGCCCTCAAAAATGTCGACCTCCAGTCAAAATAATGGTAAAAAGAGTTCGAACAGCTCCATTGTCAACACACCATCCAGCACTCCTGTCACGATTGTCGCCAATGGTACTACCCAAGTGAATACGCAGAGCTCTCCGCCGCCCAACAACAACGCTCCTAAATATGGTAATTCTTTTCATTATTCTATCTATATATTATATTTTTGTACTCGATCCGGTCGATGGTACTTTCTACGAATGAATCGATACTCTACGATATACCTAGTTATGAAAGAATCATTAAATTTGTGTGAGAATTTGCTTTAACGTAGATACTAGACCAATCAATCAATTACTTATTTGGGTAATTATCCTTTAGTGCTTTCAAAACCCTCTCATATACCTTTAGTAGTAGTAACTTACACCGTCTAACCCTCCGGAAGAAGACTTCAGTGAACTAGGCCTTGATTCTCCAGACATTGCTTCGAACAGCCAGTCCTCGGAGGATTCCCTTTGTACCATTCTATCGCCTTATTTAATGCACGAAATGATCAGACATACATTCCTTCAATTTTCGACTGTTCTTTAGTGCTTTCAAAACCCTCTTCTATCCCTTTAGTAGCAGTAACTTACACCGCCTAACCCTCCGGTAGAAGGCTTCAGTGGACTAGGCCTTGATTCTCTACACATTTCTTCAATTTTCCACTGTTATTAATAAATTTTTGTCTTTTTTTTCATAGGTACTTTGGTGCCGAACAGGATCTTTGTGGGCGGCATTTCGGCCAACACGACCGAAGGCGAGCTGATGCAATTGTTCAGCGCCTACGGTACGGTGAAGGCGGCCAAGATAATCCAAGACAGGGCGGGCGTATCGAAGGGCTACGGTTTCATAACGTTCGAGAGCGAGGACGACGCGAAGCGGCCGCTGCGCGAGGCCGAGAACATCGTGTTGCGCGAACGCAAGCTCAACATCGCACCGGCCATCAAAAAACAGGTACTCTACACTCGTTTCGAGCGATTGTTGCGATTCGCTAATTTGGATATCTCGCAGCCGTTTAGCAGGACCTTCGACGCGTCCAGCCCGCCGACGGTGGCGGCCGGTAATCCGACGCAGTTCTACTTCCCGCCGGGGGCGGCGGTGCCGTACTTCCAGGGAGGCGTCGCTTACTATCCGCAACCGGCCCAGGCCGCGCCCGGGGACCCATCCACGCAACAACCGGTCTATCAACGTAAGAGAAATCTTAATTTCACGATAGTACAACACTGCTACTTGTAACTACTACTATTACCATACCCTCGTCCAATGTAGCTTGGCGTTTGAGTAAAGCTATACATTGGGTGAGGTTGTATAGTGTAGTCGATTGAAATGGTATTGATTGATGTGATGTTGTAGCGCCTCCGATGTACCCGACGCAAACGGGGCCGCCTCAAACGGCCGCCTACACGCCCATGATGTTCCCGCAGATTTATATGCCGCAACAGTATCCGATGCCCATGCCGGTGAGTACTCGAAACATTACCCCATCGTACTGTTGATTTCTCGCGATTATAAGGGGTTAGCGAATTAGCTAGTTCTCGTTGGTTTCGGGTCCATCGCCCGAACTAACGAGAATGCACTTTTAAGAATCGATTGTAGCGTTGTCTTTTACGTATATTGCATACAGCGAGCTCGATGGGAGCTGTTGGGGGTTACGGTTTTACGAAGAATTGCGCGTATTGTTTGATTTTTACGAATAAGATGTGTGATGATTGATTTGGATAATTTGTAAAATATACTGGGTGATTTTGTTCAGTCCAGCAACTACATATCGGAAGCGGGACTGTACCCTGTTACCCAGCAGCCGACCTACCTATTGCTGGACGGCCTGCAGTACTGAAGGCTTCCCTCGCCTACCCGACACATCCCTCTCTTAAGGTCCTGACAGCAAAATGTTAACCGCTTACTTACTGTGTCTCGCTTATTATTGTTTATATAGTTTCTCGTTATTTATTTTATTTTTATTTGAGATAGAAAAGAATGCAACCGAGAACTGTAGTTTGGAAGTTATCCAGTTCTATTGTATAATTTTGTATGTGGGAAAGTGCAAATGTGTTGCAATATGGTCAATTCTTTGAGTTGAACAAGGAAAGATGCACCATATTGCTTAGAACTTTGCATTTATACTGTATATTAACAATTTATCGAGTGACTGTTGTCACAACTGTAATCTTTTCTACCTTTATCCTCTTTTTAGAGCATGTTAATTTAATGTGCTTACTATTTAATTTTGAATGGAATAGCAATGGATATTATATAGGAAAGGAGCTGATATGATTTTAACGGATTGAAATGTAGCTTGTTATTTTATTATTTATAATAATCGATCGACTGTGCATGTTTAATTAAATCCCGAAAACTCCAGCTGTGGAATTCACTTGAAATCGGTAAAATGGTGCACGACATTTTTGACGCTAATAAAATCTAAGAAGTGTTATTTGTAATGAAATTTAATCACGTGCGTATGCTGTAGAATTTTAGCAAATTAGACTATTTTTGTTTATTTAGGAAATTTTTATCGACTACTACAAACAAACTCTCAAACAATACATACATTCATACATAGAGAAAGAGAAAAATCAAAAACACAGCATGATAAATTTCGACTCGGAAAAAAAAAACCAACCATTTAATTTCGTTAATTAGACAAAATAAATTAGACGTGTGTGTGTATTAACGTTGCGTTTTTTCGTGTGATTTTCTTTTTATAGTACGATTACAACTTCTATCAGGGCAACGGAGCCTCGCCCTCTGCCCAATACATGGCGGGAGCGGCGCAAAGCGGATCGGCGGCGGGACCGCCGCAATGCTCGACGATGCCCCCATCGAATAGTCCGCCGAGACCGCCTTGTTACGGCCAACAGGTGAGAGAGACGTTTATTTCAATCAGTAAAAGGCCATTACTAATCGATTGTTACTGTATTGCTTGAGGGGAAGATGTGTATAGTTTTGGGGTCTATCGTACGAACAAATGTGGATGAATTTGGAAGTTTATAATTATTTTGGTCATATTACAAGTTTGTGAAGAGATGCATAGTAGATAATCTATAATTTTACTCTATATTGTATAGGAACAAAGGCATCGAAGTGCTGGTATCGAATAAGAATGATTGGAGTATTTAATACCGTCGGAACGTTCCTATGTATAGGTTGAATTAGAAATTAATACATTTTTTGTTGTTGTAATGTTGACTAATAAATAATTTGTTTTTTACGTAGATGCCTGCCTACAATCCGGGGGATCCTATGTTCTATAATTTGCCTATATACGGATCTACGTTGGAAAGTTTGCCTATCTACACTGAAGCTTTCGATCTCGGCGCTGGTGGTTCGTACGCGGAGGTTAGTACCAAATTTGAAACGTCGTAAATATTATCGTATAGAATGGCTTTTTTGTTACAATTCATACAAGTTTTATCATAAGATGTTTAACAGTGCCTTTGGTTTATACGTTAATATTTGTACGATCTAGTTTAGTTTGTATAACGCTTTACAAGAGGACGATTCGATTCATTAATCGTCTATTTTTCGACTATTTGATGCCCGCTTTGTATTAATAACACACCGTTTTTCGGTAATCGACAAATAGGAAACAATCTACAACAGTTTGGATCGAACGGTAACGCCGTCGCACGACGACGAATCGACCAATTTGCAGACGGTTTCCTACTGCAATACGACAAACAACAACAACAACAACAACACAAACGGCGGCGCCGCCACCGCCGAACAACACGCGTCGTACGTCAAGGAGGAGAGGAACAACGCGCGCACGCCCGTCGTTTCTCTTCTCTCGATCGACCACCAACAGGAGAAGGACTATTCGTCGATGCAGAGCGGCCGCCGGCGCAAACCGCCGCCGCCGCAACCGCCGCCGCCTCCGCCGCCGCAATTACACAACAACACGACCGCCTATCATCACCATCATCACGGCTTCCTGCCGCATTCGCATCCGTTCGTCGGTTTCAATCCGCAACAACCGCCGCCGTTGCCGCCGTCGAACGGCTACGCGCCGCCGCAACCGCCGCCGCCGATCTTTAACGATTACCATCGGCGCGTCAACGTCAACGGTTGCTTCGTCAACAACAACAACAACAATCACATTAGCGGCGGCAAGATTGTTAACAACGCGAAAAATCATCGCAACGACGATGGTAAAAGTACCGTACGAACGGCGGTGAATACGCCGCCGCCCGCCCCCTACTCACCCATGACGAATCACCAATTTAAAGTTTACACGAACAGTAACGTTAAAAACTTTATGAACAATAACAACAATAGCAAACAGAACAATAACTACGCTAGAAGCAACAAAAAATACGGATCGGTGGGTGTTCCTACGCCGCCACCTCCCGTTTCTAACACCGCCTCGTCCACCACCACCACCACCACCGCCGCCACCTCCACATCCACATCCACATTTGTAACCAACGACAAAACCTATTGCAATAACAACAACAATAGTACTAGTAGTAGTAGTAGTAACAATAGCGCATTGCCTACGCCCGCTTCCTATTCGAATACTAACAACAACAACGGCAACAACAACAACAACCGCCTCATTCACTATAATAACCATCATTCGGCGAATCCTTCGATTAACAACGCCGATCATCCATCGAACGTGACGCAGGTGCACCTGTCGACGACGACGTCGCAGAGCTTCGGGCCGCAGACGGCGCGGCGCAACAAGCGCTCGCTGAGGCGCGGCGTCGGCGCCGTCGGGGGCGGCGTCGGCGAGATTGGCGCCGGGGACGCGCCGTTGCCGAGCGACGTGGGCGACGTTTGCAAGAAATTGGAGACGATTAAGCTGTAGAGGACGCGCCGCGACGGAACCTCCCCCCCCAAAACCACCCCCCCTCAAGTTATATGCAGTAGAATTAGACATCGAGACGCCCGGTAGGCGTGTTTCTTTGCCCCGCCCCCTCCAACCCCAACCCCAACCCCCCACAAAACAATCATGCCCCCCTGCATAAACGCCTCGTTTTTTTTTGTACATTTTTTTTTGTATTTATTTAAGACTGTACAATAATGTAATATACTATAAATTTAATGTAAAAAAAAACCTAAGAGAGGGATATAAAATATATATTTATTTGAAAAGTGAGGATGCGCGAAATATGCCTTTTTTTTTTAAGTGTGTTTGTGTGCAAGTGTAGGGGGTGGAATCGATTTGATTCGATTTGGACTATTCGGTTATTGTTTTTTCAGTATTTTGTTGTTTCGAAAATACCTGATCGATTTTTTACGGTGAATGTGATACAGGGCGTCCCGATGAAAAGTAGCCCAATTATTTAATCGGCTTTATTTTAAATGCGTTATCGTAAAAATGCGGAAAAGCTGTCCGAATCGGTTACTTTTCATTGGGACACCCTGTATAATAAAAATCTATCAAATTTGGCTACTCATCTGCATTTGGCTGGCTTACAAACTAGTCGAAGCGAAATAGATAATTTTCTACAATTACTTTCTGTATTAATCAAACAAATCTTACATAAACTGATTAACCAAGTTGGTAGATAACATACTGCATGTAACAATTGGTCCATTATTCACCATAAAATGTTGATTTGAAACATTTTTGATGCGACCTGTATATTTACATTTGTCAACAAATTACTTTGACAAATAAAACTAAAGTATTAATTTTTTTTCTCGTATTAACATTTCGAACCGCTCTCGTATTAGTTTCGTCGTAATTTTCGAAACTAATACGATATATACAGGATGTTTCTCACCTGTGATCGATTTCGCTCCTCAAGTGCTATATGTATAGTGAGTTCACGATAATCCAGCGGTGACGTCAGGCGTATCTAACGTTAGGTATACTATGTTTACCGATAGTCGAGCGTGACGTCACAGAGGGATTGACGTGAGCAGCGTTTAAATGACAATATTACGTAAGTTTGAGGAAGGTTATAAATTTGTAAACTACAGTGAGACGCCCATCTTTAGGTTAGTCGTGAATATAGGTTAGAAAGTTTGCGCTCTAAGGTGAGTTGTATACTCGAAAATGTTATTTAATATTTAAGATTATTCGGTTTATTTTGCGTTTTTTTTTTGTTGTTGTTTTTTTTTTTAATTTTTGTTTATATGTGTAGAGAGGTACGTTTTTGGTAGTCGCGTCAAGTTTCCCAGTCTGTCGCTGTTTTGACATTGCAAAATTTTTCACGTTGAGAGATTCTAAAATAAATATTGACTATGTACGATACATCGAAAATTTACTCGTTCTTTTTCTGCGCGAATGTATTTTGTTGGAAATATAATCCGCTTTGTTTTGTGATAATCGCGAATAAGTTTTTAAGCAAAAGAGAAAATGTAGATCTGTGATATATCGAAATGGAAGTTTTTAACAATCACCGTTGATTTTTTTATACAATTTATTCGATGGAAAAATCAAAAACTTATTCGAGGTAATTTCGATTTTATTGTACTTAAATTCGACACGGATTTGATCTCTAAATATCGGTTAATTTAACTGGATTATTTCGACCATTCGCAATTTTTGTTAGCTCGAAAAATCAAAAAAAAAATAATCTGTTTAAAAGTCGATGTGATAGTAAATCGGATAAAAATTACAACGTTGTCAATTCGAATTGTTTGCCGGGCAACATTCTACTAAACGAAAAACTCTAAAAACCAACGTTGTCAATTCGTTTTGCTTTGCTAGTCCTTTAGGGAAATCGATTGTGCGCAGTCCTACGGACTTTAAACATTTGCTCAAACACAACATCGCTCTCTTATTATTTTATATTGGGAAACGAACATTTTTCGAACGGATATTTTCGATTTTAGGCTGTGACAGTTCAAACAAGAAAAAAAAACTATGGATGTTTTTTGTAGGTTTTTTTATAAACGCCTTTGTCGAGTAGGATCGAATATTTTGTAGTAGTTTTTTTTTACGGAAATTGTTATTGTTAATCCAAAGAGCCTAAAAAACGAGTCTTTTCGATTTCGAAAACGTTTAATTTGCTGAATTGTCATCCGATTTTCCGCGTGGGAAGAGAAAAGGCGTTTTAAACGTTTTTCATTACGCAAAATCGACGTTTATTGGCGTCCATTTTGCGCACATTTTTTTTTCCAAAGATACATAAAAAAGTAATGTAATAGTTTGTATAAATATAAATATATATACACTATAAAATGTATAATTCTTAGTACGTAAGGAAAAATTATTTTGGCCAAAATTTTGTAGTGGTCAGAACATTGTTTAAATTTTAAATGTTAGAAATTAAAAGAAAAATGATATTGTTGAATTACACGGTACCTGCGAAATAGTAATGTAAATAATTTCGGTTTAACATTTGGCGAAAAATAACAAAACTTTTTTAAATAACAGAGCTGTCATGATCGTTTTCGATGTCCCGTTTGATCGATCAAAATCGATTACAAATCACTCGAAAAAAAAAGAAGCCTTTTTGTCAATTCGTAATCGAGGTTTGCAAACGGAACGTCTCCGGTGAATCCCCGGACGTTTCGCGTGCAAATCTACGCGGTACAATCCGTTTTTATTTATTTTTTTTCGATCGGCACTTTACACTGTTGCCGATACAAACGGATTCTACTCGGTATTGAAGAAACGAACACTCCTAAGGTTGTGGCAAATACAAATAGATATTTAACAGAGAAAATGAAACTTAAAATTCGTACCTCATAGTCACATTAATTAGCTATTAGAAGTGGGTCGACATATTTGGATACAGGGTGTCTAAATTAACCGTTTCCCGGCTTGAAAATGTTGAAATTTCAAACGGATTTGATCCTCCATTCGTGGGGATTAATCGGCTGGCAATCGATGGTTTCTCGTGGCGAAAACGGTTATTGAAGGAGCCAAAACAATGTGATAGAAAACAAAACAAAAAAAAATAAATGTTTCGTGTTTGTTTTTTTCTTGAGAACAGCGAGGCATAATAAAGTGTGTTCAATTTTTTTAGAGATGTAAGACCGACGACCCACGAATAAGAGAAGCCAGATTATAAATATTGTAAGTTTAGTTTTTAGTATTTAAATATATGCAGAAGAAAAACTTTAATATAGTCTATAAAATGTATATGTATAATAATGAAACGGGAAGGGCGATTTTCGACTTGGATTTCCATCGAATAGACGTGCTAGTTCGGTGGAAATGTCGAAAACTATTCTTTCCTGTGAAAAAGTGAGACAATTTACTAATAAATATAAAATGACTTATATTGAACATTATTAAAGCGTTAAGGCTATGTACAAAAACTTAGTTGTAATAAAAATAAACGTATAATATTCGTATGATTTTTCGATTTTTAATCACTCTGGCATTTTAAATACCACCAGGACTACAAGAAATAAAACGCAAATGTATTTTCAATAAACCTCGTTTATTATTGCAATTTTTAACAAAAGTGTAAGTGTGTAAAATATTTATGGAATGAACTAATACGAGATAAACCTACCTAAAAAAGTGTAAGATAAGTAAGTGTGTTTTAAATTGAGCAATAAGATGTACAATTTTAAAATTGATTTTTAGAAAATTCAGTCCTATAAGTAACTTTAACCTACATACTTTTTTTATCGAGAATGATACGTTGTGAATATTACTGATATTTAATTGTAGATACTTCTGTTATTACGACCAGTTCTAACTAAACCTGGAAATGGATAAGCTAAGAGAACATGCAAAACTTGATATATTTGTACGAAAACATGCAAACTCGACTAATTCCTGATCGATTATTTAAAAACCTTTCCTGCCAGGTAAGTGTTCAAATTAACAACAACAAAAAAACTACTGTTTGTAACCTCCGGTTCACACTCGGAACCCATTATAAGTGGGTCTTTTGGGTACCAACCGGATCGCAAAGCAAGCTAAACAGACTGGTCTGGTCTTCTACAGTTTTGTGCCTGAATCGAACCCAAATAAACGCATATTTTGCTTTTGCCAAGCGCGGAAATACCTCTTGCGAAACCCATCAATGTCCCCTATCGCTCACGGGCCTCGGGCCGTAGTCGATCTTGCGTTTGAGCGCGTCGAACTTCGCCTGCATGAGCCTCAACTGGAGGTTCAGCGAGGTGCTCAGCTGGCGCTGCAGGTCCTGCACTTCGAGCAGCTCCTTGCGCAGGTTCTGATAGTTCGATTTCACCTCTCCGACCGACTTCAGCAGATCGTTCACTTGGACTTGCTGGCCGCCTTCGGCGAACAAGTCGCTTTCTATGTTGCTCACTTGCACGGCCAGGGTGTCCATGCGCTCGTCGGTTTGCTTCATCTATGAGAAAACGCGATTTTTCGTTATAAATTGGGGTTAATTGTACGTGTGTTTACCTTATTTTCGAGATCATCTACCAGTGCTTGTTCCATTTTATTTTCTGTTAAGCTGTTCGATTATTGTTTGAAATAAATGGAACGATTGTAAAATATTACATTTTTTATCACAAACTTTTCGCCTAAATTAAAAAATACAAAATATAAATAAAATTGACGTATTACTTGTCAAACGTCATATTTTTTTTACTTTAGGTTAGGTCTAAATCTCTCCTGTTATTCAGCTATTAGAAATTTGTACTGTTACCTGTCATAATTGTCAATTCAATTCATTTTGTTGGTTAGAAAATCGTTTATCAGTTGAAAAATTACATTTTTATATTTGTTGTAGGATGTTTGTTAATTTACAAGATAAAATCATTAATAACTCGAGTCAAAGGTCGCCGATCGGAAACGTATCTTCGATTAAAACAACACAATGTTATTGTTTTAGTGCTTAAGAAACTCGATCAACAATAACGGTAACAACAATGAAATCATTAAAACTAATAGCCCACCAAAAAACGTTTAGCGGTAAGTTTTTAAAACTTTTCCCTCCAACTCTAGCTATTAATACATCTAATTTACAGAGGAAGACCTCGTGATAAACCAAAAAGACTTCCCGGGTGCCAACAAGAACGACATCGTAGAAATCTACCACCCGCCTCCCGACGATGACGCCCAGAAAACCAAAAAGAGCGACACCGAAGAGGAGTTTCCGAGGCTGCTGCTCCAAATAAAAACCTTCTCCGACGACCTGCTGCAAACCCGAGAAACCGTCAGCATCGAGCAGAGCATCGTGGCCGCTTTCGGGCTGCAAGCCTACAAGAACGTGACCATACGGATCGTGAATCCCGCGGACGTGGCGCTCGACTCCATCGAGCTCACCTTCAAGGACCAGTACATGGGCCGATCGGAGATGTGGAGGCTGAAAAACAGCTTAGTAAGCGCACGAGCTTGCTAGTACGCAATAATTCATCGGATTAAAAATTCCAGGTGAACGCTTGCGTGTACATGAACAAGAAGCTGGAATTCTGCTCGGGCGCCGTCCGATGTCAGGTGTACGAGATGTGGTCGCAGGGCGACCGGGTGGCCTGCGGCGTGATAACGGAAGATACCAAAATAGTATTCAGATCGTCCACTTCGATGGTGTATCTGTTCCTGCAGATGTCCTCGGAAATGTGGGATTTCGACATACACGGCGACTTGTACTTCGAAAAAGCCGTGAACGGCTTCCTCGCCGATCTGTTCATGAAATGGAAGAAGAACGGCAGCAATCACGAGGTGACCATCGTGTTGTTCTCGAGGACGTTCTACGAAGCGGGCAGCTTGGAGGAGTTCCCGCAGCATATGAGGGAGTGCTTGCAGAAGGATTACAAAGGGAGATACTACGAGGATTTTTACAGGTGATAACCCCCCGAAACGATTCGTGTTGAATTATATAAATGGATTTTTGCGTAGGGTCGCCGTACAAAACGAGCGCTACGACGATTGGAATTCGACGCTGGTGCAGTTGCGCAGGATATTTCAGAATTACTTGAAAATCGTGTTGGAGTATCACTCGAGGCCGGGCGTTTCTATGCCGGCCGCTACTAACAGCACTTCTGCCCAAGGGAATTTTCTGGAAGTGCTCAACATGTCTTTGAACGGTACCGAAAGTTTCTCTGTACGTTATTTATTCGTTTAATTACGGTATTTTCTAGTATTCGAAAAGCACTATTTGGATCGCAGTTTCGATCGAACCGGACAATTAAGCGTAGTCGTAACACCGGGAGTCGGAGTATTCGAAGTCGATAGAGAATTAACTAACATCACCAAGCAAAGGATAATCGATAACGGCGTAGGAAGCGACTTGGTCTGCGTGGGCGAACAGCCCTTACACGCCGTACCCCTTTTGAAAGTAACCGACCGACCATCCCGACGAGTAAAAGGTTAATCAACCGCTTATTTTATTTCTACAGTTCCACAACAAAGACACGAATCTGAAGATACCCGACGACTATTCGATGCCGCATTGGATCAACCTGTCGTTCTATTCGACCAACAAGAAAATCTCCTATTCGAATTTCGTGCCGAGGATCAAGTTGCCGCTGGCGCTCATCCAAAACGACGTCATCAAAACGAGATCGCCCAAATGCAAATTGCTGCCCGAAGACGAATACATTCACAACACCTTCTTCGATTACGACGCCTACGACGCCAAAGTGTTTCAGTTACCTTCGGCCCATCACGCCGCCGAAAACAGGTCGATATTACTCATTGATTTAATAAATAGTACGATGAAGATTAGTATTTCGTGCCTCGTACTAATCGGTTCGATAGCTACGGTTCGTAATCGAAGGCTTGTTTCGTAGGATCCCGTCGCGTTCGAAGAGGAGCTCCGGTAGCTTGTTGGACTCGCAGGAATTCGCGAAAGGCCAGCGACGGAAGCTGTCCGATCCGGATATATTCCAAAGGAGCAACGCGAATCCTCGCTCGGAGCCGATAGCCATACCGCCGGGGGCCAGTAGTCCGGTGTCGTCCGGCCACTTGGACGGTAACCGAATAACTTCGCGGTACATGACAGGTTCCCTAACGTTTTGAATTGCTTTTTTTAGAGAAGGAATTATCGCCGCCGGTGCGAATGGTGGCCGGTTCGGAGGGTTCGCCGCCGTTCGAGAGTCGAGCTCTGATCAATCCGTTCGATCCCTCGCACGTGACTATAAAATTGACATCGAACAGGAGAAGATGGACGCACATCTTCCCCAAGGGCCCCACGGGCGTGTTGATTCAACAGCATCACTACCAAGCCGTGCCGGCGAAGGCCAAGGACGACGCTTGTCGAGTGGCCTCTTCCTACGGAGCGTTGGCCGCTTTGCAAGAATGTGGGCGATTGTCGATCGTGGGTGATTGTTGATTAAGTAATTGGTTTTTGTAGATTGTAAGAAGCGGCCCAATTCGCACAACGTCAGCCAAAATAGCTCGAATAAGTATTCGACGAAGAGCTTGACTCTGCTGTGGGGCGCTACCGGAGAACAGGAATGGACGCCCGCTCTAACGACAGGTACATTTATTTAGTGGTTTAGGGTATTTTGAGTTAATTCAATGGTTCTGCTTATTTAAGCGAATAATGTCTCTTCTTCTCTGTTAGTGCCGGAAGAAGAGTAAGTAAGGATGGCATTGAATTAATGACGGCATTGTTTTTTTTTTTGACGAAATTTCAGTGAAACGCTTTGGTTATATTATTGAATTTTGTAATGTGTCGCCTGCTGGAACATTAACGATAATCGAATCCGATACCTCGAAATTCAAATCGTCCCTTTTTTTGTTCCATGGTCTCCGCGGGGAAATCCGGATCGGCAGTCAATGATGTCCTGATAGGTTTGAATTCATTATTATTTGTAAATTTTTCTTTAATTTTTTTTTGTTTCGAGAAAATTAATTTAATTTTTTTGGTTGTAGTATTCTATCGTTTGTGCCTTGTTTGATTTAGTATAGCGATGTGGTGAATAACAAACCGTAGAATACGAGAGAAAAATTGATAATAATGTAGTTTGTAAAAATTAGCGTAGCTTTTTGGGTGAAAGTTTAGACGAAATTTACGCTGTACCTATCCCATCTGTTATCCTATATCCTTCTATTTGTTCGAGTAGATATTTGTAATAACGTTTCTTACATTTTTTATTGCTCTATATGTGCTCCTACACGTTCTTATTTAAATACATCTTATCATTAGCTACTGATTCTACTAACTTCATGCCGGTATTACGGGTATCACTGCAAATACTTTCTACTAATAGCAATTAAAATTTCGACGATGAAAAGCGATTGTTTGCAGGGAAACCCGCCATTCCTGCGCTGTTATTAAACATCTAATACGAACGAAATTTATAATTACTTCGATAAATTAAAGCTGCGTTTTATTTCGAACTAGGAGTCGATTGGAAATCGTTGACAATTCCCGCCTGCCTGCCCATCACGACCGATTATTTCCCCGACAGGCGATCGTTGAACATCGACTACGTGGTGTCCCTGTACAGCCTGCTCCCCGACAGCGTCAACGCCGACTTTATACAGCAGAAATCCTGCTACAAGCGCACCCTCAACACGCTCGAGGTGAGCGTAACCGTTCTCGTTTGTCCGAAAGGTAAAAGGCCAACGTTGGATTCGTTTCGTTTCAGGTGTTCAAAGAGCTGATCTCGCAGAGGTTATCGCAGGGTTTCCAATTGATCGTGATGGCGGACAATTCGAACATGACCAAAACGTCCGGACCGAACCCGAAATTGCGCAGCAGCGTCGTCGGGTCGGGGTGCGCACGCGCCGAAAACGACACGAGTTACTTCCTGTCCATCGGCAGGGTGTTTCATAAATTATCCTTGTCTGGGAACACCATATCGGTGACCAGGTACAGGCCGAGGTGAGTGCAGCAGGGGCCTGTTTCATATAACTGACAAGTTGTCAAGGACCAATACATTTTATTATTTCCTCCATTTTTATCGAATTCATTCGAAATCTTTCATCAAACTTTCATTAAGCTTCCTCCTCACTGTCGCTAGACCACATTTTCTTTTAAATTTACAAGAAAATCGGATGGTGACAAGAAATCAAATCCCTGTCGCTTTACACTAGGAATAAATGACAAGTGTTGTTTAATTTATTTTTTATGAAACGCAAACCTATCTACAATTGTAAAACAGACTTGTAATATTAGACTAGTCACTTGTCACTAATAATCTACTCGTGTAATTTTATGAAACACAAACTTGTCAAATACCCCAGTCAAATTTAGACTACACTTGTCCGATGTCAGTTATATGAAACAGGCCACTGGCCTTCGCCCTTGTGGGTATTCGGCGCTTAACCGGGATTATTCCTCCGTAGGCATCCGTATCCTGGTTTCAACTACCAGTACCGGTACAGGTTCCACGCTCCGTGGCACGACACCTACGAGGAATCGTACGCGACGTTCACCACCGAGAAGTTGGAGCACTACAATTGGAATTACATCGATCATTACGTGTGCACCGGGGGCGACACTGAATTCGTGTTGGTCGACGCTTTGAAGTACTGGAGGTGTGTGAATGAAGTGAAAGTATATCACGTTGTATGTCGGCATGTACAGGGTGTCTAAAAAGTGTGGAATTTCAGTCGAATTTTAGGCTCGAATGTAGTGGTTTTGAAAAACTCAAAAAGTACTGAAACCGGAGCATAAAATGTAGTTTTTTTAGGCGGAAGGAAGCTTTTTTCGATAGATCTCGTCGAGTTACGTAGGATAGCATTTTTTCCGCTTTTTTTTCTCTTTAAATAAAGCCGTAGACAAATAAAACACGACAATGAGCCATTAAATGAATCAATGAGAAAAGAACGAATGAATGAATTAATACAAAGGACGAATGAATGAATCGATGCAAAGAATGAATGAATGAATCAATCAATCAATCAAAGAATGATGCAAATAGGTAATGCAAAGAACGAATGAATGAATCGATGCAAAGAATGAATGAATTAATGCAAAGAACGAATGAATGAATTAATGCAAAGGACGAATGAATGAAACGATGCAAGGAATGAATGAATAAATCAATCAATCAATCAAAGAATGATGCAAATAGGTAATGCAAAGAACGAACGAATGAATCAATGCAAAGAAAGAACGAATGCCAATTTCAGCTGTATAGCAATATAATAATAAGGATTTTTCGGTGGTTTTTTTTGCAGGTTCCGAATCTACCTGATACCATTGAACAATTCGGCGACGAAGAAGATCATCGAAGGTTCGGAGAGGTGCGACGTGTACGGTAGACAAACGGTGCCGGAGCACCGGCTGATGGTCGACGGGTTCGTGAAGTTCGTCGACGCGGCGGTGAATAAATTGAAAAAGGCGACGATTTCGAAGAAACCGAGGGTTCGTTTTGACGTTCAGTGTTTTCGATTTTTTCTCCTCCAGTTTAGTTAATTCGTCACACGTTTAGATAGCGTATTAATCCTCTTTTATCATTATAAAACTCTAGCACTCGTTGGCTGATTGGGCAGTTAAAAAAAACAGTTTCTAGGGCAAAGAGAGGTAACAGAAAAATCCTAAAAGGATTTAGGTAAAAGACCGGTAGACCTTCGAGTTGCGGGTCTATGCGGTAGAGCCCGTTATTTAATTACCAATAAATTCGAAGGAACTGTCCAGCGAGTCACTTTTATTATATCGTAGACTCTTCTTGTATTCGAAAAGATTGGAGTATGAAAAACCACAAGTTTTTAAATACAGGAAGGGTGTATCGATTTTATTTTATTTTCGATTATATGCATGTTTTAGCCGCTTCTACTATTATTTATGCATGTTTTGTAGATGTCACTGAATATATCTAGCATTCCTCCGTTGGCTCAACCTAGACGTAACAGTATGAGCAGCTTTCAGGTATTAAATATCTTTTTTTTTTTTTTCTTAATTTACTTTCTCTTTGAATAGCTATTTATTTGTTTTGAGAAAAGCAATGTTGTAGCTGCACTAAAGAGATATTTTTTTATTATATAAAGGGTTATTCACGGTATAGAAGTACTTTTTAATGTTGCATTTTATGAAGTGTAAATGTAACTTTAAGAAGTTATACAGCGAATAGCCCTGTTGTAAAATTCTTCAGTAGGTTATTTTTTACATTTTTATTATATTTACCCTTTTTTTGTATGCAATTAGATAAATTTAACGCATTTTTAATACATTATTTACGCGAATTGCAGTATGTAGAATACTCGATTAAACCAACACAAGCTTTTCTGTTACATTGAATATGCAACTCATTTATTTAAAAAAAAATGCTTCCTAACTTATATTTTGTACCGTATCTAAACCGATTTGCATTTATTTATTCATTCACAACAATCTGCGCATATACAGGGTGTCCCGCACATGTTTCTGCCTCCCTGCTCTGTATCAGTTCTTACGCGGGACACTCTGTATAAATTAGTTGTAGATATTTCGAACTCCACGTGTAGCCTATTAGAATTATTTTTCTTCCTAATAACCGCCCCGCATGTTCCGAATCCGATTGTAATTTCTAGTTTAGCAAAAACCCATCAAATTGTCGATTTTCGTTGTTCAAAAATCGTATTTTTTTTTCGAAATTTTTCAGACGATCGGATCGAGCTCGCCCTTTAGGGAACGATTGGGCAGCAATCGGCTCTCGGATCGACCACGACCAAGGTTTGGATTTCTATTCGTTTTCTCGCTTTGCATTCTAACTCTTATTTCGTTTTTCTCTTCTAAATAACTCTCCGTTTAATGGTTTATTTAATCGAACCCATGCTCTTGTTGTATTTTATTTATTTTCGACTAATTTTTTATGTCTATTAGAGGCGTTTTCGATGGATTGGATCGTGACATAATAACTTTCGTTTAGTACTTTAATTTGCTGCGTAATTAAGTTTTGTTGTGCTTGCTTTTCAGAGTACTACTGCGTCACGTTCAAGTGAGCGGTATGTTGCTACTACACATAGGTAAATGTACATTTTTTTTATTTCTTTTTCTTTCGAGGTGAACCGTTTTACCGTTTGGTTACTATCGGGTTAGAGGAGACAGAGAGTGTGGGTTGTAGATTTTTTTTGTTGCCGGGTGCTTTTTTTCGCTCTACTAAACGGGCCCGAACCGGTTTTTGCAGGTCCGGCTCGAAGGTGGAGAGGAACAGATTGCCGCAGGGCCCGCAGGAACCGCCCGACATCCGCGAAGGATTCGAATTGCCCGCCGACGAAGTGTAAGATTCTCCGTTAAATTCAAACTTTCGTATATAGGGCGTTGATTAATCGAATGCCGATACTTCGGGATGTGAATATTTGGATGATTTTCACATCCCGAAGTATCGCCACTCAATTAACTAACACCCCGTACGCTTTTACTCAGTACTCATCTGCCGGTGACCACTTTGAAATCGAACGCTTCGCACGCGGAAATCGTCGAAGGGATGAAACATCCCATCAACGGTTTGTTGTTCGTCAATATGCCTCAAAACCTGCCGAATTTCACCTTCGTCGCCGCCGATGCCGTTAATTGGCTAATGGAGCACATGGAGGGCGTTAGAACGGTCGATAAATCGATACAGGTAAATCCCTACCGGGTAAATTTGGCGCCGAAATATACCGGGTGTCCCCTGACTCGATGCACGTGTAGCTTAGGAGGGTGCAAGAGTCACGGGACACCCTGTATTTATTGCCTGAAAGTAGATTCAGTAGAAATTGAAATACTCCCGTTAAGTATAGTACTAGATTTGTTATTATTGTTATTATTAATTTTTTTGTAGATCATGCAATCTCTATACAAGGAGCAATGCATCAGGCACGCGTCAGGCGATCCGAACATACCGTTCCGTTACGGTTCCTACTTGTTTTACGTGATATTCCCCGATAGAGGTAACTCGATCTTTACTATTCATTTTACATTTATTGAACCTTAACTCTTAACACCTGTAGAATCTAATTGAACATTAACGATCGTTTTTAGACGATAAAGAGGGCTACCAGCCGACCGGAGACGTCCAGATGTTCGAAAACGATTGGATGGAGGTGGAGATAAAATCGCCGTTGAATTGGGGATTGGAATCGAACGTTCCGTCGACTTTGCAAGTACCTAACAGTACTCAGGAGAGGGAACGAGGCGTTCCGCATTTTCTGTGCGACGTCATCGACCCCGAGTACTCCGAATGTGATACAGACGGTGAGTGTATAATTAGTAGCATACCAATAACATGATTATACTTCATCCATTGAACCAACGGAGTAACCAAAACAAGTTTAGACGCTGGATCATCATGCACGTTTGCATCTATTGGGTAAAATAAAAAAGCCTCCTTACGCTGACCAATCACTGATCGTCACGCGTTGATCCAGCGTCTAAACTGGTTTTAGTTACTCCATTGCTTGGATGGATGAAGTATAGTGATTAATTGTCTTTTTTAGGACCGATGTACAAACGAATGAGATTAGAGACGGACGTGAACGGCAAGAGCGATCGCGTCGAATGGGGCCACGCCCGCTACCAGACGGGCTTCAAGCCCGATCAGGCCTACGAATTGGTCGTGGAATGGTTGACGTCCTCCGGATCGATCGTTTGCGAACTCGTAAGTTCGTTTCGTAATGCGATAACTACTAAATTCGTTGGATTTGTTCGTTTCCAGTTGAACGGCTGGCACCGCAAGGCCCAGATCTGCGGCCTCCAGATGATACCGATACCCCACGATCCTTTGGCGTTGCCCTATTCGAACAAATCGGACCCGTTGCGCGGACCCATCTTCGTGCCGCTCGACATCATGTGCCTCGAAGACGAGCTGTTTCCGCTCTTCAAAGGCAAGCAAAACTCACGTACACTCAGCGGAAGTTTCGTAGAACCTTATATGGGACTCGTTTGCGTTCCTAAAGAGGGCGCAATTGAACTAACAAGTCAATATCTCCTGCAATTGTATATGTAAAACTGTGATGATTACTTACTCGTTCACTGATTGGAGATTTTTTTTGTACGGCCGACAGTCGTCGATTTCGACCGGGAAAAGTAACGAATCCCATGGAAACGAACACGCCCGATTCGAAAATTGACGTTTCGACCTCGTAAATTTTCATCTTCGGTGTCAAATGAGCGAAATTAGCGTTTTTTTTTCGGTTTTTTGCATTTTTCTCGAATCGAGTAATATTGTTTTGCTTTAAAATCTCCCCAAGTATTCTCTATCCGTTTCTCCAACATTTGTATATAGTCGTTTTCTATGAAAAATTCGTTTTCGGAAAATATTGAGAAAAGTAGTTTTCGAGGGTTTTCTAAAAATCGAAATAACTCATAAACGGTAAGATTTACGAACATTTTTTATACTTGCAAAAAAATAGAAAATACTTTTGTCGATCTAATAAAACGTACCGGGTGTTTTTCCGATTAGTACTTTTTGAGTTTTTCGAAAAAACCGTTTTTAAATTGTCTTCAAGTTTGTAACGCCAAAGCTCAGAAATTATCATGTTTTAGAAAATTTTAAAAACGAAAATTTATAGGTACCACATTTTTCTATCTACCTAATTTTATCCCATTTTTTTTAAATATTATTTATCGAATTATTAGCATTTTTCGAAATCGGTGCATATTTTACGGCTGCCGTCGAACCGGAAGTGAAAACTTTCAAATCGACGATGACGTACGATCATTCCCGAATGAAAGACAAAATGGATGACTTTTGCGTTTCTATGGATACGTTGACATTTAATTTGATGTACAGGGTGATTTTAACTTAAGGAAATCGGAAAAATTTATATACGGGGCGCCTTTTTTTATCTCAAGTGAAAAATTATTTTAAATTAAATTGAAATATAGTACAGGGTGACTCGTATTTAAGAAAACGTTAATTACATAAACCCTGCGAGCGAACATCCGGCTATATAACGGCTATTCGGCAGAGCCCATTATTGCAATAACCAATAAACTCGGAATCGGATAATGCAACTATCCGCGGCGAAGCCGGTGGTGTGGAGCTGATAAGCGAGTAATTACAATGAAGTCGTATTTGCAGGTTTCCCGGAAACATCCTACGCCGACAGATTGTTCCTCTTTCAGGAGGCCGTCGTCGAGCGGTTCGGCTTCGTCCACTGCCAAGTGGAACAGCCCGACAAGGCGAGCACGTCCAGGGAGCACCAGTACGTGCACGCCACCGGCACCGTGTTCGTGCTGGTCTCGCGGCCCGTCAGCAAACCGCGCAACCGCGTCAATTCTTCGATGCAACCGGGCAAGTATTCGATACACGCCGACGTGGTGCCCAGTCCGCACAAGGCCTACATCACCCGGCACGTGTCCGGCAAGAACAAGGACGATTACGACAATTCCGGAAAGGTAAATTGATATAGAGGCGATGTATATGAGAATCGCTGATGTATAGAATGCTCCAGGATCATTTAGAAGTATCTAGAACTATTTGGAACGCTCTTAGAATCATTTAGAATAGTCTACAACTATTTGGAACACTCTTAGAATCATTTAGAATAGTCTAGAACTATTTAGAATGGTCCATCATCAATTAGAACTGTTTAGAACGCTTCAGAATCATTTAGAACGCTCCAGAATCTTTTAGAACTGTCTAGAACATGTTAGAACGGTCCAGAATCATATATTACAACTATCTAGAACGATTTAGAATGCTTCAGGCCAATTTAGAACTGTCTAGAACGCTTCAGAATCATTTAGAATAGTCTAGAACTATTTAGAACGCTCCAGAATCATTTGGAAACATCTAGAACCATTTGGCACGTTGTTAGAATCATTTAGAATAGTCTAGAACTGTTTAGAATGCTCCAGCATCAATTAAAACCTGTTTAGAACGCTTCAGAATCATTTAGAACGCACCAGAATCATTTATTACAACTATCTAGAACCATTTAGAATGCTTCAGGCCAATTTAGAACTGTCTAGAACCATTAAGAAGGCTCCAGAATCATTTAGAACGTTCGAAAATGATTACCATGTTGGGCGAATTGAAAAAACCGGTGTACAAAGTGGAAAAATTTGCAAACTAGTGTCGTTTTTCAGATGGGATTTTTGTGGTCGTGGAACCACATGTTGAGCAAACGCTGGAGGACCAATCAAGGCATCGATAACAACGTGCAATTGAAGATATTGAAGGACTTTCGAGAGTTTTGCGGCAATCACAACAACAGGTTGAGGGATTTTTGGCGCGAATCGTGGGAGGCCAAGGAAGTGGCCTACGCCGAATCGGGCGGTAGTGAGGAAGACCCGAGGGGTGCGAATTTGTAATGTTCTGAATAATTTTCTGATTGTAATGGAAATTTGTGATTATTTTTTAAACGGAAGTTAAGAATTCGCTGCGAGTAGGAAATAAATTTTTACATATAAATATTGTTTTTTTTAATAAATAAATAAAACGTTTGAAGGATTTTACATAAAAAGGCATTTCGTTTTGAGATTTCTGAAAAATTGTCAACGATTATGCATTTATAAGTTTTTAATGACCGAAATACTGGTTGCCTACCTAATAGTATCCGTAAATCGATTTTCGATCAATAAATGTAATTCTGGTTGTCTAACTATTGTATTAGTAAGGCGCGAGTAATAAGTATCAGGAGTAAACCTCTTCACACATTCTGTTCTCCTACTACGAAATTTCAAATTCGCAAATTTTTAACGAGAAATTTTCGAACGATGTACAAAACTATTCTTCCGATTTTTACAAATTGCCTTGAAAAAGTTTTGCGTTTTTTTTTCAATAAACTCGAGAAAAGTTTTGCGTTTTTTTTTCAATAAATTCGACAAAAGTTTTGCGTTTTTTTTTCAATAAACTCGAGAAAAGTTTTGCCTTTTTTTTTCAATAAACTCGAGAAAAGTTTTGCGTTTTTTTTTCAATAAATTCGACAAAAGTTTTGCGTTTTTTTTTCAATAAACTCGAGAAAAGTTTTGCGTTTTTTTTTCAATAAACTCGACAAAAGTTTTGCGTTTTTTTTTTCAATAAACTCGACAAAACTTTTAGCATTCGACTTTCTCATCATTTCTACTATAAAACAATAATAATGCCCAAAATGATAAATTTCATCCAGGACTTTCCGTAGAAGTACCTCTCTCCATATAATAAATATCTCCTGTTACTAGACTTCCTTGCATATTCTCCTTGCCTAATATCCGAAATTAATCAATGGAGATCTACGAAAACTTGTGCTCAAATCTCGAATTAAAACGTGAATTTAAAATTTCGTATTAGGAGAGCAGATTGTGCGAGGAGGTTTACTTATGACGCTTATTAATCGCGCTCCTGCTCGAAGCAATACATACAAAGGCAACCATTTAATCGAATTTCGGTAATTCTGGTTGCCTATCTATTGTATTAGTAAAGCGCGAGTAATAAGTATCAGGAGTAAACCTCTTCACACATTCTGCTCTCCTAATACGAAATTTTAAATTCGCGTTTAATCGTGAGATTTTCAAACGTTTGACACAAACTACTCGAACTCCTAATATTTGTTTCTCCCGATCTTTTTGCTTTAATAGCTCCAGATTATTACAAATTGCGTTGAAAAAGTTTTGCGTTTTTTTAATGAACGAAAAATACTAAGAATTCTAAAATCAGGATTAAGGATGTCATAAAAATTTTTTAATATTCTATTTTCGTATCATTTTTGTAATAAAGAATTATTAATAATGCCCAAAATGTTAAATTATCTTTGAAAATGTGTTTTCAAGAACGACGAAACATTTAGAATATTTATTAACGCATCAGGATTCATCCAGGACCTTCCCTGGACGTATCTCTCTCGATATACTAAATATCTCCCGATATTGAACTTCCTTGCATATTCTCATTGCCTAATATCCGAAATTTATCAATGGAGATCGACGAAAACTTGTGCTCAAATCTCGAAATAAAACGTGAATTTGAAATTTCGTATTAGGAGAGCAGAATGTATGAAGAGGTTTACTCCTGATACTTATTACTCGCGCTTTACTAATACAATAGATAGGCAACCAGAATTACCGAAATTTGATTAAATGGTTGCCTTTGTACGTATTTGTAATCGAACAGGAGCGTTATTAATGGATTAATGTTATAAATGGATATAAATTTGAAAGCATAGATCGTTCGTACGACAAAAGAAACCAAACATTAAACTGAAACCCACTAAACTTTCGCAATAATTGAAACTACTACTTTTCTCTCTGAATAATATGTCAATTGTCATATAAAAAAGAAGATTGAGGTTATATTTTGTTTACTGTTAATTATTGATAAACAATTTAATGTATCATTAATAAATAATTTCAAAATATTAGTAATGGACATAATAAAGAAATTGTCATCTCTGCAGGAAATTTCAAAAATTCAGTTGTCAAAAATATTGAGCCTAGCACCGGACAAAAAAAACCTAATACTAGAATCAAGTTTAATCAAACCCCTAGAAAGAGTATGCGGAGTAAAATGGCTAAAGTAAGTCCCAATTAACGCTATACATCCCTTTTCACCGTTAAGTTTCAGAGGAAACGGCGTAGAAAAAATATACAAATTGGAATCGGTAAACCCGGAGGCGAACACGAACGCCATCTTTTACATGATACATCTCGATACCAAGGTATTTAAACGAGTAGTAGACCAAATAAGATCACAAACGAACATAGAAAACCCAGTAAAAGATCGATACCACATAATAGTTGTACCCAGGCACACATGTACGTTCGAAAACGAGCTGGAGCAGCTAGGACTGCTGCACAGCATAGTAAGAGTCCATTCGTTTCAATGGATGCCCGTGCACCTCGATACGGGCCTACTCAGCTTGGAATTGCCTGATGTGTACAGTTCGTTGTTCGTTTACGAGAACTTGGCGTGTCTCCCGGCGTTGTCGAAGTGCCTCTGGCAATTGAGCTTCGTAATAGGCAAGCCGGAGTTCGTATTGGCGCTGGGAAAATACTCGAACGGGGTGCTGAAGCAATTCGAGGAGTACTGCGAGAATCGAGGGGACACCGATAAATTAGAATCGGACGTAGGCGCTTTAATTATCGTAGACCGAAGCATGGATTATACCAGTGCTTTGTTAACGCCCGGTAACTACGCTGCGTTACTTAGCGAGGTAATACGTAGGATTTAAACAGCACGTTTGATTAAAATCTCGTTCGTAGGTGTACACTGTAAGCACGGGTATATGCGAAAAGAAGAAGGAAGAAACCGAAAAATTAGACGAAAAATGCAACCCGCTGCTCGAGAAACAACCGCTCCACATCACTCTAGACAGCACCAAAGACAGCATTTACTCGGACATCAAGAACCGGTACTTCACCGAGGTGACGTCCGTCCTGAGCAACCTAACGAAGCAACTGAAAACCGAAAAGGTCAACTCCAAAGAAATGGCGCTCGACGAAATCAAGCGCTACGTCCAAACGCAACTGCAGGCCACCAAATTCAAGAAGAAACTGATCACCAATCACCTAATGGCCGCCGAGACGATCATCAACATCTTGGGCCATCGGTACGAGAGGCAGAACGAGATCGAACAGAACATCGTACGCAACACCGACAGGAGCGCCAATCTCGCCTACTTGGAAGAACTGTTGAATACTTCGAACGATCCCCGCGTCACGCTGAGGCTCTTCTGCTTGTTCTCGCTGTTCCAGTCGCCGGGCGACTCGGACGTCCGGAGGTTCTGGTCGAAGTTCCTGCACCAGTTCGGCTTCGAGCGCGGCTTCGCCTTTCACAATTTGGCGACGGCGGGGTTCGTGCCGGAGCCCGCGCCGTCGGGCGGCGCCCTCAACCTGCAGGGCAAGCTGAAATTGCCGATGTTCGCGGCGAGCGACGCCCACGTCAGCGCCAGGAACCTGCGCCAGCTGCCGCCCGATCCGAGCAAGGTGAATTTGAGGTTCCCCACGTGCCCCAGTTACATATTCGGCGGCGGTTACGTGCCGTTGATAGCTCAGATGGCGGGCATGGTGTTGAATTCGGTGCCGGTGGCGGAGATTCGCGGTAAAATCGAGGCGCTCGGGTCGCTGTTTGTCACAGAGAAAAAGGGCCATTTGCTGCAAAATAGGACTGTGCTGATATACGTGATTGGAGGGGTTACTTACGCCGAAGTGGCCGCTTGTAATCTGTTGGAAACGCTCATGGGCGCTCAAATTGTTATTTTGAGCGATAAAATTATCACGGGCAACGATTTGATGGAGAGTATTTTGAGTTATCCTAAGTGAAACTGATTCTACTGACTCTACTGTGATTTATATGTAGAAATAGGGTATAAATTTAGATATTTTTTTACTTGTAAGTTTTCTAAAGATCATCTGACTGATGTAAAATAATAATATTACATTGAATGTAAAATTATCGAGAATGGAACAATCGAAGTTTTTCAAAAAACTCGTTAGATGGCGCGACAAATTTACCGCCAGTTTTTGGTGTTTTCAAAGCTTATTTGCGCTATATATGCAATTAAAAATTCCTTTTAACACGTTAATTTCAATAAAGTTTCATTTTTAACCATAATTTGATTACTGTTTAACGAAAAACATTTCATATTTATTGCAACGTAGGCAACACTGTTTTCAATAAATCGCATAAAACTGACGTTTCTCACGTCAAATTGAAATTTAACATAAAAATTTCGCGTGATTCGCGGAGCGATAGGAATTGTTTTCGATTTCATATTTTCAAAAAAAACTTCAATTTCCTATCGAAACGACTAAAATTTCTAGGAAAATGCGCCAGGGAAATATGTAGAAAAATCGATAAGTTGGCATAGACGCATGCGCGCCAGGGACCCAGTCCATGCCCAAGCGCAGTTTAAGCGGGACGTCGTCTGATTGGCAGTGGCCGCAGCGCCTTGGCCGCCATGATTTTCTAATTTCTCTGAGCGTTTGGAGGAATTTTGTTGGTAACATCAACTCCAAATTGTAAGGTAAACAACGTTCATTCGATATTTATTAAACGAATTTATCCCCGATCGATTTGTGCGGCGTACGAAGCGAGTTTATCTCTCCGAGGAGCTGGTGATAACATTGTGCAATTAGATATGGCGCATTTTTGTGCATGGCATGTGAAAATTGCATCAGATATTTGTTTAGTGTTATTCGGATTCCGGTCGGCGGAGCGTTGTTTTTCCCATGTGTTTTCGGGTGTATTAATCGCCGTTTAACGTTTTATTAAGGTGTGAATTTAGTTTAATGCAGTTTCCCGAGCAGCGTGAAGTTAGCGTTGAATAATATTTAATAAATTGTTAATAAAAGTGGTGTTCGAATTGGAGAGTACAAAGTGCACTTGCACATGATCTTGAAGGACGTCAATTTTTTTTTAATTTTATAGCGAATTAAACGTGTGCTCTTTGTTTAAACATCCTCAAGGATATTCGAGTGTTTCCATACCAAAAATGCCCTTGATTCGCATCGTATTTTTAGATACTCGACTTTACTCCTAATAAACAGACAAAACGACCAAAAAAAAAACTCGATGCATTGTTTACCTGAAAAAAACCTACGCGTAAATATGATTCACAGTTTTAATATTTATTTACCGGATGAACGAACTCGACCCGCCGCATATATTTAGATTGCTTTTCATCGCGCTAAATCTAATTACCGATTTAATTTCGCAGCATAAACTACAATGGAGTCCAACGCATTCCGATACCCGCACTGAAGCCACCGCAAAACCAACAACCAACAAACACACACAAACAAACCGATCGAATCGTCTCGTACCGTTCGATTCAACCGGCGCCCCAAGACGACCCGTCCGCAACAACTCGACCTCGTAAACATGTCTCCGCAGCGCCCCCATTGACGAAATATGCATTCGAACGGGCCGTCCGAGCACACGATCGTTTGGCCGCCCATCGAACATCAACCGATCGCTTTCCTCGCATTCATCCTCTAACGTAAGTCCTATTTAATCGACTAATTTAAGGCGCAGCCGAGGTTCCGATACCGAGCCATCTAAAGCTGAGTCTCTCAAAGAAGGAATGGAGGGCAATGGATGCCTGTTTATGTCTCCAGGGGCTCCAATGATTCGCCTGCGTAGCACCAATGCGGACACTATGATGACCTACTCGTTGGTAGTTCTACAGCTACTCATATCAATCGAATATATTATAAATTCTAGAGTCTAGAACTATCCTGTGGCTTCCCTTTTGCTAATGCTTCCGTTTTCTATTGAGTATGTTTGATGATATTAATGTATTTTCGTTATTTTGCAGCGTATTATGAAGTATCCTCAAGCGGTGTCGATGCCTTCGGCGGTCTCTAATTGGCTAGACGAACAGTTGGAAGCGCGCGGCATAGACGCCGTCGTCTACACGCGATACATACTCAGTTTGTTCCATTCCGTCGATTTGTTTTATCCCGAAGAAGACGATTTGCGGCATCCCAAAAAAGTGAGTTCGCAACCGGGTCCAGATAGGGGCCTTTGTTACGTTGTAGTTTTGTGCTCGATTAGGCGTTTGCATGTGTCGTACGATTAGTAATGTTTTGTTGGTGTCAGGAAGGGAGAAGGTCCAACAGAAGCCAAGCTGGATCGCTGAGGTCCACTTCTGATTGGTGGAGGCATGCGTACGCTGATCCTGAACGCATCAAACGTTCGGCAGCCGTCGAGTGTCTCCTGTCCGCCTCCGAACAGGTACCTACTATAAATTTAGTTTGGTGTACTCGCGGAGTTTATTCGATTGGTGTGTACAGTTGTATTCAAGTAATAGAAAGAGACATTAACGTGTCATCTCATTTGTGTAAAACCGGTCGGGATTATTGGAGCTTATCGAATGTCAAAAGTTGTCAAAAATGTAAATACTTAGTATCATTGGTCATTATTTCGTTTAATTGACTCCCAACGCCAATGATTTCCATTTTTTTTTTTTCAACATATGACGTTAATGTCTCTTTCTATTACTTGTCCCCTTTTTTTTAATACAACTGTACATAGAATTAAGAATTCGTTTTGTTTACATTTTATCGAAGGAATGCATAATCGTCTAGACTCTAGACGCTCGTAAACACGAGTATTTTCACCCGATGAATAATTCCGTTGATATTAAATTTACGCGCTTCGTTTTTTCAGAACTGCGAGATCGAATCGCTGATCGACGAATTGTGCGAAAAGCTGAAGGAGGCCAACGAGGAGGAGGATTCGATCGAAGAGAAACCGACGGCCGAATCGGCGCCGCGACGCCGTTGCGACAAGAAGAAAATATCGCCGCGCGAATTGGCCGAGAAATATTACGCGGCCTTTCCGCCGTTGAAGTCGCTCTCGCCGGCCGACGATTCGAAATTGCTGGCGCTCGTGCCCCGGTGGAGGAGCGTCGAGACGGCGGCGACGGCGGAGGCGTCGCCCGTCAAGAGGAGATCGGTCAAGAAGGCGAAGAAATCGGCCAGTTTTTCGGGTACCAAGTCGGGTTATAAGGTATAGATGATTGATTTTAAATGCGTTTTCGCGCGCTGCAATATATTGCAACAATGCAATGATTTTTATTGCAGCGATAGTCGTGCGTTAGACCAAAGATTCGGCATTATTTTACTCTAATTCAGTATATTGCAGTAGTGTGAAAATTATTTATGAAAACACTAATAAATCAAGCAATTTCTACATAAAACTACACTTTCATTTTGGCGTTTTAAACCTGTATTTTCAAAACATTCCGTTTTTATATTACGCGCAAAAAAAACCATCCTGTTCTGTTAATCTACTGTATTAATCAGTCGACGATTTCAGTTTCGAACGTGAAAGATCAATCGGTTATTAACCGATTTAAACAAACTATTATTATTATTATTTTTATTTTTTTTAGGACAACAGCGAAACGATGAAGGCCCATTCGCAAGCCAGACAACGTTTGAATTGGTCGAACAACAACAACAACCGCTACAACAATTTCCCTTCGAACAACATGAAACAACAACAGGCGTTAATCGGCGAACCGATTGGGACGTTCGCGGGCCACGATGACCGTTGTCTCGACGTGGAAAAGGACATTTGGCGCGCGACCGACGAGGACGAGACCAACATGTACGTGGATTTGCCGGTCGACATTAAAGTGTTGCTGGATTCGCCGACGCCGCACGACAAGACCGTCGAACTGATGAATTTGGCCAATATGAGAGACACCGGTAACAGGAGATTCATACCCTACGGTACCAACATTATCGGGTAAATATTCACTACATACAAGTTTATATTAGTGTGGTCCATTTCGAATTTCTATTGTCATCGTGAATATGTTGCAGGAACTCGATTTGGTCGACTGATCAAGGCGTCATCGACGACAACGCGATGAACGCGTCGATCGAAGAGGGCGATTTCGGGCTCGATTTGAAATTCAGTTCGATATCGATCGACAATCCGACGTTGAATTTGGACGATTGGCTGACGAACGGCGTCGACGGGCTGTTGGAGAACGATACCAGGAGGAATTGCAGACGGAGATTGTTTCGAGGTTCGACGGTCGACGATTGGAGGAACGACACAAATAACAACAACAACAGCAACAACAAAGACGTGGAGGATAGATCGATGGGGAGCGACGACGACGAGAAACTGATGATGAATTGGCTCGAGCACAGTTTGAATAAATTGAATCACGATAGATGGAGCAGCGGATTCGTCGAGGTGGCGCCGGGTGACGTTGCAAAAGTATGTAGTTGATTCTGGACAGTTCTAGGTGGTTTTTGGGCCATTCTGATTGATCCTGAAGAAATTTATAAGAATCTAGACAGTTATAAAATGTTTTAAACAGTTCTGATCCCTTCAGAAGCGTTCTAAATCACCCTGGACGATTCCAAGTGGTTTTGGGCAATTCTGATTGATCATGAAGCAATTAAAGACTTGAAAATATGTACAGCCTATTGGATTTTCTATATAATTTTGGGTTTTTGTAGGGTCGTCCTTCGAAGCCAGCGTTTCCGATCGCTTATTCGAACAACAAAGACGAGAAAGAGGACCTTTTGACGTCGGAGCGGACGCACTTCAAGCCGATCAGCGACAAAGAGGCCGCCCGTTGTTTGGCGACGAACGTCGCCAAACAGCCGTTCACCTACGCCGACGGTTCGTCGTTTTTGATTTGCAACAATCTGGATAAGGTACATTGTTTCCCATTGCTTAAGAGTATAGAGTACCAGCGCGTCCACCAAAATAATGCGTAACATTCGGGGTAACATTCGAAGTTGATGACGCGCTACTCTAGCCTCTTAACGATCTTTGACGTGTTAACCGTTTGATCGAATCGTTGTAGGTGAACTACAAGCGTAGCGAAAGCGGCGCCATGCTGTTGGAGAACGAATTCGGCCAAAGCAAGAAGTACTATCCGTACAAAATCGAGGAATCGTCGCCGTCGCCGGTGCCCGACGCGCCCGAGTTTTTCCTCAAATTCAGCGTCTGCCAGAACGACAAATCTTGCCAAACCGAACCGCCCGCCGTCGCCGACGAACCGCCCAATCAATTCGACGTGAGTAATGCGCAAGCGCAATCAACCAGTTTTTTTAGTCGGTTCTAAACGATTTTACCGGGCTGATTACAAATGAAGGGGAATTACAGAGGAAGAACGATCACAGTCCATCTAAATGATTTTCGAGAAATATTAAAATATAAGTTTACTTACTCGTTATACTCTAATTCCAAAATAGTAGGTACTAAATTCTCGGAAATATTGTTGCTTTACTTATTTATTACACAATCCTTGCTCTTCTAATTACTAGTTTCCTGCTGATTTTCCCGTCGATATTTTCCGTACGCCAAGGAGAGACCCATTATCGCAATCATTTCTGAGAATTTAGTGCTTACTATTTTGGATTTAGAGTATAGAAAGTGAAAGGTATCTTTCATCTGTTGTTTTGCGGACTTGATTTGATTATCTGACAGTAACCACAAAATGCTATTATAAAAATAAACTGTGAGCTTAGTTTTGCAAAAAAATGGACTACACATTATCGTACATACCATCTAAATCCGCCCGTATTGACAATATTGTATTTTTTCAGGAAATTATGAACGTCGGTCGAACGTTGGCCGATCGTCTGGGCGCCGCCTCGGAGGACGAGGCGTCGCTGGATTCGCTGTTGTCGACGCTGCCGAGGCCGGAGAGCGTGCTCGACGAGGTCGTGTGGAAGTACAAGGGTATCCTGTGGTGCGAGAAATGCGGCGACGCCGCCGCCTCCGGCAAGCCGGGCCACACGTGGAACGGCGCCGGTTGGGCGGACGGTCGAACGGACGACGCCGATTGGCGCGGGAGCGGCTTGCGCAGCATTTGGGACGACGGGGAGGCGTGCGCGACGTGCCTGAAGGCGAAGCAGAGCTGGGGCGGAGGCGGCGGCAGGCCGAGCTTGGACCGCCGCCTGCGCGAAGACATCACCCAGGACGGCGAGCAGCTGCTCTCGGATTTGATCAACGCCAGGAAATTTTATATGGCGTCGCCGCCGCCGTCGGCGGTGGGCGTCGAGGCGTCGAACGAGCGCAAGCGACGCCATTCGGAGGAGGACGGGCGCGCCGCCTCCTGGAGTTTCGCATCTCGCTTGGAGGAGGATTGTCTCATGCAAATGGCCGGTCTGTCCGACGCCAGGGCTGTTACGCTCTAAACAAACAAACAAACTAGAAGAAGAAGAAAAAAAAACAGAAAGTAAGAAACACGTAAATAATATATAATCGATTAGGATTTTAGCGGCGTATTTTTTTCTTTTTCTTTGTGTGTTTATGTAATATTTTTTTCACCTTTACGTGTTGTTGTTGCCAGCGAAAGATCGAAAGCCCTCTAACGATTGCTGTCGAAACAAAACGAATTCTTATGTATGTAATTATTATTTCTTCGCCTGTCGATCTTTCGTCGGCGTATTTTTTTATGTGTTTTTTTTTTATTTCAAAGTCGGGATGACGTTGAATTTGTATTGTAAAAAAAATATTATAGAGAGAGAACGAATGCGGGCATGTACCAGTAATCGCTTCGATAATATCTATTAATCTCGACGTATCGAAAGAGCGACGTACTGCCATATTAGTTTGAGTGCAGTTAATAGAATAATAAAATGTAATGAGCGAATTGAGAGGCGGGAGAGAGCCGCCCCCCGCCCGTCCCCTTGCCCGTCTCGCAAACGAGAAGGCGATACTGGCATGGCCGCGGCTTTTAACCTAATTTTATAAACGAAATAAATCGATTGAATTGACTAGAAAGCTCCGTCCGAGTCCTGATGGTGACTCGGGCGAGCGCGAATAATCCTTCGTATAAATTAATTAAAATGACTAAAGCTCTGTAGTAGGAGTCCGGGGATCGATCGATGCCGCTCGTAATCCTTTGTATAAAAAATGAAAATGACTACAGCTCCGTTTGTACGAGTTCTAGAAGGGTAGTAATTCCGTAGAGGATTGATCGATCCGGCTCGCGTACACGCGTAGAGAGCTTGATTGTAATTTAAATAAAAAAATATCAACATTAAAAATGCGAAGCTAATGCTGTACAATGCAGATTCCTGGAATAAGGTCGATGGAGAATTTAACGCGTTAAATTCGAAACGGCGTTTATTACCGTCGAGCTCGTGCAGCGAGCGAGACCTTGAAATTTTTTACGTTGTTTTGTTGGTATTTTTTTTTGTATTGAGCGTAATATTTGTTATCCTCAATTAATTTTCCCCCTCGTTTCCATTATTATGTCCTTTTCCTTGCGATCCTTCTTCTATTCCTTTACGAAATGGGGCCGATTGCGCCCCCGCTTTCCGTCGAGTCGGACGGATTGTTTGAATTTTTTCCCGAAAATTTTGTCACCGTTTATTTTATTTTTGTTGTAAATTCGGTGTTGATAACGGAAATTAATGTGTTTATTATTTTATTTTTTTTGGATTCGCCCCTTTTTGTAGTTGGGGTTGTGGAAATTTATACGACACCGTTTGTTTTTTATTTTTTTTTAAATTGAATTGAATTTTTGTTATTGAAATGGAAAGTTTTTGTTTTTTTATTATAGGGCATTATAAACCCATATTCATTATTCATAGTGTATTAGATTGTTGTATTTTTTTTTTTCATTGAAAATGGATATGCAGGGCACAAACCTTGAAGAGAGAGTTAAAAAAATCTTATAGAGTGGTTTAGAGTATATTTAAAAAAAATGCAAAAAAAACAAACGAACTCTCCGTTTTTTTATATGTATAATTGTTTTATTAAATAAACTGGAAGTGGTTACTTTTTAAGTTAAGTAAACATTATTCTTATGTGGAATGAACGAAACGAAAATTTTTCATATACAGGGTGTTCCATATTGACATGCTTACATTTAAGGAGGTGATTCTTGGGCTTATATGAAGTTTTTTCCTTAAAAATAGGTCCAGAAATCGCCCCTTTAAATATTAGCATGTCATTTAGGAGCACCCCGTATATTCGAAATTATATCTGTTTGTACATAATGTATTTTTTAATTTTTACCTCCAGTTTCGTACGCGTTTCGTTCATTTGATTATGTAATAATCGAGGATTAAAAAAAGGTTCTTGTACATTTCTTTTTTTAAACTTAAACTTCCGTTTTGGATACAAGAATGTTTGTTTGAAAATCGAGAGGACGTTTCGAAGCGTCCGAATGAATTTGGTTTCGTGAATTTGCAAGTTTAAAAAAACGAAATCCATTTTGTAATCGTTGTATGTTTCATATAAAGTAAGATTTCTAATCTAAAATGCAAAACGCGATGTATGAAAAATGCAAGAATTAGTTGAATTAACACATACACAAACACACAGTTGGCTTTGATTACAAATTTTTTGTTTACAAATCTATTTTAACGAATGATTGAAAAAGTAATGGCGTTAAAAATAATTATAATTTCACCAGTGTTTGCTTTTTTTCATTCGAAATTCGAGTCACAATGCACAAAAGTTACTGCTAAAAATAATAACGATAATAATAAATAATAATCGACGAAATCGGTAGTTTTTACACTGATCAGGCCATTTTCTTTAATAACTTTGTTGCATTTTCCGAAAGAGAAAAAAATGTTTTTATTTCGTTTTTCATTTAGAACTAAAAATCGCGGATAGTAATCGAAACGATTGATTACATTGCAATCGTATCGATTATTATGCGCGTGTTGTAGAGTAGAAATATGTTACTTTACGTTAGTGCCTCTTTACAATTAGATAGCATAATTTATACATTTGCCTTACGACTTTATTGAATGTATATTGATGAGAATAACGAGATTCTCTATTTCTAAATCAAATTGGAAATGGAATTTCTATTTTCACTACGGCTAAATGTATCGATTAACACAAAAAAAATACTGAAAAAAAAATAAATAAAACCGTTCCTGATTTTTCGAGCATAGAGTACTTGCTTATCATTGTGAAAATTTCATGAAAGATATACATAAAATAACAGTTTGTTCTTATTAGTTGTTAGGTACATGTTTGTAGCGTGAACATTTATTTGTAATTTAGCGAGTTTTATCTTAAATTTCCCTTCGGAACGTTTGGAGGGAAATAAAGAGACGACTCGATAATAATCAGATCATTAAAAAAAAAAACTAAAAATAAAGCAAGTACACACCAAATTTATTCTTACTTTTTTCCACCTACCGTCTTCCTCGGTTTCCGAACGAATCCGAGACCGGTCTTGGATCAACCGCATTCCTGTCGCTTACGATTCGTTCATCCAGCCCCTACAGGCCTCTTACACGTCGGTAAACCAACCGCCTCAGCGCCGTCTCGGATTTTCCCAACGATTAGACAACATACCCTCATCAAAGCGTTGATAGTCGCGAATAAGATCAACGAAGCGATCACGCCGCACAGGCACATCCTCGCCAAACTCCTCGCGTATTTCCACTCGTTCAATTCGTCCACGTAGAGGAACTTGTTCCGCAACTCCTGCGGCAATTCGAACGCGCTGGGCTTCGGGAAAAACGACAAATAGAAATCGTACAGCACCGCCTTCACCAGCTCGTTCTCCGACTCCTTCGATTCGTCCAAATTGTCGTTCAAACACACGAATTTCCTGAAACACACGTATAAAAGGTACATTTACATTCAATTAAGCGCGTGCTTAATGTTTAAAATTTGCCCGCTCGACAAATGACAAGAAATTTTATGCACAAAACTCCTAATGTAATTTGACAGATGACAATGTCATTTGTCAAGCAGACAAATTTTAAACTAAGCAGGCGCGTAATTGCATGTAAATGTACCTTTATAATATCTATTAGTGTTAATTTGCTTATATTACCCACCTTCGAAGTCTCCTTATCTCGTCCAAATTCCCGACCACATCGCTAATGTTCGAATTGAGCATCGCGAACGACACGAACTGCTCCGTGTTGTACAACACCTCGAATTTGTACACCAACACCTTTTGGAACTTCTCCAAGAGCAAGTCTCTCAAATATCGGCACTCTTTGATGCGCCGTTTCGAAATCACCGGCTGGAACAAGATACAGGAACGCTATACAGGATGTCCCAAAGTAACTATTCATGCTATGGAGTATTACCAGTTTCGAATCGGCGTATCTCTCGTACAACGGTACAGGAATATCATCGGAATCGGCGTTTGGACAATTTAATAAGGCGTTTTCGAAATTATCCACGATGCTGTAACTCAACGGCAGGTCGTACAATTGCGTGAGTAACGTTCTGATTTCTCTATCGGACCAGGTACTACAAAAAAAGCGCTAATTTAATAAGAAATATCTCGAAAAAATAGCGAATCTTCACTCACTCGGACGAATCGGTATCGAATTCATCGAAGATCTCCTCTACGGTCCTGTTCCTCCATTCGGACATAACGAAATGGTAGTAAGCGAAGGAGAATTGCATATCGTTCGCCATTCTCGCCCGGTTGCCCTCCGTCACGGCGAATTCTTCGGCGAATTTTCCCATCATTTCCGCCATAATGGCTCTATCGACGAGAATGGGCGCGTGCGAAGGCACCTTTCGAATCCTGTAACCGTATTTGCTGTTGAACGCTCGATTGGAATGTTGCAACGAAGCGCTGTAGGCGTCGATGTCCCTGCTCGATCGGCGCCCTTCGAAGCGCCATTTTCTCATCGATTGCCTACGCAACTTGTTCGATCTCATCAAGCGATCGTTGTGATTGTTCACTATATAGGATATGTTTTTAATACCACTATCATCGGTATTGTTACTAGTTAGTTGGTTAATGAAAGCGTTCGAATTATTTAGCTTGCCGAGAAACGATCGATAGAGGTTCGTTTGAACTTTTTCTACAGTTTCATCGAACGCTATACTTCTAGTTTTGTTCTCATCGATGAATTTGTCCGTTGTATCGAATAGTAGCTTCTAAAAACGAGATAAATTAGTACAATACTATGGGAATATACTAGAGGGCTGTTGTACCTGTTCTTCGGGGGTTTCTTCTGTACAATCTCCCCCGTCCATTTGGCATTCGGGCGTGTAGCAGTCCCTGTCGCATTGGCCGTCGTTGACGTACAGCCACAGGCAATTCGGGGCGCAATTCGACAACGGCCAGGCCAAGTAGACGAGAAAACCCCTGCCTGGCGTGTAGAAATCCTCCGGGTACACCGACGAGGCCAAGAAAACGTCGTCGTTGAAGTAGATGAACTTCTGCGATAATCCTACGGTAGTTCGAATGCGTTGCGTTAGATTGTTCGTGTCGTACGAGCCTACTCACCAGGTATCCTACGAAAAGAGATATATTGAGTTAAACTATTTCCAGACAGTTCTAAATGGTTCTGAAGCGTTCTAAGTGGTTCTAGACAGCTCTAAATGATTCTGGAGTAAATTAAATGGCTTTGGAGTGTTCTAGATGGTTCTGGACAGTTCTAAATGTAACTGGAGCGTGATAACTGGCTGTATAGCTCACCTGTGGAGGTTACTTTCGATGGCCGGACTGGAAAACGTCGGTAAATTAGCTACATCTTTGAATATTTCTTCGTGTGTTATTATACTAACTTTATCGTAATCTAAATTTAACCAGTAGGGTATTTGCCCGTTCGTTACGATATATACATGATTAATCCAGGGCGCGAATTTCTCCAAAGATCTACAAAAAGAATTAGATGCTTTATAGTATATCTAATACGAATGAGTGAATTAGTACCTCAATGAGAATTTCAACTCGTATTTGTCGTCGAATCTCTGTTTGGAGGAATCGCAACTGGTGTTTGTGCTTCGCATGTATTCGTTTAATTTTCTCAGAAATACCGGATCTGATCCGTTCACCCACGTGTAAACTGCGTCGATTTTTTCTTCGGTTTTGCAATTCGTTCGTTGTGCTACGTAATGTAAATACTGCGAAAGAGAATAAACAATATATTCAATTGAAAACAATTCGGACTTACCTTAAGGATATGGTAAATTAATATGAGCGATAAGACGATGAAAATTGTAGAGAAACATTTCAAAAAGAAATATTTTCTCATATGAAAAATCACAACCATGTTTAGTCTTTATAGGCGTTTAAATAAATACGTTAAGTTGATGATGTTAATTCTAACGTAATTATATTAATGATATTTCCGTTTTGCGTATTTTGCATTATTATACATTTGTTTATTGTTGTATTTTAAAAATTGGATTTATTATAAAAAAATTCATACATTTTGACAATTATGACAGTTCTTCTTTTTCTTCTTATTTATAAAAATGGGCAAAAATGACAAATGAGAAGAAGGCCAATGGAATGACGTTCGGTCATCTGTCAACTCAACTGTCTAATGTCATGTCAATTCGTGTCTTGTTTTTGTTGAATGTATGCAAATTTTTCATTGTTTGTTAAGTTGGAATACCATTATTTGTTGTTAAACAAGAAGTATTAGGGAGAGGCGGCGAAATTTCCGGCAATTTAACCAAAATGGGGGACGGCAACGATGGTGAAAAACAGCCGCTATTATCTACCGAAATTTCCAACTATAATGGTGATGTTTCTGGTAAGTGGATTCGGCGATAATGTACAAAAAAATACGACAAAATTACCAGCGCTAGATGGTCCGGTTCGTTTGCAAATTCGCAATTAGACTAACTAAAAGTAACGCATTGTTTATAATCTACAAAACAGTCATTGTATTCAACCTATAAGTTCAATTCACTCTTATCAATTCTACGAATTATCGAAATTGTTTTCACAATTATCATGTTACGATTAAATATTGTGATTAATTGTCCACTCATTTCCATGTAATTAATTTTCTAATATTCGCAATCGATTATAACTGAATTTATCGCTCTTAAACACAATTATATAAAATAAAACAACACCTACTTGGGTATTCCTAGCATCATTACAACTCGATAATGAGTACATCCATCGAAGCTCCCCAATCGATAAAAAAACCCCTACGGATACTAATCTCTCATCCACTTTAAGGTCAACAAGCTACAGTCTCCCCCATCGGCCCCGATGAGCTGCCGCCGCCGTTCTTCCAGCAATCCGAAGGGGGCGGCGTCCCCATGGTCACCTGCCGAGTGTGCCAAGCCATGATCGACATATCCGGCAAAAGGGACCAGCACGTGGTCAAGTGTACACAATGCAACGAAGCAACGGTACATAAACATTCACATTTACTACTACCACTACTGGCTAATTCGACAGCTCAAGCCGAGGTTCAGGCACTGAGGCCTCCAGCGGGCCCATTGTGCCATTCCTCGATGAAGGCCTCGGTCCTTTTCAATGGGTGCCTGTTTGTGTCTCTCCGGGGGCCGTAACAGGGACACCAAATATCATCGTTTAATAGTAGATGAGAGTGTTACGATTGTATTGTTTTCCAGCCTATCCGGAACGCCCCGCCGGGCAAAAAGTACGTCCGATGCCCGTGCAACTGTCTGTTGATATGCAAGAGCTCATCGCAGCGCATCGCCTGCCCTCGACCCAACTGCAAGCGAATCATCAACCTGGCGCCGAGCCCCGTCACGCCGCCGGTGCCCACCATGCCCGGCATGTGCCGGGTCACCTGCGGACATTGCCACGACACCTTCCTGGTAAGCCTCTCTATCATCGCTCCGATTGAATGCAAACCGGATTCGTTTTGTTTTCAGTTCAACACGTTGAACAACGCCTTGGCGCGGTGTCCGCACTGCAGGAAGATCTCGTCGGTGGGGCCGGATTACGCGCGCGGTCGCGCCAATATTTTCCTCATCCTGGCGGCGGTGTTTCTGATGGTGGCGGTCGGCGTGACCGCCGGCACGTTCGCCTACGCCCGCCAGCACAGCGGCACCTACGTGGCGTACGTGGGCGCTTTTTTGCTGGCCTTGATCATGTTCGTGCGCAGCATGTACTATTTCTTTATGAAGGTGAGCATCATCGAGGGGCCGATGTAAGAGGGCGCTCGAGACGATGAAGGACTGTAACGTTTCCGGGACGGTTCTGTCTTGCTAATTATAACGATGGTTGTACTTCGGCCGGTTGCGAGATGGTGATCGATTGGTTTTCTTTTTAATTATTAGTTTTTGCGAAACGACTGTATTGGGATGGTTAATTTGGTTGTTTAGAGGCGGTCTGGATTAAGGGATGGGTCGGAACTGGAAAAAAAAAGTAATTATCGGTGCCATTGATTGTTGTTTTTAGAAAGACGGAAACGTTATTTGTAGTGATTATAAAAGTAGCTGTTTTCTTTTTTTATTATTTTACCTTTTTCATTGATGTATTGGAATCGATAAGAATCGGAAACATTCCTCTTTATATTGCGGTAAAAGTGATTAACCAAAAAAGAAATGGCTATTTTTATGAAAATTGTGATGATATGCATATATAAATATACGAGTATATAGTTTATACATAAATATAACCGATTGTAATTTAGATGTAGATTTCTTTTTCTCAAACGGTCGTTTAACCAACAATCTCTATGGTTGGATTATTATTATTATTTAATTATTAAAGTTGTGAATCGACGAGTTCAATTTTGATGATTTTATTCGACTGTAAATAGTATTGAACAAAATTGAACTCTCCATAAAATCGATGTAAACAAAATCATATGTTTCTCTTGATCGTAAATGTTACGTTTAACCGGCAACTTTAAATTTTATGTTTATATGTTAACGCGATCAAATTTAACGTACGTTTTTCTTAGACAGTTTATTCCTGTAATTCGTAAGAGTTAAAAAAAATAAAGCAAAAAAACAAAAAATTGTACATAAAATAAGGGTGATACTGTTATATATAATTACATATTCTACACGCGTACATATTCACCATCCGCATCGATACGAATACTTACGCGCAACGGAATCCATCGGATAAATAAACGTTTTTTTTTTATATAACAACCAGCAATTCACTCCATTTCATTCAAACTCAACACCAATTCGATAGCGGCGTTAACGTTCCCGTTCACCGCCCTCAAAGCTCTAATATTCGCCGTATCGTCCACCAACCCCATCTCGTGCATCTGCTTCAGCTGCGCCCGCCACGACTCGGAGCCGTCCTGCGGCGGCGGCGCCGCCGTCGCCGCCGTCCTGCCGCCCTCGATGGCCTGCTGTATGGCGTTGGAGAACATCTCGCTGGTGATCACGTTGGAATTCGCCGTCGGGACGCCGGCGCTGTTCGTGTTGAACTGCGTGTTGGTCGCATTGGCGATCGCCGAGGCCAATTGAGCGGCCGTGATGGCGTTGAACGAGGCGTTCCTCGTCAGCGAGGTGTTCTGCGTGGCTGCGAAGGAGTTATCCGACGAGTCCATCTCCTCTTCGTCATCTAAAACCGACACTCTTTAGTAACCTAATAGTATTACCTTGTTGATTCGTTTACCTGATAGAGCGTCTAACGAATAGGAGTAGCCGGTGCTGGTGCCGGGGACGTTGGGGTTGAGACTGGCCTGCTCCTCTTGCACGTGCTTCAGGATGCAGCCGCCGGCCGTGAGGAGCACCGGGTGGGCTTCGATCATTTTGGCGGCCTCGTCGGCGTTGGCTAGATGGAAGATGAGCTCGGGGTCTTGGAGTATGCCCAGCACGGAGGGGTCGGAGTAGAGTTCCGGGCAGGCGGTTAGCAGGCTGTCGAGCACCTCGGGTCGGGCGAGTCGCTGCAAGGCGTTGCGGTAGTTCGGGTGCAACACCAGCGCCATGAAGCGGCTTATCAGCTCGGAGGCGGTGACCTTCGGTTCCGGTTTGGCCGGGGCTTTGGTTTCCGGTTTTTGGATTACGTGGATCGTTACACCGTCTGATACTCCGTACGAGGATAGTACGTTGTCGTCTTCTAATATTAAACCGCAAAAGGAGAGTTCTACGAATAGAATTGGAATTGAATGAAAGTTAATAATAGATCCTTTGTTGTTTTTTTACCCGTATTCTCACCTTCTATGTTTTTGGCTAAAGCTTGCGAGGCTTGGTTTCGTAAAGCCTTTACTGGGGCTTCTAAGTCTACGTTTGATATTTTAACGCGTTGGGTGGCCGAGGAAATGTTCCAAACGGCTAATATTACATTAGATGAGCTCTTCGATGTCACCTCCATGACTTCACTAAAATTACCTATAACAATTTGAGTAGCGATTAAAATTAACTACTATCTAAACTATTCTATTCTACTCACTTACAATCACTTAATATTATAACTATTATGCGTCTTTTTAGAAAATGATGTTTCAAAATAAATAATTATAAATGGACACTTGTCAAAATATTGCCTTCTACTACTAACGACATAAGGTAGAGGTCGATGATCAATACGCATGAAGTTAGCCACACATTATAATTTTCCTTTATAAAAAGAAGAGGTCTTGTCACACAAAAAAATGACATTTACAACCTAACCTACAAATTCAAAATAAATAAAAACAATGTTGAAACGAATTTACGGCTTCAAAAACCGCCTCAAAGTAAATTCCTGGCGCTTGCACGACTACGGGGACATCGAAAATCTCCAATTAAATGAATCCAGGATCCCCATCGTAGAACATCCGGACGATGTCTTGGTGCAGGTCAAAGCCGCCTCGGTGAATCCGATAGATGCGCTTATGCTCTGTAAGTACCATCAATAAATTAATAGCTAATTAAATGATTAATTAATAATGTTGTAGCAGGATATGGCCGTACGTTGTTCCGCATACCCAGACTCTGCGAAATGGAGTTGCCATTGACCCTAGGCAGGGATTTTTCTGGTATAGTGATAGAAAAAGGCTTAAATGTCGGAAATAAATATCAAATAGGCGATGAAGTGTACGGTTTTATTCCTATACACAAACAAGGCGCCTTCTCGCAAGCCATCATAGCCAATTCATCGCATGTATAACAACTTAATATTAATATTAAATTAAAAGTGAGGTTATAAATCTTGCAGATTTTGCCGAAACCGAGTAATTTGAGCCACACCGAAAGCGCCTCTTTGGTTTACGCAGCCATGACAGCCTGGAGTGCTCTGTACCTCTTCGGAACTTTGTGTTTGAGGAATAAAAAAGGCCTTCGGGTGTTGATTTTAGGTGGCTCCGGAGGCGTGGGGACTGTTGCCATTCAGTTATTAAAATCCCAAGGGTGCTCCGTAAGTGATTGCTACTGAAATAAATGGATAATCAATCAATTTTTAATTTTTTTAATCGAATTCGTAGGTGTTTGTTACGTGTGCAAAAGATGCCGCTCCGCTTGTCTCCGATTTGGGGGCTGATTGTGTGTTTGATTATAAAGATGAGGATTTCGAGAAGCAGGTGGAATCACAAGGAAAGTACGTAGAAAAAAAAATATCGAATTTAAATCATTTCAAACGCATTTTCTTGTAGCTTTTATTACTCTTATTATTGCAGGTACCACATTATACTAGATGGCGCTAAAACAGGCATTCGAAACATCCCGAAGACTTGGAAATTCGACTCTTACATAACCCTAAATTCCCCTTTGTTACTAAACGCGGATAATCACGGATTATTCGAAGGGTTTTTGAGAAGTTCCTGCGACTTGTTGGGCTCAAACTTGGATAGATTACAAACGGGCAGTACCGTTAAATGGGGATTCTTCGTACCTTCTGCGGAGGGTTTTAAGTTCATAAATGAACTTATAGTTAACCAGAAGGTAATAGATTAACGTAAACAATGTGCATAGTTACTCCATAACAACAATGTAAAACTGTCAATGTCAAATACTGCCCTCAGTTACCATAACAACCAAGTTGATCCTGTAATAACTGTTGAACCTGAAAAGAGCTAGAGATCATTAGATTCCTGCGACATTAAATCCATTAAATAACTAAATAAATAAATTGTTTCTGTGTTGCAGATTCGGCCGGTGGTGCAGCATAAGTTCCAATTCGAAGATTTACCGAAAGCTTTTCGAACGTTGAAGGACGGCCATCTTAGGGGAAAAATCGTTATTAATTACGATTAATCAATCATTCACAATCCCAGTTAATTATTTATAAATTGTTTTATTTTTATATTAGAAGTTACAATAAAAAAATAAATTAGCCTACCTATTGTGATAGTTACAGGTCATGTTTCTTCTTGGTTGTTTCGTAATGTTTGTTGTAAAAATAGGATACTTTCGATCTTACGGTTTTACAGCCACTTTTTGCGTATTTTAAATAATCCGTTTCGATCCAATCCAATGAATTCAATATGGCGCTTTAAATAGAATGAAAAATATTTAAAAATCAACAAATCAACTAGAATATTCTACTTACTTTACGTGCTCTTCGGACGGTTCGTCAACATTCAAATCTTTAAATTCTCTAACAATACACGCTTTTACATGTTCCACCTCTAAGGGTAAAAAGGGCAAGTAATGATCGATTATATTGTGTTTTATCGTATCAGAATGATAGAAACCTCCTAAAAAATACTCTATAATCAACACAAAGGCTAAATAACCGCTTAATAAAAGGCCACACGCACCTTCTTGATTGAATATACCGAACACGATCACCTTCTCGAAATCCCCCAACTCCATGTCCTCTCTACTTCTGTTCCCTCGATACAGCTCGTTCAATTTCTCCACGATCAAATCGCTTCCCGAGTTGGAAATGAAAATAAAAATGGCCCTTCTGTAATCCGCCCCGTCCACTTTCTCCCTGTAATCGAGCATAGGCAGGATATTATTCAACACCTCCGAAGGAACGTGATCGATCTCATCGAATATAAATAATTGTTTCCCGCAGGCCGTCACGTTACTCCTTAGCCAATCGTATAGGTTCTCCTACAATAGAAAAATTTAGCTATTATGCATCTCTATCAAGTTGGCCTGCAACTGTCAAGCTGTCAATATCGCTACACAGCCAACTTGTGTTTTTTCGAATTAGCAACTGTCAAGCTGTCAATGTTGTTACACAGCCGACTTGTGTTTTTCGAGTTAATATCATTACTATTAAACGAACCTTATACGATTGTTCGGGCGAGAAATGCAAGCGCCCGGAGAAATTGTGCACGAATTTGCTATCCGATCCCAGTTTGTACAAGCTCTGGGCTATCATGCTGCTAAAGTGGTTCTTTCCAGTGCCCACCGATCCGTGGAAACTGAGCACCAGGGCTTTGCTGGACCTCCGGTCGTCCGACCAATGCGAAGATATCGCTTCGACGAGAGTTTCCGCCAAATGTTGCCCGTACAGTCCCTGTTTCACAAGCTCCTTCAATTCTGCAATTGAAAATAATTTGACAGTTTTACATTGTTGTTATGGAATAACTAAGGGCATTGTTTAATTTGACAGTTTTACATGGTTGTTATGGAGTAACCAAGGACATTGATTACGTTTATCGGTTACTTACTGTGGATGTTGCCGGGAAGGGAGTCTTCATTGCAGCATTCATCCAGCCAACAATATGGATTCCATTCGGATGTAAGAACGTTTTTTAGGATGAAATCTTGGGGTTTAGCTGCGTTTAGGTAACTTTTAACGTTGTTAAAGGTTCGAGTTATGTAGGATTCCTTTTGTTCTTCGATTTTTTCGTTATCTTCTTTGCAATACTTGAATATACAAGCGAATTTCTCGTTCCAAGTTCTGGCATCTTCATCGTTTGTCCAGTAATTGTAAGTCCAAAATTTCGGTAATTTCGGTTTATTTTCCGGTATTTCGGTTTTTTGGCAATCGTATAACAAACAGTATGGATTGTATTCGTTAGGGATAGTAAATTCCTGTTCCTTTGATTTGCAATCTTCGAATAAACAATAAGGATTGTAATTGAAGCTGAAAGAATAATGTGAAATGCACAACACAATTAAACACTGTTTAAATAACATATTTATGTAGTAACTATCATAAGCAGAATGTGATGTATCTAATTTATTATTTGGAGAAAATTTCGACCTAATTCCCTCATTTTGGGAACCGAACCGAAATTCGGTTGTTTTGATTTCACTTAGATACGTTTTGTTGTATGTTAAATATACAAAGTTCTCCTTCTCACTTCATTCGATATAAAGTGTTTTCATATGTCTTTATCGGTATAAAAATTACATTTCATGTATTACGATGTAAATTGGATCTAAGGGAAACACTTTCTTCAAAATTTTCGTACTTTAAAGTGTCTGGATAGAGGAAAAAGTAATTTAAAAGCGAACAAAATTCAAAATATTTAAAAAGTTTTTGACATTTGACATAACTGTCAATGACTTCAAAAAGTCGTTTAAAAAGAAGAATTATGAAATTTATTTAAAAACGTATTTTTTTAAATTTTAATGCTATAAAAGTATTTAAGAATGTTCAAATTTTATTTATAATTCGCCAACTTCACATATTTCCACATATCACAACTCCACTCGCGTTTTCGAGTAGGCAACCCATATTACACATCCAATAATCACATGCCATTTAGCACCAACTTCATACTTATTCATTCCTAACTACGTTGATCCGCAACTAATACAATTAGCAACTTGCTCATTAAATTGTAAGGGGAATTCAAAAAAAAATTCCGCATTAATTATAATTATCGCATCGGCGCGAACGTACCGTACATAAAAATCGCATTTAGGTTCGATAGCTTTTTCGTACCTTCATATTTCGGATTCAACAAGGTCTACAAACTAATTTAATTGTCAGCGATTGTTTAACATATTTAAATTCTGTAATTATCGTGCGATAAGCAAACAGAAACGCATACGTAATTACCGATTCGGGACAATGCATAAACATATTTTTTTCATGTCGATTTATTGTTAGAAAACGTATTTTACGAGAGGTTTCTATGTAGTTGGCTGTGAGAACGATGCGTTGCAAATGTCAAATTGACAAGTAATGACAATTGCCTTCTAGATGTACGAGGTTTTATTTATCATTTAAAGGCTATAGTAGACTAGACGATTCTCCTGTTTACAAATAAATGTATTGTATGTCTAGTAATTTAACGATTTACGAAAATCGAGCAAACCGGTTAGTTATATTGATAATAGAAACGTCGAGAACGAACAAAAAAATCGATAAAAGCGAATGGAAACGTTAAAAATTTTTAGAAAAATACGTTGCTTAATGTGTTTTCGAAACAATCGTTTGCGAAAGCCGTTTTAATTAACTTTTTTTCCAATTATCTTATTTTGGTAAACTCAAAATTCCCCGACAAACAACAATTTATTTTTCAATACACGCCGCAAAATCGAAGTAGCCCCTGCGAAAGTGACATTGACATTTCGCGGCCTACTCGCCGGACGAATCGCGATATTGCACTTTGTAAATACATTTGATATTAAAAAAAAAACAGAAAAAAAAACGTGCATGTAAATGTTAATTTCAATAACGCACCATTGACGTACTTGTGCACTATCATACAAGGCTGTGGAAATCTAATAGAGTGAAATTATTAAACGTGAATTAAATGCCGGATCATTCTGGTAGATATCAGTGCAATTATCCCGCCAACCTCGATTCATATTCATACAGGGTGGAACTCTAACGTGTTAAAATTACGCAATTAATTACATTGTGATTTTCGGTATTTACTACATATCTAGCTGTTACTAAATCGATTTTATGATAAATGAATAGCGCGATTCGTCACTGGAGTGATGCAACGACTAAAAAATTGAAAAAAAAATGAGTTAAATTGTTATTAATATTAACGTTGGTATAAAATGAAATACTCGACCTTCGAAGAATTTTAACGATATTTGCCGTGCAATTAGCGAGTTCAGTTAATCGACCGGTCAATTAGAAGGGCGAAAATATTCCCCTGAATAATCGGTATAAAAGTATTATTTCAATATCTAACTATAAATGAGTTAATAACGAGCTTGTAAAGCGCCAACTAGACCTGTTTGCTTAATGGCGAATAGCAAATAAAAATCAGATGGCAAAATTCATTTTGTAGAAAAAAATTCAAAAAATTCGGTTTGAAAGTACCCCTTTGCGGGCATCTAGAAGGCCAAAATCGAACTCGGCGACCTCGTTTCCTTCGGTATACGTTTTTTCCCGCCTCAAATCCGAGAAAAAATTTGCCAATCAGTCATTCAATCAACGAATCAATCTCTCAGTCAATCATTTAATTATAAATTAATCATTTAATCTGTGAATCAATCGCTCAATCACCTAATCAATGAATCAAACTTTCAATCAATCACTCAATCTACATGAATCAATCGCCCAGACAATCAGGCAATCACTGAATTAACAAATTAATCAATTATTCCATGAATCAATCTCTCAATCAATCGCTTAATGAACGAATCAATCCCTCAATCAATCATTTAATCAACAAATTTATCGCTCAATCAATGAATCAACCCCTCAGGCGATCACTCAATCAATCAATTCAATCAACAAATTTTTCATTCAACCATCAACGAATCTCAGTTACACAGCCAATTCAATCAACGAATCAATCACTCGATGAACGAACCGATGCGACAAGTACCAAAATGGGTACCTAAAAAGTACCAAAAAGTACCTACCCGAAGTCCCATTGGCGTCCTCGTCTTTTTCGGGCGTCGCGACGCCCACAAAGGGGCCAGGGGCTCGCGACGCGGGCGGCGGGGGGACAATCGAAGGGGGGGAGGAAGGTACCGCGGCGGGGGAGGGGGGGGTAACGGTCGTACCCGGCCGACTCGATCAGGTGTAAAGTACTGCACCTCCTTCGAGCGGAATCAGAATCGCAGTCGCCGTTGCGCCGGTTGGTTCGCGAGCAATACAGGAGTTTTAACGGAGAGAGAAAAGTACCCGCGAGCAGTACCCGTTTCGGTCGTACCCGATAGGCGCCGAATTCACCGTTGTTAATCAAACAAATTCGACTAACTGTTTAGTCGATACCGTAACAGCCGGATTACCGAAAGGAAGAGGACCCGAGGGTGGTACTGGTACCGCAGCGAGACGCGAAGTAAGTTGATTATAATGGACGGGCTTGTTGTTGTTTCGTGGTACGCCGTATGGTTTGGTTTTCAGTGGTATATTTATGCGAGTGTTAACGGGGTGTTTGGTTGGTACTTTCAGGTACTGCATCGGAGCGATTTATCGGACGTATATACGTTATAGTGCGGGGAATAGAGCGTAAAAGTAGGTCGAATTCAATTTTGTAATTGATGCTGAAACGATTCTTGCGCGGAATATAAAAGGTACTACCTATATACCTATATGTTACATGCCGCAGAGTACCTAATGGATGTAGATTCGATTAGTAATCGAAATGAATCATTTGATTCATTTTCTGCGAATATCGAATCGACCGAATTCTCCATAATAATTAAAGAGGCATTTACATAACGCTATTGACGGATTATAATCGATATAAGCGAGTTTGTGCAATTGGCGCGCGCCGTCGAATTAAAATCTACCGTTTCCGATTATCTAACTAACGTGGAATTTTATTTTTATTATTTTTCTCGCGCGCTGCGCGAGCTCTATCCTGTTTGTTTTCTAAAGAATCACCCTGTATGTTTACTATAGTGATTTTTTTTAACCGATTCAAAAATACCCCAAAAAAAACACCATCAATGAGTCAGTCATTGAACGATTAGTAGAGCGTTTTTGATCCATAAAAAAATAAAACTATAGCGATCCATGCACTATTATATTAATAAAGCGGTCCATACGAGGAAACTAATAAAGCACACTAGATTTAGCAAAGCGAATATTTATTATCTACACGTAACACATCTGTAACACATATAATTATCGAATCGAATCGAATATGCATCTCTAATTTACCAATTACATAAAACTCTCCGGTTGAAATTTTCATTTATTTATATATTTTTTTGTTCGTATTACTTCAATTCCGACGGATTCGAGTCTCTCGCTTCTTTGCCTACTTTCTATAGGAGCGTTATGCAAACAGCACAAGATAGGTACAGGTCTACGAATTTACCATGGCACCTGAGATGCTCCACCCCCTAGATGCGCCGTAGATTCTTCCCTAAATTACGCTCCGCACTCATTCTGTTCAGACAGTCTTACGCTTAAACATCTAAGCACAGAGCCGTATTAAGGGAGCGAAATTCCTAAAATTTTAGATTCGTGGCTCTGAAAAACCCATTTTCATTGTTATGTTATTTTCCTATAAATCCAATAATTCATTATTCCCCGCATAAGATTAATATTAAGATTTATTATAATATTTGATTGATATTTAATTAATCCGGTTTAAAATTGATGGGCTTGAATGCGAACGAAATAATTATTCTTAGTAAACTAATTTAACATCCATAATTTCTATACATTCAAAACATATTGAGATTTGCATTCAATAAAAGTAAGCTAATTGAATTTAATCTCTAATAAATAACGGTATTAAATAATTTTTATAATTGCATTCGAAAATCCCAATTACCCCTGAGTCCGTTTAATGCAAAGTGTCCAGTAAAATGCGACTACGGTCACTACCTGTATAGCCTCTCTCTATTCCGAATGCTATCCTTGTCGCACACTGACCCTTACTTCATGCAGAAAATATTTTCCCCAGGTGCCATGGTAAATTCGTAGACCTGTACTACTTTAAACTGCGAGTTATTCAATAATCTCCGCGGTACACGCGAAAATGGCCGCCCATTGGCGTGCTAGATAATTATCGATGGCTCCTCGTATATAACCCTTTAGGCTCGATTCGATCGGGCTGTAAATTGTAGCTGGAATGGTGCTGTACATTTCGGTTAATTATCGAGGACTCCCGGTATAAAGCGTTGTAATCCTTTGGAAATAATACGAGGGGCGCGTTAATTGTAAATGGAATAGCGCTTTAACTTGACATTTCGGTTAATTATCGACGACTCCCGGTATAAAGCGTTGTAATTCTTTGGAAATAATACGAGGGAGTCGTTAATTGTAAATGAAATTGTGCTTTACTTAACATTTCGGTTAATTATCGACGACTCCCGGTATGAAAGCGTTGTAATCCTTTGGAAATAATACGAGGGGATCGTTAATTGTAAAATGAGTGTAATGAATTTTTTGTGTAAGGATTTTTTTGGGGAGATTATTTTATCGATTTTAATTAGTGCTAAGTATACGTAAATATTTTTCCAATATATTTTTATTGGATGTAATTATTTGTTATATTACGATGAATATTGGGTAGGTAATTTGAGTTTTTTTTTGTCATAGACGTTTTATTGACTTTAAAATAAATAATACAATAAAAATATTTTCAATTTCGACCTTCAAAGATGTAATTATTCTCTTACTGGTGATTGCAAATTTAGTTAATTCCCCTCGTAAACATCGCCGGTTTACGAGGGGTAATTAATTAGTACGTTTTTTTATAGTTCTAACAAAGTTTCTTGATTGGTTTTCAAATATTTCCTGATCGACTGATTATAAGAGTGATTATACAATAATTTTATACGAGGGGTCGTCGGTAATTAAGCGAAATATTTTAATAGACAAATTAAATAAAACGAGACATCTGCTTTTGCATACCGGGAAGCCGATAATCAAACGGAATTTAAAATAATTAACAAATTCCGATACGAGCCGATAAAGAGAAAACAAACTGAATTGTGATTCACGAATAGGAAAATTATTCAGATAAATTTTTACTAATAATTCCCGTTCGAATCGAAAACGACGAATTTTCTAATCGGATCGTTTTCTAATTGGATCCAGTCCGCCGTTTTTTCCGTGTAAAATCACAAATTACTGCAACTAATTTTTTTATTTATTTATTTGCATTTTTAGCGCGTTAAATTCGTCTGCTTTCTAAACTAATTCGTTACAAAATTAGTGGACTCTTACTTTTATTCGGCATTCTTGATGTTGTATGCACTAATTAGGTCCATGCACATACCGAATTGCCCTCGTATAATTTTCGGCAACTCTTTCGATAATTTGGCAACGCCGCGATCGACCCAACTGCTCTATTTCCAATAATTGGAAAATCCGAATGCAATTAAAAGTCAATTTAATACTTAAAATTTCTAATGGTATTTTAAAAAGCGGTTATTTTCCATTTTTTCTGTTTCAGGATTCGTTTGACAGAAGCGTCAAAATAACAAAGAAAAAAACAAAAAAGAAGAAATCTGTAATGAAGTGACCGGATGTCCGAACAGTAACAGTCGTACTTTTTACTTTTCCGCTTCGTCTCTTCCTCTCGACTTTTCTCCAGAGTTTCCCCTGCAAGAAAGAAAATTTCCATCGCGAACATGAAGGGCAGGGAAAAATTGTGCGCGAAATTGTCCAGCGCTTTTCTCAGGAAATGGTGTAAGTACAAAATTACGAAATTCTATTAGCAGGCCGTGGATTCTTCGAGTGTCACTACCACTTGTCAAAAGTTTATTTAATTAGAAACATTATTCGCTTAGAATTAATTGATCAAGTTGGCACCCTTGAATGTTGATCTTTATGGCTGTTACATGCGAAACGGTTAAGTACATACATATTAAAAAAACTCTATGGTAATTATCCAATTTAAATTGGTAATTAAGTAATTTTTTCCTATTCAAAAGTGGCAATTTAAACGAGTTTTTTCGTGCATGCGTCCACCTGGGAAATTGTTTTCGAGAGGCTAATTGGCCAATTAGGCCGTTAAAATGATTAATTTCCAGTAATTGCGCTATATCGTCTCGATCGTAAATATTTATGCAATTTAATTTTCGTGTTTCTTATTTTTGATTGATAGCTAATCTGTCAAACGTCAATCGAAATCGACAGTGTCAAAATGGCGGCGTAACGTCATTATCATTAGCGAGACATTTCCTGTTATTTTATGGCATAATTAATTTAACTAATTAATTCAAGTAAATTGATTATTTAGTCAAATTTCAAATTCCGGCTAAAATTTAGTCAAGGAAAAAATCCAATCAAGGTGTACAACCTAATTTTGTTGACCGAAAACGGTAATAAAACGATTTCGTCCAATAAAAGGAATAAATCGCTGTCAATAGAACATGTACGAGGGTCGTTCGATAATTACCCGCAACTATATGCACAGCAAGCTAGATATTTTATGTTATTTAAAGAAATGTAAAAATGTTAATGGAAAAAAAGCGACTTTGAACCAGTTAAAAACGTGTCCAGAAACGACAAGTGCTTGTACAACAGACTTGTTTGTTTTTCCATATTAAATTACAATTCAACGCGAGTTTCGTTTTCGAATGTACCCCGACCAATGACGCACGTCGAAGACAGTCGGAGGCCATTTTAGATCCTAATCGAAGGATGCGAAAACCGGAAAATTACACGGAAAAAGATTCCATCTAGACCCCGACATGATACGTTTATTATACAAATTACCTTTAATAAACAACAAGTGAATTCATTATTATATGTTTTCGCTTTTTTTCGATGAAATTTCGCTAAATTAATTCCTGCAAATCAGAATTACACTTCTCTAATAACTTTTCCTCAGCTTGGGACTATTCGACAATTCGAGACTAATTTATTAAAATGACAGGTGACAATTGACAGTTCATTGAACTGTCATTATTGCTGTCAATTGACATTTCAACGAAATGTAGGTAAATCTAAAGTGGAAAAAGTCGAAAAAGTCTCTTTTTTTTTTCTCTAGAAAAAGTCTCCAGATTTCGTGTATAAAACCAATTAATTTTTATGACTAGATAGCTATTCAAATTTATGTAAGACTCTATACGGAAATTTAGAGTTGGCAACACTGCAATTTTACGTAACGCCTTTCGGACGAATTCATGTCAGTCTTAATAACAATTCTAATCATATAGTTATCTATTATATAAATTTAATCGAAACAAAAAAAAATCGAAAATTTTGCCGCTTTTTCGAAACCAGGTCACTAGATTACTTCGCGATTTGTTTTTATCAAGTACCTACTTGCATAATAAATTAAATCAGTACAATCACGTCAATTGTCACCTGTCAAAATAGCGCGGTAGAAATCGCGACCATTTTCAGCGCCTACTAATATCATTTTATAGTATTTCTAGTAGTAGTACTAGGGTCATTCAACTATCTTCTCGATTGAATGCAACCATTCGGTGACCTGTATGGAAAAAAATTGCACCATACACGCTCGGTTAATCCGAGAAAATGTCGTAAGTTCGCTAAAACTGTACGTGAAAAAAATTTACAAGACAACTTGTGTGAGCAAAATCGTAACGTCGAGTGCAATTGACTCATTCCCACGATCCGTCAATCATTTTGACAATTTTGACAACTTTGACATATTTGACACAATATCGGTTTTTCTTGTTTTTTTTTTCCATATTTAACGCTTCATTTCTCCGCTGTTCGACGGTTGTTTAGAAATTTTTCCTCAAACGCCGTGACCTCGTTTAAAATGCTCGCAAGAATCAACCTTTCTACGTGTACAATGCATAATTGTCGCTTCGAAACCGTGTCGATATCGCGACGTTGCCGCTCCGATTTATCCCCAAAACCGGGGAAATCCTCAAAATCGCCAAAATTCAATGTAAATGTCATTTTATACTGCGCGTGTATTATAATATTTGACTTTTGACAGCTCATTTAACCGAATTCTTGTCAAAAAAAAATCCGATCCGCATCTGTCACAGATTACATTATAGACACAATAAGTTAGCCAATTTGATTATGTGATGACACAAATGACATGTATATTAAATGATAATAAAAAATAAAATCAAAGCCAACTTGTGGGGATTGTGTTTTTAGTTTGCATTAATATTTATGTTTATTTAACCGTTCAAGGTTAAATGTACAATAAATTTATTGCTTAAGTAGAAAGTTTTCTTATAACAATATAATGAAATGTAATAGTTGGTGATGCCTATCTTGAAAATTACTAACAATATAAGTAAATTTATGCCGTAATCGCGGTTAAAATTTTGCTAGATATTAATTAAAATTTATGAAAAATTCATGATATTTTTAATTCAAGTAATTTCAATTGCGACATTTACATGTTTTTTTGTTTGTTGCAGGGTTCGTCGTCGCTATATCACTAGGATGTTTATTTTTCGGTTTTATAGTCACAATTTTCTTCAATAGTTGGGTTAAATTAGTCATAAATCACGTAAGTATCGCCTATCCACGTTCCAAAGCGACGCCATTTTGTCAGATTTCGCGCCATTTTCCAATCGCTTTTCGGTCAAAATGGCGGCCGCGCAAAACCCGCAGAAGGCCGCGGTTTTCACGGCACTCTTCGATCTCTTACAATATTCACAATTCGCTTAATTTTCGCAGCAAATTCAATTAAGAGATGGCTCGCAAACGACAGGTTGGTGGGCCAAACCTCCGGTTGAGCCCGTTATCAAAGTCTACGTTTTCAATGTCACCAACGCCGATGAGTTCCTAAATAACGGTTCGAAACCAGTCGTCGACGAATTGGGACCTTTCGTATACGTGTAAGTTGATTTTTTTTTTGAAGAATTTGGATTATATTTTAACCCATTTGAACAGTTTGTTTCCACAGGGAATCAAAATTGTTTAGGTGTAGGTACATGTACACTATTGGTATCAAAAGTGGTCATTTCTAATTCGTTTTGAAGTGTTCTAAACTGTCCCAGGACAGTTCCAGTTCTTACTGAAGAGTTCTAAATTATCTAGAACAGTTCTAATTCGCTCTAAAGTGTTCTAAATTGTCCAGGATAATTTCAGTTCTTTCTGAAGCGTTCTAAATTATCCAGAACAGTTCTAATTCGCTCTGAAGTGTTCTAAACTGTCCCAGGATAGTTCTAGTACTTTCTAAAGCGTTCTAAACTGTCTAGAGCAGTTCTAATTCGCTCTGAAGTGTCCCAGGATAGTTCTAGTTCTTTCTGAAGCGTTCTAAATTATCCAGAACAGTTCTAATTCGCTCTGAAGTGTTCTAAACTGTCCCAGGATAGTTCTAGTTCTTTCTGAAGCGTTCTAAATTATCCAGAACAGTTCTAATTCGCTCTGAAGTGTTCTAAACTGTCCCAGGATAGTTCTAGTTCTTTCTAAAGCGTTCTAAACTGTCTAGAGCAGTTCTAATTCGCTCTGAAGTGTCCCAGGATAGTTCTAGTTCTTTCTGAAGCGTTCTAAATTATCCAGAACAGTTCTAATTCGCTCTGAAGTGTTCTAAACTGTCCCAGGATAGTTCTAGTTCCTTCTGAAGCGTTCTAAATTATCCAGGAGAGTTCAAATTCATGGAATTAATAAAATTGCAAATACATTTGCACTTACCCCCACAATATGCGCGACTCTCCCCTTACGGTTTGGACACTTTGGACCGGACATGGGTCAATTGGACCCGGTTTTTACCGTATATTATTGTCCACTTAGCGTCTTCCCGGTATGCGAGGAATTTATTAAATGGCAGGCCTTGGAATAATAAATGAAACGCGAGTGTGTTTGATTAACTTGGCATATAATTCGGATTTGAAGGAAATTTAATTTCCATTCGGTTAATTTTTTCGAGATATTTGGCAACGTCGTGTACGGATCGAATCAAAAAGCGGGTAATTAACGAATCTTCTCCATTACATGTTGATGCCATTTCATATACGAGTAGAGTGGTTCGACAATTGCTGTTATTACGGTTAAATCGTTACTTTCACTTTGGAATAATTCTCGTTCTAAAAGCGCCGCCATTTTGTTCGCGAATCCGCTAATCGATTTATTTTTTGTTCATTGAAAATTCTTATTTTAAAATAATATTAATTCGATCTGTTACATAATACATGTTATTTAATATATCGCACGTATAAATTCGCCGATTTATTTATATTATAATAATTGTATAGGTACTATACAAAGTCGACGGATTGACCTTAATTCGCGAGAATCACTGTATCATCGATTCGTGTCGAATATCGACTTCGATTTATCGATTAATTAAATCGCGCATTCAAACAAACGCATTGTAAACAATTAAATCCGTTTGTTTTATTGTCATATTCCATGTAACTAAACAATACGTGCGCATATTAACTGTTCAAACTCTATCGTTTTTAATCGTAGATATATACCATTTTAATTGTCATCAATGCCAAAGCAAACTGTTCGAAAATCGATATACAAAACGAAGAAGTGTTAGATAGGCTTAGAGAGGCCCTTAGAAAGGGATAGAATTACTTTATTACTGCAATTTATACATATATCAGTTCAATATCTATGCCTCCACTCTCCCCTACCTATCATTCGATAGAATTACTTTATTACTGCAGTTTATTCATAGATCAGTTCATTATGGCTCCACTCTCCCTTAATGATCAATTAGGTACCCCACTCCTCCCGCCCATGTAGGTATTTAATTTTCGGAAAATTCGTTTTCCAGGGAGCGATGGGAGAGGAAAAACCTGACATTCCACGACAACGGAACGGTCTCCTACAACCTGAACAAGGCCTATCACTTCGACGAGAGCCGATCCAAGGGCTCCCAGGACGATGTCGTCGTGGTGCCCAATATTCCCATGCTCGTAAGTATATTTCTATATTGGTAAAATTTAATTTAAAGCTCATTTTCGAACAGGAATTTTCGAATTTTCACATTTTCCCGCGTCGAAAGTCGCTCGGCGAAGATGGCGCGTCGTCATGGCGACGATTCAATTAATTTGACAGTTAACGCGCGTAAAGATCGCGTGTTCTGTGAGAAACTATGCGCTTAGAACTTTCACTTTAGCGATTCGAATTCGTTTCGTTCGATTTATTACCCATCCGAGCTGTATTTGTACAGATTATATAACGTTTTGTGCGCTAAAATGCATCTGCGGGTAAATATATGCATTATAGGAATTGCGCGTTTCCTGCGCTAAATTACTTTAAAAAGGATCATCCGCATTTACTGTGTCGTATATCGCACGCGATTCGATTTGAACGCATACTTACTCAATCAATTGCAATCTAGTCAGTCACACATCTAGCTCTTCTTAAGATGAGTTAGTGGCCTTCGGTCCATCAGGCTTCCAGCCCATAATCAGACGCTCAGTTAGCATCAGAGCTTTCCAGTTAAATTACTCCACGGACCTATATTTCTAAGGTCTGCTAACTCCCTATGCTTATGAATTAGAGAATGTGTCTCGTTATTTGAGGACTTTTTGAGCTTCACTTTTGCGCCGCACCGTGGCGAACGACCGGAGGACCAACTTATCTCAACCAATCAGCGTCGCGCTACATTTAAATCGCGGTTGTTGTGAAACGACAGTTCGAGCTGTCAAAACTTGAAAAATTATTATTTGACATTTCGAGGAGAAAATGGAGAAATACATTAACCGAAGGTACGCGAGGCATGATGTTTACAACAAAATCATCGCTGATTTAAGTATATTTTTATATTTTCTATCTATTTTTAGTTCGAAATTAACCTTTCTTAATGTATATTCTATATAATTCGTACGCAAAAAACCAAAAACCGTGGTCCTTTACAACATATAACGAGACACTTTTTCGACCTACGTTTCCAGACCTTAGAAATTAAATAAAAATTTTCCATCGCAGAGCGCCACGTCGCAATCGAAGCACGCCGCCCGGTTCCTCAGGTTGGCCATGGCCAGCATCATGGACATCTTGAAAATCAAACCGTTCGTCGAGGTCTCAGTCGGCCAGTTGCTCTGGGGCTACGAGGACCCCCTGCTCAAGCTCGCCAAAGACGTCGTACCCAAAGAACAGAAGCTCCCCTACGAAGAATTCGGTCTGCTCTACAAGGTACCTCTACATCTCTATACTATCCAGTGACGTCACTGCACCTAGCCAATCGCGTTGCTCCGTTTGCGCCAATGAGAGCTCTCGCCGCGAAGTGACGTCACTGTACTCTTAGTAATAACGCGATACTTTTAGGGGCGGGTTTTTCCTGGATTGATCTCTGATTTATATGAAATGTTTTCCAGAAAAACGGCACGTCCGAGGACAGGATAACGGTGAACGCCGGTACCGAGGACATCACCAAATACGGTCTGATCGATAACGTTAACGGAGCGAAGAACCTCAGCCATTACACGACGGACGAGTGCAACAGCCTGGAGGCCTCGGACGGTTCCATTTTCCCGCCACACATGACCAAAAACACCACGCTCTACATCTACGACAAGGACCTGTGCAGGAGATTGCCGCTAGTGTAAGTTTTCCTCGTTTCATTTGCACCCGATTGACACCATAGATGTTTACTGTAGCTCTAGGTGTCCTCTATGGTACCATAGAATTGCCCTAGGTCTACTCTAAGATGCTTTAGGTGTACTCTAGGTGCAATAGGTTTCTTCTAGGATGCTCTAGGTGTCCTCTATACCAAAGGAATGCCCTAGGTCTGCTCTAAGATGCTTTAGGTGTACTCTAGGTGCAATAGGTTTTCTCTAGGATGCTCTAGGTGTCCTCTATACCGAAGAATTGGCCTAGGTGCACTTTAAGATACTGTAGGTTGGTCCTGAAGTTCTAGGTGTACTTTAAAACATTCCAGGAATGTTCTGGGATATTCTAGGTGTGCTCTGGAGTACCGTATAGGAGTATAGGCTTGTTTTGGGATACTCTAAAATGTATCCATAGATTTGCTATAGGATACATTCTCGTAGACGCTTTCCTTTGGACAGTAGGCTAATGAAAGTCGTTAATTTAGATTCCAGAAGGAAGTACTGGCCAGCAGTAACGAAGTACCGGCGTACAGGTTCAGTCCGCCTAAGAACGTCTTCGCCAACGTGGAAGAAAATCCGGAGAACATGTGTTATTGCCCCCAAGGGCCTCCTTGCGCTCCTTCGGGCTTCTTCAACGTCTCCTTGTGCCAATACGGTGAGTACTACGAACTTCCACGTTCGGTACTAACAACCGGTACTACATTTTTTTTTTGCACTTTGTTTCGTCAGATTCGCCCATTTTGCTGTCGTTCCCGCACTTTTACCTGGCCGAAGACAAGTACCGGACGGCCTTCGACGGTATTTCCCCGCCGAATCCTGAGAAGCACACCTTCTACATGGACGTACAGCCCGTAAGTAGATATCGAGGCGCCATTTTGTCGAGATTTATCGTTTAAAATGGCGGTCTTATATTTATCGTTGCGTTTCAGATGATGGGCTCCTCGATGTCGGCCAAAGCTCGCATCCAAATCAACTTGGCCGTGTCCCAGGTGGTCGACATCAAGCAAGTCGCCAACTTTCCGGATATTATTTTCCCCGTCATTTGGTTCGAAGAGGTGAGATTTACCGCCCTAAAATCCACACAATATCCTTATTATATAATCCTATTGTTTGCAGGGTATTGAATCGTTACCGGAAGAAGTGACAGGATTAATGAAGCTGGCGACGACAGCGCCCCCTCTGGCCCGGCTGGCCATCTCCTGTTCGCTGTTCATAGTGGGCTCCCTGTTGCTGGTGATAGCCATTTGGAGGCTCATCAGGGGCGCGAATAGGCTCAATTCGTTGCACTTGGCGCCCGGTCACATCGGGGGCCAGTCGAGCAAGAACAACGTCCCGATGGGGAACGTGCCCAAGTATTAGGGGGCGCTACGGAACGTCTGGATTGGTCGGAAGTGGTTCCGAAGGTTACCCTGATGATGAGTGGAGTATTTTTTGACAAGTGACATTGATGACGTTGACGGGGGTATCGACTAATTCGGACGACTGGTTGTAGTGTGTGGGACAACGAAAATTTTGATAGTGTGATAACTTGCCTAGTGGGCTTCTACTTCTTTTTTTTCTAAATTAGGTCCGAGGCCTCGGAAGGTGGGGCTAATCGAACAATTTTTTTTTTTATAAAGTTAGACATTGTATTTTTTTGTATGGGTATGTTTAGTTGCCTGTATTTTAAATATCTTCTCTATTTGTGAATAGGGTGGTATTTGATCGATTGCTCAAAAAATAACGAATCAAATTTGAATATATTTTTTTTAATCGAATGATATTATTTTTGAAAAAGACACGGTTGTTTTTTTTTTGTAGGATTTTTTTTATAGAATTTATTTAGTTAGATGAGAATCCGTCCAATTTTATAAGGTTAGGTGAAAAGTACAATAATAATCGCAATTTGGATATTTTTTTTATATATGTAATATTTGTAATGTAAATAAAATGATTTTATGAAACGAGATTTTCCCGCTTTTCATTGCCAAAGAAATTTTCCAAACTCGTTATTGTCCAAGGTTTTTTTCAACGCAATTACAACCAAATTATTCTCTCGTAAATTTTACCATCATTAATTTGCATCTATAAATTTCAAAATAAATACAAAAAGTGTCTCAAAAAAAAAACACCAACTCCATTACCTTCAATATACATACACAGAACAACAAGTTTTCTGAAATTAACAATTTCAAAATTTCAAAAAAAACAACAAAAGATATTTACAAAATTTTAAGAGAATATCACTTTAATGATCGAATCGATATACGTATTGTAAATGTATTATATTTGGACACCCTGTACACGTTTGGAACATTAAGAATCGAATTCATATAGATACATATTATTTACTGTTCGGCCCACAGAAGGCCATGGACAATACCAAAGTCTACTGCGACAAGAATAATTACTGCAATAATTGTTAATTACACGTACATCATATCTTGTCGATTCGAATATAAAATTCATTGTGTATGCAGTTACTGGTCCGTTAAGTTTCGCAAGTAAATATAATTTTATTTGTTACTAAAAAAAAAACAAAAAAAGATGTCTTGGTTGGAATCGCCGTTCGTTGAAATAGACGTGAAAGACGTGTACAACAAGGACGAGAAACTGAAGAAAGAGGACGTGGATACTTTGAAGGATTGGTTGAAAAAAACGCCCCATTTACCGCCAGTAACAGGTACCGATTTTCCCGATTTACCCGATACGAACCTGGATATATGGTGTCAATTCGGATTGATGAATTTCAGAGTTGCAAATCGTCTTGTTCCTGCACAGTTGCTATTATAACATCGAGTTGAGCAAACGCACCATCGACGTTTATTTCACGACCAGGACACTGTCGCAGGACATTTTCGGCTCGAGGACAATCCGGGACCCTGCGCTGAGTACGGCCCTGAAGTGCGGGTAAGTTCTTATTGTTAGTAGTAGTAATAGGCATATGTTGTAGAATAACAAATACACAGATACGTTTTGTTGTATGCCAAGTGTATCCATCATAGATAGAAAGCCTTTCCTTTTCTAATAGATACGTTTTGTTGTATGCCAAAAGGGCATGCACTCATCACAGTCTTCCTTCTCCAATTAGTCCTTATTAGTCCTTTACTGTTTGATCCAGAGAGTGTTTTGTGTTCCAGTTTGTCGGTGGTGTTGCCAGAGCTGACGCCCAAAGGGGAGGCGGTGATAATGTGCAAGCTGATGCACCCGGACAGCGCCCTCTACGACAGCGCGGGGCAATTCAAAATGTTCGACGTCTGCACGCATTTGTACCTGCACAAAAGGGGCCCCGCCGAGGCGGTGCAAATGGTCATGGACATGGATCAGAGCACGTTCGGGCATTTGTTGAAAGTAACGCCCAGCGTCGTCAGGAGGACCCTCTATTATTTGCAAGTAATTTGGCTGGTTACCTTATTGGTAGAGGTCGCCATGTCAAAATGACATTTCGTCTTCTTACTTTGTTAAGGGCTTCAGCTAGTTGGCTGTTCGCCCACGAAATGTCATTTAACAATTTCGAAATGGCATTGACATTTACTCTTTTCAAAATGGCACTTATAATGTACAATGCGTAATGCGATGGATTGTTTTAGGAAGGAATGCCGATTAGATTGAAATGTATTCACATTATCAATGTCGTGCCGTTTTTGGATAAAGCTCTTGCGCTAATAAAACCGTTTATGAAAAAGGAATTGTACGATTCAGTGAGTGTTGCGCTTGGAACTTTATTTAGCCGATTCACGGCCATCTTTTTTTTTAGATAAAAATTCACAGTGATATTCGAACGCTTTACGAATACGTTCCGAAGGATATGTTACCATCAGATTATGGTGGATCGTGCGAATCGGCCAGTACTTTACATGGTTAATTACAAACATTCGAGTTTTACTAGTTTAGTAACGGTTTTTTTTTTCAGGTAAATTGATTGATTTAATATCGAACACCGATGACTTTCACAGATTTCAAGAGAGCCAATTGATTGATAAATCGAAGCGTCCGAAATTGGAGGATTTTGAACAGTCTCTATTCGGAGCATCTGGAAGTTTTAAAAAACTGGAAGTCGATTAATTTTATTAAAAAATATACGCAGACATTAATAAAAAAAAAAAAAGTCCATTGTAACCTCTTCCAAAAGTATATTTTCTATCAAATTTTACAAAAAAAAGTTAAGAAATTTTTTACGAACGCCACTGCAATAAGTTCCAATTAAAAAAGGACGGAGCTACGACTATCTTAGCATCAGTCTTCTTTTTATTTCACACTCATGTGGTCTTCGACGAATCTAGTGATACGACACAAAATCTTCAATCGTTCATAACACTCAAGTTGGCCAACCTGTCTAAATTCTGGCGTTCCGTGATGTCCGTGTTTAAACATTTGACGTATCATTGACATTGTCCGTCACATCGTTTCGAGGTTATTTCGTATTCGAAATAAACCGTGAATTAGGATGAATCAAATCTAACGAATGGAATTATATCACATGTTCCGTTACGTATGAGTGAATGAAAATCCTCGTGTACGCTGATAACTGATAATAAATCACTTGAATCAGAATCCGGCGATTCCTTCTCCAACGACCTCTGTCACCTTGAAATTCACCAGTATGTATAACCTATTTAATACCGAGAAATCGACAGGTTTCTTAGGTTTATGTAATAAGCTCAATAGCACATAAGTAATAATTGTGGTGTAGTAATAGAGTAATATTTCCAGGACACAACGAATAAAAATGGCGACGATAAAGTCTCTAAGCCTACTGGGTCAATTGAACAAATTATCATACGTAAACAGGCATTTTTCCACAACTAAATTAACAGCGGCGAAGCAAATGACCGTGAGGGACTCCCTAAACTCGGCCATGGACGAGGAAATGGAACGGGACGATAAGGTGTTCATAATGGGCGAGGAGGTGGCCCAATACGATGGGGCCTACAAGGTAACGAGAGGCCTGTGGAAGAAGTACGGCGATAAAAGAGTCATCGATACGCCTATAACAGAAATGGGATTCGCCGGTGAGTCTATCATCAATTCTATACCCTTTTTACGAGCGATATCGAGCTCTTCGGTGATACGATGGACCTATTAAATGTGTGTAATTTTATTAGGTATCGCAACGGGGGCGGCCATGGCTGGCCTTCGACCGATTTGCGAGTTCATGACGTTCAATTTCGCCATGCAGGCCATCGATCACATCATCAATTCGGCCGCAAAGACTTTCTACATGTCCGCCGGCAGGGTGAACGTACCGATCGTTTTTCGAGGCCCCAACGGGGCCGCCTCGGGCGTGGCTGCGCAGCATTCGCAGTGCTTCGCGGCTTGGTACACCCACGTTCCCGGATTGAAAGTATTTTACGCATTTCTTGTTGTTTAATCGCATGTATGATAAGTGAGCGTTGCAGGTGATATCTCCGTACAATTCTGAAGATTGCAAAGGTTTGTTGAAAGCGGCTATCCGGGATCCGGATCCGGTGGTGTTCTTGGAGAACGAGTTGTTGTACGGCGTGCAGTACCCGATGTCCGATGAGGCTTTGAGTAAAGACTTTGTGTTGCCCATCGGTAAAGCGAAAATCGAAAAACCAGGTGGGATTCGTTCGCTGCTACTTTAATTTAATTTAATTAGCGTTAATTCGGTTGTAGGTAAACATATTACGCTGGTCGCGCATTCGAAAGCCGTGGAATTGTGCCTGGAAGCCGCCAAGGAGTTGTCCGGCAAAGGGATCGAAGCCGAAGTGATAAACCTCAGGACGCTCAGACCTTTAGATGTAGACACGATAGCGAAGTCAGTCAGTAAAACGAACCATCTCATATCCGTCGAACAAGGGTAAATAATAGAGAACTGTCACGAACTGGTGCTGATCGGATAAATTTGTTGCAGTTGGCCCTCTTGCGGTATCGGTGCGGAAATCCTAGCCAGGATTATGGAGAGCGAGACGTTCTTCCATCTGGATCAGCCGGCCATTCGATTGACCGGCGCCGATGTTCCTATGCCTTATGCCAAATCTTTAGAAGCTGCCGCTATACCTGTAGCCAAGGATATCGTCGAGGCGGTAAAGAAATTGTTGAAAGTTAAATAGATTTTTTTTTTATAAATGTTGTTCGAAAGCGTCTCTGGACAGGTACTACTATTAGACCGATGATTTCGGAAAGGATTCGTTGTTTGTTTGTTTGTAAATTTTATGTAAATTTTTGTTTTTGCGAAATTCTGAAGGTGTTTGCGATTTTGAATTAAATTTGCTCCGGATAATCGTGTGTACTTTAGGTTTTCAAAATTGGATGAATTCACGAAATCAGGAATTTCGTACATTTTGAATGTACGAAAATATTAAGGTGTGAATTTTATCAAAATCGCAATTTTAAACTTTTCTGGTCATAGTTCAAAAAATAATATACAATTTTTTTTATAAATATCTCTTTTGTTCTGACACATTAAATATAACATCTTTGGCTTATTTAAAAACTAAATTACTTTACAAAAGTAAAAAAAAATCGTTTAGACATGAGTAATGTTTACAGTTTTACTAAATTATTAAGAATGGCACTTACGGTAACTATGCTAAAACTCGGAAAAAGCACATTTCTATTTACAGGGCGATCCAAATTGGACCACCCCGCACATACATCTAAATCTTTTGTGCGGACGACATGAAACGAGAACTTTTATTATCAAGACGGTAAATTGAGGGGATTTTTAATTTTGGGCGGTTTAGGAGGCGGCGTAGGCGGCACGTTCGCCGCCACCGCCTCCAAACATTCGTCCGTTCTGATCGCCAATGTATCTTTCAAGGCGGAATTCCGATGGGAGTAGAGAAAACTCTCGTTAAACGGCGCGTTATTGTTGCTGCAATTTTCGCTATCACGATGCTTCACTGGTAACGGTGGCGGTACCAAATCCTCCTCGCTTATGCTGGAATCCGTGGTACCTTCGAATAAATAAAGCAAGATAATATAATAAAACTAAGTGCGTTTGTGGAAGGAAATTTCGTCAAAGAGGACAAAGACAATGTGCATAGCAATATCGAAAAATTTGTTATTTTTTGTTGTTGTACATTTACCTATCGAATCTCTGTTACTACTCGTTCCAGAACTTCCAGCGCCTCTAATGTTTATAGAAAGACTGTTAGGTCTGGAATATTGACCGCTCGTCGGACGACTTAACCGTTTCTCTCTCTCCACTTCGGAACGAAGAGGTCTTTTAGGGTGCAACTAAAATTAATTAACGGCCAAATAATTTCGGGTTGTTCGCCTTAACTTAGCGAAAAATAAAGAAAATAAACAAAGGATGCTAGCTAATCCTAATAACGAAAACTACTGCTTCTAATGAGGAAAAGAATTGCATGCACAAGTCGTTAGATTACAAAAAAAAACATAAATACAAGGGTTAGGTGAAAAGTTCTCTGCATGACGTTGAAACGCTACGATTTTCAGTTGAAAAATTTACATTATTCTTCTTATTAAGTCGAAATTTCTAGTTCGAGACAGTTCTCAAGCGTTCTGAATGGTTCTAGACGGTATTAAATGATTATGGAACGTTCTAAATGGCTCTAGACAGTTCTCAATGATTCTGGAGCGTTCTAGATTGTCATAGACAGTTCTAAAATGATTGAGGCCGAGAACTTTTCACCCTACCTTCGTACATTAATAAAAAGTCCGAATTGATGTACTTTATCTCTTTTATATCTGCATTTTAAAGAGACTCAAATTAAAGGGTCTCTTTAAATTGAATTAGCGTTAAAAAAGCCTTAAAATTAGCGTTATTTTTCTACATCAATTCGGAGATAAACACCACATCTTTCTACATCTTCCTACATTCTACATTACACACGAAACACGCCACGACCCGCTCACCTCTTGCGTCAATTCGAACACGGCGCCGCCGCCGCCGCCGGCGCTCTTGTGATTGCCGGCGCCGTCCCCGTCCGACGTGTACCACAACGTGGCCGATTTCTCGAGCGCCGCGACGCCGGCGGCGTCGCTCTTGCTCGACCGGCGCTTCTCCTTCGCCGGCTTGTGGACCTTCTTCGATCCCAGCGACGGCGTCCCGCCGAGGCTCTTCGACGGCGACGCGCCGGCGCCCTTGCCGTGCCCCTGGTGCTGGTTGGATCTGCTGGAAGAAAGAAAAAATGTCGCCGGTCAAACGGGAGTTGTCCATTTCGGATTGTTCGATTGTCAAATACACATGCGGCGTTCTATGCTGCTCTACAAAAGTTAAGGAAGTTCGCAAATATTGAGATATTAGTTTAAAAGTTGCAGGTTTTTTGATCGCCAAATTTAGTATTAGTTGTGGAGATATGGGCAAAAAATCCACTCAAATATGAGAGAAAACATTTAGTTTCGCATATTTGAAAATTTGGTGATCAAAAAGTCTGTAACTTTTAAAATAATCGCAAAATTTTCGCGAACTTCCTTAACTTTAGTGGATCAGTTTATTTTGTTCGTTTAAATATTTAATAAACGTGCATTTAGTGATTTGTGATATTTACCCTGTTAGTAGGTGTGATTATTTGTTCTATTTAGTGCTATGTTAAGACTGGTTAATTGTTAAGAATTCGAGTTATAATTAGGTTTTTTTTAGGTTAAATTGAATTATTTGCCGTTCGTCAAAAAGAGCGGTTTTCTGAAAAATTAAAATGTCATATGTTAAGATTTATATGATTCCTGGTTAAAGTAATACAGCTACTTCTACCTAACAAGAATATTGCAATAATCCTATTTTATGCTATTCACAAACTAAATAGACGCTATACAAATATAAATATTTCCTTAATCTCCACAGATAATTGCAAGCAACGGAATTATTCGCATAAAAAACACTCGTTTTCAAAAGTTTAACACACAGCCTGTATTATACGTAAAAAAATAAATTAATAATACTGATCGGGTACTTAAAACTTTCGCAAGCGAACGGTTTCCCGAAAATCAATGGAGATAACGTGGAAATGCTTACACGCCAAGCGCATTTTGCTAATACAAACCTATTAACCAGAGGCGATGCGGCGGCGAAATTAAAATTCGCCGTAAAGTTTCTCAACGACGCCACTTGACTTCTGGTTAAACTCGATACCCGACTGCGATTGTCAACGTTACTACAGCAAAATTACAAAAAAAAATATGTAAAATAATGGATGAAACGAAATTAACAAAAACAAAAACACACACAACCTACGAAACGACCAAGCAATAGTTTACAACGAAAGCGTTAACACAACCATTCATTCCACCGTTAGGGTTATCGAATAACAACCACTATACAGGATGTTCCGTAAATATTCCTATAAACATACCTATATTACATTATAACTAAACTATCCCGCAATTTGTCGCAATATTTACGGGACACCCTGTAATAAGTAAGATAACTCACTCAGGCGTTATGGTAACATCAGATAATCTACTATCACTCGTTATGCTGTAATGCCTACGCATTTGTACGTCATTTTCCAACTTCAAATCGCAATCCTGCAACAAAAAAAATCGAATTAAGATAACTTGTATAACAGACCTATCGTTCGCCTCGAATTCCCCTTTTCCTACTATCGATTCAAGCGGAGAGTTACACCAGAATTCAAAACGAACGACAGGTCCTTCGTCCACCACAAAAACAAACAACAATCTCCTTACTTTCTTGCCGTACTTCTCCTCGACGTCGGCCTTCATCTCGGCGAAGCGCTCTTCGAGCCGCTTCTGCAGCGGCTGCAAGTTGTCGGGCACCTTTTGCTTGTGGATCTGTATGCACAGATCCAACAGCGGTATCTGATCGGCGATCAAATCCTTCAAACGTTGCACGAGGACGGTGTCTTCGGGATGGTGCGTTTCGTAGACGCACGTGAAGAACACGTCCTCGTAGTTCTTTATGCCGCCCATCACGGCAGCGTCCAATATACCTGAAATACATTAAAATGTACCGTTTGTTCGGAGAGTAAAAGGCCTGTTTTTGAGATCTCGTGATTTTGTAGTAGAGAGTAAAGTGTAGTGTCGAATGCAGAGTTTAGAGAACACAGTATAGTAGAGAGCAGAGTGTTGAGAGAATAGAATGTATGGTAGGAAGTAGAGTGTAGAGAGCAGAGTTTAGATAACAGAGTGTATTAGAGAGCAGAGTGTAGAGAGTAAAATGTAAGGTAGGGAGCAAAGTGTAGTGAGTCGAGAGCTGAGAATAGAGAGCAGAGTTTAGAGAACAGGGTGTAGTTGAGAGCAGAGTGAAGAGACCAGAGAATAGAATGTAGAGATTGTCGAAAGCAGAATATAAAGAGCAGAGTTTAGATAACAAAGTGTAGTAAAGAGCAGAATGTAGGGTAGGGAGTAGAGGGTGGAAAGCCGAGAATAGAGAGCAAATTATAGAAAGTAAAACGTAGAAAGTCGAATATCATTAGAGCGTAGAGAGGAGAGTGTAAAGAGTAGAATGTAAAGGTTAAAATGTAGAAAGTAGAGTGTAGAGAGCAGGAGTTTTACTCCGATTAGTTTCAAATTTCGAACCAACAATCTCAAGACGTCATACAATCAAACGAAACAACAAAACCAAATTTAAAAACGCCCCATTTAGGAGACGTTTTCGAAAAAAAAAAAAAAAAAGAAGAGAGAATCGAACAGTTACCGTTCAACGTCAAACTCAACGGATTGATCTGCATGTTCTTGTCCTTGTTGTAGACGACCACGTAATTCAACAGCGTCTTGTTGGTCCTCTCCATCGTTTCGATGGCGTTGCGCAACGGCGATATCTCGTGGATTTGCGCCCGTTCGACGGGAAACCAACGCAATATGCCCGGCAACGAATAGGTGGTGGTCAATTCGGTGCGCTCCAACCACAAGTGGGCGAACTCGTTGGCGCTCTCGATCAACGGATCGCGACGCGCGAACGGTCGCGAAAACGCGAACTTCTGTATGTCGTTGACGCGATAGAATTTCACGATTTGATCCGACACCGGCTTGCCCGAGAACCGTTGCTTCTTCTCGTCCATCACCGGATCCACTTTGTTGATTTGGATATCTAATTTAACACACAAACAAAACGTTAAGAAAACCAAACCAAAACCCTCGCGCTTCTTACACCATAGAGAATATAGAGTGGAAAAAGCGTGTATTCGTAGATGGCACAAATTGAATTTCGCGCATACTGTCACTTGTCATTTAAGGTAGATATCAGTGTTGCCAGAAGTAGCGGAATTTAAACACAGCGTTGCCAGAAGTAACGGAAATCCACTACTTTTAGGCGATCTTGTGTAGGCCTTATATATATAATCTTATGTACTAATAGTATATATGATCTAAGGTTAACAAAATGAATGAAATTTTCTATCTACAAGTATCAAAAATTTTAAATCATAATAAAAATATACCATATGACCGAATTATTCCGCTGCAAGCATTAGAATTAGAATCTCAATCAATTCTATAAGATAGTAAGGAACAGGAACTTGTTTATCTTGTGTATCTTGTAGCTATCTCATTATTCTCATCGACTTTTCTACCTTAAATGACATGACAATGTCAAAATTGTCAAATCTGTCAAATTCAATTTGTTCCATTATTTTCACGCGCATCCGTATGCTCTTGCCACTCTATATTTCTCGATGTCTTACACTCACATTGCCTGTCGGAATTGATGATCTCGTCGCCGGGCTGGGCGAGCTTGTTCAACAGCTCCGCCTTGGGGAACTCGTTGAGGACGCGCGCGTTGAAATCGGCCAGGCGTTCGTACTCCTTGCCCCTGTAGACGAACACCTTGTTGCGCAGGAACATCGGGAAGCCGCGACCGTAGTAGCCGACGCGAAAGTACTCCGGCTCCGGCCGCGCCTTCTTCATGATGTCGTCGTAGAAGACGGCCATGCGCTTGTAGAGATCGCTCAGCCGTTCGTAGTCGAACGTTTCGCGTTCGTATTGCTCGGCCAGCTCTTGGCATTTCGATATCGCGTACTCCCACATCTAAAATCGGAGAATTTATCATGGTACGGAGGTGTTAGTAAGTGCTAATATGTTTGCACGATATGGTCAATTTTTATGAGCGAATTAGAACTGTTCCGGACTGTTTAGAAACACTTCAGAGAGAATTAGAACTGTCCTGGATAATTTGGAGCACTATAAAGCGAATACGAACTCTTTTGGAGAATTGAGAACGCTGCAGAAGGAACTAGAACTGTCCTGGACGGTTTTGAACGCTTCAGGGCGAATTAGAACTGTTCTGGATAATTTAGAACGCTTCAGAAAGAACTAGAGAATTGTGCTGGACAGTTTAGAATGTACAGAACAACTTTTAGAACAACTTTAGAGCGAATTAGAACTATCTCGGATAATTTAGAATGCTTCAGAAAGAACTAGAACTCTCCTGGACCTATTTAGAACAACTTTAGAGCGAATTAGAGCTGTCCTGGATAATTTAGAGCGCTTCTGAAAGAACTAGAACTGTCCTGGATAGTTTAGAACGCCATAAATTGGGCAATTCTACGAGTTGAACTAGAAAAGGTTATTAAAATAACAGATTTTGGACAGTCCAAAACGGTTTAGAATGCTTCATAAGGAACTAGAACTCTCCTGGACCTATTTAGAACAACTTTAGAGCGAATTAGAGCTGTCCTGGATAATTTAGAGCGCTACTGAAAGAACTAGAACTGTCCTGGATAGTTTAGAACACCATAAATTGGGCAATTCTACGAGTTGAACTAGAAAAGGTTATTAAAATAACAGATTTTGGACAGTCCAAAACGGTTTAGAATGCTTCATAAGGAACTAGAACTCTCCTGGACCTATTTAGAACAACTTTAGAGCGAATTAGAGCTGTCCTGGATAATTTAGAGCGCTTCTGAAAGAACTAGAACTGTCCTGGATAGTTTAGAACGCCATAAATTGGGCAATTCTACGAGTTGAACTAGAAAAGGTTATTAAAATAACAGATTTTGGACAGTCCAAAACGGTTCTGAATGACCCTAAAATTGTCCTAAACAATTTGATCTCTCTCGCACTTGGGGATAATAACAACTTTCCATCGTCTTTACCTTTCCTTTGCTGTAGTTCTCGATGATCGTATAGTACAAGGCCTCCTTCAATTGCCTGTGCGTCTTGGCCTCGACGTATTTGTCGCCTTTCAACAGACAACTCAAACTCTCGTCGGACCAATGCAACAATTTCGCGTGCAATTCCAACGTGTAGGCGGCCTCCGTGTAATTGTCGCATTCCAAATGCAAATCGAACAGCTTGTTCAAATACCTAATGTACATCTCCTTTTTGTTGATCTCCGAATAGAAATCCTACAACAGAACATAATCATCTACAGATTGTTGTCCTGTACAAATCGCGTTAACTTACTAATAGATTAACGGTACAACTCATCGTATTCTCTTTGTTCTCGTCGGTGATGATGCTCCTGTATTCGAGCAGGCTCTCCATCAATCTCGATACGATCTTGACGAATTTGACGCCCTCCTCGTTCATGGTGGTGTGCTTCGAGCACAAATCCACCATGATATCGTGGAACAACGTCCTGTACTCGTGATCGCCCTTGCCGCCTTCGAACAGCGCGTCCAACTTCACGATCATCTCGTTCTCGAAATCGGCGAAGTTCGCCTTGATGTGCGACGAATCGCGCTTCGTGTCGCCGTAGCTCTCCGATTCGAAGCGCGACGAATAGAACTCGCACTGCATCATATCGAAGAATATCTGGATGGTGGCCTTGCGCAGCTCCGGCTCCGGTATCAGCGTCATCTCCAAGATCAAACCGACCAACGACGGTACGAATTGCACTTTGTTCTGGCCCAAATTGAACCACATCGATTTGATCTCGAAGCCCATCTCGACGCGCATGTCGTTGTAGAGGTCGAGCGCGCGCACGCGCTTGTTGACCGAGAAATGGTCCAATTGCAGGGCGTCCTGCGTCATGAAGGCGATGGCGCAGTGGAAGAAATTGCTCCAGGCGTCGTGCTCGAACTTTTGGAAGAAACAGTCGCGTATGGTGTGCGAAAAGTACCGCAACGACTTCAGTATGACGTTGTTTTGGAGCATTATCATGTCGTACCAGTCCGGCGGGAACACGACGATGCTGACCAGCTCTTTGAACACCACCAGGATCTCCATGAGGAAGTCCAGCACGTCGAAGTTCGTCGAGAAGCTGTTTATGTAGTTGTTGTAGTGTTCGTTGGTCATTTGACGGAAGATGTCGATCATTACGGCCACTAAATTACTCTAAAACATATCAAATATAGTGTTAGTTATTTTGAGAAAAATAAATGCGGGAAAAATGCATTTTTTACTCCTCTACCCACTTCTATCCTCCTCTCTCTACCCTACGTACCCCTTCTAAGGTCCTTATCTCTCCTTATTCTCTCCTACCCTATCTGATCCCTCCCTACTCTCTCCTACCCTACCTAATCGCTTCCTACTCTCTCCTACCCGATCTGATCCCTCCCTACTCTCTCCTACTCTACCTGATCCCTCCCTACTCTCTTCTACCCTACCAAATCCTTCCCTACTCTCTCTTACTCTACCTGATCCTTCCCTACTCTCTTCTACCCTACCTGATCCCTCCCTATTATCTCCTACCCTACCCTCCTACACCAACTTACAGTGATGTGTATGAGTTTGATGCATTATTCAAAAATCTACGTGAATTGTAGATTTATATTGTTCAAATTTAAAGTAATTTACCGCATGCGGATTGTCCCTTTCCATTTTTATGTGACTCTGTATGACCGTGCGTAGGGCAGATTGGATAATTTCCGAGATATCGTTGAAAGTCGGTCCGACGTCTTTCCTGAACAGCAATTCCAATATGTCGCTCATGTTTTTTATGCACCATTCCACCTAAATTACGACAAAAAGTTAGTAAAAAAAACCGTAGATCTCACAAAAAATACCCTTCATTGTTGAAGTTAGCGTTTGTCAAAAGTGGTCTCTTACTAATCGGGAAACGATACGATTGTACCTATAAATTAGGCGACACGCTTTACACGTTTTATTCAAGAACGAAGCGTATTTTACGAAATGTAATGGTGTAATTTTTACAAATGCGTACGAACTGAAGGTGTGTAATATACAGATTGGCACATTAGTATGAAAAAGCTCAATATATCCATTACTGTATATGATATCTAACAAAAATTGTTAGATGCTTTCTTATAGCATATGCAGTAACAGATACAGGGTGTCCCGCATAAAAACAGGGACCTCAAGTATGTTGGGTGCTACGCCCTGTATATCGAGCTTTTCATTGTTGATCTCCAGTTAGCGTGAATGTAAAATATGTTATAATGATGTTAAATTTCACCTCTTCCGGATATCCGACATGCTGGTTGACGAAATGCTCCGTTGTACCGAGCAGTTGAGCCACTTTGGCCACCGATCTGTTTTGCCTTCTGCCGTCCTGTCTCGTTACACCCTACAATACCCATTATACACCACTAAACTAACAGACGTTTCGCAACGACAACAGAAAATTATAATAATAACATTTAATAATACAACACAAAACTGGTGTTAGCACGAAATCGACGCAATATTAAAAACGATTAAAGCGGTTCTCGTATAAAAGAGCTGTTTCTACTAAAAATTCCAGCTCTTTTCACGACGAGTCGCCGCACAAACGACTTATAATATATACAGGGTGTAACAAAATGGTGGATCAGTATTTCGGGGTCAAAATTAAGTAGATTTGATCCTATTTACATAATATCTTCATGATAACCTTTTTTGTTACGTCCTGTATACTCTATATATAGAAAATATTACAACCAACAACCCAAAAGAGAATGCTAATAGAATTCTAACTAATCATGCGATAAATTGTGTGTGTGTATGTACTATTTAGTAGATAAATCAAACCTACGTACGTTCTACGTGTAAATTGAGGTATTTTCGTGCTAAATTAACAAACGACCTACTCTAATAACCATGCGAAATAAAAGCACTAATAATATCCATTCAATACACCTACATGCTAGGGTAAGTGAAAAGTTCTCGGCTCGACAATGAAACACCGCGATATTCAATTGAAAAATTACATTATTCTCCTAGTTAATTCAAAATCTTCAGTTCTAATTGATTCTGGTGCGACTCTAATCGACTATGGACCGTTCTGAATGGTTCTAGATGGTTCTAAATGATTCAGGCCGAGAACTTTTAGCGCTACCCTCGTAGACAGAGAAATATAGGGATGCATATAGATTTTTTTTTAAATGGAGAAAATAAATATGTACCTAATTGTTTGTTTGATGGAAACATTCGGTGGCCAAGGTGTCTCTCTGGTGCATAAAAAATATAAAAAGGCAAAATGATTTTCTGTTTTCAACGTTGCAGTAATGCAAACAAAAAATGGTATAAGCAAGTAAGCTGTATTATTTCGAATGAACAATTTAGAAAATTACGTTTAATCAGCGTGATGCATTGTGCGCCTCGTTTTATTCTTCTCGTGATTATTCTCAGCCAATTCGGAAACGATCGAATGGAATTACATGCGTAAAAATTGTTCAAAGAAAATCGAAAACTTGAAAACAGAAAACAATCCGAATTATGCAGTATGTACACGATGAACAGAATATTACAATGTACAATAAAAATGTGCGTCGAAAAAAAAAAAAATTTTGTACAAATTTTATCTCAAAATAAGCGTCGATTCGAAGCGCGTATCGATACTCACCTCCTCTTTGGTCGTAAACAACGTTTTCACTTGATCGGTTATTATGGGCAGCAGGATTTTCCTGCATTCGGGATACAGAAACAATTTACTGTGAATAATCTCGTTGATCGTCATCATTTTCTGCTTCGTAAGCCTCCCCGGAGGCATATTGTTCAGCATATCGTACAATATCGTACTGAAATATATATTCACAAAGCATTAGAACTGTTTTATTTGCCATTAGCCTGTATTCAATACGGGCTATTATAATGAGGAGTTAGTAAGCTGGCCGGATGCGACATATCGCAAGAGGCCGTCTAACAAAAGAAGAAGAATTAGGAATTACCTCAATTCTCTTTGGTCGAAGACGAGCAAAACGTCGGGTATACAACTCGGCAAATACTTAAGGCACGCTCCTTGTTCCCTAATCAAATTTTCAATACTGGAAGACATCATGTAGATGATATTTTGCAGGAGATCTCTCATGCTCTCCACGAAATCGTCGTCGGCGTCGAATTCCGGATACAATTCCTTGTACAATATCCTGCTTCGAGCCACGAATTTGATAAAATACTGCAGGCACTTCATCGTTTTGAATATCAACGCTTTCGAAGCGAACGTAGCATCGCTGGCCCGGCCCACTATAGTCTTCAAAACCGATATAAGCTTCCTAAAAAAAAAAAAAACAAACATTTAATCTACGGCCTCTAACCATCCGAGCATCCAGCCGCACTTACTTGTAAGCCAACGTGGCGCTGAAGCTCTCCTTTATATACAGGTCGAGCACCGGCTCGAAATGCTGGTACTTCCAATCGTTGCTCACCAAACTGATGATCTCCAACAGGCATTCGAACACCAACGAATCGTAGGTGTCGGTCTCCGGATTGTCCATCAGTATGTTGAACAACGCGTCGAGTATGTCCTGCAGGAATTTCACCACCTCCTCGCCGTCCACGTCGCGCAGCGCGTTCAGCGACTCGAGCAACGTGTCCTTGTGCGAGGCCCAATTCAACAGGCCCAGCAATTTCACTGTAAACGAATCGTAGAATGTACAAAAGGGGAAAACGTTCGACGGTTAAGTGAAATATGTACCGTTTTGGGTCAATTTCGTCGAGCATATGTTGGTCGATATGCTGAACGAGTCCTTCGTCGACATGCTCAAACCGGCGATTTGCGGTTTCTCCTTGTTGACGTCGTCGAGCTTCGAAGGCAACGTGAAATACTCCAAGCTGCTCTCGTCGAATTTCTTGTAGTCGATTTTGTAGACGATCAAATTGTGCTTGGAATCCTTCAGGGTCGTCCCGTCGTCCTCCATCAGCTTCACGTAGCACATGCCGAACGGTTTCTCGCTCTTGTCTTTGGCCTCGTTCGACGATCGATGCTTGAAGACGAACTTCAAGTGGCTGGTTTTGAACTCCTCGATGGGCACGGCCACTTTGAACGTTTCGTGCCATTGGGGCTTGTCCTCGTGATAGTAGATCACCGATTTGTATTCGTCTATCAACGGCACGCCGCCGCCTACGCTGATCACGCCCTAAAAAAATGATTGTACGGTTTTAGATTAGAGACAAATTTGTTTTTGCAAAAAACAAAAACTCCAATCAGTGAGTGAGCGAGTGACCATTACAGTTTTATATATATAGGGGATATTAGATTGGTAGGATTCTTACGGGAATCGGTTGGCCCTTCTGGTTGCACACTCTCACGGTGACCTCGACGTTTTTGTCGCTCTTCTTGTTGCCTTTGCTGAACTCGCCGTTGAGCAGGGTGAGATAGAGATCGTTTCGCACGTCGCCCGGAAGGATCACCTCGGGGAAACCCATTTTCCTCGCCACCGAAACGTTGCCCAACACCAAATGGGGATTTTCTTCGCGAACCTTTTATTATTACACATTATTAATAAGCGAATAGAAAGAAGGTCGGTTGTAATTCACCTGTTTCAAATCGCCTCGCAGGAGTTTCATGCTGACGAACAACGAATGATTTTTGTTCTCGAATTTCTCCTTGGTTATCGTTTTCCTCAAGGTTTGCTCTAAATTGTCCTTTTCGCAACTGAAATACACACAAACAGCGTTAATTTCATACACACATTATTGTGAGTAACATCACTGAGTCTAGCCTAATACGGTACTACAGCCACTAGCAATAATACGTAAGAGAATAGCACCTGATGAACGGAATGGCGAATTCCTTCTCCAAATCGGTCTCCAATTTGCCGTTCATGTAAGGGGAGATGTCGAAGGCGGCGACTCCGCATGGTCTGCGCATGTTCTCGTTGTAGTTCTTCTTGTTATTTGCGCTGACCGAGCTCCTCCGGTGGTCCGGTTCTTTGGTATCCATCGCGCCGATCCTGATTACCAGACAAACGAGGTAAATCTTCTCTCGTTCCAGGTCCCTCTTGCCCAAATCCTGCAACACGTTCGAAATGTACAAACCGCTCGTGGGGATCGCCGCGATCTAGTGTTACCGTAAACATCACCCGCAAGTTGTGCATTTGATCTAAATCGCTCATCAGGCCTTCTTTGGTCCATCGAACCACGTAGTTTTCGGTGAAAGACCTCAACTCTTTGCCGTCGTACAACGTCATCAATAACTCGGCGTCTTCGGACATTTTGAACGTGAAATTTCGCACCGCTACCAGGAATATGTTGGAATACTGCTGGATGGCCGTCTTCGGTTGGGTTTCCTTCGCGTCTTTCTACAAGCAAACGACGAAAAAAAATAAATCGTTATAATCCCGTTTTTGATTTAATAGCGTTCGAACTAATTGACCCTCGCGGAACTCGCGGCTTAAAACCGTTCAACCTTGACATTAATAGCTCACTTTCGACCTGTTGTTCATGCGTTCCGTGGCGTTTTTGTGCAGATAGTACAATTGCAACGTGCTGGTCTCGTTGGGATCGATGAAGTTGCCGTTTTTGTCCCGCACCACCAAATCTAACCCGAGCATTTTGTTGCCCATGTCGATCTCCTCGATGGCCTTCTTCGCGACGCGCTTCATTTCGTCCACAGGCAAAGTACCGCTGATTATTTTGCTGCGGTGCGATAGCAGATCGTATATTTGGTTTTTCATTTGCTCGAAATCTTTATTGTGCGTCTGGAAAACGATTTAATTCAGTATCAATACCCAACGTATAGAAGTTGTATAGCTGTGTAACTTACTATGTACAGGTTCTTCCAATGCATCCCCCATTCCCGTATCACAGTGGTTATTTCTCTGGTGATCGGAGGCTCTTTTAGCACGGGTCCCAAGGCTTCGACGCGTTCGCAGTGCTTCGTGTGCACGTAGCTTTTGGGAAATATACCTTTGGCATCTCGAGTACCGATGACGTAGCCGTAGTACCAGTTTTTTTCCTCTTCCAGTATGTGAACGGCATCTCCGACTGTCAGTTTCAATTTGTATTCTTCCGGAGAGTTGAAATTGTAAATCACTGGAAATAATTAGACGGTGTTAAACGGGGAAGTCCTATTTCTGTCAGGATGTGTGCGGTGATAACGAGATAACAGCGGGTGATGTAAATTATTCGAAATTTTTCGATTCCGATTACCTATAAAGCAAGAGGATAGGATGGATTTTCGAAATTAAAAATACACGGGCGTTAATTAGTTAATTGACGATATTTAAGCGAGCGTAATTAAATTAAATGTTTAATTTGAGTCATTCGAAAATAATCCGAGTAGGCTTCGGAATTAATTTTTATTAGTTTTAATTGTATTTTGTATTATTGACCATTAATGATTCATGCGATTTTGTTGTAATTCCAAGGAAGATACACTCATCAAACCTTTTGATAGCGGTGGGAGGGGCATTTTCAATTGCCTAATACTTTAATTATTTTTAAACGATAATGCAAAATAGATATACAAAAGCATTCTCCAAGCGAATTTATCTAAAACTGGCACTTTGGCATTAGTTATTTAACTATTTTATGTACGATAAAGATCAAAATAAACTCAACAAGTTGTATTTTAGCATACAAAAATACCTAATGTAATAATATTCCTTACCTATACCATAACTTTGTTCGTCATTTACGGCCTTCCAATTACTCATCTTAACAAACTAAATAAATTATTTATAAACATTCACGAATAAAATAAACACAATCACAAACAAAAACACTGGAAGACATTTTGAACGGTTTGTTGCGTTTTTAATTTCATCTCTCCCACTTCCACTCCTTTCTGTCTAAACGCCAGATTCCGCGTTCCGTGCGTCGCCATATTTAATTCCGTGCCTACCTTCAAATCTGTCACTCTTACGTCAAATCTGTCAAACAATATGTCAAACACATGCGACGTAGTTGGAGTCGAAATATATAATAATTTGAATAGGCGAAAACATGACCGAAGAGGACGAAATTGATATACTGGGAGATTTCCAATTGGATTCCGACTCGAATTTGTAAAAACTAAAAATAACCGGCGAATTTCAGCATTGCTAACCTAACCTCTAACGGTGTTCCAGGTACGACGGGACGGCTTTGATATCGCAAAACTCGGAATTGTTGAATTGCGACTACACGATACACCCGCAGTGGCTGCTGGACCGGCCCAGCACCAACCCGGACAATTGGTACGAAACCGACGATTTCCAGAATTTGGGCGAGAAAGTCTCCCCGGATACCGATAGTACCGATACTGGCGCTTGCCATTTATCCACGGAGAACAGCATAACGGACGAAAGCGGCTGGACGGAGAAAGAAAAGAACCTGCTGGAACGGGGCATAGAGATATTCGGAAAAAGCAACGTGAGATTGTCCCAATTCATCGGCTCGAAATCCGCCCCGGAGGTCAAATATTACCTGAAGAATTTCTACTTGGAGAATCACGCCAACCGAAAAAGCAGCGAGTGCGCTTTGGAAGGAGACGTTTTAGACGACGCTCAGGTTTACTACTTCTTTAATTTAACAACCGTTTAGTTACCGGTTAATTGTCTTTAGATACCGGCTAGTATCGAGGAAGTTATAGCAGCCGTTAGCACCGGTAAGCCCACGCTACATTTAACGAATCAACGATCGAGGAAGAAGAGCCATTCGACCGGCGATCCCAACGATAAGGAGCTAATCGATAGAACACCGGCGACTCCGAAGAAGAAAAAAACTTACTCGGAGAGTACATCGAGGAGAAATACTCCAGGCGTTAAATTCAGGATTAAATCGAAGTTGAAAGAACCGTTTCAGCGTAGGATAATCAAGCAGAAAACCGTGAAAATCGTTAATACAGAGAGCAATATCAACGAAATAAAGAGAGTCGAAATCACTACTGGACGTGGACTGGCCGTGCCAATTTGCGAAGGCGAAGAAATCGTAAGGGATACTCACACGCTCGTTTGTTAACATATTAAATCGTATTTTTTTAGGTGAAAATAAAGAATGTAACCGAAGATTCGGATACAGACGTAGATATAGACGTGGAAACATCGGATAACGAAGCACCGATTCCCATTAAAACCAACAATGATACAATTAGTTCGATTAAAGAACAAAAACCGATCGAATCCTGCGATGATGCTCCCACAGACAACCTCTTAGATCTATCCAAAATGGACGAGGCCCTACTGAAAGAATTAGAAAGCCTGGAAGCGCCCGAATGCGAGTTGAAATTGGACATTTGCAAACCCAGCGAGTTAGAGAAAGTGCTGAATTACGAATACTTCACGAACGCGTGCAGGAAAACGCCCGAACGTTACATGAAAATTCGCAATCACATCCTGCAAGGGTGGCATTCGCAGAAACCCAAATACCTGCACAAGACCATCAGCAGGCAGGGCTTGAAGAATTGCGGCGACGTGAATTGCTTCGGGAAGATACATTACTTTTTGGAGCAAATGGGAGCCGTTAATTTCGGTTGCGGTGAGTTGTTAAACGATTAATACGAGCCGATTAAGAGGAATTTTCACTTTTTAGAGCAAGTCAATTACGAACGACCTCTTCTGGATGCTTTGAAAGAAAAATTGATCGTCAAAGAGAAACGCAAAGGTAGAGTTAAAGAGTTTGTATCGGATAAGTGGAATGCATCGACGGCCAGAGCTAGACCTTCGAAGAAATTTAACAACGTAAGAATAGTACGATTTGTACTTACATAAATGTAAATAATTGTTTTCGAAGGACGGTGAAGGCGGGTACACAATGTCGCACGATGAAAACGGCCTCGTCATCAAGCACACCATCATCAACGAAAATCCCGTCGTCAAGCAAAAGCAATACCTGAAAAAACCCACCATCAGATTGATCTATTGCAGACCGTTCAAGGACGACATGCTGGTAAGACCGGCCTCGATCGAACCGCTTCGTTAGCCAAATAAATACGTAAACGTTTCAGCAACCGTACAAGATCAAAATCGACCTGACGACGTTGCTGACGATGGATTTCCACGCGCATTCCTGCATGACCGAAGTGATGGGGCTGATCAGCGGCCGCTGGCGGCCCGACGACAACGTCCTGATCATATCCCACTACGAGCCCTGCCTGAACATCGCCTCGTCGGCCACGCACTGCGACATGTGCCCCATATCGCAGGCGATCGCGGCCGATTCCATACACGCCAGGAAACTAGACATATTAGGGTAAACGATTCTCCATTAGTACGTGTACACTTACGTGAACTCTTCGAAACCGTCAGGTGGTTCCATTCGCATCCTACGTTCGCCCCGGAACCGTCGAACCAGGACTTGGAGACGCAGCAATCGGTGCAAAAGTGGATAGGCCAACGAAGGCCCTGCGTCGGGATGATCCTGTCGCCGTTCAGCCTCAACGGCGCCCTCATCGCCTCGCCCTACCGTTGTCTGGTCGTCGAGAGGGGCGGCGCCGCGACGCCGGAGGGCGTCGATATCGTGCCGTACAAGTTCAAAGTCGACGTCGACGACGCCGGTTTCGACGTCGGCGCGTTGCTGGAGAATTTGAGGCGCGTGCAACGGTGCGATTTCGGCACGGGCGAACGCCACAGGGTCGATTTCCGCAGGCCCTACTTGTACGATGCGAACATCACCTACCTCGAAAAGGTGAGCTGTTCGAATGTCGATTGAATGAGGTGTTAGAGAACTCTTTGAATGTTTGATTAACGTTGAAGAGGAGCGCTGAACGCGGGTTAATATATATCGTATAACTGGTTGCCTAATCATTAGGTGGCATATACTTGGGACAATGTATTTATAGATTTTTTTTTCTTTTAGTATATTACCAGCGTTCGTATGCATTTGGCGAAATTGGGAACGTTGAGCAAACAGACGTGCGAAAGTATTATCAAAGGAATCTCATCGGTTTGTCGTTCGGCGAAAAAGGAAGCCTCATAAGGGGCGATTCGCTCGACGCAATCACTGCGTTTGTACTTGTACATAAACATATTTTTTTGTAATATTTATTATCGAGTAACAAAATAAAATCCGTCAACTGTTTAACATTTGTTCATTTTACAAGCGATTCGAGCCGGCATCACGATCACCGAACGAACCAAATAACAAGTAAATAATAGTTTAAAATATATTTTAAAATTTCCAACAATTATTGTAGGAACCTGTTCACCTTATTTGACGGCTCGGAAGGCCCGCTCCAAGTCCGCTATCAAATCCTCGGCGTCTTCCAAACCGACCGACAGCCTTACGAGGCTGTCCGTTATGCCCAGCGTTTCCCGTAACCCAGCAGGAACCGATGCGTGCGTCATTAGAGATCTAAAATGAGAATATATTACAGCGTAGAAATACCTCATTAATACCGTCTACACTTACGGCAATTCCGCCAAACTTTCGTAGCCTCCCAAGCTTTCGGCGAGCGTAAACACCTCGAGAGACGACAGGAATTTCTTCGATTGCTCCAAGGAGCCTTTCAGCACGAAGGAGAAGATGCCGCTGTGGCCGCACGTCTGCTTCCTGAACAATTCGTGTTGCGGATGCGACCGTAACCCTGAATATTTAGAGAGTATTTGTTTAAAGTGGTCGAGAGGGAGAGATTTAGCTATACGTAAAATGTGTAGAACCTACCGGGATGTAGCACTTTCTCTACTAGTGGATGAGCTTCCAAATACTTCGCTACGCACATGCCGTTAGCTTGGTGTTGTTTCATCCTAATGGCAAGAGTTTTGAGGCTTCTGTTTACTTGGTAGCAATCGAACGGCGACGGTACTATTCCCATGGCTGTAAAACGAATTCGTTAGGAATCTGTCGGAGCGCTCGATAAATGGGCTGACCGTTTTGTAAGAACTTCAATTTATCGTACAGAGCTTTATCGTTGGTGGCGATGGAACCCATAATAACGTCGGAATGGCCGTTCATGTACTTGGTCAAAGAGTACACGGCCAAATCGGCCCCCAATTCGAGCGGCCTTTGCAGATAGGGCGTCAGAAATGTGTTGTCTACGGCCAGGAGGATGTTCTTTGCTTTCGCAATGGCCGCGGCCGCTCGAATGTCCACCACTTTCAACGTCGGATTCGTCGGAGTCTCTAGCCAGATTAACTAGACAAAAAACTGTTATAAATTGCTCGAATCGTTTCTAAGCAATCTACTAACCTTAGTGTTCGGTTTGATGGCTTTTTCTAAGTTACGTATATCGACTAAATCGACTAAAGTAATGTCGAGATTGAATTTGGAAAACACCGAATTGAATAGTCGATTCGTTCCACCATACACATCGTCCCCGACTATTATATTATCGCCGCTGTTAAGTAACGAAGCGATGGCGGTATTGGCTCCCAATCCCGAAGAAAACGTCAAGCCATAATCGGCGTTGTCCAATTTCGCCAGCACCTTCTCCAGGACATCTCTGGTGGGATTGCCCGAACGGCCGTACTCGAATTTCTACAACAAACATCGATGTAATGCAAATGCAATAGAATGAATTTGTAGTGTAGGTACCTTAAAATCGGCCGGTCCGTGCTGTTTGAACGTGGTGGAAGAGACCATGGGAGTTACTACGGCCATCGAGTCCCACTGTTCCGGTTCCTGTGCATGATGTATCGCCGAGGTGGAGAACCCTTTGGGAAACGGCAGGTACCCTTCGGGGACGTCTCCGTTCGTGTAGGACATTCTGAATTAATACGATTATTAATGGTGTGGTGAAGCTATTTTTTCGATTGGGTACAGTAGAGTAACCAAACGACAGGTCTATTTATATACCGCGATACTGAAATCTAAATACCCAAAGGCCGCGTTTAAATAAATTGCAAGTCAAGTTCACGTTTGTTATTTGTTATTCCTAATAACTTGAGCAAATACTAAATTGGCAAATAAGATATATGTAGCAATTATGCCATATAAATTCGTAACACGTTTTGAAATTAAATTGCGAAATTATTACGAAAACAATCAACTCCTTAAACGGTTCAATGACGATGCTGTTTTTCATTGTTGGGAATTAATTAATTGTAATTAAACTTAACTGCAACGTGATTTAAACATTACATCAGTGTTGAATCAAAGAGAACTTACATTTATATTTGTAATAAAACGACTAAAACGTAACAACAACGAGGGACACTCGAATTAACTGAGAATTGACTAGATTCGAATTAAATCTTAATCACAATTTGAACCAAATTCGCTCAATTGCAAAAGCAAATTTGATAAACCACAAAAAATTGCATCATATCACATAACCTAAAAATAAAATCTTCTTTTTTATTGACAGCTAACGTCAAAATTTATGTAACAAAATTTTGACATATATATCCTTAGACAAGAGGCCAAAAAAGAAAAAGAAGAATTTTGACATATGTTATAAACAAAGAAGAAGAAACTAACCTCATTATAGCGATGCAAAACTTAACCTAAAAATAACCCAAAAAATGATAAAATAATACCGAAAACAAGCCCCGATGTCGTTCCAAAGCGTCCGTTCGTTCGCGAGGACGCGAGCCCCGCTCGTGCGCCACCTCCTGACCGCCGCCGGCACGTTCGCGAAGTACTGCTGCCTGGCGCACTGCACCTTCCAGTTCGTCGGCGACTTCGTGCTGTGCTCGGGCCCCTCGATGGAGCCCACCATACGCTCGGAGGACGTCCTGCTCACGGAGCACCTGACCCCGTGGCTGGGCGAGCTGCGGCGCGGCGACATCGTCATCGCCAAGTGCCCCACGAACCCCAAGCAGCAGGTGTGCAAGCGCGTGGCCGGCCTGCCCGGCGAGCACGTCAAGGTGGGCTTCGCCTCGTACAAGGTGGTGCCGCGGGGCCACGTGTGGCTGCAGGGCGACAACGGCGGGAATTCGCTGGACAGCAGGAACTACGGGCCGGTGCCCCGGGGGCTGATCAGGAGCCGGGCGGTGTGCAAAGTGTGGCCTATAAAAGACGTTAGGTTGTTCGTGTCGTAGAATCGGTTTGTTTGGATTCGGTTGGGTTGGGATTCCGGTTAGTGAGATGTCGAATGGAAGGTTTCGGGCTGTAATGAAAGACTCGAATTAATGGTTCAATTGTATACTATATATCAAACAAACTTTTTCAACTGTCTAAAGCGTTTCAGTTGTCTGGCAATCGGTACAATTGTTAAAATTTTCTATTTTTTGCCCGTTATACAAATATCTGTCTTACAGTTGAATGGTTTATCTTTTTGGATATATGAAAGAAAGTGAAATTGGATTTTCTAGTGATCTCAGAAGGAACGTCAAGACAACAGCATGGATTCAGCAATATTACGAATCGACAATAGAGTAAAAAGAATTCTCAAACGAGCAATATTGTCTCAAGTTTTCCAAAATCACATTAAACTATTTCTAATGAAATATACTTTTTGTTTAAATATTAGTTATGGATGCCCTTCGACCCACAGAGCCAATATACACATATATATCAGAATAATTTGAATACAAAAAAGAAAATCTTCAAGTTAATATTCGACAACTCTTAAGATCGTTTTTATTTTTTTAATTGAAACTTGAATTAAATCGACACAACGAAAGAAAAATTACCTTGAGAGTTGCTGTTCGTTAACCCATACCATCACTGAATGAACAAAGAAAAAGAAAATTTATTCGCTACATTTCCAAATATGTCTAAATATGTTTAAGCATTAGATTATACTATTTTAAATAGGTTATAAAAATTGTTATGTTTTTTTTTAAATGACGACGAGGGCGCCTAGAAAATAGTTAATACAAAGAAACAAAAAAAAAAAAGGTTTTTACCCTCGATTTAAAATTGTTACATTCGCTTACATACAATAACTAAAAGCCACTTATATAAAGAAAAAAACGTCCCAGCAGTGAAATTAAATTAATTAGATTAACATACAATTGGTTTGCAATTTGTATCGGGTTTACTGAGAAACTCAATGATCACAACTCCTGTAATGTTTCCCCTATCGTTCATAACTAATTATAATTTCGATAAGAGAATACAACAATTTAATAAATTTACATCGACTGTCTTAACCAGCGTGGATTCGTGACATGCAGACTAAAACCGCTAGAACTTGCGCAGAAAAAAAACCCATTATAATCCAAAGAAACCGCGAATGTCTCATGCAACAACGAGAAATAATAACGAAGCGACAATTTTACAACAAACATATCTTTTACGGATTCGTCCAGGTAACGGACTCGTTTCCTAATCGTGTATAACTTCTATATATTGTGAGCTAGATCGTTTGTAATTTGCGTACTACAGTATTCGGGGGGGTATAAATCGGAAAATGTTTCATTAGAATGCGACAACATCAACCCTCGGAACGTCCGAGCAAAATAAAAGATCGAAAAATTCGAAATTTTAAAGATTCGTTTAAGATTATGTGTGTAGTTTTGGTACATTTCCGATACACACTGACAATTAATTTATATTCGGTTAAAAATGGCTGTTTGCTGTCCAAAAGTTCAACTATAATTCCTACAAAACGTTCATTATTTTCGAAAATTCCCTCCTTTAAAAGATAATTAGCATTTTGTGTGAATTATACAGGGTGGCCAAGTAATGCGTCGCAATATATGGGGCGCAATTTAAAATTATTTTTTCCAACTGTATATTTGGCCACCCTGTAACTTTTGTATTTTAATTCTCTCGACTGTAAACACAGTACCGAGTTAAGTTTTCGCAAAGTTAATAAAAAAGCTTGGTAGATTTCGCACATGTAGGGCAAATATCAAATATTTCAGTACAGTTATCGTACCTGTAATTTAGTCCTGTTTCGAAATGACAAGTCAATAGCTTGTTACATATAAATCGACAGTTTTTTTTTTCGTTCAATAAATCAATTTTAGCAAAATTACAATCGGCATTTAATAGATCTGGATTTAAATCGATAATGCACATCAACCAGACTACAAACACCTCATCTTTACTTTCATTACGAAGATGAATAACGTTGAATTTCATTTCAGTTTGAGTGAAACGACAAATGTGTTATTTTTTTTTCAAAATATTTCCGTGTTTTTGTAAATATATACTTTTTTTATATATATTATAAAGCGAACCATCATCAATCCATCTTCAGCGCAATCACTTTTCATATCGAGCCCCTTATTTCGCACTATTTCAACCAAAATAATTGTTGAAATAACCGGAACAAGGGGATTCAAATTAACCAATGACAATTACAAATTGCCAATAAGCACCCCTTCAATTTCTCTTATATTCAACAGATCTCTCTTAACGTATATAAATACCATAAATATGATCACAGTGACGCTCAAAGCGTCCTCTTATCAGTCAATATATAATTATAACAGTCGTAACAAACATAGAAAAATATACAAGGCTCTCGAGACAAAAAAAAAACAATCAGTCCTTCTTGAACACAACTCGAGCAGCAATTTCGTTATCGCCGACCCTGTAAAAATGAACTTCTCTCTCTCTCTCTCTTGCGCTAATTTGTTCGTCAACTACAAAAAAGAAGAAAGTTCGTCCGAGCTTTTTAATCATCATTTACAATAATAAAAACGTCTTCGGAACACGCCCGGAACAAACTAACCAAGAGTCACGATCGATTCGTGCACCGTTCGATCTAAACAACACAACGATTCCTATTTACACTCGATTACTTTCAGATTTCCTTCGATCACAACTCACTATTAGATCGATCGAACGCAAAGTCCCAAAATTCCATCGATCGATTCCGTTTGTTCTACCTTCATCGACCAACTAAACCGTCTACAATAGTCTATAATAAACCTACGTACTAATAAAGAATGAAACCAAAACAAAATAGTCGATGCACTAAGAACGTCCAGCACATACGCGAAAATATACAAACAAAAAAATATATAACGAATTAACGTCGGCGGTAGACGAAAAACAAACTAATCGGGCGAGTTGGTCGTGGGATCGATTTCGCACGGCCCGTCGCCTTGGCCTTTGTGTTCGACGATCTTCGCGCAGTCTTCTTCTTTTATCACTGTGGCGTTGTCTTCGGGCAGGGCTACATCATTCACTGGCACGTCTCTGAAAAACCACAGAGTCACATTAACGTTTTCTCTAAAAGATTCTCGCTCAAACGAGCACATAATAAATACAGCGTGACCCAGAATCGCTTCTCTTGTATAGAGAAGCGAATATGGGACACACTGTAGACGTATAGTGTAAAGTGACTAGTTAATCTTTTACGAACAGGTTAGATATGATACGGGCACTTTCACCATCTTGTCGAGCGCATGCAATTTACTGGTAAAAGGAGCGTAATGAGAAAGTCGGGAGTACTACAGAGAATCTAGCAGATTTATGTGCTTATGATGAGAAATATAAAGCTTACGTACCCGCCGTCAGTTTTGACAGTTAAAGAGACTCCCTGTTGCTTTTGCCCCTTGTTAGATTTGTTAATGTTACGCTTTTTGTTCGCCTACAATAAAACTAATTTAGTATCGATTACGAACGTCGAAATAAAACCAAAGACAACGGAAGAACTCTTACACACGACATTAACTCACATAATTCTTCCGTTATCGATTAATTCGACGAATGCGAGGGGTAATAACAGAAGCGTATGATACATTTAAATAAACTCTAACCCGACTAAAAAAGTGTGTGTATAAAAAATACCTGATTCTTCCTGGCGTTGACCGGAAACGACGGCATACCCGGACGTCGATTCTGCCCTCTACCGCCTCGCGCTGAACCTCCAGAGGCGCCGCCGCCTCCTCTACCGCCCCTTCCGCCGCCGCCGCCTCCGCGCGGATTGTAACCGGCCGGCACCATTTGCTGTCTAACGTTACCTTGGTATCCGTAGTTCGCGCCCCACGAACCGACGACGACGCCGGCGATCTGCAACTGCCCGCCCCTCGACGGTATCGGCCGCTGGCGCAGCGACGTCGCGCCGCCCCCGCCTCCGCGGTTCGCGTTCATGTTCATGGCGGGAAAGCAAGGCGGCGGAATCGACCGGAGCATCGGAGCTGCAATACAGTACAACGTAATAACAGACAAGTACAAGACCAACTACTCGTTCTCGGCGAGAAACTTACGTCCGGTGAATGGGGGCAACGGCACTTTGGCGAATTTGACGTCGAGCCCTTCCAAAATGGCCTTCCGCATCCGTTCGACTTTGACCACGCGTTCGATGTAATTCTCGCACACTTCCAATATGTTCTTGGCGTGCGACGATCTGGTCAAAGTGTAATGGAACAATTTCCCGTCGAAATACAACCAAGGGCAGCACATGAGCCAAGGCAACGGGGCGCCGCAGGCGTCGTTCGCCACCAGCGCCATATCGACGCCCTTCATGAACAACGCGGCCAATTGGACGCCGCGCGACGTCACTATATTGAGCTACAAATCGACGAGAAATCGATTAGAAATCGACAAAAACGAGACACCGTTCGAATGCTCACCGTCAGTTCCTGCAGGTACTGCGGATTCATCAGGTTCGGATTGAACGCCTGACAGAGGAAGGCGTCCAATTCGTGCCGTCGCATGATCGGCTTGTCCTGGGACATGATGTAGCGCAGCACGCACGCCATGATCAGCATGTGTTGGGGCACGTAGGCCGTGTTCAAGATGAGCGGCATGTCCGAGTTCAAGCAGGAGAGGAGGGCGCGCATGCGCCGACGCTTGTCGTCGACCGACGGGCCGAACCACAGCCGTTGGAGCGTCGGGACGGCCCACGGCAACGGTTCGGCCTTCACCTCTTCGGGACATTGATAGGGATTCGAGCGGCTGTGGATCCATTCTTTGACGATCACGTCCGGCTGGGCGGCGTTGTCGGGCAATTCGCCCGATTCTACAATCGCAGAAATATCGTGAAGCTTTCTTAGACACACGGTTATGTATCTATTGTACCTTTTTTCTTGGCGTGCACGTATCTCAGATGGTGCAAATTGAACAAGACGGCGTAAATGCGCTGCCTCAGCGGTTGGTATATATCGTGTATGGGCGGGAATTCCCGGTTGCCTTCGTCTTCCATCAGACAGGGCAAACGGATCTCTTGAGTACTCAATACGTGCAGGATGAGCGGAGCCATCAGGCCTTTTTGGTGGCGAAGCGAAGCCGTACGCAGCACGTCCGGAGACACCGAAGGCGCTATCGAATTCGAACTGACTAAAAGAGAAATCGTTATTTTAGTAATTTTATCCGCAGTCTAGTTCGTAACGTACTTGTCGATTTGTTTGTTTTAGCAATTTTAGGCGACGCTTGGACGTTGTTAGAGGCATTCGCGTTACCCATAAGTATGTTAACTCTGCTACTCGAAGTGCTGGCCGTCGGTTTGTTGGAGTTCACCGAGCCGTTGGAAACCCCGTTGAATCTCGACGGATCCGACGATAACGGCGAATCGTCTGAAACTGATTCCATCGCAATTAATTTACGTACCGTACTAGCGATGTTATTCTCACATTTCTCCTCTTTGTTGTTCGTATCTTTCAAGCCGTTCATTCCGTCGAGGCCGTCGAATTCGGCTATGACGCAGTGCGCGGTGGCTTGTTTGTAGTTGTGGAGGCTTTCTTGCTGGAAATATCAAAAAAGGGGATATTGTATTTGAATGGCGAAAGGGGAGTGAGTAAAGCTTACTTCTTGTTCGGTGGTTTCCGAGGCGAAACCGGAGGTGTCCAAGTCGTGGTCTTCGGTTTTAGCGTGGTTCGATAGATTGTCGGAGTTGGTGAAGTTTTTCTTGGGCTTGGATTTCGCTGGAACATATCAAGTTAATATCGAGATTTACGTTGTAACGAGTAATTTACCGGGCGGTGTGCAGTATTTCAGAAAACCGCTAGCTGTACCGTTTAGGTAATATTGCACAGACTGTCTGAATTTCGAAGATCTCTTGTCCTCCAACGAACCGAATACAGCCGTCACTAGAGCGTCCATGTTCGATGGAGACGGGAGGGTGCTGACGAATTCCGACAATTTTTTTATATTATTTTCGACGCCCTAAAATAAAATTACTACGTTATACGGAACACTTGCATCCACCCAAAACTTACAGTGTCGGGATTGACTTTAGTAAGATTCAACTTTTTATAGAGATCCTGCAGTTCGCTTTCGGGCAACAGGAAGTTCCCCAACAGAGCGGCCATGATGCAAACCTGTTCTTGGGTGATTTTCAACGTTTTAGTCAACTCGCTTATCATGTACTCCTTAGTCTCTATGGAACCCTGGAAAACGTTTAAAACCTTTCGTGTAGTCCGTACGAATGGAACTAAAAGATTCGTTACCTTATAAGTGAGTTTCAAATTCTCCGATGAGAAATAACGAGGCGGATCGAACGCAGCGTATTCGGCATCATCGGCCAACAAACCGTGGAAACCGTACTCTCGACAATAAGCGATTACCTCTTGATGGTGATCGTCCATGGTGCACATCTAAAAATAATAAAGCAATAACGATAATGTAGCTACTTAGGTTAGAGTTCCACGTACCACGGTAACCCCTAAATGTCTGAGGGCCATTCGCAGGGCCGATCGCAGGCAAGTCGGCGGCGTCCACCAGATCTTCGGGGGCGGCGTACCCTTGGTGTTGATGTGCTTCAGCACCATGCCGACCCGTTGGCGCACGTTCGCCTGCTCGGCTATCCACTCGTTTATCCTGCATTGCTCGATGGTGCCGTTGAAAACGACCGCCAGTTCGATGTTGCCCCGTTCGATGGCCTGCGTTAGCAGGGACAGAAACTGCACCATACGGTTCCATTGGCCTCCGCACGCCCAGTCTGAAATCGTTAGAATGAATATGGGTGGCCTTTGACTGATGAGGCAACCAGCTAAGAAATTCGCTTACCGGAAAAGTAGCCACCGTATAGCCGATCTAAGCAGTTTTCGGCATCGACGATGAGCTTCAATTTGTTACCGATCGGTCTGATTTTTCGGTTGGTGTTGTGCGGCTGTTGCCTTTGAGTTACGTTTTTGGCGATTTTCAGTAGATCCACGGAGACTGCGCCCCCTTCTAAGCCGGGGCCCTCCAAGAAGGCCTGCAGGTCGTTGACGCCCATTGCGAATAGGCTTTCGACGGGTTTTTCGACGTTTTCGATGCAGTTCGATGGGTTCTCGCACTAAACAAACACACTCTGAACGATTTTTACCATTATGAAACGACCGCCATTATAAATAGAAATCTTCGATTTGTTACTAAACAACGGGCGAACGTGTGGGACGTGGACGTTGCGCCGTGAAAGTCTTTCTCCTGGACGAATTCATCAACTGGGCACCGTCGAGTGGGTGATCGAAAGTCGTGGACGAAAGTCTCTATCCTCAATCCCGGACGCCCTTCATGTTTGCGATAGCGAACCGCCGGCAGTCGAGTTATTTATCGGCTATTTCGAGCCCGTCACGGTCCATTAGATGCGACGACACCGTTGCACGGGCATTTATATTACGTTTATTGCACGGTTCGGTACGAGACAATTACTTAAAATGATTAAAAAACAACCAATCTTTGAGACTTCAACAGAACCGAAAACGAAAAGTTTGCCGGAAATCGGATTTTTCGCCGAACGCGTACGCATGCCCGCGAAACGTCAATTACACAATTAGCGGATGTTGTTTTTAATTTCGTCGAAAGGAATATTACAAACTATAAATTATTCACTACAAGACGAATGAGTTGTTTAAATTTACTCTTATAGAGTCTAATATTATAGATTTGTAATAGCGGCTGATAAACCTTTTGTACATTCGCCGTCTATCCTTGTTTATTTTAATCATTTGAACAGGGATGCATATATGTGAAGTTATTGACAAGTCGGCAAGATGGCGTTTCCGATTTCATACTAATCGATTCTGTCATAATTAATACGCAATATTTAAATAATTACATTTCATAATTCGTCAATACATTTAAAAACACCTCCTGTAACAATAAATTGAAATTTATAACAAATTTAATACGTAGCAAACAAATAATCATTTCATTTGAAGTATCGATTATAATCGATTACTTCTTCTTTTTTTATTTAAACTGTTTTAATTTATAAAAACAGCCAATTTTTAACCGAACAACAAATTCGAAAAAGCAACCAGCAATTTCACCGGAATAACAATGAAATTGGCGCATAGAAAAACAAGGTATTTATTTACATAGGTATATTCGGACAAATTAACTCGAACGATGGGTGTCGGGTTTCGACCGAGCCACGTGCCGCGGCTTATCCCACGCCATTCGACATCATCCTGAACAAATAGAACCGATATGTTTGATCAAGTGGCCTCCGGTGGCCGTAATTGATACAAATTCAACTCGATCTTCATCGAAACTGTTGCACCTGTGTTTATTTTAGGGATGCTACGCGTTAATCACTCTCAAGAGTGTATGCATTCAAATGCATATTACACATTCATAATGCAACACGGCATACTTGATTTTGATGTTTCCTATTCGATTAGTGTTGCTAGATTTGGCCTACTAGTTTTTTGAGGTTTACGTTAAATATAGGTGGTCGCTATTGTCTTGAATTTGGGATGAAACCGGCTTGTTTGATGGCAAATAAAAAGTCTCCAAAGGGCGAAAAATCAATAAACAACCGAAGGGAGGGCTTTCAAAACAACCCTGATTTGTCTCGACGGGTTCCATTGGTTGCTAGGATGCGAAGTGAGAGGTGGAAACCACGCCTACGTCGATCCGGGCAGGTATTTGTACGTTGTTGAATTTAATTTATTACAAGTGCAACAGGATTAATTTTTTTTCAGTTCTTTCGGAATATATAGCGCAAATGAGCTAGTTAAAGTAAAAATAAACTGTCCATTAAAAAATATCGACACTATCTAAAACGTAAATAATCTGCGAAATTTATTACACCTACTCGAATTTTGTGACGCCCTGTATAAAGGAAAACCGCACGTGAGATCATTCCAGAGGATGAGGACGTTCGCATGATTGAGCCCCCGGATTGCCAAAGGTCTCGAATGTCGGGTATTCGCTTACGCGGTGGCCCCAAAAAAGAACAAAATAAAATAATCAGAAACTAATCATATAATTTAGTGGGACACCCGGTATAATTTTGAATTAATTTGACCTATACACCGCGTCACTAGATCTATTTAGCAACATTGACGCTTTGGAAATGACACTTTGACAGTCAAATGAAACATCCAAGATGGCGCAATCGAATGACGTATTTGTAATGAAATAAAATCGCAATATCTTTTCCCACTGTGGTAATATCTAGAGATAATCTGTAGCAAGTACTAATTCATTAGGCCGCAAATCGGTATTTGATTACCGGCCAGATTACCGGGAAAATTAGATGTTTGCGGCGGATAAGCGGATAGAAAACGGCGCCCGTCACGTGACCAATATTTATATTGCTCATCCTCTGCTCATCCCCCTTTCAAAAACCACCCCGTCTAATCGCCGATCGAAATCTCCACCTTCCGCATACGGCCTACTTGAGAAAATTAAATATTTGCTCATCTACTTATAGGCGACAACCGACAATTAGCGGATGACAGTTGACGTTTGACGGTCGGAATTTGAAATTTTTTCAGTGCCCAGGCGCGGGAATTGTTTTGTTATGAAATTTTCGAATAATCTTGTTATAGATATCAAATTTTCGATGTCGAGTTTATGCCGGTGTTAATTTACCTGATGAAACAACGCAGACATTCGATAGGCGAGTTTCAGATACGGAAAGTGAAATTGATATATGAAATGGGATGAGAGATGCCGATTTTTTCGTTTCATCAGTGTATATTAGGAGAAAGTACTCGAATTTCTGACATTTTACAAAGACAACTTCCATTAGACACTTACAAAGGAAAAGGAAAGAGTGACATTTGTGTTATTGCAACTTTTCACTCTGACAACTGTCATTTTAATAATCTTTCTTTGTTCAACTCATAGAAACGACCATGTTGCAATCGGAAATGAAGCAAGGTGCATTTTAAATTCCTTAAAACTCCTTAAATTCCTCAAATTTATTTACATTAGGTAAACGTTTAAATTTTTAACTTTCTTTAGAATCTATTTATTTAAATTGTATACGATATCATGTTGGCGTTGGGATAATTTCGGCGATTCATTTGACAGTTATAAATGTCAATTATGTCGATAACATAGAAGAGGATCTTTAAAATCAATGTAATCAGTTTAGATCAATGTAAATGTACCGTAGAAATAACGAAAATGCACCGCCGATGGAGACCGAACGAGCGCCGTAGGAAAATCCCGGCGAGTAAAGAAAAACCGTCGAAAAAAAAAAGAAACGATCGATATAATTAATTATCGAGCCGATTCGTACGGTTTCCTTACGCAACATAGGCATTGTATTTGAACGGTTTCTTCCCTGTCGGTTGTCGGTTATTAAATTAATCCGGAGAGGGAATACTACATTTTAGGTGCACGGACGGCGGAAAAGCGAAAACGAGGCGTCGCGACGCCCGCGATGCTCTCGCATAATATCGATTCGTCCGAGCTATAATCCATTTACACTATATGCATAAAAAGAAAATGCATAGAAAAAACAGCCATCTATGATAACAATAAAAATTCATAATCTGTCACATACTGTCAAAATTAAACAATTGAACTCAAACGTCAAATTCTCAATCTCATTGTGGCCTCTACATATCTAACATCGTAGATACCAAGTTTAGGTTACCGACGTACCAAAATTTCGGTCGTTATTTATACATTTTTTCCCTGTTATACGCCTTTTGGTTTCCTTTTTCTATCCCACCCGCTCACCATCTGACTTTTCGACGGCAATTCGATACCCGGAGTTATTCGATAGCTCCGGTACAGCGTGCACCGTCGTATAAAATTATATCTATATACGAATATATCGAAAGTTGGCTTTGGAATAATTTCGGCCATACGTTTGACAGTTAGATGTCGATTGTGGAGATGATGGAGAAGAGATAAATCGAAGTTGGCTTTGGAATATATTTTGTCGTTTATTTGACAGTTATAGAATTATTGCAGTTTTGTTGTTGTTGTAAGCAAAGAATCAAAGTTGCCTTAGAAATATTAGATATGTACCTACTAAAGGATATACAGGTTGCTCCATTTTTGATTACAATATAAAAGTTATATCCATGGGTGCGATAAAGACAACTTCCTTTAGACACTTACAAAGGAAAAAGAAAGAGTGACACTGTGTCATTATAACGTTTCACTCTGACAACTGTCATTTTAATAACATTTCTTTGTTCCACTCATAGAAATGATCATATTGCAATCGGAAATGGAGCAAGGTGCATTTTAAATTCCTTAAAACTCCTTAAATTCCTCAAATTAATTTACATTAGGTAAACGCTTAAATTTTTATACGATATCATGTTGGCGTTGGAATAATTTCGGCGATTCATTTGACAGTTACAAACGTCAATTATGTCGATGACTTAGAAGATACCTTTAAAAACCTTTACAAATATAATACAAAAACGGTAAAAAATCCCTCACTATACCGCCCCCTTAAAAAAAATTGAACAAAATCCCGCCAGAGAAAAATGAATGAACGAAACCAACCCGAACCTCACATACGGAGAACAATGCGCAAGAAAAGGACGGACGATCGCGATCGGTCACGGAATCACAAGACACCTAATATTCCACATACAAGCCAACTATTCAAAGTCGATCGGCGGGTTAAGGGGTTGAAGAGGGGGCGGAAAAAAAAGCGCATTCATTGCAGCCTCACTATAACTCGTACGAGCCTAGTTTGTGGGGGTGATTGGTCAATCGGGCCGGCGAAACTCGCCTTGTAACGAGCTTTTTAAATGCTCCGACGATAGATTATACTCTTCTGATGCGTGTAGAACGCCGGATATAGAACGAAGAAGCGGTTTGGGGAAAATCCGGGGAAAATTCGGCCGGTGACGGGAAGTTTGTCTTTCAGTGTAGAATGATTAAGTGGATGAATTTGTGAGGGATGGTTTTGTGAAAATAGTTTTTTCCGTGTAGGATGGATAAATGGAAAAATTAGATGTTTCGGTGCGAATGGAAGGTAATTACTTGAAGATTTTTTTTTTGTGGAGATATACATATTGTTAGTGCAACATTTTTATTAGTGTAAGATGTTTATAGAAATATTACTATAGGTAGGTATAATAGTCCAATTTTTTTCGAATATCCTATTTGTACCTTCCTACAATTTATAATTGTATGGGAGATTCATTATTCAATACCTGCAAAAGTAGTAGATATACAGGGTGTTCCTAAACATCGTGAGCCATTCCTTGGCTTATTTTATGACTAAAAGTTCATATAAACATAGATCCGCAAACGGTTCGTTACCGATCTACAGGGTGTTGAAATTTCAATTTTTTTTTGGTTTTTTCCTTGTAGCTCCTGCACTTTTTAAGATATTTAGCTCAAATTTTGAATCTAGATTTCTTTATAGGGCGCACAATATTGGGTATATCAGATGGTTGTTAAATTCTACAGGGTGATATTTTTCCAGGGGTTATGTACCCTTTTTTCCCCCAGAACTTTTTAGCTGTGCGCCGCTGGTAGATTCTAAAATACAAAATTAATTGTCTGTTTTGTTTAGAACCTTTTTTATTTTTAAACTTTTTTCGTTTCTGTGACCGTTATCGAGAAAAAAATTAAAAATTATTTTCTGTACAAATGATTTATTTTACAAAACAAATATCCTAAATAATAACTATTTAATTACATTATAATAAACTTTCTACTCAAATGACACTTTATATCCTATATCCTACACCTAATTTGAGCTAAATATCTCAAAAACTGCAGAAGCTCTAAAAAAACACAATAAAAATCCTGAAATTTCAACACCCTGTAATAACTTTTAGTCATAAAATAAGCCAAGGAATCGGATATACACGATGTTACACGATTAATTTTTTTGTGTACAAATAAAACCCTTCATAAAATTACGTCTATTACAAAATCCCACAGGATAAACGATGCATTTATCCGATTTCCCATCATTTCAAACATCCGTCGTAGAAAAAATACACCATCGAACCCTCCACTCACCCGCCTAACATCATACAAACATGTTATCGAAACGGGTGATTGAATTATTTCAACAGGAACGAACTAATCGAGCCCGAAAAACCGGGAACTGATCGAAGCGACAGGTTGCGCAGGATCGCTCCTCCCCGGCCCCATTCCAGGACATCCCCCAGGACATTCCCCCGTAATGGACGCCACTTATGTACCCAACAACCCCCAGTTCGGGCTGCAATTGGAGTGCAACTGGACGGGCGCCGCCGGTTTGCAACAGGTAAAAACGAAAATGCATGAATTTTCAAAAAAATAATACGAAAAAAATGTATATTTATTACCTATTTAAGCACGAAAAATTGCTGGTTTAGTAGAATTTTTTTCTTTAAGAAGAAGTTCGGTTATTTGATGGATTTTTAGTAGTAATAAAGCATGATTTGGTTTGCAATTTGTTTAAAAAAAAACTGTTTTTTACTTATACAGGGTGGCTCATTCAAAAGGAAACAGAGAGGTGTTTTCTATTAATCTATTTACTATTAATTTTTTGTTATTTCCAAAAAAATAACCTTCCTAATGATCTATTACACGACTTATACTCCCTATTCAATTTCTAAGGGTTGGATTTTCCGAAAAAATCAATTTCTTCTATATACCACGAAAACACCTCTGTTTCCTATTCAACGGGCCACCCTGTATACGTAAATACAGCTCGTCTCGATCGCTTTTTTTCCATCATCAGGTGTCCAACTGCACGGACGATCTATCGTCCTGTTGGAACGAAGAGATGGGCTCGTTTTCGTTACCACTGGACCTGGAACCGTTACCGAGCCTCTTCAACATCTCGCCCTGCAGCAACCCCACCAATGGAAATTACAAGTAAGCCTATGGAAATCCTCCCCATTCACTTTTCGCAACTTTTCTACTAAAACCTTCAACGCTTTTACCAATACCTCAACTCTTCTACCATTGACTAGTCTACTATAAAAGCCGCAAGTACACTGAAAAAAAATTCTGTAATTTTCCTTAATTTATTATGTATGTTTTACTAAATAAATTATGTAAATAACTATAATACATAGCCTATCATGTAAGACTGTAAAATTACAGAACTAGACAGGTAATACTGAAATTACATTGTAAAATTACACCGGAATTCGAGACTTTACATAAAAATGTAATGCATTACATTATATATTCTGTAATTTAACCGTATAAATTGTGTATCCAGAATATATTAAGAGAATTTTTTACAGTATATATACCGTATTTAAAAATTACATAATATTACGTAGGTAACAAAATTGCCAACGTAATATTCTGTAACATTTTTTGTAGTGTATATTTTGCAACATCTCAAGGTCTCTACAGAAGCCTCAACACTTTTACAAATTTTTGACTAAGTGTAACCAATATTCTAACTCTTCTAGGTACCCAGCAATCTCATTTCTACTACAAAAGCCTCAACATTTTTGCCAATACCTCAGCTCTTCTACCATTGATTACTCTACTAAAGCCTTAAATATATTTTCCAACATTTCTATAGTCCTCTACCAAAGCCTCTAACTCCTCTAGGTACCCACCGATGTCTCATTTTTGCTACAAAAGCCTCAACACTCTTACAAATATCTCAACTCCTCTACCATTGTCTCAACTAAAGCCTCAAATAGCTTTTTCCAACATCTCAACTCCTCTACCAAAGTCTCAACGCTTTTACAAATTTCTCACGATGTACAACCAATATTCTAACTCTTCTAGGTACCCAGAAATGTCTCATTTCTGCTACAAAAGCCTCAACACTTTTACCAATACCTCAACTCTTCTACCATTGTCTCAACTAAAGCCTCGAATAGCTTTTTCCAACATCTCAACACCTCTACCAAAGGCTCAACACTTTTACCAATATCTCAACTCCTCTACCAATACCTCAACTCCTCTTCTAAAGCCCCAAACACAGCTTTACCAATACCTCAACACCTGTAACAAATATTGTACCGAAATATACGAAGAAACAGCCCGAATGTATAGATATTATTAGATAATCTCCCTAACAAGAGGACGGTTCCAGGTTAGAACCCTCGATGCAGAACCAACCGCTGGCGTTCCGCGATCAAATGAAGCAGCCCGGCGGGCCCGACGTGGCCGACGTCCTTCTATCATTGAAGCACGCCGTCGTCCATCCGGGCGTCGGCCATCAGAACGCCGTCGACAAGTTCGAAGCCGGCCACCACCAGCACGTCTACCATCCGCAGGTGTTGCTCTCGCCCAACGGCTACCCGAGCGCCATCTGCGGCGACCAGCCGTTCGTCCAGCAGCCGCCCGTCTTCCCCAGCATGTCGGTCAACGTCTCCATGAACATGACCATGCACGGCTACCATCCCAACAACGCCTGCGGCTATCCCTCCGCCGAGATATCCTGCCCCCAGGTGAGACCGTACAGCTCTTCCTAGGTGTACTCCAGGTTTATTAGCAATACGTGAGGTCAAAGTTTAAGAGGTGCAAGTGCAAGAGCAATTCTAAATACAGATCCTAGTGTAGGTCCAAGTCTAGGAGCTAGTTAAGGTCTTGGTGGTGGTCCAGGTGCATGTCTAGGTCCATGTTCGGGTGTAGGTGCAAGTGCAAGAGCAATTCTAAGTGCAGATCCTAGTGTAGGTCCAAGTCTAGGAGCTAGTTAAGGTCTTGGTGGTGGTCCGGGTGCATGTCTAGGTCCAATCGACTACTGATTCAGCATAGTAGCAGGAGTTATTGAGGCTGTGTTTGTGTTTAGTTGCAATGGAGTTCGACGCCGCAGGGCCCGTCGCAGAGCTACCAGAGCCAAGGGTTGCTGAGCCCCTCGTACGGGGGCGCCACCTACTCCTTCACGGCTGATTTCCGGCCGCAGGAGGCGCAGGCGGCGGCGTTTCCGTCGCCGCGACGCCGCCCCACGCCGCCCGACGAGGACCTGCACCAGAAGCCGAACGTCTGCAGGATATGCGGTACGTCTCGACCTAAAATCAGGTGAGTGCGCCGCGGTTAGTTCGAGTTAAAGACGTTTGGAAGGTCCGCAGGAAAGAGCTACGCGCGGCCGAGCACGCTCAAGACCCACCTGCGCACCCACAGCGGCGAGAAACCCTACAGGTGCGTCAATTGCAACAAGAGCTTCTCGCAGGCGGCCAATCTGACGGCGCACGTGCGCACCCACAGCGGCGAGAAGCCCTTCAGGTGTCCCGTCTGCGATAGGAGGTTCTCGCAGAGCTCGTCGGTCACCACGCACATGCGCACCCACTCCGGCGAACGGCCTTACAGGTATACCATAAAGTCCGCCATTTTGATCTGTGTCCGCCATTTTGTTGTATTATGAGTAACATTACAGGTAGCCCGTAAACGATTCAAAGTCCGCCATTTTGAACCGTGTCCGCCATTTTGTTGTATTATGAGTAGCTGCAAATTTGTTTGTATCGAACAGTGAGTTAGAGTGAGAAAGTTGCAATCCCACAATATATCGCTCTTTCTTTTTCCTTCATATGAGACTAATGGAAGTTGTCTTTGTTGCAACCATATTGGACCAAATTAGCACTTTAACTAATTAAAAGTATCCGGAACTGCTTTCTAGACAGCTTAGAACGCTTCAGAAAACAACTAGAACTGACCTGAACATGTTTAGAACACTTCAGATCGATTTAGAACTATCCTGGATAATTTAGAGCGCTTCAGAAAGAACTAGAATTGTCCTGGATAATCTAGAACGCCACAATTTGGTCAATTCTATGAGTTGAACAAGGAGAGATTGTTACTAAAATAACAGAGGTTAGAGCGAGAAAGGTCCAATATACCTCCTTTTTTTTCCTTTATTAGACTAAGAGAGAAGACTATATAAGAGGGAAGTCTTTGTTGCACCCATTATAGCCGATAATTGCAAACAATTTTGCGCTTAATTATAGATTAGTGACAGTTTTGACGTATGCAACAAAATGGCCGATACATTAGTTAATTTTCGAGCCCATTGCAAATATTATGTACCGAACGAAACGAAAATACTACCAAGAAAAATCGTAATTAGAAAAAAAATATATGTTTCATATGCGATAAGAGTGTGTACACATTTCTATACTAACCTTTTTACGATGTTATTTCATAAATCGCTACACGTTTTATATATTAAACAATATAAACGAGGTTATCGAATTAATCCGGTAAATTAGCTCTCTATAGAAAATGTACAGCAGCTCACACAGTACACCATTTAATACAAAAAATACAATCGAAGCAACCCGATGTCTCGGCCTACTCGGTTTATTCTCTACATATTGACGGATTTGTCTCGGCCTACTCGTTATATTCTCTAGATATTGACAGATTTCTCTCGGCCTACTCGATTTATACTTACCAAAAGGTATATTTGACAGGTGCAGGCTGTGCAAGAAGGCCTTCTCCGACAGCAGCACGCTGACCAAACACCTGAGGATCCACAGCGGGGAAAAACCGTACGAGTGCAAGCTGTGCCTGCTGCGATTCAGCCAGAGCGGCAACCTGAACAGGCACATGCGCGTGCACGGAAGCACGGGGATTCCCCCGTGACACGCGCTCTTCGGATACACCTACTGATCGCGGTGCTGTACATAGGAAGAAGAGAAAAAGAAGAGGAATAAAATGGGGGGGGAAGGATTAGGGCGCTATCGAACACACAACGACGAATCAAACGAATTTAATTGTTGAAATCCGTATACCAAAGATGTTATATGTTGAAACTAGTCAGTTTTTTTTCTGTGCGTATTTTGCGAGATCTCGATAGTAGATGGATAAACTAGTTGAATATTTTCTAATTATATATAAGATAATAATAAAAATGGAACGAATTAAACTAGTTTGAGTTATTCTTAAAGTCGATGTAATTGAATTATTCATTTCGTATTGCATATTTTTCATTAATTATACTTTCCTTCAGGCACACGGTATAATGCTTAAATGCTACTATATTTTTATTAAGAACAAGTACGTAAATTGCGACACTGAATTTCAAATAAAAACACCTACTATTGTTGTATTCTTTACGGCGAAGAGATAACATTTTATCAATATAGGCATATAGTAAGTATATGCCAATAGAAAAATCCCTGTATAAATAACGAGCAACATTAATTATCTCGGCAAAATTTTATTATTTCGCATTTTAAAGAAAGCTCTCGCTAGATGTTTTAGCATTGTTTGAATCGAGAAAATGTCGGAGAAAATGTACAGGGAAACGACGACGCCCATGATAGAGAAAGCGCCGGCGGAAAAGCGCATGCAAATCGCCGCCGTGACGTCTGGTAAGGATTGCAATTTTTTTATTAACAAGTAATATAAAATATTTGGCCAATTTCTATTTAGAACGACAAAGAATAAAATTTAAAGCGTTCAAAATTAATTAAAAAAATTTAGGCTTCGAGGAGATTCGAACCCGAGACGTGAGGGTTGCACGCAAATGCCTATATCAACTTCGCTATTTCAATTCGGAAAGTGTTTTGCCATATGTCGTATATTAAGTGAATTGTTTTTCTCCCATGTAAAACTAAAATTACTAAATTAAATGTAATTAATGATTTAATATACAAATAAATAGTATTTTGTATATTTTCATTCTGTCGTAAATAACACAGAACTAGAATTAGGAATGCAAAAAAAAACAACTTATAAAACGATAAATTATAATCAAAGTAATCTCACTTGTCACTTTGACGTATACGAGGTCTTTTACTATTCGTGTAATACAAACAATTTGTAATAAAATCCAAATAAATCGACCCATTTCAGTACTTTAAATTACACAAAAAAAAATTATCAATGCTATATTTTACCCGAACGTTCTCATACTACCAGTAAAGCAACGACCAGTTACTCGATCGACTTTCCAACGCTTATTACACAGAACATTCGCTTCATTTCAGTATCGTTAGGCACCTTCTGCGCGGGAACGGTCCTCTGCTGGACGTCCCCGGCCCTCAGCCACATCGAAACACCAACAGCCATCAATTCCACCACGCCCGGCTTCACGGTGACGCCCAGCGAAGGGGCCCTCATAGCCTCCACTCTAACCTTAGGCGCCCTCTTATCGGCCATACCGGCCGGCTATTTCGCCGACAAATTCGGCCGGAAACCCGTCATACTATCCCTAGCCGCCATGTTCCTGCTCAACTGGATCATGATCACCTTCGCCCGCAGCCTCACAGTGGTCCTCGTCGCCAGACTGTTCGCCGGAATCGGCCTAGGTAAATAATATACGAAGGTTGCGTGAAAAGTTCTCGGTCTGGATCGTCTAGAACTGTCCAGAACAATCTAGAAAACACTTTAGAACGCCCCAGAGTCGTTGTTAGAGGCCGAGGACTTTTCGCTTTGCCCTCGTTTACAGGCGCGTTTCAACTAACTCGGGGGCTCGTTGTCTTTCCAGGCGGCATCTGCGTGGTGGCCCCCATCTACATCGGCGAGATCTCCGAGGCGTCGCACCGCGGCTTCTTCGGCTCGTTCCTGCAGCTCGGCCTCGCCGGCGGCGTCTTCTACACCTGCCTAGTGGGCAACTTCGCCGGCTGGGCGGGCCTGGGCGCCGCTCTGGCCGCCACGCCCGTCCTGCTCGGCGCCACGTTCGCCTTCATGCCCGAGTCGCCGGTGTACCTGATCGGCAAGGGGCGGCGCAAGCGCGCCGAGCGCAACCTGCGCGCCCTGCGCGGCCCCCTCTACGACATCGCCGAGGAGGTGCGCGCCGCCGAGGAGAACGCGGCGGCCGCCGCCGCCAAGGAGCGCGTCGGCGTCGCGGCGCTGTTCACGAGCAGGGCGAACGCCAGGGCGCTGACGTCGGCCGTCGGGGTGCTGGTGTGCCAGCAGTTCAGCGGCATAAACGTGATCGTTTTCTACACGGTGGCCATCTTCCAAGCGGCCGAAACCGATCTGTCGCCGTTCGTGTCGGCTTTGATCGTTAACGCCGTGCAATGGGCGTCCTCCGTCATACCGATGGTGACCATCGAACGGGCCAATCGCAGGCTGTTCCTCATGGCCTCGTCGCTGGGCATGATGGCGTGCCTGGTCGGTTTGGGCGTCTTCTTTCATTTGAAATTGATCGTGATCGACGCCGCCTCGCGCTTCGGCTACCTCCCGTTGACCAGCACCGTGCTGTTCATGGTGTTCTTCTGCATCGGCTACGGGCCCATACCGTGGATGCTGTTGGGCGAGCTGTTCTCGCCCGAGATCAAAGGCTTCGCCGGAGGTATATCGATTTTGGTGAATTGGACGAGCGCCTTCGTGGTCACCTTCGCTTTTCCGCTGATCAAGCAGGCGTACGGCATGCACGTGGCCTTTTACATCCTAGGAGGCATCATGGGAGCGGCCACTTTGTTCGTGTGCTTCGTAGTGCCCGAAACCAGAGGGAAGACCCTCAATCAAATACAAGAAGAACTCAACAGGTAACAGATATTTCATAAATACATGTATTAGTTTAACGTAAATAAAATTCGTGTCATTTGTATTCCATTTTATTACTCCAATACGAACAGAGTGCGTAACAAAATTAAAAGGATTAATTTAATGCAAACGAATCTACTTCTTGTAACCGCACGAGCGCCTTCTACCGCGCGCCCTCTCATACTTGCGACCCTTCGATCTGACCAGCGGTTTAGTGTGGCTGTGCGGCACACCGGGAGCAGGCCCGAAGTGCTTCACTGCCTCTCGAGCGTTACGTCTACCTTGCAGGAGAACGGTCTTCGAACCGGTCGGAGCCTTCAGAGCCAACTGATCAAACGTTATCACTTCACCACCTAAAAATTTTGTAAAAACTCCATTACAGTATGTACCCAAATTGGCTATACGTTAGAGGCTGAACGGTATGATCGTTAAGTTACATTATGTAGCCAAATTGGCTGTATGTTAGAGGCTGAAGTTAGGTTATTTACGTAGTTAAGTTATTTACCTGCTTTTAAGATTCTAGCTCTGGCGGTTTCGGTGACACGTAGAGCGCAAATGGAGAGTTTGGGAATTTCGAAAATCCTAGAATCGTCGGTGACGGTGCCTACGATGACGGCAGTGAGGCCTTCACGTCCGGGTTTCTTCATTAAACGCACTACTTTAGACAGGGCAATGGGGGGCCTGTAAATCCTGCTCATAAACAATCTTTTCAAGACGATTTTGTTGAATTTCGCCCCCGTTCGACGAGCCAAGTAGCGGTAGAGCTGGAAAGGAAGACGGTGAATTAGCAATAGGCTCTACAATCGCTTGATTGTACTTACTTTGACCAAAAGTCTGAGGTATACATCTTGACTTTTCGGTTCTGTTCTTCTAACCTTACGGTCGTATTTGTGGTTAATGTCAATACCCTAAAATCAAATGAAACGAAAATAAGTACGCATCGAAAGAGCATAACGTTCACGAAATAGGAAAATTCATTTTGATTTTGTTATAGTAGCGAGATGATTAAAATATAAGTAAATTTATAAATAAGTTTTACACAAACCTACCATTTTTACAAAATATGAGTAGAAGAAAGGACAACGTTGCGCATGTCACGCATGTTATTTGACAAGTGACATTTAACAATTATCTCTCTTCTCTCAAAAGTATAATATTTTTCAATTACCCTTAATGAGGTAAGTAATTTCTATCTCCCAAAAAAGCAAATATAATTTAAATGTATCTATAAATATTTTAAATCGAACAGAAAATAGATTTACACATATTACCTTTTAGGAGAAAAAAGAAGAAAATCATTGATTTTATTGTCAAACGTCAACCTGTCAAATACTCTCAATTTTGTTTATTGTAAGCGGGGGTTTATAACTTTACAACTTATATTGTTTTTTACAAATTGGGCTTGCTTTTTACTCATAATATACACATTAATTGTTATTTTATACATTTCCATTCCATTCGTTGACGTTATGAAGCGTAAAACTTCGAGAAAGTCGCAACAACCCGAGGATAACGGCGTCGGCTCTGAGGATAACGAACACAATCTGGAAGAGCAAGAGCCTCTTTCGCAGGACGACGAGGATAAACCGCTGGAAAAGCGAAGAAAATCCAGCAAATCGTCCAAGAAGTCCCAAAAGAAACAGTCCAAAAATGGCGATACCGAGAGCAAGAAACCTGTAAGTGCAACATAAACAATTATTTTACCGCCAATTTAACATTGTCTTTACTAAAAAGGAAAAGAAACCCGAAAATTCCGATGGAGAAGAAAACGCTTCGAACGCAGAAGAAGAGGAGTCTCAATACGAGGTAAATCCGCTATAATTCCACACGACTCGCCTTAATTAATTTCCATCGTAGGTAGAAAAAATATTGGGCGAGAAAGTGATCAAAGGAGTCCGACATTTTCTGATCAGATGGAAGGGATACGAAGAGGAGAGCGACACCTGGGAGCCCGTCGACACTCTATCCTGCAACGATCTGATAAAAGCCTATCGAGCCAAGAAAAAATCCAGCCCGAAAACCAACAAAAAACCCTCCAAACCCAAGGACACAAGCGACGAATGGGACGAAAACGAGGACTTTGAGGTACCCAACACGTTACTATTTAAATTCGAACCGATTAAAAGCGCTCGGATAATTCCATAAAGGTCGACAAAATCCTCGACGTGCACTTTTGCAAAGACGGCAAACGGGAGTTCCTGGTCTCTTGGAAGGGCTACAGCATGAAAGAGAGCTCCTGGGAGCCCGAGGAGAACATGAGCTGCAAGGAATTGATCGCCAAGTTCATGCAAAAGGTGGAACACGCCAAGAGTCTGACTGAAAAGGAGCTGCGCGTCAACAGGAAGCACGTACAGCGTTTGACGTACAACTCGCCAGAAGGAGGCCGCAGGTTGAGCAAACGGATGAGCGGCAAAGAAAGGTAAAATTGCGTGTATTTTATCGATTGAATTGCTATTTAATTTATATTTTGCTTTTCAGAGTGCAATATCATGATACCGATTAAACCGGTCGGTATATTTAAGAATCTAATTTTTTTTATTTCATTTATTTAGTTGGATGATATATAATATATATTACTTTTTGTGTTTATGTGGATTGAGTAAATAAATAACTTTATACGTGTGCGAGTAAATATTCCAGTTAATAGAATATTGTGGCAAATATAAGTGCAATTCAATCCTGTAATTTCATCTAAACAAACAAACGGTTACCTCTAAGGAAGCTAAACAGCCACATAAAAATAAACATTAACTAGATTCGATCTAAGTAAGAGTCAACTTCAGTTGTCACTGTTGACGTTTCGTTAAATTTAGGTTTATAGGTTATGTCACGATCATTGTTTTGTAAACGAACATTTATTCGTTTGTTAGAGCGAAAATGAGCGCAATAAACCAAAAAGAATACCTCAAGAAGTACCTAAAAATCGGAAAGAGTTCAGACGGCAAAAAGAAGAAGAAAAAACCCAACAGCATCGCGCGTAAAGGGTGAGTACATCTCGTCGATATTGAACGTTTAAAATCAAACGGACGATGCCGTTTCAGCTTAAAAATCATCGACGACGACGCCGACGCCTCCCTATCGCAACAAATTCGCGACGACCTCGACGCCAATAACGAAGACGCCCCGCAGATTGTGGCGGTCATCGACGAGAGACCGCCGTCCCTTCGAATCGACGAAAAAACGAAGAATCCATTATGGCAACCCATAGGAGACGAACCGCCGCTACCTACAAACCCAGATTTCAAACCGGGCGGCATTAAATTAAACATGCGCAAGGAACGAACCGGTTCCCGCAAACTCGAAAGATCGCCCGACGTAAAACGAGAAGATTATCAGTCAAATTCGCCCAAAATAAAGCAGGAAATCGATTACTCGCCGCCTAGAAGGCAGGAGGATCAATCTAGGAACTATTCGCCCCCTAGGAGAAGTACAAACGAAGACGAATCGCCTCCTAGGAGAAGCAGAACTCAAGATCAATCTCCACCTAGGAGAAAACAAAAAGAGGATACTGCTAGGGTTAAACAAGAGGACTATTCGCCTCCTAGGAGAAGTATAAATGAAGACCAATCGCCTCCTAGAAGAAGCAGAAATCAAGATCAATCCCCACCTAGGAGAAAACAAAAAGGGGCTACTGCTAGGATTAAACAAGAGGACTATTCGCCTCCCAGGAGAAGTATGAATGAAGACCAATCGCCTCCTAGGAGGAAACAAAAAGAGGCCACTGCAAAGATTAAACAAGAGGACTATTCGCCTCCTAGGAGAAGATTGATTGAAGACCAATCACCTCCTAGAAGAAGCAGAAACCAGGACCAATCGCCACCTAGGAGAAAACAAAAAGTGGATTATTCGCCCCCTAGAAGAAGTACAAAGGGAGACCAATCGCCTCCTAGGAGAAGCAAAGAACGTACCACGAAGCGTAAACAAAACGAAGGTGATTTCCCAGGAAAAACTAACAAAAATCAGGCTCAACCGCCTCCTAAAACCCCCAGAAATCCAGACGAATCGAGCCAATTCGCCAAACCATCGGAACCTTCCTCAAGCAGAAGCAAAAAATCCAGATGGGAAGAACCGGTTACGATCGTGGTAGAACAAAAGTCCGGCCTTCAAGCCGCCCAAAGCTTCGCCGAAGACCTGATCATGAAGCAAAAGGCCGAGGAACTGTTGCTGGACAGCATGACACCGGATCAATCGGGCGTCAATGCGGCCACCATATCCAGGAAACGAGCGAAAGACGACGCGCCGATCGATCCGGAGAAGGAGAAGCGCGACGAGGAGATCAGACAGCAGTACTCCCGTTGGGGCAAAGGGCTGAAGCAAGTCGAAGACGAGGCCGCGAGAATGTCCGAGCAAGCGAGGGAGATGCAGAAACCTCTGGCTAGGTACGCGGACGACGAAGATCTGGAAAGGTATTTGAAGGAGCAAGAGAGAGACGGGGATCCCATGTTGGCTTACATTAGAAAGAAGAAGAAGAAATTGGACGTACAACGGGGTGTTCCCGGTGAGTTTGCGTACGATACCGCTACAAGCATTTAATTTATTGTTGTTTGTTTTTTAGAAAAACCGACTTACAACGGGGATTTTATGCCGAACAGATTCGGTATAGCTCCGGGTCACCGATGGGACGGCGTGGACAGATCGAACGGCTACGAGAAAAAATGGATAGACTCGATCAATTCAAAGAAAGCCTCGCAAGAGGAAGCCCTACAGTGGAGTCAAGAGGACATGTAATGTAATACGAGACGTTTTAATACAAAAAAGTAAAGTTACAATAAATACGTAAAAAAAAAACGAAATACTGACGATAAATAAACGCTAACCGGATAAATCATCGCGTCCGCATCAGATGCTCCGCCTTTTCGCTCTCCTGCCCTTCCGGTAGCCCTTCCCGAACCAACCGGCCTGCGTTTTGCCCTTGTTCCCGTTGGAATTCGAGTTGTTATCGGACTCCTCTTCCTCGTCCGTGGTGTAGTCGCAGCACAGGCACACGTTCGCCTTGTGCTTGCCCTCGACCTTGCTGTACCGATCGATTTGATTGAGAAACACCGGCCGGCTCTTCGGGTAGAACAGGCACGACAGGGCGCCCCCCATCGAGCCGAAGCAGTACGAACAATCGGGCTGGCGTCCGACGGGCGGCCTCGCTTCCAGCACCGAATACAAATCCGCCTTGGGATCGATGATGCTGTGCAGGCCCGAATACATGAAGCTCGTCTGGTACGGATAGAGGAAGAAATTGTTGAAGAAATCGACCTGCAGGTAATCGCCGAGCTTATTCCTACTATCACAGGTGGCCGGATTGCCGACCGTAGCGAGATCGAGGCGGTCTTTTACGTCGCTTTGCGCCGGCGACGAGTTCTTCAGGAACGGTTGGGTGGTCGTGTGCAATTCGAGCTCGTGCATGTCCGTCGCGTGATGATAGATGGGGTCTCGACCGCGATCGTACGCGGGCACTTCGATGCCCAACAAGGACATGATTTTCCTCATAACAACGTCGCACTTGCCGTTGATTTTAACGTTGGCGAATTCGTCTTTCGGCGTCCATTGCAGGTTCACTATGTACAGGTTGGCGCGTTTCTTCACCGGTTTCTCCATCTGCCACAGCCACGGGTACTTCTTCAGCACCTTGAGACTGGAACCCAGGCAGATGACGGTGGTCGCCTTGTCGGCGTTCTTGCAGGCCCCCGTCCAATTGAGGGGCCACTGCAGGTTGCCTCGCTCACCGAAGTGCACTATCGTATCGGTGAGCGGCCCGTTGCACGCGTAACACCTCCTGTAGGTCTTGTGCGAGTACCTGGCGGTGTTTTCGGTCACGTCGAAGTACCTGGAAATGCCCCGATTAATACTAGAGCTTTAGAAGGATTTATTCGGGGCGTACACACCTCCAATATTCCCGATGGGGCTTGCACTGTTTGCACACTTCGATGTACATGTTGCCGTGCAGCTCGGACAACGCTGACCTGGGCAGGCCTGAACGCAAGTGCAGCCCGTCGCAGTTTTGGGACACCACGTACTTGAGTATGTTCTTCCTGTACAATTCCGCCAGCGCCATGTGGGTGTAGGTCGGCTCCGCCAGCGATAGATCGTAATTACTACACAATAATTATCCGTTAATTGGGAAGCGCCGAACGATTGCACGAAACTTACCCGATGTCTTTGCCTTGCTGCAGGCGCGTCCATATGCCGTTGGTGCCCCTGTAGTCGGGTATTTTGGCGGCGGTGCTGATTCCGGCGCCCGTGTAAACGACCAAATACTGCGATTGGGCTATGGCTTGGGCCAGTACGTGGCACTTGCTGTCCAACACCTCGTTGCTGTCTTCGAGCTCTTCGAGCCGTCGCTTCGCCTCCTCGCGCTTTCGCCACCTTTCGAGGATGTCCTCGGCCACGTCCTTGTGATCCTCGAGGTTCCGTTTGTCCTCTTCGGTGCGGACGTGCTCGGATTTTTGCAGCAACGAAGTTATCTGGAATCGCGAAGGTTTAGTAGCGATGAATAGTGGCGTTGTTGGGGCATTACTTACCTTTTTCACTATGGCGGTTCGTTCTTCTTTGGCGCATATTTTCCTCGTTGATTGTATGGTCGATTTCCTGGGCAGTCTGAACCGTTTCGAACAGGATGATTCTTCGCCGTCGGTGTCGAATGCTGCGTTCACCGCTATGTCTTGGTCCATTTTTCGTCTTCGATCATTGTATTAATGAGATGCGTCGGAGCCGTCGGTTTTCGATCTCATTTTGGCGTTTAATTCGATTGAAACGAAGCCGTTTTCGGTTTGTAATGCTCTATTTATAACAGTACTTGCATTTACTTACTTTCTACTTTGGCTTTGACTAATCTACAATTACCAAATATTTATTTTTATGATATGGTCAAACGAACGCGCCTGTCACTGTTGACTGATGACAAGTTAATGAAGTGAAGTTGCTGCGAATGAAATTTGTACTTATATTTTGTTTGTGGCTCCTTCTGTTGTTAAATTGCAACCATTTATGCCGTACAGACGATAATTTATTCGTTATTTAAGACTCAAATATATCCCGATGTATTTTAATTTTAAAATTAAACTGACAGCTGTGACAGATGACATTGACAGCTGCTCGGTTATTTAAAAAAAAATGTCGGACTTGTAGTTAGTAGTTAACAGCAGTTATGGTAAAAAACAAACATGAAAACCACCAAATTAACAAGTAAATACGTGAACTTCGTTAAAAACGATTAAATTTATCAAATTGATTGAATTTTAGGCAGCCCGGGAACGATTTCGGACAGTCCCGTTCGAATAAACTCCACGCAAGAGAACCCCACAAATCTGGACGTCGTTTGGGACTGGGACTCGCCCCAAGCCAATAGAAAACACCCCAAAAAGTGCCAAAAACGATTAGCCACCAATTCCCCGAAAGCCCCCTTCAAACGACACCTCTCAGAGAACACCATGCAAGAGTACGAGAAGCTCCAATTGGAACTGAAATCGCTGCGAGAGGAGCTGGAAGGTGGCCGGTTGTCCCCAGTGGAAGAGGCTGAATACCACGACTCCGATAAGCTAGTTCAATTACCCGAGGACGTTTTCGATGAACTAATGGACGAAAACATAGACGAGCAATTACTGGCCGTAGGAGAGGAATTGGAAAGGGACGCGAACGAGTCGTGCAAACAGCCAAGTCCAATGAACAGGTTCAAAAAGACCGATAAATGTTTCAGTCGGGCCTTTGATGAATTATTAACAGGCAATTTAAGCGAGGAGTTTGCCAGCCAACGAGTGAATAATGAAAATGTTAGTGGAAATTGTGATAGTAGGGTGGAGTTCCATCGGACACAGAGCTACGAAATGTCGACGAAAGGTAAGATTATGATTTGGGAAACTATATAATAATTATTTTTGTTTTTTAGATAATTATCCGAAAATCTGCACCCAAGATCAGATTGAACAGAAGCGATTAGAAGCCATAGGAAAATTAATGGCGAAGAAACAGCAAACCGAAAAAGAGAAAGAAATATCCAAGTGCACCTTGGAGGAAATCGAACGGAAAAGGCTGGAAGCCCTGGCGAAAATCCAGGCGAAAAAACAGCGGGAATTTATCGAGAGAAAACGCCAGGAGGCCATTAAAAGATTGCAATTGTGGCGACAGAAGAACGCCGTCACGATTAAGAGCTCTTTAACTCAGAAATTCGATGTGTTTAAGAAGAATTAACGAGAATTTAAGGAACATGCCCTCCGGAATGCAATTGACGTTTTACAGCAACAGTACAAGGCCATTCAGAACATCTTCAAAAGTATATTTATTTAATTTCGTATAAAAAGTTTGTAATAAATCTGTTTACCCAGTAAACAATGTTCATAGTTACTCCATGACAACTATCATTTATAATCGAGTTCCTATTCTTATAAAATCATAAGGTCCAAAATCGCCTAACGCCTGATTAGTGATTATTACCCGACTGCCACAAGTCACAAACGTCACTTTGATAAGTTCGCATTAGACAAGGAAGGTATTATCTTTCATTGAAAACAGGTTACATAACCTCAAATATCCGCTTAATTTAAACCTAAACAATCGTCTGTTTTTACGTGATTTTAAAATGAAATTAACCATTTATAACGCTATTTTACATAAAACCAATTACGGCGCATCATTCTGTAGGCACCACCAAACAGCAAGCCACCTAAGTAGTAAGTAACTTATAATTTCCATATTATTTTTACCCTCACATTTAAATTGCTATTTTCTTCATAGAATTAGACAAAGCCTACGTGCCGCATAAACTAGACACATACGCTGGAAAAGAACGTTATTTTAAAGCGAAAACCAACCGCTCCGAACCATTCACGATGATCCTACCACCGCCGAACATAACAGGAACTCTCCACTTGGGACATGCCCTCACCGCTACCATACAAGACACCATAATAAGATGGTATTTACCAAGCATTCTCAATACCTCAATTTTCTATTTATTAAAGTAGAGCCTGTTTAAGGAAACAAATGCAAGGTACAGAAACCGTTTGGGTACCCGGAGTAGACCACGCAGGCATAGCCACGCAAACGGTCGTCGAAAAACTCCTGTGGAAGACCACCGGACAAACCAGACACGATTTAGGTCGAGAGGAATTCCTAAAAAAGATCCACGAGTGGAAAAACGAAAACACCCGAGCCATAAGTAACAGGTAAAAACGCCAATTCAACGCCGCGATCTCACTCAACGCAATTCCAGCGGAGCAATTGAAACGACTAGAACTGTCGCTGAATTGGGACAGGGAAATCTTCACGTTGGACGAAGAAAGATCGAAAGCAGTCAACGAGGCGTTCGTAAGGCTCTTCGATAAAGGCCTCATCTACAGAGCCAACGCCTTGGTGAATTGGTCGTGTACACTCAAATCGGCCATATCCGATATAGAAGTCGAAGACTTGTCCATAACGGGCCCCACCGAGTTAAATGTACCCGGTTACGAGCGACCCGTAGAATTCGGATATCTGGACCGATTCGCCTATTTAGTAGATGGAACCGGTTAGAAAATTTATAACAAATCCTTAACGAGTTTATACATCTAGTGCTTTGTAGATGAGGAAATTATCGTGTCTACTACACGCTTAGAAACCATGCTAGGCGACGTTGCCGTCGCTGTACACCCTAACGACGAGCGTTACTCGAAATTCATCGGGAAATTCCTGAGGCATCCCTTTCGAAACGATCGAATACCAGTCATCGCTGATTCGTTCGTCGATCGAGACTTCGGCACCGGTAAGGACTTTATACGATGCTATGTAAACAAATTCGTGACAACTAATCAAAGAGAACAAACAGGCCGGAGTATTAGATTATATTACACAACGTACAACTAAAAAAAATCAATCGCTATTCCTGCTAATAATACTGTTATTCTCGTCGTTTCGCACTTGGTACACGTTCACATCGAACAGCATATTGTCGGTTTGCAGTAGACTTTTGGCCGAGGCCACGTCGACGCTCGCATAATACTTGTACTTGTCGTCTCGGTGCTCGGGGTGTTTCTTCGAATACCGGTGCCCATCGATCGAGCAAATGTTCTGCAAGCAATACAAACAATGCCTGTCCTCGTCGTATAAAGGCACTCGCTCTTTGACGATCACCGTACGGGATCTCCCTTCATCCGCGTCCGTCCTAATCTTAATCTCGTACTCGTAGGGCTTCTCGTCGCACGAAAACACGCCGAACAACACGGCGGATTCGCCGTATTTCAAGCAATGCACCAGCATCAGAAAGGGCGTACCGTCGATCACTAGAAGTTTGATGAAGGATTGATGATGCTTGATGATTCTAAAGGCGACGGTGAGAGGGCCGTAGTGCACGCAGCCCGGATGGCAGCTCTCGAAGTGGCCCGAATCCTCGGCCAGGACGAACGACACGTCCTTGTCGCGGCAATTGTAGAACGGACAGCGGACGGAGCGCCGCTTGCAGGACTTCTCGTGCACGCCGACTTGGGACCATTGCAGGCGGACGGGGCAGCCGGCGTGCATGCAGGGAAAGAGCAACTTGGAGCCGATGGATTCGTAGAGGGTGTTGCGGTTGTCGAGGCGGGGCGGTTTGTATTGGCATCGGCCGCATTTGTTCAGTTTGCCGTCGTCCGATGTGAGGATCGGCGGTACGTTTAGGTAGTTTTTGCATACGGTGCATTTGAGGTCGTGGCTCGAGGTTTTTTCGATGTCCGTTGACATGGCGGTTGTGTTGGTGTCCTGGAATGATGAATTTGTTGGTATAGAGCGAGGATAATCGGGTTGTAGTAGGGAGAGAGCTAGTTGGGGGGTTTTTGGGGGGCTTTCAAGAGGGTAGGGTGGAAGGTTCTCGGGTTGAGTCATTTGGAATTGTCTTGGAATCGTTTAGAATGCTCCAGAATCACTTGGGACGATCTAGAATCATTTAGAACTGTTTAGAAAATAACAAAAAATTGGTTTTAAAGGTTTTTTTCAATGTCGGTTGACATGGTGGTCGCGTTGGTGTCCTGGAATGATGAATTTGTTGGTATAGAGCGAGGATAATCGGGTTGTAGTAAGAAGAGAGCTAGTTGGGGGGTTTTTGGGGGCTTTCAAGAGGGTAGGGTGGAAGGTTCTCGTTTTGTATCATTTAGAATTGTCTTGGAATCGTTTAGAGCGCTCCAGAATCACTTGGAACACTCCAGAATCATTTAGAACCCGTCTAGAATAATCTATAACACTCCAGAATCATTTAGAACTGCCTCGAACTAAAGATTTCGAGTAATTTCGAGTAACTTTAGTAATTTTAAATAACTATAAATAAATATAAATACCTCATAACTAACCTTTTGCATATTTGTAATAACACTTTTTTGAATTAACTGATGTAATTACTTAATTGAAAGCAATTGAAAGGTATATCAAAGGTGTACTACCTATCGATAAATATCTAAATGTTTTTTTAATTTCCATTTATCTCTATTTTATTGTATTGTTAGGATTTCAATCGATTGACGTAAACCGATAAAAACATTGATATATTTATGTAACGCTTATTATATTGATTTATCGATTGCATTATCGAACGTATTACCGGGGAGGGTCGAGATGTGGGCGGGATAAAAGTTGGACGAATATCGTCATCTTTAATTCTAATTTTAAACGAGTTACGTGCGAAAATTCTAAAAATATGTACTAAATACGTAAAATTTCTCTCACTTACTTGCTTTCTAAAATAATGGAAATTTCACCGGACGACCGAACAATGGCGATATTTCGATCGGTGGATCGAGCATGTCAAAATAAAAATCCCACGGTATAAATAAACCGATTCGGACCGGCCGGCCGAAGAAGAAAAGGCCAAACGACGCGCGTATGCCAAAAATCCTCATATACCATTTATATATTCTAATCAGCTAAAAATATACGAGTAGCCGAATTCCCCGGCGTTTTGTAATTAAAACGTACGAGGGGCGCGCTATAAATAACCTCGCGAAACGATTAGTGCACAACAATATACACCAGTCGATTTATCGTACGACCCTCGTAACGTTGGTATATATTTACGCCCGTTTAGATCTCGATACAATTTCGAAAATTTATAATCGATTTTCTTTATTATGCAGCACACAAAAAAAATGTTTACGCGACGGTTGCCAAAAACGGGCTATTATTAAATCGAATAAAATCGCTTTAATTCACATGCTCTACAGGGTGTTCCAAAATGACATGCTAATATTTAAGGGTCCAAGAATAACCCCCTTAAATATTAGCATATCATTATGGAACACCCTCTATACACTGTAGGTGCATAAACTTTATTATTGGTTAACAAGCATAACTTTACAATACATAATTAATCAGTCTTCATCATCATCATCATCATCGCTATCATCATCATTATCATCTTCATCATCGTCGTCTATACCATTATACCAAATAGGATTATTCTCCAATCGATAATCGTACACTCCGGTGTTCCCCACCAACAAACTCTTATCGATTCTCCGTATTCGATTATTGACCATCGATACGTTGGCGAGCGGCAAACAGATCGCGTCCGCCTTGACTTCGCCCAATCGATTGTCGTCCAAATCGACGTAGGCCAGTCCTCGCACCTCCCCCAAAGCGCCCGCTTCGATCGCCTCGATCTCGTTACCCGACAATTTGAGGCTCTTAACGCGCGCCCCCGCGAAGTCCCCGCGTTCGATCGAGCGCAGAAAGTTCGCGCTCAAATCGAGCTCCGCGAGCTCGACGCGAGCGAACGCGCCGGCGCCCACCTCCGTGACGTCGTTGCCGTTCAATTTGAGGCAGATGGCGCGCCGGACGCCGCCCAAAGCGGTGGCGTTCAAGACGCCCAGCTTGTTCTCGGACAGGATGAGGTATTGGAGGCGCGTGGTGTTGGCGAACGAGTCCTCTTCTATGTCGGTTATGCGGTTGTTGTCCAACGAGATGAAGGTGTATTTGGGGTCGTTGAAGACTCCGCGTCGGACCGCTTCGAGTTGATTGCCTGCGGAAGATACACGGGGTGGGTACTATAGCGAAAATGTTGTGTAGAAAAAGGGCTCAAAAATAAACTAAAGTGTCGGCCATTTTGTTGTACATGCCAAAACTGTCACTAATCTAATTGAGCGCAAAATTGTTTGCAATGTAGGCTATAAGTGCGATAAAGACAACTGATTGCAACTTTTCACTCTAATAGCTGGCGTTTTATTAATCTTTCTTTATTCAACTCGTAGAAATGACCATGTTGCGGTCTGAATTGAAGCAATCGGTATGATTAAATGTATGTATGAGTAAATGATTGAAATTTTCTTACATAATAGTATCAAAAATGTTAAATTATAATATAATATATCTTGTATTACCTATCTACTACGCTCTTACTACTTTATTTTTCAAATTTTCTTGGAAAAAAATATGATTATTCGTTATTTATATGACTCGAAAACACAATAATACACCGTGCATCATTCGCGATTGCAACATGGATATTTCTATGAGTTAAACAAAGAAAGGTTATTAAAATGACAGTTGTCACAGAGTGAAAAGTTGTAATGACACAATGTCACTCTTTGTTTTTTCTTTATAAGTGTCTAATTGAAGTTGTCTTTGTTGCACCCCTATGTTGCAATGAAAAATGGAGCAATATGTATGAAAGAAAAGTAAGTAATAAGGGTTCAAATAATCGAAAACGGCCAAAACCTGTTAAAAATCATTTGTAACGCTTGTAAACGAAACGAATAAAACGATTAATCTCGCGTTTTGTCTTTTCTACCTCCAATGACAATTGACATGTCAAATCTGTCAAATTCAATTTTTTTCCATCATTTTCTCAACATTTTATTTCTCCACGACATACATACCGGTCAAATAAATCGAATGGATGGGCGAACCGGAAAACGCGCCGGTCGCCACGTTCGCGATCCTATTAAAACTCAAATTCAACTCGCCCAAATCCGGCAGATCGTCGAACGCCCCGTCGACGCTGCTCAATTGATTGTCGGACAAATCGATCGACTTCAACCCGGCGACGCCCGCGAACGCCGCCCGTTCGATCGCCATCACGCGGTTCCCGTTCAACTTCATCGCCCGCACCGTCGATCCGGCGAACATGTCGGCGCGGATCGCCATCAATCGATTGTCGCTGAGCACCAGCCAGTCGGCCGCGAAGCCGCGGAAGGCGCCCCCTTCGATGTCGGCGATCCGGTTGGCGCCCAGGCCGGCCACCTCGACGGCGGCGCCGGCGAAGACGCCGCCGGCGACGCGCCCGAGCTCGTTGCCGGCGAAGAAGACGCGCCGGACGCGCGACCGCCGGAAAAGTCCGGCGGGAAATTCGGCCAGGCCGGCGTTCGTCAGCCGGAATTCGTCGAATTCCAAGCCGTTGAACGTGTCGTCGGGGAGGGCGGGAATTCGCGCGTTTTCGATCACCACCACGTTGTAGTCGAGGGCGGTTCGATCGGTCAGGAACCGGTTCAAATCGGTCAGATTCACCGTGGCGTTTGACACTAATTCCGACCAGTTTCGGTAGATTTCCACCGGCACTTGGGTTCTCGAACGCACTGTATATAGCAGAAATATTACGATCGATATTAGATGCATTATTTTGTAGTGTTCGAGCGGGAGAAAATTCGCGTGAAATGCGGTCGGAATGTTAAAAATAATTTCGGGATTTCGATTGGGTTTATTTTTTTGTTATATGCGTAATCTTGATCGTCTTTTACAGCGTTGCCGTGTCGTCTTAATTTTCTTTAGTTTCATTGAAATTGATATACAGAGTGTCCCGCGTAAGAACCGACCTGAAGGAGAGGCTTGAAGGGAAGCTTAAAATATGTTTGTTTAACCCAACTTAACTTTATACTGCCAACTTTCTAGATGATTCTGGAGCGTTCTAGATCGTTCTAGACAGTTCTAGATGATTCTGGAGTGTTCTAAATGGTTCTAGACAATTCTAGATGATTATAGAGCGTTCTAAATGGTTCTAGACAGTTCTAGATGTTTCTGGAGCGATCTAGACAGTTCTAGATGATTCTGGAGCGTTCTAAATAGTTCTGAAAGGGTCTGAAAGGTTCTAGGGCAATGTTTTTTACACAAAACCTCGTGAACCAATGCAATCTTTGCGTTTTTTAATCAAGAGGATAAAGAATTTTAAAAAACAAAAAGAATAAAAAATCTTTTAGAACAAAATTACCTATAAAATGAACTAATAATTTTTCAAATCATCCATCAGGCAACAAAATTCTGTAGCATTTCAAAAGAGCATCATCCCTATAGAACCCTTTCATGGTGTTATACAGAATGTTCTCGATAATTACATGCAAACTACCACCGCTAGAATTCAATGCTATAAGTTAGGCCAGAACGCCATTCATTAATGATTTTTCATTCTTGTCTCAGGCGCGGTAAAAATAACCCCGGCCCACGATTTCGCCGACTTCGACGTCGCCCGAAGGCATTCGTTGCGCCATCTGTCGATCATCGACGAATCCGGCCGAACGACGGACGGTTGCGGCCCGTTCTCGGGACTTCCCCGGTTCGAGGCCAGGCTGAAAGTGGCCGAAGAACTGACGAGACTAGGCCGGTTCAGGGGCCGCCGCCGCCACGCCATGGTCGTGCCCGTTTGCAGGTATTTCTCTCCCCCGAAAAGCATCGCCGTATGGGAGCTAATATGAGATTTTAATGCTTAAGCCATCGCTGTATTAATATTATATTAATGGAATGTACTTGTTTGAATGCTTAAGCCGTTCCAAGGACGTGGTGGAGTACCTGATCAGACCGCAGTGGTTCCTGCGATGCGACGCGATGGCCGCCGAAGCCGTCCGATGTGTTAAAGAAGGCCGATTGGTCCTGGTGCCCGAAGGACTGCGAAAGGATTGGTTCGATTGGCTGGAACACGTACGGTATTTCATCGAATTCAGACACGAAAAAGAATCCTAATCAATACATAAAATAACTCGTTTTTCCAGGGATTGGTGCGTATCGAGGCAGCTGTGGTGGGGCCACCGGATACCGGTGTATCGCTGCACTAACACCCGTAACGGGGAGACCGCTTGGATAGCCGCCCAAGATGAAGCTTCGGCTTCAGACAAAGCTTCGATGAAGCTGAATTGCGCACGCGAGAATGTGGAGTTGCAGCAGGACGAGGACGTCCTGGACACGTGGTTCTCGTCGGCGTTGCATCCTTTTTCGGCCTTCGGTTGGCCCGCTGAGGTGCGCTCTATCTCCTTACTTACATTAGATAATACGAGGGACGGTAGAAATGCACTAGCGAGAGTGCGAGCGATCCAGCAACGCTGCGCTAAATGCTAAGAGTATATGGTACCTTCTAGAATTTTTGTAGTGCTTTGGGGTAGCAAATATGGGTTAATTTAGCCTAAAACATCTACTAATCATCTACCATTTTTTGTATATTGTAGACCGAAGATCTGTCGAAGTTCTATCCGTTGAGTTTGATGGAAACGGGCCGCGACATAATGTTCTTTTGGGCCGCCCGAATGGTGATGTTGGGCGTCGCCCTCACCGGTCGATTGCCCTTCGGGCGATTGCTGTTGCACGGCATCGTCTGCGACGCCCACGGTCGCAAAATGTCGAAGAGTTTGGGCAACGTCGTCGCCCCGGAGGAGATCATCGACGGCATCACCTCCGATGTGAGTGTATATGAATGTCGAAAAAGAAGAATATACGAGGGATAGGGCGAACAGTTCTCGGCCTGGATCGTTTAGAACGCTTCGGAACCGTTTTTAGAACGTCCCAGAATCATTTAGAACGCCGATGAATTATTTCAAACGTTCCATAGTTATTTAGATCGCTTCAGAATCGTGTGGAATTGTCTAGAGCAATTTGGGACGCTTCAGAATCATTTAGAACTGTCTTGAACTAAAGATTTCGACTCAATAAGATGAGTAATGTAATTTTTCAACTGAAAATCGCGGTCTTTCATCGCCAGGCCGAGAACTTTCCACCTTACCCTTGTATTATGATAACTAATATCACAAATCCTTTTGTTCTTTCGCCTTTTGTACTACCCAATTTTTAGATTACCCAACGTCTAGATTTAGAGTACATATTGTATCGTTTGTTTGTAGGAAATGAAGTCGAAATTAGAACTAAACTACAACAAGGGATTCATATCGAAGGAGGAGTTCGATCGATCCCTTCGAGGCCAAAGGAAAATGTTCCCTAAAGGCGTGCCCGAATGCGGCATAGACGCTTTGAGATTCACTCTTCTATCGCACGACATCAAAAGTCAGTATACAAGCTACTATTTTCGGTACAATTGCAAATATTCCTAAAACTTTTCGAGCCGTATCAGTATAACCGACTAATAAAAGGCCACGATCCTTCCTAACAGAGCGCTTCGTCAATTTCGACGTGTCCGAATGCCACGTGAACAAGCTGTTTTGCAACAAGATCTGGCAAAGCACCAGGTTCGCCTTGTCGTGGTACGACGAACTGCGGGATCGGCTGGTACCCGTCGGGTACGAGGATAGTTCGAGCACCGATCGATGGATTTTGAGCAAATTGAGCGGGATGATCGATCGGGTTTCGCTCGGTTTGGAGAATTGCGATTTCTGCGCCGCCGCCAAGGCTTTGAAGCAGTTCCTGTACTACGAATTCTGCGACGTTTACTTGGTGAGTACGCGGGTACTTGCGTGAAAGAAAAACGGACTGTTGCGTTGCAGGAAACCAGCAAAAGAGGCCTGAGGAATTCGGAGGGGGACATCAAGACGGCTTCGGTTAATTTGTGGACGATTTTGACCTGCTTGGATACGAGTTTGAGATGTCTCGCGCCTTTTATGCCCGTCGTATCGCGACATTTGCATTCCCGTTTGCCATCGTACGATCGACAGAGAAATACCGGTTTTCCCGAAGTAAGAGTCGCGAAAATTTTATAGTATGTAATTTAGAAACTGTATATTCAACCATTTAGAACACTACAGAATCGTTTATAACTGTCTAGAACCATTTAGAACGCTCCAGAATCATGTGGAACTGTCTAGAGCAATTTAGGGCGCTTCAGAATCATTTAGAAGTGTCTTGAACTAAAGATTTCGACTTAATAAGATGAGTAAAGTAATTTTTCGACTGAATATTTTAGAGACTGAATTGGTCGGACGATAAACTGGAGGAGCAAATGGACGAATTAATGGACGTCGTCGTTGCTGTTAGAAGACTGAAAAATGTGTTTAACGTTAACGTTCATAGCGGAGCGGAAGGTACGTTAATTTACGTTTATTGCCTATTTATGGACCGAATTAATCGTTAATTTTCAGTTTGTTTGGCGACGACGTTCGATTTTCTATTGGCTAATTCTCGGCTAATCGAAGATCTGACGGGTTTTAGGCGAATAGACGTCGTAGAGGGATCGAATGTGCAATTATCTGGCGATTTTCTGACCGATAGATCTCGAAATACCAGCGTTTACGTAAAAATAACGAAGGATTTCAAGAAGACGTTAACGTTAGACTTGGAAAAAGTGTTGGTGAAGAAGGCGAAAGTGGAAAAGGAGCTCGACAGGTTTAGGAAAATGATGGGACACGAGAATTATTCGATCAAAACGGACGAAGCTAGGAAATTGTTGGATTCGAAAAGGGTTCGTACGAATCGATTTTTTTTAAAGACTTTTTAAGAAATTTCTCGGGTTTTTTTACGCAGATGGCTGCATTGGAAGAACAACTGTCTAGATTGGAATATTTTCGAATCGTAGCCGAAAGATGATTAATTACAGTAAGTTAATAATTGTATAAAATATAAGTGTAAAGTATGCAACACTTTTAACAAGCTAATGTAAAAGTTTTTTACTTTGTATCAAGATTAGAAATAAAATCTGTTTTTCTTAATTGCTAGATAATATTCATTCTCTCACCGAAGTTCAATTGACGTTTTACAGCAACAGTACAAGGCCACTAAGAACACCTACAAAAATATATTTCATTAATTTCGTATAAAAAATTTGTAATAAATTGGTTTACCCATAAACAATATCCGTAGTTACTTCATAACAATATAATAAAACTGTCAATTGAAAAAATCTCCTTAGTTACTCCATAACAACCAATGTAAAACGGTCAAGTTTTGGAAAAAATTGTCGATGTGTTTGTTTAGTTATTAACAGGACATTTTCGAAGCCTGTACCCTCCGTAATTCAATTGACGTTTTACAGCAACAGTACAAGGCCAATAAGAGCCACAATGATCCCTGAATATCTACGAAAAAAATGGACAAGTGTAAATTTGTTTGTTTTACAATTTACAATAAACTCATTTACCCGTAAACAATCTCTTCACGAAAACGTTCCCTACATCAGTTCCTGCGAAGAAGTAAAAATTCGAAACTGCCGACATTGCCAGCAAAACTGCCATGAAAAAACAATCTTTTCTTCCGCATTCTTCCTTCTTTTTCATCCACAAATTCTCCACGATTATCCCGGAATAATTCAACAAACTCCACACTAACACGTGCTTTTCCAGACCGTGCCAGAAGTACACGAAGGCGAAACACAGGAAACTCCTCAACGGTTTATTACCCTCAAATAGACCTGATGATGGTACGTAAATATGTCTGAAACGTCGTTGATTATTTTAAATACACGAGTATGGGATTTTTGGTGCTTACTTGACGAGGAACTCGTACAAACCCATGTCGAAGTACCTCCACATGTCCGAGTACAAATGTACCCTGCCTATGCAACGCGGTAAATTCGGTACTTTCACGCCATCACAGGAGGCCATGCTGGTACTCAAGCCGTATTGCACGAGGTACTTGATGTGGAAATATTGGCCCATCGTGTAGCCGTAACCGTACAAACACCAGCTGTCTAGATCGTTGATGAACTGGAAAATATAAGAGTGTGTCACCCTGTAAACAACGTGCATAGTTACATCACCCTGTATATCGTTACCTGTAAATGATAAGCAACGGCATTGACGTAGACGAAGTGCAACGTTGTGTACAGGGCGAGCAAATAAAGTAAACCTTTGGCCACATTTTTGGAGAATTTGGTGAAGTCCGGTGGAGGATTGGACAGCTCGAAAGACCTCCGGAAGTTTTCGTATAACAAAAAAGGACCCGTGAAAAACGTGGGTAGGTAAAAACAGTAGGAAAAGAAATCCAGCAAATCTATTTTATCCGTTTCTAAATTGTAACTGGTGCATTTCAAGTTCATCCAGAACAAACCGATTATTATTGAGTACAATTCGCAATCTGTTAGTTGGAATGTTTCCAAGGGCTCCTTATCGCTTATCGTAGATTTTAAATAATTTAATATAACTAAAAATGAACTGGTCAATAACCAAATTATTGTCGTTTTCATCGGGTAAATTCGTTTCACTACGTAGAATACCAGCGGTTGAATCGATAGAATTAATAGACACATAAAATTCAATTTAAGGAGTATGTATGTTACACTGAAGAGTATTTGCCACACTTTTAGCACCTAAGAGAGAACATATCTGTTATTTTGTTGTATTATTAGGGTATTATAAATACCCTTACTCGAGGAGATTGCACGTACACTCGAATAAAACGGCCTACTAAGAGATGAACCAGCAGCCAAGGTAGCAGATTTTCGGTAATAAACAAAATTGCTTCGAATTCTATGTCTGATTTGTCCCTTTTGCTCGACAAAAACGCAATTCCTCGCGTGAAATCTCCGAAATTATCACGGTAATGTTGGAAATCTGTAAAAGAAATGTTATCGAATTTGTATGTAAAAAATTAAATATATTTACATTTATGCGTGGCCGTGGAAAAGCGATAAATCGAGTAAATTACAGTTGAGCACCATATTGATATGTAAACAAATTGTTCTTTCTTCATTTAGTTTTATATTTATGTAGTTGTGTAAATAGAAAAATATCAACTTTTTATAGGTTATGAAGATTGTTTATGTTGTTAATTGTGAAGTTAGGCACAAGAATCATCAAACACAAAACGTCAGATTTAGTTGATGTGTCAAAAATTTTTGACTAAATGGCCTTTTACTGTTAGGTTAATAATCGACTTTAGAATTTTATTTTTCATTTTTTTATTTATTTTTACATATATACATGACTAGGTAAAGCGAAATGTACAAACAAAATATTACGAATAAAATTACATTGCAATTGTAATATTACAAAAACAAAGAAAATTTCAAATAAATACTTGCGTAGATTTTAGATATATCCCATTACATTTATATTAAAAAATAACTCTCTTAATTCTATTTACTGTACAATTACTATCTATACAATTACTGTACAATTATTTAGAAAATCTAAATAAATGTAAACAATTTCCTTAGTTACTCAATAGAGAGGGCAAATTGTGAAGAATTAAATCAATTACTCGTATACAAGGCGGAGCTCAGACGTAACTGAAAGTCCTTGTAGAGCAATTTGCCCCCTAAGGGGGCCCTTTTCAGGAACATGCCGGGTGACATAAGACACAGGGCTTTGCCGTTCATCAGAAATCTGCTCGATTGCACTTCGGGCAGGTTGTGTTTTGTCATGACGAATTTCAACCAATCAGCCACGTTTTCTCTTGTCCATTGGCGAGGATCTAAAATATATAAAAAAATTATTATTTATTAAATAGAAGAAGAAAGAGGAGGTAGAGGAGGAAATGTTATGAGGAAAACATGGTGGAAAAGTAAAAGTAAAAGAAGTAGTAGAAGTAGAAACAGAAGCAGAAGGAGTAGAAATAGAAGTAGAATCTATTCAAAAAAAATCAAATCACCTCTGGGTAAATCATCATCTTCGCGATGATCGATTGTTTGGGATTCCCCACAGTTGAAGGCCTCTTCCCATTCGGTTCTCAGGCCATATTGAACGAGGATTTCGGCCGTTTGCAAAGCCATCTTCAAGTCGGTGACGTAGTAGCCTATTTTGGAGGGTACCTAATAAATAGAAAGAGAAAATTTAGAATGTTTTATTAGTCCACCCTGTGTAATATAGTTATAATCACCCTGTATAGTAGGGTTGAGTTTTTTTTCGGAAATTACGCGAAATTCAAGAACTTTAGAGCGGTTTTTGAAACGTAATTGAAAGAAAAATCACGAGTGTTTTATCTCGATATAAATCAAAAATTTACCCTCCAAAGTTTGTACAAAAGTATTTTACAAATAAACACCCTGTAGGTATACTTATACGAATCTAGTTAGCGATTTTTCCATGGCCTACCCGACAAAACAGGAAGGGGTGTGTTTGTTTGCGTTTCCGGTCGTAAAAATTCCTCTTATCCTCCCTTTTATTTAAAATTCTTCACGAAATTTCTTCAATGCTATTTTTGTGCTATTTCGAGGAAACGGACCGGCTGGAACTTCTCGAATTTCGCGTCATTTCCGAAAGAAAAAAAGGAAACCCTAATTAATATACAGGGGCTGATAAATAACTTTGTAGAAAACATTTTTTTTCTACACTATAAAATGAAATTAATTAATTAAAATGAAAAAAAAAATGTGTTTGAACTCGAGTGCTGGATGAATAATACATATTTTATTAGCGATTAAAAATTTGATGATATAATAAATATAGGAAGAGTGTGAATAGGAATTGAAAAAAAGAATTAACTATTTAAAACGAAACGGAAAAAAACAAACATGATAACGGCAATTGAAATTCGATGATAATTGATTTCCTTTTTCCGGTTACCATCCGGTAAAAAAGGTGAATTTTACGTGTAATTTATATTATTTATTTTTCGGCTTTGCTTTTTGTATTTTGTACGCTACAAGGATACGGATATCCTGCCTGCATAGAAATAAAAAACATACGAAAGGACATCCTTTATACGTTTTATATTCGATAAAACGAACAGCAAATAATAAACATTTTAATCTCCTGTTTTCTATTATAGAGAAAATGGATTTTTAACACGTCCACCGACAGTGCAGCCTTATTATTTGCTACACATTTTATGCGGCATATTTTTTTAATTAATTTTACCGAAATAATCGTGTGATTCTTTCATTATTTAATAGAACAATCAAATTTGCGGGAAATATTTCCTTACAATAAGTAAATAAGCAGTTACTTTGTTTACGAAGACAATAATGAGTAAATTAGAGAGAAAATACGCGAAATAGCAAATCAAAAAATACAAATAATTACGTATACTAAAAAATAAGAAAAAAATCAAAACTTACCTTACGAAAAATCGACCAATTCAATCACTTTAATCCTTTATTTTTTTGTTTATTATATTCAAAAATCACCTCTGGATTAATCCGGACTAATCCGAGTAACACGTGAGATTTCGAATAATAAACAAACAAAAAAAATCGCGCTCTTTATAGATATTACACGCGAAAATGTACAGTTACTACAAAGTAGCCTTATTCTTATTAATTACACTTATTACACACGAAAAATACACCAAGAAAGCGAAGGTACAATAACTATTACTAGATCACTACAGGTAGAGTACAAGTTTTGTAGTTATCGAGGCGGCTGCGACAATACGAATGCAAGGCCAACTGTCGGATGTTCTCGTTAAATGCCGGGGTGAGTACAAAGAGCACCGGAAAGGGATGAAAGGAAGACCAGTGGGGGAAGGAAAAAGACGGTCAAAAGCCAGTACAAAAAAAATAACAAAATAAAATGCACCCTCTGACTCTTGAATGGATGTAGAGGAAACGGATATTTTCCGTTATGTTTATTTTCGATTGTCCCTTTTCGCCGGGGAATCCCCGGAAGTCGATGGAAGATGTTTTTAATTTTTATTCTCAGACCGGATGCGCCATTATAGTCCATTATTGATGAATTTGTACAGAAATCGCTTCGAAATCGCTGTATAATACTGTAATATCGACATAATGGAGAAAAATACCTAAATAGTATAGTGACAAACAAAAAGGACAAAAATATTTTTTTCTTTTTTGACCTAAGTAGGAGTTGATTTAAAAATGTTTTGTATACTCACAGACCAACTACCCAGGTGTAAAAAGGGGCACCCATAGAGAAAGATGTCTTATATTTTGTCTATGGGGGCACATCGCTTGTAGGTATAACTTGTTTTTGATAAAGAAAGAGATTATGACGTATATGTCAAATATGACAGATGACTGAATTACCGTAATGTAATAGATCACAAAGACCACGCTTGATTCAAAAAAGAAGAAAAATTTTATTGACAAACGATATGTAAACATAACCTCAAAGAAAAAAGTATTATTTTATTATTATACGCTCGTTTGCTTTAAATGTTAGCAAAAAAAGACGCCAACTTCGACGTCCTCGAGCTATTCAGAGACAAGAAACTGGTAAAAACATGCGCCCCGATGGTGCGCTACAGCAAGCTGCAATTCAGGAACCTGGTGAAACTGTACGACTGCGACCTGGCCTTCACGCCGATGATCCTCGCCGATTCGTTTCGCCTCAGCGACAAGGCCAGACGCAACGAATTCACCACGAACTCCCTCGACGCGCCGCTCATCGCCCAATTCGCCGCCAACGCGCCCCGCGACTTCGTCGCCGCCGCCCGCCTGGCCGCCCCCTTCTGCGACGGCGCCGACCTCAACTGCGGCTGCCCCCAGAGATGGGCCAAGGACAGGCAGCTCGGCTGCGAGATGCTCAAGCGGCCCGAATCCATTTGCGATATAATCAAGTGAGATAGAATCGATTTGTATGTCCCCGATAAGTACGAAACAGAATAATATCCTCCTTACAATCCTCGTACTTATCAGGGAGACAGTCGCCTACACGTACATTTCATTACCATCCTCTTCGTTTTTCAGACAATGCAGGAATCGAATTGCGAAACCGTTCACTGTGAGCGTCAAAATGCGACTGCTAAACGATGATAGACAGACAGTGGAGGTGTGTAGGAGGCTCGAAAGGGCCGGTGTGAGTTTCCTAACGGTGCACGGTCGAACGTCGAGCCAATTAGTCGGTGAAATCAACAGGGAGGCGTTGAAATTGGCGAGGGAAAATTGCGACGTTCCGGTAATAGCCAACGGGGGCGCCACGAGCCTCGAGGATTGCATCGAATTGAGCGAGTACACGGGATGCAGAGGAATTATGGTGGCCAACGGCATATTGAGTAATCCTACGATGTTTTCGGGTAGTTCGAGGACGACGATCGACTGCGTACAAAACTGGTTAGATATTTGCTACAACAGTACCATATCGTTGGATAATTACGAGAGGGAACGAAGAAAATCCGTCGTCGGTGCGATTAAAGAGAAACCTTTCAATCTTACATTCCAAGTGTTCCACCATCATTTAGTGTTCATGTTGGAGAAACTGTTGCCAAGGAATCGACGGCGCGTCTTTAATAATTTAAAAACATTCAGCGAGGTGCTGGAATTTCTACAGGACCATTTCCACATTAAACCTCGTTTGTTCGAACTAGATTTATTTTTAAAATACAACAACATCACCACGGATTACGCCGATATCGATACATCGTGCCTAGACAATAGCGAAATACGCGAAGGGCACGGTAAATTCTTTACTGATAAAATCAACGAGAGCAACGACGATGATGATGTTGATTGTTGCGGCTGGTCGAATATATTTCTCGAAAACGGATGATTAAATTGCTGCGAGACAAAAAAAAACAACCAAAGTGTGTACACTCATTTCTTCCTTCCACCTCTTTCTTTGATTTGCAACTGAATGACCGCTCCTTGCGTCACATTGTAGTAAGCCAACGTGTTGGAATCCTTGAAGAACATTCCCTTCAAAAGAAATATACATAAGAACTATCTAGATTCTAGGCGATAGGTAAAGGTACTTACGTCGAAGAATAATTTCTGTTTGGCCGGCGGCATGTTCGTTTCCTCCTGGATTTTGGCCTTCAGATTCGACACCGACTCCGTCAACGCCAACGTCCACGATACCATTTGGCCCTTCAACCTCCATTCCGATTTCTCCGGCATCACAGGCACCGAAATCTTGATAGACACTTGACTCTACGAAACAGAAACATTTTACAATCGTATTTCGGGACCAGAGAGGTGTATAGGAAGATAGAAACGGACCCCCTCATTACGAATATGACCATCATTTTCCCAGCAAAACTCATTTCGGCTCGCAATCGCGATTTAAAAAATGCTAATCGTCCGCCATTTTGGAAAAAATCCAAGTTGACGTATCGTTATGTCATTTTTCGTTCTCCTGCGGCCTTTTACTAAGTCAATGTACAATACAGGGCTAAGCCCTTTTCCGATGGTTTAGCGAGTATTACTTACTAACGTTCCAACTACTTACCGGATTTCTGGACAAAAACACGTTCTCCGGCACCAACGAATCCTCGTTTCTCAATTTCTTGTTGCTCGGCTCGTCCTCGCTGGGCCCGTCGCTGGGATGCTTCATGGGGGCCATGTTCATGCCGGGACCCGGCGGCCCGCCGGGCATCGGTCCCACCGGATAGCCGCCCATCGCCACACCACCGGCCACTGGAATTCGATAAATTCATTTAACGTTTACGATCGAAGCGAAAGCGACAAAAGAGCCTTACTCATGAGCGGCGGCGGTCGTATGGCGGGCATCGGAGGGGCCGGCATCATCATAATGGACGGTTGCGGCGCCATCATCGTCGGTTGCGCCGGAACCGGCATGATCGGCTGGGCGCTCGTTTGCATCATCGAAATCGACTGTTTGGATTGCTGTTATTATACAGTAAATTAATGCCGTTTAAAAAGCGCGTTTAATATATACCTGCGTAGAGGGATTCGGCGGTTTCGTAGTGATAACGCTTTGGATGTTAATCTTCTTCGAACCGATATTCTTCGGACCGATCTTCTCCTTCTCTTCGTCGGGTAGGAGACCTTTCACTTTATGTATCTGATGTATCTGCTCCTCCAAGGTGATGTTGGCGCGCGCCGCCCTCGTCGCCGCCTCCACGCTGCTCGTGTGCCCGTCCCACGTCACTTTCTCGTCCTTGCGCACGTCCTCCTCGCCGATTTTCTTACCGATCGCCGTCTCCTCGTCGCCCACGCCGAATATGTCCGTACGCCTTTCGGCCAGCAACTTCAACGAAGCGTCGATGGCGCTCCCTGCGGCGTACACCTGAATCAAAAAACCGAATCGTTTTACCGTCAATAATACGTTTAATAGTCGAGGTAAATTCACCATGTCTTGGTTCATCTTGTCGGACATTTGTTTGTCGCGTTGCTCGACCCATCGCGGGTCCAACAGCCCGATGCGCATGTGCTCCTGTACTTTACTGGCCGGTATCTTCTCGCCGGTGATGGGCGATACTAGATAATCGTCGCCTACTGTCGGCCTCGATACTTTCACGGCTACGGATACAACAAAATAATTCGCTGTTCTACAATAGTAATAAAATTCTAGTACCTTGTTTGGGATCGTATTTTTTGACGAGTACTTTATCGGGCACGGGCGGCAACGGCGGCTGGATGAGCGAAGATGAAGTCGAAGTTTTACCGGATTCGTCGTCGTTGTCTTCATCGGAGGTGTCCTCTTCCATGTCCTGCAGACGGTTGTCGTCGCCGCCTCCCTTGCGCTTCGTCTTATCCTGCATGGCGCTCAAACCGTCGTCCTATAGACACAAAAAGCAATCATTTAGTTAACACTATCGACGGTAAGGGTCAATCAACCATGTAGTATATTGTAGAGAAGCAACTAGGTTGGAGAATATTTGTGGTCAAAAAGGAGGATCATTTACCGCGTTGGAGGGATCGTCGTCTTCGTCGCTTTCCAATTGCATTTCGATGTCTTCGCCCTCTTCGATCCTCTCTTGGATGAGAATGCGCGCGCCGACCTCTTCGGGGGTCGTGGGCGGCGGGAAATTGCCGATTTCGAACGGTTGATAATCGACGGTTTCGACAACGACGAAATCGTGCCAGTCTATTTGCGCGTAAGCCACTGAAATGATAACCAAAAATAATTATAAATTTTCTATTACTCGTCGCCGAATGCGCGTCACCTCTTTCTCTTTCGAGTATCTCCTCCTCTTTGGCCTTTTGCTGTTCTTGATACCGCAACCATTCGGCCCTGTATTTGACCTGCTCGAGTACGGCTTTGGCGCTTTTCGCCTCGTCTCTGAGCCTTTGTTCCATGCTCTTCGGCGGAATGAGCACCTAAATAACGAGAAAATTAACTCGGCTACATCCGAAATACTACACATTTCTTATGTACCTTGGTGTACTGTTCCAAAAGCTTGGTGAAATATTGAAAAAGCGAATGTTGCGGTCTCAAAAAATCGAATTGGAAGTTCCTCTGTTCTCTGTTCATCAGTTGCGTTAGAAAAGCTCGACCGTTTCTCGCTACAAATTGGGCCGTAAGCTTAACGATATCCCTGAAATATGACAGAATTAATTTCGTTACAACTACCGAATAGTACCCTCTGCGAGTACTCACAAATCTAAAGCTGAAATCGACGGGGGATCCGCTATAAACTCGAATTCGGCCGGCGGATCTTTCGGAACGAAAGGCTGCTCGACTTGCTTCAATATCTCCTGTTGCTTTTGCTGTGCGGAAGCGCTCACCGAAAGTTTCGCAATGGCTTGGTTCAAGCCCGGAGTCGGTTCGTGGCCTGTAAATAAAAAAACCCGATCGATTGTTATTAATACGACTTTATATATGTGTTTTGGTACCTTTTCCCTCTCTGAAATCCTTCACTTTGTGTTGGTAGTAGGCGTGATAGGGATCACCGCCATTGAGGAAGTTGAATTTGGGATTGCCGAGCTCGTTTTGTCTGATACGTGCTTCGAATTCGGGTCCATTTCTCGCGACGAAACTGGCGGTTTTGTCGACGATATCTTACACGCGCATAAGGAATTTATATACTAAATGAATTGGAGATTTGGAGGCACGTTTAGTTCGGTAAAAAGGATACTTCTAACCTCCGGCGGAGGATAGATTATTCCGACGACTGGGTTTATGGGCGCCGATTCATCGTTGTTGGTATTCGCTGTTACCTCCAACGGAGGCATTTTTATTGTTATTGGCTAATTTTTAGCGCTTAATCCTGTAAAATATTAATAACTAACACTTATTTGCTTGATAACAAACCTCCATTAACATTTAAATGACATATGTCATGTCATATGTCATCAAATTTTTAATCTTCTTTTTTAAAGCTGACATTTTCGTTTAAACAGCTAGCTCCCAGATTTTAATACAATTATTAAACAACGATACTAGAATATCACTACTTATAAATAAACTTAATAATCACTTTAATTATAATATGATAAAGCATTATCATAAATCACTTACTAATTTAATAACGAAATATTTCATTAATCAGAGGCAGGTTTCCATTCGTCAGTACTCGGAAATGTCAACTTCAGTTGTCATTTAATATTTATTAAAGAAACTAAACTTATGCAACAGAATCGAATTAAAAACTTAACAAGAAAGTTTTCCAGCAAATCGAGCGACATTTTCCGATTAATAAATATTAAATAAACTCTACGCATCGAATTTTTTACGGTTGTTAGTGAGGCAGTGACGTTAATATAGGATAAAGTAATCAAGTGGTTTGTTGCATGTCGAATTGTTTATAGAATACATATTGTAGGAAAAAGAAGAGGAAAAATGGAAAATTGAAGTGTGTATAATGCCATAAAAACTTTCAAAATTCGCTATTTTTCCAAATAAAAATCCGCCGAGAAGGTAATAGCACGATCGACTGGTAGTTCCTTTATAGCAAAATAGAGCGAAAATGGCGAATATCGCAGCACAGAGGATAAAAAGGGAGTTCAAAGAAGTGATAAAAAGCGAAGAGGTTAGTTAAATATTTTGCTAAAAATTGTATTGTAATCATCATAATTGTCATTTACAAGATTATCTCTCTTGGCGATTTTTAATCAAACATTTAAGTGTTTTGAGTAAATTTCTCGCCCAAATGAATATTTCCCAACAATTCTGTGTCGCTTTAACCAAATTTAAACAAAACCCATCGTATTTCAGGTAGCAAAATGCGCCATCAAATTGGAATTACTGAACGACAGTTATACGGAGTTGAAAGGGGAAATCGCAGGCCCACCCGACACACCTTACGAAGGCGGCAATTTCGTTTTAGAAATTAGAGTACCCGAAACCTATCCGTTCAATCCCCCCAAGGTCAGGTTCATAACGAAAATCTGGCACCCGAATATATCTTCCGTTACCGGAGCCATTTGTTTAGACATTCTCAAAGACCAATGGTGAGTTATCGCTTCCACCTAATCGTTGAATACAAAAAAAAAGACATCCCGAAGGTGGCTCTGATGTACGAGGGTAGGGTGAAAAGTTCTCAATGAAAGACAGCGATTTTCAGTTGAAAAATTACATTAGTTTTCTTATTAAGTCGACATCTTCAGTTCGAGGCGGTTCTAAATGGTTTTAGAGAGTTCTAAATCATTCTGGAGCGTTCTAGACTGCTCTAGACAGTTCTAAAATGATTCAGGCCGAGAACTATCCACCCTACCCTCGTAGTCCTACATACAGGACCAAAAATGTACTTACTGTATATGTTTTTGTTGTTTTTCGGGGGGCCCCCGCAGGGCGGCGGCGATGACGTTGAGAACGGTGCTGTTGTCGCTGCAGGCGCTCCTTTCGGCCGCGGAGCCGGACGATCCCCAGGACGCCGTCGTCGCTCGACAGTACAAAGAGAACCTGGAGATGTTCAAATTGACTGCCAAACATTGGACCAACGTCTACGCCGGCGGTAAGTTCATTGGAAAGGAAGATTTCTAAGGTGTAGAGGTGGAGTAGATTGCTCTACTTTTGTGTTTAAATAAAGCGCAGGATAATTGCGGGTGTACATGGTGTCCTTTGGAGGGTATTCAACAGCCAATAGAGGTTATTTTTCTATCAAAAGTTCATTTCAGCCCAATATATCAATTATTCTGCGTTTTAATTTTAATATCCTTACTGATGACTCCTTTGCTTTGTGATTGAAAGAGCGATCGTCGAGTTATCATCGTTTGTTGTAGGTCCGTTCGTGAATAGCGATTGTGATGATAAAATCAAAAGGTTAATCGATATGGGTATCGAGGAACATCAGGCGAGAGTGGCCCTTTCTTCATACAATTGGGTGCTCGAAAGGGCCACTGAACAATTGTTCAGTTAGTGAAGGATGTGTCGCTGATCGTTTCGTTTCTCTTCTTCTTCTTCTTCCGCTCTACTTACTTCTGAAATTTCGCGTTCGCAATTATTTTGAAAATAGTACACCAGATTTTTGTTGGTTTTTTTTTTCTTTCAATATTTTTCCTTGTAATATATACAATTAATTACCGTCGTGTTTTATTTAAACTGAATTAGAAATAGCAATATGTAACACACTTAATAGTAATAATCCTTGGATAAAGTGATGAATGATAATCTTCTTTGCTGCGAAACTACCGGTATAGGCACCTCGAATCCCTGTAATTTTATTGTACTCTAATTAATTCGATTTGTAAGCGGCCTCTTACTTCTTACCTTAACAGTTATTTTCCGAGCCTTCAAATCCACCCGATTCGGCCGCTCCTTTTTCAGAGCCACGCAATAGAGCCTGATGGTGAAATAATAGAGAATTTCAACGGCCGACAGCAAACTGAATCCCAGGAATAAACCGGCTATACCACCGAACGAAACTGCAAACACAAACATATTATCTCTCACCCGTTTCGTTAGATGTTTGTGTACAGTTAAAGATACCTAAAAGATCGACCCAACCGAACAAGACTTCTCTTTTGTACCTCACCATCGGCCAAGATACGAATTTCACCTCCAATGTGGACGCGCTCTCTTCCCCGTCGGACCTGCACCGAACAAAATAGATATCGAGCTATTATCTTTACTTACTTAGCTAATCTTAGGAGCTTTACTTACGAGCACAGTCCTATATATTTCTAAGGTCTGGAAACATGGGTCGAAAAAGTGTCCCGTTATTTGATGATAAAACAGGGTTTTTAAAATGGCCGCTAGTAGGCGATGTTGTAAAGGGCCACGGTTTTTTACGTACGAATTATATAGAATTAGCATTAAAAAAGGTTATATTCAAACTAAAAATAGATAGAAAATATAAAAATATACTTAAATCAGCGATTATTTTGTTGTTAACATCATGCCTCACGTATCTTCGGTTAACGTATTTCTCCATTTTCTCCTCGAAATGTCAAAAAATAATTTTTAAAGTTTTGACAGCTCGAACTGTCATTTCACACAACCGCGATTTAAATCTAGCGCGCCGCCGATTGGCTGAGATAAGTCGCTCCTCCGATCGTTCGCCACCATGCGGCGCAAAAGTGAAGCTCAAAAAGTGCTCAAATAACGGGACACAGTCTCTAATGCATAACCATAGGAAGTTTCCAGACCTTAGAAATATAGGACCGTGCTTACGAGTCACCGTCGAGCTTCTCGATCTCGTAGGCCGTGTGCAGGCAACCCAACGGACATCGGCACGCTTCGATCGAAACGATCCGTTCGAAATGGCGGGCGATGCAGCGCATGCGCGCCCAATCGCAGCGATCGTAACCGTTGCCCGAAGGGTAAAAGTGCGGCGCGCAACCGCAATATTTCACCGCGTTGCGCATCCTGCATTCGGTCGCGCATGCGGTGTACGAGTACGTGTCGTCGAACTGAAATGTCAAACGTCAAGAAATTCGACAGTTGACGTGTAGAGGATTTACCTCGATTTGGAGCTCGTTTTGGAAAGCGCACCGCCTTTGGTTGAGGTTTAATTGCTTAGCATCCTCTGTGGTGTAGGTTTGTTTCATCGAAAACAGCGCCCGCTCGATTTTGAAGTCCCATACGTGTTGAGGTCTCGAGTCCCACGTGCATACTTCGTTTGAATTCAAAATGTATATCTAAAACATGGCGTGACAGGTGACGTTTCGCCTGTCAATATGACATATCGATAAATACACTCACCGAGAAAACGGAGGATTTGGATTTGACTTGAAAGGATAACGACCATTTTAGGTCGGTTTCTTCGATAAAATGCTCGATAAAATCGCTTCTAAAAAATTATTTTTATAGCTAATTTTTTGGAGTGATACTACCAGATTTACCCGTTCTGAATATGTCGATAGAAGTGCTTCGAATTGAACGTGTGACAGAACCCGTTTTCGGTGAATACCGGCCGAAAGATCTCGCAACAATTCAAAATGGCCGACTTCCAATGACAGACGTCAAACAGTTGCTCGCACTTGTTGTTGAGCTGTCAAACGATGCAAAATTTTTTGAAATTGCCACCGAATAGCGACTGTTTGCGAACAAACTTACGTCGTAAATGAAGCGTTCAACGTCGCTATTTCCATCTAAAATCTTCTCCCCTATTTCGGGGTAATTTTCCGCCAAGTTTTTCCAATTACCCAACGACAGTTTCGCCAACTCGACGAAGAACTCCTTGGCCGCGGCATCGGAAAAGCTGACGTTCCTGCGACAGTCCAGAGATCGATAGAAATTTATTTAAACTAAATACACTATTTACTTATTATTTAGATCGACGAGGCGGCGCTGGATTTCCGCGTCATCGGCGCTTTCCCTTTGACAAACGGTCACCGCCGGAAAAGCCACCTCCCAATTGTGAAAATCCGTGTCGAGTCCGGTGATGGTCGGATTGGTTTGGAATTTCTCCCACAGATTTAGGATGATCACGATGGCCGTGATCAGGCCTATGGCGATCCACACGAACCACATGGACCTACAGATAAATGACACATGTCAAACTGTCACCTCCTTCCACTGGAGTTTCCAGACCAGCAAGTAAGATCGCGAAACGTGAAATTAACATAAAAAATGAGAATTTTAATGGAAATGGTGGAAAAAGAACCTTTCGATGAAACTCCTCTCGTTTTCCGCTACGTATTTAACGCCGTGTAGAGATGAATTTTGAAAGAACAGCTTTCCTTGCTCTTTCAGCTTCCTCTTTAAATGGCCGGATTTTCTTTTTCGAGAAACCTGCAACACGTTGAAATATGTATTATAATATTTCTGCACTATTCGAATAAGAAATCTACTTACCATTTCTATGTTCTAACGACTAATAATAATATATCAAAATTATTGGAAACATCGCATTTGGATGAATACAGAAGATAAAAATCACGGATAACTTGATTACCCGTCATTGTATAGGCGCAACAATAAAAACCAATCGATAAGTCCATTATAAAATATCGACCCAAAAATAATAACAATCCATTTTACCTATCAAAACGAACGAGTAGGTATTTTATTACAAAATTAAACAAACAAAGGACAAAAAAAATTCTAAGTAAGAGCAACATATCATAGATAACAGAATATTATAATACATATGCATATACAGGTCGCTTAAATACTTCTAATACTAAATAGTTCAGTTGTCTCACTTTTGGTTTTTTTTTTACTTATCGAGCAATGAAAACTCCTCGATAATCGGTTAACAGGAAAACATAAAGTACGATTCCGGAATATGCCGGAATAAATCGTAAAACTGGCAACTAAGCCTCGGCGGCGATGCCTTTACGTATGAGCTCCTTTTCGATATAAACGTCCTCCGGCGACGACGTATCGATCAACATCAAATTCAACACGATATCGGACTCGTACAATTCGTCCTTTTCGATTTTCAACAATATGGAATAGAAATGTTTCCTTTCCACCGTCTTTTTGAACTCCTCGCAGTGCTCCATCGTCCAATTCGAATGCTTCGGTTTGATACCTTCCAACACAAAAAAAACAAAATTAATCAACGATACACAAAACGTCAAGATGGCGGCTCGTCTCGACACGCCTATGACGTCACGATAAGAGCCAACTGAGTTAAAAAAAAAACATGAAGTATTACCTGCCAATTTCGCCTTGATCGCCTGATAGGGTAACTCCATAAATTCCACGTCCAATGGTATTAATTGTTGTAATGTAACGTTAGCGTAGTAACCGAAATCGCAGTAAAACACCGAAATCGAACCGCTGTGGATCACTTTTATCACGCTGGTTCTGAAACAAATCAACACTGTAGCAGTAGCACGACTAGTAAAAGGCCACCTAACAGGCCACCAAAGACAAATATTGAGATTAATTTAAAAGTATTAGGTTTTTTAATCGCCAAATTTAGTATGAATTGTAGAGGTAGAGGCAAAAAATCCACTTAGATATGAGAGAAAACATTTAATTTAAACATTTAAAATAGTCGCAAAATTTGCGAACCTCCTTAACTTTTGTGGATCAGTTTATATAAAAAATAACGGTTATTTTGTAACAGTCGTTACAACACCTCTACACCTAATAATGGATTCCCCACCTCTATCAAACATCTGTCATACGAAACGTCATTAACGTCAATTTTAAATTCGCCACGTTCGGATATGTACCATCGGACGCATCTTAAAGTCTCCGGCGTGTGTTCGTTTTACCTGTACCAATTGCCGTCGGTGAATTTCGAGGCGTAAATGTTGCCGGGCGCCACCTCGTCGATGGTCAGCGGGCTGTAGAGGACGGTGCCGTAGCGCTCCTGCAGGCGCTCCATCAGCTCGTGGAGCCGTTGCTGCGATTCGAGCGGCTGCACGAAGAAGTTGTACGGATTGACGGCGAACGGCACGTGGATCTCGAAGCACTCGTGCTGCCGGGGCAGCGGCGGCGCGCCCAACTTGCCGCCCGACGGGACGTTTTCTGATTCGACAGAGCGTTATCAAAGCGTATGCGAAAAACAGTGTTGCCCGATTTCACCAAAATCAGTTTTGTCCAGTTTCTAAAAAAACTCTCCTCTCATTGTAAATTTTCATCTAAAGACAGCCCGAGTCAAGTTTTAAGTAGTATGAAATTCCCGTGAAAAGTATGGTTAAGTATTTCCTAAATGTTTTAGGCAAATTGTACTTAGGAATTCCTAAATCCGGTTTAGGTATTACCTAAATTTAGGAACTGGTTGGTGAAATCGGCGCATGTGTGTATTTTAGCGAATGTAGCTTGGCAATTGGATGCTCAGTAAGAATATTTAAAGAAGAGAGAAAGTGTAGGGTAACGAGAGTTTAATTGATACTCGTCGAACGTGAAAATGAACGGCGATTTTCGAGTAACGATAGATTCTTTCTTTACAGTTTGCTATGTATAAAGCAATTTTCACATGCCAAGCTACATTCGATGCGGTAGAGAATCGAAACTTACTCGAATTTTTCGCGTTCAACAACGTTTTCCTTTTCAAACAGGCGCCGTTATCGCTGTTTCTAAACAATGAAAAATAATAATTAATATCACAAACGAATCGAATAATTTTTTTGTTGTATAATAAATCTGATAAATATTAGGCCGTATTTATGAAATGAAGCATTTGCTTGTAAAAATGAAATTAAGGTTCATAGCAACTTTTCAGTAGTTATTCAGCCACCAAACAGCTTATAAAGTAATATTTTCGTGTATTTTGACTGTGATTCTCCATTTTGTTATGGCTGACAGGATGCATTTACAATAGTACTGTCTAGAACCATTTAGAACGCTCCAGAATCATCTAGAACTGCCTAGAATCATTTAGAACTGTGTAGATCAATCTAGAACGCTCCAGAATCATTTAGAACTGTGTGGATCAATCTAGAACGCTCCAAAACAATCTAGAATTGCCTAGAATCATTTAGAACTGGCTAGATCCATCTAGAACGCTCCAGAATCATTTAGTACTGTTCAGAACCATTTAGACTAGTTTGACGAAATCGCTAATCTCTGTACCGAACGCTTCTTTTTTAAAAACACGGTCTATCAAACCTGGTCAGTTCGTTTTCCATGGCGATGGATTTGTTGATGCACAACAGCGATTCGTCGGCGTTGCGCCGGAAGAATTCCGCCAGCGGCGTGCCCTCGTCGTCGAACCGGATGATTTTCATGATCACCGGCTCCTCTTTGGTCATTACTTTGCTCGTCACGGCCACGAAATCGGCCGGCAATTCCTCCAACACCATTCTCGTCTACACGCATAACACGAAATACAATTAACACAAAGAAGATCTTTCGATTAACGCTTTTACTTTAACTGCTTGCAGGGGATACACGTTTAAAACGTCGTCTAATTTGTCCAATGGATAGAGTACTGTACTCTTCACTTCGATGATGGCCGTGTGTCCGTAATCCACGTAGTGAATTTGCGCCATCTGTTGGTTCGGCGACCAATCGATGATTTTCAATCTACAAAAAAACAATAAAACGATGTGATAACATCTTCCAGCAATTACCATTACAATCGCGATTACCTGTACCAACGATCGTCCTCTGCGCTCCGTCCGAAATACAATCGGTTTCTACTCGTTTTCGGTTCGAGCGGCTCCAACACCTCCACCGGCGGATTCTCTTCGATTTGAGCCTCCAGCTCGTCGAGCAGCTGCAACAGTCGTTCGAAGCCGCGCGTGCGCACCTGCACGTACAGGTCCCCGTTCGAGGCCACGTGCGATACGTACACTTGCACTATCGTCATCTGCACGAACGATATATTGTTAAAAACGAGCGCATCTAAAGGACATTCGCGCTCGCTAGGCAATGACGTCACCAACATAACCTTAAATTAAACATATCTGTCACATCAAGATATGTCATTTCAACCCGGCAACGTTGCAACACGTTGACTTGTGACGTTATTACCTAGCGAGCGCGAATGTCCTTTATCTATCTATTTATCTACCGTAGTTAAATTAGGCGAGGCCGATTCCATGGTGAGCGTGTGCAGCAATTCCTCGTTGACGGATTGGCCGGTTTCCGCGTTGTACATGTACACGGGCGGTACTTTGTCGTCGTCGGCTGAAACGCAACGATTTGTATAACAAAGATAATCGAAGAGCGACCGTACCGAATACCTATCAGGTCCGAGGCCACTTCCAGTATGAACTGCGAACTGAACAATATCCGCAACAGGGCCTCCGAGTAATTGGATATTTCGTAGAGATCCTCCAGGCCCGCCAAGCGACACACGAACGCCTGGAAAGACAACACACAATGCAACTCGTCGCTAAATATGAAACTGTAAAGGATGTCCATTTTCGTTAGACTATTTGGTAATTTTTAGTAATATCCGCGCAGTTCGAAATGTCCCTAGTGTCAATGTTAATTCTCCCATTTGACAAGGGGAATTTTACGACGCGCAGTTGAACTTCCGAAGCGATGTTGTCTTGCGTTAGTCTTAAAATTCCGCTGTTTTATGTTGACAGGTTATGTTTACAATTTGTTGTTTTTGCTACTTTTAGTTTTACACAAATAAGATGACGTTAATGTCTCCGTCTATTTCTTGTACCCTTTTTTTTATGAATACAACTGTACAAAGCCCACCTGCGCCTGGCAAATGGCGAACTGCCTCTTCAGCTGGTACAAACGCTCGGCCTCGTGCGCCTCCTCCTCGCCCGAATCGATGTAGAAACACGAAACGGTGCGCCCCCTTTCGCCGTCGTCGATCACCTCCAAAGCTCTGACGCGCGCCCACGAGCCGTCGTCGCGCTCCACCACGTAGTACCCGTCCCGGTTGACGACTTGGGCGCGCAGCGACGCCTTGTGCTTCGCGTAGAACGCCTCCATTTTGTCGCACATGGCGTGGAACTTCGCCTGCGGAAACGTCCACGATTACTGCTAAGTTTTGGATATATTAAAATGGTATTTACGCTTTCGTCGGTGTCGATTTGGGCGCACCACACCTCGCCCGCCGACGCCACGTACTGGACTTCGGCCCACAGTTTGCCGTCCTCGGAGAATTCGATCGTGCTGGATGGCACCGAGACGTCGGTGAGCGTCATCGATTTCGGCGGCGACGCCGGCCCGCCTTTCTGTAACGCCTGAGATCGTTTTAGGGGAAAAAAGAAGAATGATCATTCGATGGCGATGAAACGGTGGATGCGATTAAAGGCGTTGTTGATGGCGCCGACTCGCGGTTTATATTGAATTATAAGCGGAAGTTTTATTTGATTGGCTAAGTGATTTTGAAGATAATGTTGCATCAGAAGATGGTTGTTCGTATTCAGCGCTTTTTTTTAAGTTACAGGCGCGCGTTTGATTTGATTTGACAGTTGTAAATTGGTTGTTATGGAGTAACTAAGGAGATTCTTTCAAATTGACAGTTTTACATTGGTTGTTATGGAGTAACTAAGGAGATAGTTTACGCTAAAGAAACTATTTAAACGATTGATTAGCGTTAAAAAAAGAGCGCTGAACACGAGCCAAAGAATCTAAGAATAAACAACTTTCGATTAGGAAACAATATCCGGTGCAGTATGATAAATTCCCAGTGAAATCGCCGCATCAACAATGCGTTAATAATGACACACAACGATGAATATGCTCTATAAAATAAACATGCATAATAGAAGACTTCACCTCATCGGGTTTGCAGTATCTCAACGTATAATTATCGACGACTTTTTGCACGTGAATACAGGGACTGCTATCGATGATTTTCAACCAATCCTCCGGCAATTGCTCGTGGTATTTCTCGCAATAGTCCATTTGCAATTGCCACTCCCAAATCCCTGGAAAAATCGAAGCGAACGGTTACAAAAAATTTCCATCGAATTCGAATATGTATATTCGGGGGACTCACCGCCGTTGTGTTTCTCCAACATCTTCGGTATCCTTTCGAGGATGTCCTTGTCGCAGGCGAGCACCAAGGACTTCCTGCGACCGTATTTCTCCGTCAAATCCTTATAGGCCTCCCGTACGCAGAACGATTCGGCCTCCTGTTCAGTCCGACACTCCTCCGGATAACTCGTGTATTTGTGATTACCGATCTGGATCACAACCCAGTTTAGAACATTCACAATTTACAAACATTTTACTCTCACCTGTATCTTGCAAAGGAACATTTTATGTTTCTTCGTATTGGCAGTAGTTATTTCGATCGTACCCAACTTGTGGTACTCCACAAAGTTCTTCAAATCGACCTTCGGATCGCCGACCGGCACGAATTCCGGCACCTGAAATCGAACCAGTTTTTAGGCCTCTACTATAGCGAAACAAACAGCCCACCTTCGGATTGGGGCTGAATCCCACGGAGCAGGCGCTGTCGTCGCTGATGGGGCTGCTCGTGCCGCTGTCTCGCTCCGATTTCTCCAGGCTCACCTCCGACATCATCTTCGAGATCGTCTTCCTTCGGCTCACGCCCGGCGAACAACAATCTTGGGCCGTTTTCTTCAATCGATCCGCCACGAAATTGTTGTTGTTGTTGTTGTAGTGGCCGTTACGAGCGTTATTGGAGGATTCCTTCGAAGCAACAAAATTAGGATCATGCATTAGTTCCATTTAGAACTGTACAGAATCGTTCAGAACTGTCTAGAATAATGTAGAACAGTTTAGAATGATTTTGAACTGTACAGAATCGTTCAGAACTGTCTAGAGTGATTTAGAACAGTTTACAATGATTTAGAACTGCACAAAATCGTTCAGAACTGTCTAGAATGATTTAGAACAGTTTAGAACTGTCGAGAATCATTTAAGGATACTACAATTGTCAATAATTTACCTGTTTGACATCCTGTACCTGGAGCCACTTCGAAACGGCGGGCGCCGATTGCTTCTGGAACCTGGGCGGTACATTTCGCTGGTTTAAAGAGGAATTTTCGGGCAGGACGACCTTCGACGGGACGGAGGGCGCCTTGTAGTTGACGAATTGATTGAACGACAGGTCGCCGGGACGCGTCGTTTTGGCGTATTTGGCTTTGTGGCTTTTGTGGTGTGGCTGCCATTTGGCGGTGGGCGGCGCGCGCGCGTACAATTTCCCGCGGCTCGTCGGTTTTTTCGTTTTCCTAAAATTAATAACGAGTGCGAATGAGTGGGACTTTAAGATGCGTTCGATGGTACAAAAAACGGCCCGAATTGACATTAATGACGTTTCGTATGACGGAAGTTTAATAGAGGTGGGAAACGGTTTTTTTGTATAGAGGTGCAGTAACGACTGTTACAAAATAACCGTTGTTCCTTAGGATGTTGGTTAAAATTTGCGGGGATTTAATGTAATAAAATAGTGGATAATTACGTTTTCTCTTTCATTTTCATTTTGACGATGTGCGCTGATTCCGCTTTGAGCAAGGCCTGCACGTAGAGGTCCCCATTGTTGTTGAGCAGCCTTAATGATGGATCCGAAGACAGGAATTCCTCTAAACTTTTGTAACCGAATTGGGCGTATGGGATCCTGTCGCCCAATAATTGTCGATACTCGTCTACCAAAATACAATAAATAAATTATTGATATACAGAAAATGATTTTATTTTATTAAAAACAAACAAAACGACCTGTATATTTTTTTATGGCTGAAATTCCCCAACATCTGGTATTATCCAATTGTACCAAACGCTTCAAAATACCCTCATAAATCCCAAATATAATGAGGGTAATAAATACCCATAAACACTTAACACGTGTCTGGGTTTCCCCTGACAATTCACAAATTGACAGATGTTTGTTTGTGTTTACCAAAAGGGTCGCAATTTATTACTGTAAACCCAAATTTCCCGAGAAATTCACGGGCCACTTGATTAGTTGAAATATTACATGCTATCAAATTACACTCACTTTCCAATTGTCTCAGGAGCATGGGGTGCTTTGAGCACACCAACACCCCCCTTATGCAAGATATAACCGCCTCCATGCCTTACGCCAGCCTCCCTCGGCCTCCCTTTACCTAAAAAAAAACAAGAAATGACCACTAAAAGAATTGGTATGTGCAATAATTATAACAATTAAAGAGAAAGTGTTACAGTTACGTTACGGTAAAAAACTGCAACTAGTAGCCCTGTAAATTAACCTAATTAACGTACGAGCAATTGACCAATTGTACATGAATTAATCGCGTGGATTAATTTGGTCGGATGATCGATTCATCTGGGCGATAATTAAAAAAACACGAACGGGAAAAAATGCAGTCAAAATAACTGGTGAAAGTTGGCTGAATTTCGCAACGTACGAGTCTAATTTAGTTCGTTTTGATTCGATGAGGTAGTAAATTGATGAACAAGGGATTTGTTGGCGAGATGTCGAAACAATAGGGGAAATCGCGGTGAAAAATCACCGGCACAAAAAAAAAACGTTATCATGTAAATGTAAAGGTTAAATATCTCTGTGCACTTACTTGATCGTGGCGATTGTAAATTGTAGATTTTTATCTATAAGATAAATTCAACGAGTTTGTATTAGTTTGTGGTGTACACAACGCACTAAATTCAAGATATGTCTCCAAACTGTAGACCGAAAACTTTTGACAAACATTCAACGACTCAAAAATTGGGAATAAATAATTGGAGGAAAATTGACATTTCAAAGATTTGACATTTGATAGAAACGTTGCCTTTTACGCATTGGGTATTTGGTCAAAAAAATGTAATTTGACTTAATTGACATTTAAAACTAACCTATAAAGTTACGATTAGCTAAAATGCTGAAAATATTCAGAATTATCGAAAGAAATACTATAGAAAAGACATGTTTGTGCGTCCGATACTCCAGTACCGATTCCAGCGCAGAAAAGAGAGGTTTGTGCTACAATCAATCAATACTATCCTCCACTACAATCCACTAAATTTCAGATGAATTCCGTGTTCTTAACATCAGAAAACCCAAAGGAAGGTATCAAGAGAGGAAACAGCCGAGAACCTTAAACATTCTACCACCAAGGTACGTCCACTCGATGAATTACAAACCTAATATTACAATCCTCTTAACCCATCTTTAAGATCCGAATCCATGCCAGTGGACCAAGACTGGGGCAACGTGTGGCCGGGCCCGAGGTCCTTCCACCCGGCCACGGTCCCCCTGCCGGTACGCCAGGGCTACGTGGAGAAATCGGGCGCGCCCCCGAGCAAGTACGCCAACGCTGAGCTGGTGAAAATCCCCAACTTCCTCCACCTCACTCCCCCCGTCATCGAGAGGCAATGCAACGCCCTGAAGCAGTTCTGCACGCCGTGGCCGAAGGCTCTCGACACCGACGAGAAACTGGAGAAACACTTTCCGTTGCAAATCACATCGAGCGATTACTGCTTTTCATCGCCTTCGATTAGAAACCCCTTGGCTCGAATAGTCACGTTGCGATTCAAACTGGGCTCTTTAGGCCTCAATCAAAGGGCCAAAGATAAGTTTTTGAGATTGGTAGGCGATCGGTACGACGAAGAAAGCGATTCTGTTACTATCGTTACCGATCGGTGCCCGTTGAAGAAGCAGAATTACGATTATGCTTTGTACCTGCTCACCGCCCTCTATCACGAGTCATATGTAAGTAGCCTAAAGGATGTTTTTCGATGTGAAATACTTGTACATTTTTTAGAACGTTGAAGAGTGGGAGAATTTGAAAACCGAAGCCGATATGGAATATTACGATTGGCTGAAGAACAAATCGAAAGCGACCATCGAAAAGCTCTTCGGGAAACCGCACGGTGAAATCGAAAATGCCGACGTATACGCGGACTCTGTCGATAAACTTATGAACGAAGGTAATTTTTGGGACACCCTGTATTACGACTTAATAATCCTTAAAATGGACGTTTCTTATTTGTAGGAGAAAATACATACACTTTGGATAAATACGGAGAAGCTGTTAGGAAACTGTTAAATTTACCAACCAAAATCGAGATAAAATAGTTTGTATTAACGCAATTTAAACAAAAATCGTAAGAATACAACAATTTTTATATATAAAAATAGAGTAAAAAAAATATTTGTATCACAATTAACATACCCACAAAAACATCAGTTTATTAGTGACTAATTAACCGAATAATAAACTCATTAAGCCTAAAACAACTATCCCAACACCAGTTAAAGTACAGCAGAAAATAATATCCAAAATAAGAGAGATAATAGAGATCTAAATGGCACGGCAACAATAAAAAAAATCCCCATTTAACTCGTTTAATCGGCTTTCGTTCGAACAGGCACTTTGTACCAGTAAGCGGCTATCATCACGGAGCTGCTCAGGAAGGTGTTGATGCAGAAATTCAACAGCAACGTCAGATCCATGGACTCCACGCAGATGGTGAACACCCTAGCTGTACAAACATACAGTACAATAAATACCAATCGAACGATACACCCGATGGAATGCTTACTGAAATTAGTGAAGGCCGATATGAACCAAGTGAGCACGCTGATGGATTCCGAGTTCTTGGTGTGCAGGATCTCGTAGAGTTGCACGACCTTCGAAGAAGCGCCGATCGGGGTGCAGAGAGGCTGGAATTCGAGCGTTTGTGGAATGGGTTCGGTTTAAAGGTGGCTGTCGACTTACCACTAAGAAGGCCAGCAGGCCGGACGGTACGAGGCCAGCAAGAAGCGATGTTGCGGCAGAGACGTAGATTATCGAGCCGACGAGACTGTACTTGTTGAGTAGCTGTTTGTAGTAGAGCACGAAAAATATGAGAATCAATTCTTGTACGAGGATTATCGGGTATTCGAGGTAACTCAATAGCGCGTAGCCGCTTCGGAAGTTGTACGACATCATGATGGTGTAGCTGGAATTAGTTGATTGATAAGTCGTTGATTGATTATAATTGTTTCGGTTTTCTTTACCTGCTGAGTTCCATTAACAAACCGATGATGTTCATTCCTCTTGCATTTTTCACTTTCAGGATCGTTAAAATTTGCGGTATTTTCAAAATGAAACATATCGACACGGTGATAATGCTTAGCAGGTTCGAAAACAATTCTAAATACTGATATTCGTTAGACGGAGTCATTTTTAAATTTCTAATTCTAAATTCTAAGCAAATAAATTGTAATAAATTTTAACCTTGATCGTAATTGTCAAAAAAAGTTATCTCGAATCGTGGCCTCTTACTGTGCTTGATTAAGGTGTCAATAAATTTTGACGTATTTGATCTCCGACCGTGTAAATTATTCAGCACTTCATCGATTAATGTCATTCGAATTTCGAGTTCCGTGTCACTTTGTAACTCGATCTCGGCGTTCCGTGCGTTTTTCTCTAGCTGTTTTTGTTTTATTATTATTAAACATGGCGGTGTTAAACAACATTTGTTGATGGGATTCTAATAAACGTTAGTTTTACGAGTGAATCATTCCGGTGGTCCATTACATTAATGGCTCGCACGAAAAAGCAGTGATGATCATCCGCACTAGTAGCTTTAATTCTAATTCAGCATTATTGATAATCAGGTAAAACGATCAAATTGAAATTCGTTCTAATTTTTCCTTCGCTTCTTTCGAGTGAAATTTAGCAACAATCGCTACCATTGTTATATAAGTTAACGAGTTAATGAGTACATTTCGTTTGATTTTTAACTTAGTTATATAATTTGTATGTATTTATTTTAATTGTCTTAAGTGGTACATTCGATTTCTCATCTGTAGAAACTCCTATTTGTTTAACTTCGACTGTAACATCGCCAAATTTCACCGAATCGCGAGTTAAATATACATTTCGTGACCCGTTTATTTACGACAATTGGAATTTGTTTAGACTCATTCGAAAAACCAACAAAAAATTTCTATTAACTCGCACATAAATATTTCTATTAAAACATTCGAATTTTATCCAAAGGATGAACCGACATTTTTCAGTTAAGAACTGTTTATAAACTATTCAGCATTCGATAATAACAAATAACAAATAGTTGGAATGAATAGAATATCATTAACGATCCAATTGCAACAACCGATACAGAGAGATAAGTACGAATTCTCCGGCCTTATATTATCCAATCGTACAGCCATAACAACGACCTTTCCTTTTTTAGATAGTGTCAATAGAGGACCTGCCCTAATGGCAGACAGCCAAGGCCAATCGGACGAGTACCAATGGGCCTATTCCATCATGGACTCCAGCCGGGTGTCCACCTTCCTGATATCCATGTTGCTCATCGTCTACGGCTCCTTTCGCAGCCTCAACATGGAACAGGAGGCCAGAGAACGGGCCAACGGCGCCTCCGCCAATCCGCTGTTGAACCCGCCCCAGGCCGGGCCCAACGAGACCAACGTGCAAACGTTGGACACCATGCAGGCGCTCTGTTTACCACTCGGAGCCAGCGTTTCGCTGTTGATCATGTTCTTCTTCTTCGATTCCATGCAGATGTTGTTCGCTATATGTACAGCCGGTAAGGTTACTAATGCCCTTTACTTCGCTATACTATAGCAACTTGTACGAATGATTTAATGGTTGTTGTTTTTAGTGATAGCGACGGTGGCTCTGGCGTTCTTGCTGTTGCCGATGTGCCAGTACATCATGGGGCCCTGTTCGGACGGTAAGAAGATATCGTTCGGGATGTGCGGAAGGTTCACGGCCGCCGAAATATTCTCGTTTTCTCTATCGGTGTTCATCGTTTGCATTTGGGTGCTCACAGGTGAGGACTCGTTGGCCTGTATTTTATAGATAAGTGCGAATTTTGCGTTGTATAACGGCGGGTTAGAGTGGGAATGTTGCAATCTTACAATACTACCGTCTTTGTTGCACGCTTAGAAGCCTTATTACAAACGAATTTGCTCTTTGGTACTCATATTTTGTATTTACGAGACCTTCTTTTCCTTATTAGTACTCTCTATTACATTATGAGACCTTCTTCTCTTCTATATTACATTATCAGACCTTCTTCTCTTCTATATTACATTATCAGACCTTCTTCTCTTCTTATTAGTACTTTCTATTACATTATTAGACCTTCTTCTGTTCTTATTAGCACTCTCTATTACATTATGACACCGTTTTCTCAAAATTAGTAGCCTATATAACATTATTAGACCTTCTTCTCTTCTTATTAACACTATTACATCATGAGACCTTCTTCTCTTCTTATTACTTCTCTCTATTACATTATGACACCTTCTTCTCTTCATATTAGCACTCTCTATTACATCATGAGACGTTGTTTTCTTCATAAATCTGTACCTTAGCGATATTTTAAGACGCTCTTCTCTTCTAATTCTCTTGTTATATCCCTATATTAATCGATTCGTTTGATGACAGGCCATTGGCTGTTGATGGACGCGATGGGAATGGGATTGTGCGTAGCCTTCATAGCCTTCGTCAGATTGCCGAGCCTGAAAGTGTCGACGTTACTGCTGACCGGTCTGTTGATCTACGACGTGTTTTGGGTGTTCTTCTCGTCGTACGTGTTCAGCACCAACGTCATGGTGAAAGTGAGTGTAATTGTGGTGATTATTTGAGCAATATCTGAGTGTTTGTTTTATTCTTTTTGTGTTTAAGGTGGCGACGAGACCGGCCGAGAATCCCGTCAGCATGGTAGCTAGAAAATTGCACATAGGCGGCGTGGCGAAAGAAGCGCCGAAGCTCAGCCTGCCGGGCAAACTGTTGTTTCCTTGCATTCACAATTCGGGGCATTTCAGTATGCTAGGTAAACACGTACATAATACTACTGTAAATGTTTTGCTACTAGGAGAATAGTACGGCATAATTTGTTGCGAGAGGTAGAGACGAAACAAACAGAATCGAGTAGTACTTTCACGAATAATTCTAATAATAATTGTAATTGGATCGTTTTGTTGCAGGTTTAGGGGATATCGTGATGCCGGGTCTGTTGTTGTGCTTCGTGTTGCGGTACGACGCTTACAGGAAATCCCAAGGTCTAACCGGCTCCAGACTGACATATTTCCATTGTTCTCTATTAGGTTATTTTCTGGGTTTGCTGACGGCCACCGTTACGTCTGAACTGTTCAAAGCCGCCCAACCGGCTCTCTTGTATTTGGTACCGTTCACGTTACTGCCCTTGCTCACGATGGCTTACCTCAAGGTATCTAATTTTAATTTAATTATTAAAATTATTCGGTTGAAATCGGAGAGTTTTAGACAAAGCGTTTGTTCAATATACACTGCTTCATTCCAGATCGCAACATAGACACTTATAAAGGAAAAAGAAAGAGTGACATTTGTGTCATTGCAACTTTTTCACTCTGCCAACCGTTATTTTATTAATCTTTCTTTGTTCAACTCATAGAAACGACCATGTTGCGGTCTGAATTGAAGCAATCTGTATGTCCTAGATTTATTAGTTTTCGAGCTACAGGGTGTTACAATTTTAGAAAATAAATCACTTTTCTATCGTAATTTTCCTATTACTCCAGGATGTTTTTTGTGAAATCTCTCAACACCTTGTTAGAGCTTGCGTAGCTAAGTAAAAAAGGGAAAGTAAAAGGTTATATTATTAATTTGATATTATTAATTATTATTATTTATAATTAAGTTTGGGGTTTCAGGGCGACTTGAGGAGAATGTGGTCCGAACCGTTCAAATCACTAGCTGTTTCTAAGCATTTACAAGAAGTGTGATAGAGATTCTCGACTGTTAATTATTAATTATTTACAACTACTGTTAATTCAATTTTATTAATAAATTTAAGATATGTGTTATTATATGACAAACCGAACGAATACGAATTGTAAAAGACGAAGCGACAAGAAAAGAACAAAATTATTTATTTCTGTATTAATTACGTTAAACTAGCGTCTATACTGTCAATTGAATCGAAGTACATACATACTTAGATAATTATTAATCCACCTTTATGTTGTATTGTACGTTACGAAAAGAAGAAAGAAAAAAAAGACGATTTTGTTACATTTTTTTTTATATATATATACTTTAAATATAGTTTTTTTGCTTATAAACGACCCGGTGCTTTCGTTCCCTCCCGCCGGCGTCGCGACGCCCCCGCACGGCGTCGGCGCGTCCCGATCGATCGCTTTTCAAGGTAGGCGACCCCGACAGAAACACACACACAACACACGAGCACGTTATGGACGCGGTTTGAGCTCCATCCAGACCGAATTCCCATCCGAATCGGTCGCGATACGACCCCGTTATCTTATCGCACCGCTTCCGCCGCGGCGCTTTCCTCGCCACTCGATCGACATGTCGGTGCACAACGGTGAGTTCGTCAGCTTCGCGTTACGCGCGAAAACCGCGCAATATGGCCCTCTCGTTGTTCCCAGATAAAGACTACAAGGAGCGACTGATCGCCACCGTCAAGAAGGAGGTCAAGCAGGTGATGGAGGAGTCGGTCACCAGGAAGTTCGTGCACGAAGAGAGCGGCATCGTCACGTCCCTGTGCGGCGCCGTCGAGGCATGTCTTTCGCAAGGTAAACCCCCCCAGATTCATCGCTTTATTCGCCACTGTTTTCTCTATTTTGCTTCAGATTCATCGCTTTATTCGCCACTGTTTTCTCTGTTTCCTTCAGATTCATCGCTTTATTCGCCCTTTAATTTCCCTATTTTTCTTCAGGCTTGCGTCGACGCGCCCTCGGGCTGTTCAAGACCTCGTCCACGACCGCCCTGCTGCACAAGATAGCCAAGCATTGCCCCGAGGCCGGGGCGATATCCAAGAGAGTCGAGGAGATCGAAAACTGCGATCCGAACAGGCGCTCGTCGAGCAGCAGCGACAGCGTCACCAAGCCCGCCCTCAAGAAGAACCAATCGCTGCCCGCCAATCCTCTGCCCAAGTACCTCTGGATCCGGTAACTATAACCAATCTTTACGCTTATTCTATACCCATTAAGGGTTGAACAACGCTTCATTTAAACGTTCCTTAAAGCTTCTTCGATAAGTACAACTAACTGCTTCTAGCGCTCACCTTTGGGGTGGACTTTTAGCTCTCTTGGAGCCTCTACTGGAGTCACTCAAGCTCTTCTAGCGAAGTCTAATCGACTGGACACCTCACTGGAGCTCTCACTCAACCGTTTATAAAGCAATTTAGCTCATGTATCACAGTCAGTATCTTCTTCATCATCTTTCTCGCTTCTTCTCCATTCCTGGACGTAGAGACCTTCTGAAACCATCTGTTCCCTGCTTGTTTTTTTTAACGAAACCTTCTCTGAGACCTTCCAGTGCTACTTGGCGTTATTACATGTTCGATTGATCGTTCAGATTGGCGTTGTTCGACAAACACCTGGCGAAAATCATCGACTACCTGGTGAGCAACGCGTCCAAGTACTACGACAAAGACGCCCTGGTGGCCGACGCCGAGTACGGCACCATCCTGAGCTCCCTGATGATGGGCCCGTGCGCCTTGGACTACACCAAAATGCGGAACCAGGACCACTATTGGACCGATCCGCCCGCCGACGAACTGGTAAACCAACAAACGCTGTTGACAACAATCCGGTAGACTAATCGATGCGTCTAATAGGTGCAAAGACACCGGATATCGAGCGGTCATTCGACGCCGCCGTCGGTGCGCCGGCCCATTTTGAACTTCCGGCGATCGTTGAACACCAGCTCGGAGGACTCGCACTCGAATCGATCGTCCGCCCAGCAAATCGCCAAGGACTACGTGGAAACGTTGCACCAGAACAGCAAGGCGACGTTGTTGTTCGGCAAGAACAACGTGCTGGTGTTGCCCGTCAATTCGGACCTCTCCAAGCCGATACCCGGGTAAGGTGGATTTCTACTCCAATATAAACACCCCAAATTGCGCGACAAAAGCTCCTACCATTCAAAAGCTAAAGGGGAGGCGACGGACTTTTGGTCCTCACTGTATACAGGTGTGTAATGTGGTGGTGATGTTTGTTGTAGGTATTTGAGTTTGCATCAGATGGCTCAAGGTTTGGCTATCAAATGGACGCCCAATCAGCTGATGAACGGATTCGTCGACGAATCGCAGGATAAAAGGTTGCTTATTCGATCGTTAGATGTTATCGGTTTAGTTAAAATAAAGCAAATTTCAGTGTATTTTGGGAGTACGCCTTGAACGTCAGACTGGACGACATCGTGTACGTCCATTGTCATCAAGACAGCGAAATCGGCGGTACCGTCATCCTGGTAGGCCAAGACGGGGTACAAAGACCACCGATACACTTTCCCAAAGGTATAAATACTAAAGTACTCGAGGCGAGATCTACAGTTACAGTTGTATTTTACAAACAGGCGGGCACATGTTGGCGTTCCTCAGCTGCGTCGAGACCGGCCTCTTACCCCACGGCCGGTTAGATCCACCTTTATGGTCGCAGCGCTCGGGGAAAAACCACACGAAGCGCCGGCGACCCCTACCGGCTCTAGCAGAAAACGAGGAAACCTCCAAAGACTACGTGTTCCGGATCGTCGACAACGCCTGCAATCACACCGACATGCGTAAGCACATTCTCTCTATATCATCCTCACTTCGATCTCACCGGGCGATAAATAGTTCCTCGTTTAAGGCGCCATACGCGAGTTTCGAATTCGCCTGACCATAACAAGCAACGTTGCCGGTTGATTAAACGCACTCTCAAAGCGCTGGCCATCAAAATAGGCGGTAGGAACCTTAAACAAGGAACTATTCATCGCCCGGTGAGATCGAAGCGAAGAGGACTGTACAATAATCGATTGTATATCAGTCAAAAGGAACGAATTGATGGACACGCACGTCTCGCTGCCGACCAAAGCTCGAACGCAACTGGGCAGCACCAGCACCAGCTCGGAGAGCTCCACCAAGAGCTTCAGCATCGATCAGACGGCGCCCGACAGCCCGCCCAGCGTCGTCGTCCAGGCCGTCTGCGATTCCATGAAGCGACAGATCATATCCAGGTAATCGAACGGTTTACAATTCGACTGGAATTCCGAGGATTTGCGGTAGAAAGTAGAAAGACTCGGGAGATTAAAGAGATTTAACTTTTATTAGTGTTCATTCTTCATATAATAACAATAAATCGTAAAATAAGACTTCTGACAACGTCACTTGTCATTTGACGTCAGTGCTGGTACACCCAAATAACAAAAGTAACTAGATATGTGCGTTCTGTTGTATGAGAATTGTACCATAAACAAAATAAATCTTTCTTTATGAATTGTACATTAACAAATTCGACGACGAAATTCCGTTTGGCAGGGCGTTCTACGGGTGGCTGGCGTACTGCAGGCACCTGTCGACCGTGCGGACGCACCTCAGCGGGCTGGTGAACGCGAAGATCGTGACGGGCGAGGGGGCGGGCGACGGCGACGGCATCACCGCCGCCAAATGGTCGGAGCTCTGTTCGGACGGCGTCGTCTCCGACTACACCGAGGTCTACAGGCTGACGTACTTCGGCGGGATCGCGCAGGAGCTGCGCCACCAGATATGGCCCTATCTGTTGGGGCACTACAAGTTCGGCAGCACCGGCGAGCAGCGCGACCAGCTCGCCGAGGAAACGAGACAGGCGTAATATAACTGATATATACAAATTGCTCCATTTTTTTGATCGCAACATAGGTTATATAGGCCATGCGTGCGATAAAGACAACTTGTTAGACATTTACAAAGAAAAAGGAAAGAGTGACATTTGTGTCATTGCAACTTTTCACTTTGACAACTGTCATTTTAATAATCTTTCTTTGTTCCACTCGTAGAAATGACCGTGTTGCAATCGGAAATGGAGAACTGTGTATGCTAGGATAATCGATTGATGTGATTGGGTTTTTTTAGTTACGAGAACACCATGTCCGAGTGGCTGGCCGTCGAGGCCATCGTGAGGCAACGGGATAAGGAGAACCAGGCGAGCGCCATAGCCAAATTGAGCAGCGAGAGCACCTCCGGGGAACAAGCGCCGCCGCCCGTCCTTCAAGAGGAGCTCTCTAACGAGGTAATCCTTCTCTAATACTCTAAACCTTCGGCGCCTGAAGGTTTCAGGGTGATTGAAGGACGGAGAAAGAAATAGAAGTACTTAGAATCTTTCGTGTTTCTCCGACAGGTGTTCGAGGACGAGCGAATATCGGACGAGGACGAAGACGACGAGGAAGAGGGCCAGTGTTCGAAGAAAACGAGACAGAATACGATAAAGTACGTGAGCGACGATGAAGAGGAAAATGGCGAGGATGCCGGTAAAAAGAACGAATCGAACGAAACTCTCGAAGCGAACAAACCCGATGGAGAACCGAACGTCAACGAGGAATTGAAGGATTTCATTCACAACGTCGTCGTTATCAACGCCAGCGTCGATATATGCAGTTTAGGTACCGGCATTTGCTTATCCACTATCGTAGTATACAGGGTGTTTTATTAGACACTTTAAAGGGTGAATCGTTTCAAACTTTTCATCTCCAAATTAGCGAAAGTTTTACTCAATTAAAGTCCTCGTATATTATAGGCAACGAAAGTCCGAGAATAACGAATTTGGACGCCGTCACCGAAGAGAACAACTCGTCGTTGGACACGTGCATAGAAACCCACGGTTTGGCCTCGCCTGCTCGATCAAATTGCGTGTCGCCTGCCAGCTCGAACGGTGGAATTTACAGCGTAAGCCCATCTCTAACATTTCCGAATCGTAAGCCCCCCGAAAATATCTCTCGTAATAATCCGCAGCAAGAACTCCTCGAAACGTTCGGCCTGAACCTCCATCGCATCGAAAAGGACGTGCAACGCTGCGACCGGAACTACTGGTACTTCGCCGAAAAGGAGAACCTCGACAAGCTGCGCAACGTCATGTGCACGTGAGTACCGCCTTCCTCTCGCCGGAACCGCCTTCCTCTCTTCCAGTTCTTTCCAGGCCTCTTCCAGGTCTTTGCTTTTTAGCTTCCTTCTAATATTATGGCCCTGGGTAAGACTCGCTCTTGTTTACACTTCCACAATGGTTCTTAGATTGATACCACATGTATATCACTACCCTACAGCCTTCCTTACAGCACCAATATGAATCTATCCTACCCTATAGCCTCCTTTACAGCACCAATATGAACTTTCCCAACCCTATAGACTTCTTTACAGCACCAATATAAAGCTATCCCACCCTCTATAGCCTTCCTTACACCACCAATATGAATCTACCCTACCCTACAGCCTTCCTTACACCACCAATATGAATCTACCCTACCCTACAGCCTTTCTTACAGCACCAAAATGAATCTACCCTACCCTCTACAGCCTTCCTTAGAGCACCAATACGAATCTATCCTACCCTCTACAGCCTTCCTCGCGCAACCAAAATAATATCTAACCTGCTACCCGGATGATCCGTCAGTTACGTTTGGGAGCACCTCGACATCGGCTACATGCAGGGCATGTGCGACCTGGTGGCGCCCCTGCTGGTCATCTTCAACGACGAATCGCTGACGTACGCGTGCTTCTGCCACCTGATGGAGCGCATGGTGGAGAACTTCCCCAACGGCAACGCCATGGACTGTCACTTCGCCAACATGCGCTCGCTGATCCAGATCCTCGACTCGGAGATGTACGAGCTGATGCACGCCCACGGCGATTACACCCACTTCTACTTCTGCTACAGGTACTGCTACCAGTGGAGTGGAGAATCGATTAGTAGCGAGAGGGTTTTGTGTGGGTGTGTTGTAGGTGGTTCCTGTTGGATTTCAAGAGGGAGTTGATGTATCCGGACGTGAACGCCACCTGGGAGGTGATTTGGGCGGCTCAACAGGTGGCTAGCAGCCATTTCGTGCTGTTCCTGGCGCTCGCTTTGCTGGAAACCTACCGGGACATCATCCTCTCCAACGGGATGGATTTCACGGATATAATCAAATTTTTTAACGGTAAGGTAAAGATTTGATTAGGAGCGGGGTTGATTGAAAAGTATTGGTTTCAGAAATGGCGGAGAGGCACAACGTGCGATCGGTGTTGAAGCTGGCCAGGGACCTGGTGCACCAGTTGCAGATTCTCATCGAGAATAAATGAGACGAGAGGAAGATGTTAAAAGAAGGAAATGCCGTGCACGTGTTAAATAACGGATGTGATTCGATGCGATTGTAGAAAACGAATGGAGAATTTTTATTTTTGTACGAAAACACGAAAGAGGAAAGACGCGTCGATGGGGCGAGGCGAGGCGATATTTATTTTGTATAATTAGGAATTAGGCTGCGATTTTTATGTGTTTTTTTTTTCGTGCAAATTGTTGCGTTTCTTTGGCGAACGGAAAGTACAAAAGTGTGTACTAAAAAATCAACGAATGTAGGTCGTTAGTTTGGGAATAGGGCGTACATATATCGAGCCCTTGTTCTCTTGTACGATTAGAAACAACTAATAGGATAAAAAAGTAACGATTAGCACTAGGAATATTAGATGAAAGTGTAGCACTAAATTTCGTTTTTGTTACATCAAAAACAAAAACCTTTAAACAATGATTTTATGAACCTAAAAAAAGTCACCGTCTACCTCTTTAATTTAATCGCAAATTACCGTAAAACGTGCCAAAAAAAATACGATTATGATAGAAAATAATTAATTACATTGGGTCGTATTTGCATAAATTATAAATGTAAAACTCCGTCGAGTATTCTAAAAAGAACGAATCTCAGGAAGCTCCCATATCTATATGTAAAAAAAATCGATATCGAAGTTCCTGTCCCTGCGAAATCTGTACTAAATAAATATATTTTCTACTAATACGATATAACAAGGTGCTATTTCGACGTTCAGATATGACCCATTGTTTCGTTAGGAGAAATTTAGAGTAGATTACGTAAGGAAATTATCATCTAATTAGCCGCTGAAAAATAATATCGTAAACTTATAGTGTTTATTAGCCCAAAGACCCAAGATTTGGACTATTTTGTTTAGAGCGATTTCGTCTTTGGGCTGCGATTATTGTTTTTCGGCGGCGATTTCTATTTTTTTGCCATTAAATAAATTAGCATGTCTTGAAAATGTGATGACACTTAACACGGGACGATTCAATTTATGTGATTCCAAAACAAAATATAAATAGGTATAGTTCAGATTTATTTATTGTGCGTTTTGATATTACGAGATAGTTTATTCAAACGTAAAAAAACACATTGTGTATATGAATGTATTTTATAAATAAACAAATAAATGAAATATATCATTTTTATCGAATTGATTTGAATAGTAGTATTACTATCTTAATGGGAATTATTGTATTTTTACTGTAAACGTTAAATCCTTCTATATTTTATTGTAAAATAATAAAATAAATCTAATCCAATGTCGTTTAACTCAAAATTATCTCACCTATAATGATAAGTAACATACTAGAACTATCTAGAACAATTTAGAACTGCTCAGAATCATTTAGATTCATTCAGAATAGAATCAGAATTATCTAAAACCATTTGAAACTCTATAGAATGATTTACAACTGTCCAAAATGATTCAGAACAATTCTGAACGAATTATAACCATCCAGAACTCTCCAAAACTGTCTAGAAAGCTTCCAATCGAAATATAACTTTTAAAAACTGTCCAGAACAATTTAAATTGCTTCAGGACGAATCAAAATTGTGCAGAACCATTTAGAACTCCAAAACGATTTAGAATTATCCAAAATGATAGAAGAAAGCCCTAGAAAACAACTTTATTTTAAAACCAACTTACCTCGATCAACAACACAAATAAATTCAACAAATTTTGGGCAAGACATCACCACACCGGGCGGCGATTTTCAAATCGACCACCCCGTCGCCCCGCGTCTTCCCTATATTCACCATGGCGATTTTCTTCTTCTCCTCCACACCCTGCAGTACTATCCGATAGCTGGAGAACACCGACAGGCTGGTACCCAACACCAGCAGGGCGTCGCTCGACGTCACGGCGTCTCTGACGGCTTGCACTCGCTCTTTAGGCACATTGTCCCCGAAGAATACTATATCGGGCTTCAGCGGGTGATCGCAGGAGCCGCAGGAAGGCGGCCGGAATCCCTCCACGGCCTCCTGAAAGAATTAATTCATCAACACTATATCCCTAAACCAAGCCGGTAGATAATTAAGAGCTTTTAGGGTACTAGGATCTTGGTGAGGACTACAGTAGCATAAGAATAAATACTTGCGGTATGTCAACATCCCCATCGGGTCGGATCATAGTGATAGCTTCGGGCATATGGGGATTGGATTCCCTCAATTCCTCCTGTATCCGGTCTCTGTCGTACAATCTCCGGCAATTCAAGCAAATCACCCTGTATCCGCTGCCGTGCAGCTCCACCACATTCCTACTGCCCGCTTTGTAGTGCAGATTGTCCACGTTTTGGGTGACTACACGGCTCACCTGAAAGAGACCAAGTCGAATTAGTGGAATTACTAGCAGAACGAGCAGCCACTTTAGTACTTTGTTTAGATCGAGTTCCAGGTTCCTGATGGAGTAATGCACGGGGTTGGGTTGCCTCTGGCGGAAGGCGTCCCAACCGACGAAGTTCCTCGCCCAGTACCTGCGCCTGATGTGCGGGTGCCGCAGGAATTCCTGGTGTTGGATGGGTTTGTGGTTCGTTCGGGCGTATAGGCCTACCTCTTCCGATCGGTAATCGGGTATACCTGAAATGAATGTTAACTTCTGGTAGTTTAATGTTGCGTTAGAGCTGTTTAGGGGGGTATATGTGTACCTGATTCGGTGGAAATTCCAGCGCCGGTGAGTACCAGGATTTGTTTGGAGTCGCGTATGAATTGTCTCAGAGCGTCGACGTCTCGTTCGCTTGCTTCGCTACATTTCGGTACGAATTTCAATGGATTCGTCGAATAATTTGCGAGTTTTCTACCAGATAACCTCGAAAAAGGCGATAACAACATAACAAACTTTTTGTGTGGTTATGTAATAAATGTCATCTGTCGCTGTCATGTCGAAAAGTGGTGGAGACTGGCGATGTCAAAAAGTGGCCTCAAACTATTAAGTAGTGAGTTAACTTCTTTGGTTTATGAGTAAAGTTGTAATTGAATGACCTATAAATTCTAAATTTCTTACCTAATAAACTCGAGAAAGGCAATAATAACCATAACTTAACAAAAATATTGCGGTTATGAAACAAATGTCTTCTGTCATTTCAAAAAGTAGAGTTGACGATGTCAAAATGTGGCCTCGAACTATTTTAGTAGTCAGCTATTACCAATACAATTCAATTTACTCAACCCTACTTATCAGCGCTCTTTTGCTTATACTTATGACTATTAATCCAATTTGCAGGAATCCCATAATATAGAAAATAGAAACCCCCGCCGGCCTCTTACCGCGCTACAAACGCACCACCGAAACACCTGCGGTTTTCCTTGCGAATTTTCTTTACAACAAAACGAACAAAAAACAAAATGACAATAAAATAGAAAAAAATGTCAACAAAACAAAACGCACCGTGCAAGTGCAAGGTGCATCCGAACCGGCTCCGGGCCGGATCGATACTCACGCAACCGCCTTGGGAGCGACGGAGACGGAGAGAAAAGAGAGCGAGCGCCGACGGCCGTCGGTCGGCGTCGCAGGCGTCGTCTTCCACAGGGCGTCGACATCGAGCGTCCCGGAAAAACAGCCGGCAGTCGTTCGGGAAAACAACCGCGGAAAATTCGCATGTGCCAAGCCTGCTAGATTGAGCGATGAGCGTCAAGGTGAGCAAATTCCAAATCTATTATTTGAACGCATTGTATATTTAATACACGTTTATACGCTCAAAAGGTATGCGTGTGAATTATACACAGTATGTTAATTAGACGTTTTAATTGTTCGACGTAACATTTTAATGATGATAGGTACAAATATTATTGTTTTTTTTTTCGAGTTAATAATAGCGTGTTTGTTGGACGAGAAATACCGTTTTGAGGATAAAATTTTTGAAGGAAATTTCCTTTTATTTCAAGGTCGATATATGTTATACCGGGTGTATACAATTAATTGTAGAGTATTAAATGAATTTTAATAAGTAATCTATCGTTTCGAATAAATCAGAAATTCGAAAGGTGAAGCTACAGGTTTTCTATTAAAAAAAGTAAAATTATACAGGTTGCTTCATTTTTGATCTCAACATAGGTTATATAGGCCATGGGTGCGATAAAGACAACTTCCATTAGACAATTATAAAGGAAAAGGAAAGAGTGACATTTGTGTCATTGCAACTTTCGCACTCTGACAGCTGTCATTTTAATAATCTTTCTTTGTTCCACTCGTAGAAGCGACCATGTTGCAATCGGAAATGGAGCAAGGTGTATAAATCAATTTCCAATGTATTATTTTGTTTTTAATTCGTAAACATTGAAAGTAAACATCATCTCAAATTAAATATATCCGTCATATAAAGGATTTCGATTACAACCTGGCAACGTTGCAACCGACTTGCTCGTGACGTCATTGTCTTTTTAGAACGAATGAGCTTTATACAACTTGTTATTTAATGTTGTTATTAAACTACCTATTCTATTATATTATTAACTACACCGAATTCGGCAAAACATTATTGCTAATTTAATTCAATAGTAATCCTATAATTTAATAAACAAGTAATTTTATATACAAGGTGACGATTTATTGCTGGAATATTTTCTTACGAACAAAATAAAAAAACTAACAATTTAACCAAAAAAGTAGCCAATAAATTTATTTTTAATTGGCGCCGCGAATTTGTTTGGAAAATTTATCATGCACACAATTAGGCGACTTTTTCTGTTTATTTTAATTATTTCTTTTTTTTTATCTAAAACGTTCAATTTATACTATAATAATATGAGTGTCAAGGCGATATCGTTAATTTTATTCGCAAATAATGACGTCCGTTACGTCAAGAATTATCCTATTGTCCAATCCCGGCCTACTTGGTTTAGTTCTAGTCGGTTGTGCGGATGAAAAGGGACGATAAAATCGAAGTACCCGGGATTTTCTTATTAACGTGTATAATGACAGTGTAGATTGTATATTTTTTTCGGAACTCGTAATAACAGCAAAATGAATCCCGCAGTGATTCAATCCAACGGGAATCGACGTCTTTCTCAGGTATGGCGAGCCTAAAAAAGGCTCAAAAACTGGTCGAAAAAACAGCCAGTAAAATCGAAATAGCCGCGACCAATCATCAAAGCAAGAATCAAAATACCAGCGAATACGTCATTATACAAATGAGTCAATAATGAATCACTATATCCGTGACAATTAACCGCCATTACGAATCATATTCAAACTTGACTCATGACATTTTTGACGTATATTGCAATTGTCACATTCGAACAATAAATAATAAATAACCAGCAAAATCGCTATATCCGCGACAACCGCCATTAAGAAAATTCAATTCAAACATGACAACTGACATTTGTGACGCATATAAAACTACAATTGTCACATTCGAACAATAAATAATAAATAACCAGCAAAATCGCTATATCCGCGACAACCGCCATTACGAAAATTCAATTCAAACATGACAACTGACATGTTTGACGCATACACAACGCGACAATCGACACGATCGAGTCGATAAAATCGCATGGGATGAATGGGAGAGCATTTTTATTACAACAGCACAGCAATTGAATTGGATTTTAACGCAGTGTCAAGGCGACCGCCATTATTCCATTAAAACGGCCGTAAAAACAAATAAGAGTACGTCAATTGTGTGACCCCGCATTAACCGAATTTATACTTATACAGGGTGTCATTTATCATTAGGCGTTTAAAAAATCTCACTAAAGGGGCTACTTTTTATTGGGACACCCTGTATATACAGTGTGTGTGTGTCACGTTAATGTACCGCTTTAGAAACATTTCAAAAGTGTCAAGTAGGCGACGCCCGCAATGCCAACCTAAAGGTCGGATTTCAAAAAAAAACCCCAGAGAAAGAAACTCACCAGGGCGTCAAATCGGGCGAGCGCGCCGGCCGCTCCGAAGATTACCGCATTATTATGGGACGCCCTGTATAACAAACAAACGGAACTTTGTGGTTATAAGTTTTCGAACGCGCTATTTTTATCCGGACCCCGTGCGCACTTCCATCATAAATAATCACGCATTTTCTATTACGTTATTTTTTTTTTTTCATTAGTCCGAGCGAATCGGTTTCCGAATCCATATACAACCGCGTATTAGAATAAATAAGATAACAGCAGATAAATAGATTAAGTTTAGTTTGTTTTGCTAATGAATTAGTCTATTAGACGGAACGGGTGGATATTTTAATTAGATTTTTAGTGCCGATATATTCAGTTGGCGTTGATCACACGAAATGGCGTTGCGCCGTTTATTCGGATTCAACAACGTGAGTATCGGCTTCTACGAAATTTAATATATTAGATCTAATCACAGAATTATTCGAATAATTTACGATCCAAACGAGAAACATGTAAATCATAATAGAACGCATAAATGTTTTCGCTCGTAAAATTCTCGACTAGACGACTCCCCGGAGACTATTGTGATGCGATAAAACGCGAGTTATTGCGAATTTCATAAACGTATTAATTCCTATCTCGTCGTTACAATTCATCTAAACACGAATCTAATACAATTACAACGGACGACTAGATAGTCGACTTGACGTTGACATGTTTGACATGTTTGACGTTTGACATAGTTGACATTTTGTAGACGTACGGCCATTTTGCGATCAAATAAATCTCACTTTCTGTCTCTTTCTGTCTCTTTCTCTCTCTTTCTTTCTCTCTTTCTCTCTCTTTCTTTCTCTCTTTCTCCCTCTTTCTCTCTCTTTCTTTTTTTTCCCTCTATCTTTCTCTTTCTCTCACGTTCTCTCTCTTTCACTCTCTTTTTCTCTCCTTCTCCCTCTTTCTCCCTCTTTCTCTCTCTATATATCTCTCTCTTTCACTCTCTATCTCTCTCTTTCACTCTCTATCTCTCTCTTTCACTTTCTATCTCTCTCTTTCACTCTCTATATATCTCTCTCTTTCACTCTCTATCTCTCTCTTTCTCTCTCTATATATCTCTCTCTTTCACTCTCTATCTCTCTCTTTCACTCTCTATCTCTCTCTTTCACTCTCTATCTCTCTCTTTCACTCTCTATCTCTATCTCTCTCTCACTTTCTCTCTCTTTCTGTCTCTTTCTTTCTCTATTTCTCCCTCTTTCTCTCTCTTTCTCTCTCTTTCTCTCTCTTTCTCTCTCTTTCTCTCTCTTTCTCTCTCTTTCTCTCTCTTTCTCTCTCTTTCTCTCTCTTTCTTACTCTTTCTCTCTCTTTTTCTCTCTTTCTCTCTCTTTTTCTCTCTCTCTTTCTCTCATGTGCACCGTCTTTTTCTATCATCTTCTAACGAAGAAATATTTTATGTACCACCAGATGACTAGATACACGAACGCGGACTTCGCGGACGACGAGAGCGTCAACAGCGTACAATTGAGCGAAGGTCTGAACCGGAGTACCACGCACATACGGTACCACGCGGGCGGTACCACCGTCTGGCAGTTGCGGTCGCCGTTGGAAAAGGTCCTGCTCATCCTGGTCGGCATCCTGCTGTTCGTCGTATTCATCTTGGCCATAATCCTGCACGTCACCGAGCACAGGCTCGAAGAGAGCAGGGTAAGCGAACTTGTCCAAATGGACAATCCTACGGACCACTGTAGGTGTGGTGCTTTGTTCAAAATTGTCCAATGTAGACCACCAAGCGTGGTGCTCTAATCAAAATTGTCCAATATAGACCACCAAGCGTGGTAAATCTAATCAAAATTGTCCAACAGACCACCAAGCGTGGTACTTACACAAAGAGCGTACTTTCCAGATGATCATCGTACCGGAAACGCCGGGCAAATGCCTGAACAAGTCCTGCATACAGATAGCGAACAACATCCTGCAGGCGTTGGACACCACGGTGGATCCCTGCGACGATTTCTACTCGTACTCCTGCAACGGTTGGGTCGACGCCAATCCGATGCCGGACGCCAAAAGCACCTGGGGCACATTCATGAAGCTCGAGCAGCAAAACCAGCTGGTGATCAAGCGAGTGTTGGACCGACCGATGGACACGTTGAAGTCCAAGGCGGAGCAGAAGGCCAAAATGTACTACGAATCCTGCTTGGACGTGAACGATACGATGGAAGCTCGAGGCGCCCAGCCCATGCTGGACCTGCTGAGGAAGATCGGAGGATGGAACGTCACGGAGAGCGGCTTCGACGTGGACAAATGGTCGTTGCAGAATATCACGCAGATTGTCCAAAACCGATACAACATTGGTGAGTAAAGTACTCTAATCAATGATGTTCAATATAGATCACCAAGTATTGTACTCACAAACTATCCAATCTAACAACAAATCTAGCTGATGATATGGTACAAATCATTCCGGATTTCTCTTTGCAGGAGGTCTATTCTCCTACGCAGTCGGCGAAGACGACAAAAACTCCACCAGGCACATACTGCAGATCGACCAAAGCGGCCTCACCTTACCCACCAGGGACAACTACTTAAACAAAACCGAAGAGCACAAGAAGATACTGGACGCCTATTTGGACTATATGACCAAGGTAACAAAACAAACCACCAGAAGGAGTTTCCTACCATCAAGGCATCGAGACATATCTTCTATGGTCTTCCCACATTATGTCTTCTTCCTCCTCAACCATCTTTTGTCCACTCCTGGACATAGATATCTTTCCTTCATCTCCTCGTGTACAATCTGGATCCACCTCATCAAGCCTTATCTTCCTACACTACAGGACCTTACAAACAACCCCTTTTCCAGGTGGGCGTGCTGCTGGGCGGCGAGTTGAACACCACCAAGCGCCAGATGCGCGACGTCATCGAGTTCGAGACCAAATTGGCCAACATCACGACGCCCAGCGACCTGCGCAGGGACGAGGAGAAGCTCTACCATCTGATGAAGCTCGGCGAGCTGCAATTGAAAGCGCCATTCGTAAGCTTCTCCAGCAAAACGAACGCGAGTTACCGAACTCAATGGTCTGCTTTACAGATAGATTGGAGAAAGTTCTTCGAGGACGCCATGCGAACGGTGAACAAGAAGATCTCCAACAAGGAGGAGGTGGTGGTGTACGCGCCCGAGTACCTGGGCAACCTGACGGTACTGATAAAGGAGTACAACAAGACCGTCGAAGGGAAAATGTAAGTTGAGTGTCGGGCGAACTTCGCACCTCAATTGAACACCTCAATCTTCTAGTGTATTGAACAACTACATGGTCTGGCAGACGGTTCGAGTGTTCACCGTGTGCCTGTCCAAGGCCTTCAGAGATGCTTACAAAGGCTTGAGGACCGCCCTGATGGGTTCCGGAGGCGGCGAGGAGCCCCAATGGAGGTACTGCATTCAAGACACCAATTCCGTGTTAGGTAAGAGGATAAGTTCAAACGAAGTGGTAGAGTCCAAAAAGAAGGTGTTGTACTTCTTCGGCAGGTTTCGCCATCGGCGCCATCTTCGTCAGGGAGGTGTTCGACCAGAACTCCAAGGCGCAGGCCGAGGAGATCATCAACAACGTTCGGAACGCGTTCAAGAACAACTTCGAGAACTTGAAGTGGATGGACGAGGAAACGAGGAAAGTGGCCATAGATAAGGCCGATTCCATATCGGATATGATTGGTGAGTTGAGCCATCTTCTTCTTCGGTCATCTGTGATCCACTACTGGATCTCCTGTATCATCTGGCTTCTTTGGAACCATCTGTTTCCTACTTGTCCCTTGTACCAGATCATATCTTCTATGGTCTTTTGGAGAACATGTTCAATTAATGCGTGACATTCTCGAAGGTTACCCGGACTTCGTGAAGGACACCAACCAGCTGGACGAACGCTTCCAGAACCTCACCATCAGGCGCGACCAGTACTTCGAGAACAACATCCACATCAGCTACTTCAACCTGAAGAAGAACCTCGAGAAGATCAACGAGCCGGTCAACAAGACCACCTGGAGTAAGCCGCATCTATCCTCTTCTACCCAACAAACGAAATACTAACACCTATCAAATCTCCACCACCAGGCATGTCCCCGTCGACGGTCAACGCCTACTACACCCCCACCAAGAACCAAATGGTCTTCCCGGCGGGCATCCTGCAGCGGCCCTTCTACGACGCCGCCTACCCGCCCAGCTTGAACTACGGCGGCATGGGCGTCGTCATGGGACACGAACTGACCCACGGCTTCGACGACCAAGGGCGCCAGTTCGACAAGCACGGCAACCTGAAGCACTGGTGGAAGAACGACACCGTCGACCGGTTCAAGGAGCGCACCAAGTGCGTCGTCCGCCAGTACAGTAAGTTCCGATGGACCATCACCAGTTCCGGACCAGTTTTGGACCAGTTTTGGACCAGTTTTGGACCAGTTTTGGACCAGTTCTGGACCAATTTTGGACCAGTTTCGGACCAGTTTCTTCGTTTTTCCAGACGGTTACAAGATCAACGGGAAGAGCATCGACGGTAACCAGACCTTGGGCGAGAACATCGCGGATAATGGCGGTTTGAAGGCCGCCTATCACGCCTACTTGGATCTGATGCAGGGCAAACCGGAGCCCGAGGGTCTGCCGGGCATTCCGCTCAATCACAGGCAGCTGTTCTTCGTGGCCTTCGCTCAGGTTGGTGATTTAGCTCAAATTTTGGTGAAGGGAAGGATAGTGAAGAGTAGGGAAGAGGGAAGGAAATTAGGCAAGAGTAGAGAAGAGTTGGGTAGGGTGGAGATGTTTAGGGAAGGATGGAGAAGAGTAGGGAAGGATGGAGATAAGTAGGGAAGGGTGGAGAAGAGTAGGAAAGGGTGGAGATGAGCAGCGAAGGATGAAGAAGAGTAGGGAAGGGTGGAGATGTGTAGGGAAGGATAGTGAAGAGTAGGGAAGAGTAGGGAAGAGTAGGGAAGAGTAGGGAAGAGTAGGGAAGAGTAGGGAAGAGTAGGGAAGAGTAGGGAAGAGTAGGGAAGAGTAGGGAAGAGTAGGGAAGAGTAGGGAAGAGTAGGGAAGAGTAGGGAAGAGTAGGGAAGAGTAGGAAAGAGTAGGAAAGAGTAGGGAAGAGTAGGGAAGAGTAGGGAAGAGTAGGGAAGAGTAGGGAAGAGTAGGGAAGAGTAGGCAATAGTAGGGAAGATTAGGGAAGGCTCGGAGGGTATTTTGGTGGATTTTTCGTACGAATGACAGCTTGCATTTTGCGCAGGTTTGGTGCGCAGCGGTGACGAAGGAAGCGACTGCCCTTCAGATAGAAAAGGACTCCCATTCGCCTTCGAAATATCGCGTGGTCGGAGCTTTGAGCAATTTGAAGGAATTCGCCGAGGAGTTTCGGTGCAAGCCGGGCTCCAAAATGAATCCGATCAAAAAGTGCGAGGTGTGGTAGAGGAAGAGGCGAGAACGAGAGGGAAGAAGAAGAAAGGAAAAGAGAGAGAGAGAGAGAAAGATATATAAAAAAAAAACGAGAAGGAGAAACGACGGAACAACCAGATACATACATATATAAATTATTATAAATTTACAACAATTCTATTTTGTATACCTGCGGCGCGAATTTGTTGCCACATCGAATTACCCAGCTAAATTTACGACATATCTGTCAGTTTGTGACACTTGTCACATGTCATATAAAACGTTAAATTTTCGATGTTCGTTCGATATCAATAACGCATATGTCATTTGTCATTTGACAAAAAATTTAAATGTTTCTTCGATATACAGATTGCTCCATTTTTCATTGCAACATAGAGGCTATGGGTGCAACAAGGACAACTTCCATTAGACACTTATAAAGTAAAAAGAAAGAGTGACATTATGTCATATTGCAACTTTTCACTCTGACAACTGTCATTTTAATAATCTTTCTTTGTTCCACTCATAGAAACGGAGCAAGGTGTATAATTTGCGTGTCATCTGTCATTTGTCGACTGTCAAATCAACTAAAACGTGCCATATGTAATCCGGACGACCCGTTTTGTTTTAGAGAAAAAGTGCGTTCTAAGCAGTATTATTACAAGTATTAATAAATAAAAAAATGTTTACAAAAATATCGCGTTGGCGTCGCTTTCAAGATTACTTCCTAGAGGGCGCCTCCCCCTGCCCCCCCCCCCAAATGCCGCCCCTTTATAGTCTTCTCGAATGTATTTATCGATTAAATTAACTTCTAGTTAATCCTTTTGTGTCCCCTGTTTATTAATCCTGATGCGACTGATCCTCCTCTCCGTTTGTTTGTAATAATTATTTATTTTTTTTTGAATGAGGGCGAGCGAAGGATTGTTTGAATTGTTAATTATTGTACATTTTTGCTTTTATTTTATGTTCTGTTCTCATCAGAAATGTTTACGTGTAAACTGTGTATATTTTTTACTGTGATATAATTATATGTAAATATTTAGATTAATCGAATGTGTTTTTTTTTGGAGATTTTCCTCGTGGAAACTTCTACAGAAAGGTTCCATGAAAGATATTTTTGAAGTATAACTTTGTACAACTTTTATACCCACCCTGTATGTAATTGAGAATTTTTCAATGCAGTTTTAAATACTTTCGACCTTGCTAACAGCCATCTTACAAAAATATTTTTACAATTTTTTAAGCGGATGCTCGTAAAAAAATTAATTAAAACGGTTCTTATTTTTTATAAATAAAAATTATTTACTCAAAACAGTAACGAAATACAGGATGTAGCCAATTAAATTTGCACACTCTGCTCCGTTGAGCGTTACTCACCCTGTATAAATCATCCCATTAAGAAGAAATGTGTACAAAATGTAACAAATCAATTTAGTCATTATAATTAAAAGGTTTTCGTAATACACACTCAAACAAAACGCTTGATAACATCGATTTTAAACAATCGATCGATTCAAGAAATAAAATTTATCAATGTCACCTCTATTCGGCGAATAATTTGCATCGTTCTCGTCTCATTTTATCCCAAAAATAACGCAAATACACAAAACAATATCAATCAAACCAATCGATTACAAATCCTTATCTAAATTGCGAAATCTCGCCGTATGTTCCAAGAACAAAACAAAAATCACCAGCTTAATATTCGACCAGTCGAGAGCAAAGCAAACAAGCAACACTCTAATCCCATTATCGCCGAATTTCCATTTTTTTTTATCTCCCCTTTATCTCCTCTTTATTAATTGTAAGTTGCATCCGGACGCGACCAGAAGCAACCCCGACACTCCCCGAAGATGTTCTCCTCGTTGTACTTCATCGCCTTCTCCGCCTGCGGTAAGCCAATCGAGCCCGACGGGCCCCGAGCAGATCCGACGATTTTATTTCTTTTCTTTTTTTTCGATTTTATTTCCAGCCGCCTTGGTCTCGGCCGGCACCAACGTGACGGGGTTCTATCCCCAGATCAAAGGGAACCTCACCATGATCACGTGGGAGCACGACAGCCAGCCGCCCTTCAACGACGGTGAGTTGGCCTTGAGAAATGGGGAACATGGGGGATGAGAAATGGGATACTGGGATGGGAAATGGGGAAGATGGGGAACTTGGGGGATGAGAAATGGGATACTGGGATGGGAAATGGGGAAGATGGGGAACTTGGGGGATGAGAAATGGGATGCTGGGATGGTGTTGGGAGGTTGGAATGGGGTTGGGAGTTGTTTGGAAGTGATTATGGGATTTTAATCATCGCGTAGAAGATTCCAGATACTCTTGATTCGCTTAATTCTTATGATTCTGTTGATTGCGAAGGAGAGTCGAGTACCTCTGCAGATACTCCCGATTCTATTGATTTTAGTTAGTGCAAAAATGATCCTGTAACTTCTCCAGATCCACTTGAATCTCTTGATTGCTCTAAATCTAGTGATTGCGTAGAAAATCCCAAAACTTTGTTCTAATACTTCTGATTCTACTGATTCACCGATCTACTGATTCTACTGTTTACACAGAAGATCACGGAATCTCTCCAAATACTCCTGATTCTCTTAATTCTTCTGATTCTATTGATTGCAAAGGAGAGTTAAGAACATCTGCAGATATTCCCGATTCTCTTGATTTTATGGATTGCAAAAATGATCCTGTAACTTCTCTTCTAATACTTCTGTTTCTACTGATTCTACAGTTTATATAGAAGATCATAAAGTCTCTCCAAATACTCCTGATTCTCTTAATTCTTCTGATTCTATTGATGAGTTTCGTTTTAGAATGGGTAATGATGCTGAGCGAGAATATAACATCGATAAAGGATAAATCTGGAGTTATAACTCCCGTGCTGAACAAGAACCAAAAGGTAACTCTGGAGAATTTGCTGGGGTCAGTAGAATTGACCAACATCTACTACAACGTCTCCAAAGGTCATGGAGAAGGCGTCAAATTGCAATTCACCGAAGTCGATGCAATGAGTAGCTCTCTACCGATCCTCCAAAAGCATTCGAAGGTGATTAACGACGGTAAAAATCCCAAATTTACCAACCTAACTTCCACCATTCCATTCCAGGCGAACTACCCAATGGTGATTGCGGCTGACATTCTGGAGGGAACAAGCAAGCCCACTCTCGACAGCTCAATGTTTTTCAAATTATTGGAGAACTCGAAAGATCTGGCGGACAAAGTGATCCTATCGGTGGGCTGGACGAATAACGCGAAACTCAGGGCCTACCCGGACGACGGGATCAAAGAAATGGGGAAGATTTTGAAGGACAAGAAGGATTTCAACTTCAACTTTCCGGTTAGAGCGTGCGCAGTCGCCAAGACGAATTCCACGTTTAAACAGTGAGTGTATCATAGCGCTATTTTCTTTTGATTCTTCTTGATTGAAAAGGAGATTCCAGAAGGTCTTTTGATCCACCTTATGGTGAAGAAGACCTCGAAGTCCCTCGTGATACTTCTGATTCTACTGGTTACACCTGAAGATCCCAAAACAACTTCTAATACTCTTGATTCTCATGGTTAAAAAGAAGATCACAGATTTTCTTTTGATACTCCTGAATCACTTGATTCTCTCACTTTTCCACACTCTACTTATTGCAAATAAGACTCCAAAATCTCTCCTGATACTCCCTACTACACTTCTGATTCTACTAATTACACTAGAAGATCCCAAAACAACTTCTAATACTCTTGATTCTCTCGATTAAAAGGAAGATCCCAGATTTTCTTTTGATACTCCTGAATCACTTGATTCTCTCACTTTTCCACACTCCACTCATTGCAAAGAACACTCTAAAATCTCTCCTGATACTCTCTACTACACTTTTAATTCTACTGGTTACACAGAAGATTCCAAAACAACTTCTAATACCCTTGATTCTCCTGAATCACTTGATTCTCTCACTTTTCCACACTCTACTCATTGCAAAGAAGACCCCAAAACCTCTCCTGATACTATTCCACTATAACATCAAAGAACCCTTCATCAGACCCTCTCCAGAACCTCCACACATCTCCAGATGATCCTCCAGACATCTCTAGAACCTCCAGACATCTCCAGATGATCCTCCAGACATCTCCGGAACCCCCAGACATCTCCAGACATCTCCAAAACCTCCAGACATCTCCGGAACCTCCGCACCTTCTTCCCGCCTCCATACACCAGAACCTCCTCCATCGAACCGACCAGAATTCCCGCTAACTCCTCCCGGATTTCCCGCAGGCTGTTGACCAACATCACCGGTTCGACGGTGACCGTCTTCTCCATGCCCAACGACACGGTCAACGTGGACGCGCTCAGGAGCTTCGTGCTCGACATCGGCGTGAACAGGACCTTCCTGGACGTGCCGCAGGACCTGCGCGACAAGCTGCGCCTGGACCAGAAGGCCTCCGGCTCGTTCAGGACCGTCTCCGCGTTGGGCGTCATCGCCTGGGCGGCCCTCCTGCTCCGGCTGTTTTGATTGCAATGGGTTTGAAGATGATGTGTCCAGATGCTGCTTCTGGTTGCTCCTGGTGGGTCTTCTGAACGTCCGGAGAAGATGGTGTTTTAGGTTTTTATTTAATTGTTAGTACCGTTGTTTTTTTCGTTTAGTAAAGTATTTATAATTGCGTGTTTTTAATGGTTTTTAATTACATTATGTTGTGTTTCTGGTGCTATTTGGTTTGCTTGTTTTATTTCTCCTCCATTATTTTCTACGGTTGTTAATACTAAATTGTTGCGTAAAATGTAACGTGAATTTTTTATTCGGAAGGTTAATTAACGCAATCTATTTGCGTATGTAATTAGCGAATGAAACATAAGCAAGGTTAATTGGACTGTACCTATACTTTGTTCCCTTTGAACTATACAGGGTGAAACAGTAAATTTATCCTATTATCTAGAGTATACCCGTCACCTATCTACCTCTGATGCAACCATACAGGGTGGACCAGAAACGCTTTTGTTGCATCCGACGTCTTTTCTACTATAGAAGAACATTTCTAGTCCACCCTGTAGTAGGTTATTTTGCTCGGAAACCTGTTTGAACTGCGACTAGCACGGTTTGCGAAGGTTGCGCACCTGATTCGCTTGGAGTTGGAAGGGGGCTAGCTCGAGAGAAGCTTCTTCAAATAGCAGAAGATCCCCCGGTATTCCTTCTAGCAGTGCGCTCGGGAGAAGATCGAAGAAGATCTAAGGAAAAGAAGAAGAAGAAGAATAAGAAGAAGAACAAGATGAAATTCCCTGTGCTGGTGCTGATGGCTCTGGCCTGTGCCGTGCAATGCAAAGTGGCGCGAATGCGTAAGTAATTAATTAATTGATTAATAGATTTAATTGATGGATATAAATTAATAGAGTTACTAACTTAATTGATGGAATTATAGCTGGTTTCTTCGAATTTTGTTCCTTTGAGAATGCGTTCCTCTTAGAGTGTAGCTTGGCAGTTGAAATATTGCGTTCAAGGCCATTCGAGGCAATTTTTTTATACAGGGTGTTTCAAAATGACGTGCTAATATTTTAGGGGGTGATTCGTGGAGCTATTTTAAGGTAAAAACTTCATTTGAACATATCTTCTAAATGTCTTAACTTTTGAGATACAGGGTGTTAAAGTTTTAAGAAAATAATCAGTTTTTTTGTAATAACTGCGATACTATTTTAGATATCATTTTTAAATTTTGTACACGTCTTCTATGAATCAAGATGCATTTTCTGATGTACAAATAATTTGGTTATTTTTTAGCAGTGGCGTCCGTACGGGTTTTGCGTTTATATTTTTGGAGAAAAAAATGGTACGCCACTGACTAATGTTGAAATAAAAATTATTTTCGGAATCCTCGTTCAATTTAGAACAAATTTGATGTCTTGACTTTTTTTCGTACGACTCATCGTTTCGCTTTAAAAAAAATAAATGCATTCCCCATAGGGCATCAATCTTTTCAAATATAATCCAACTGCCAAGCTACATTCGATGAGGTAGAATTTTTTAAACGGCGTTAATATTAAAATTTTGGGTGCATTTCTAATGAACTTATTGCAAATTTCAATATCATAATTCTTTATGTAAATATATTATTTTGATATATTTACACACCTTGTATATTAAATTTGTGAAAGTTTTATTCGCTAATACATTGTGCAATTTAGGCGCGACATCGATTACGTAAATATAATTTAACCGATGAACCTTTTTGATGAAGGACAAAAAAAATTGTAAAAATCATTTACCATAAACAAATCTTCCATAAATTAACTAAACCAATTAATTCCAAGGTTGAAAAATGTGGTTAACGTTGTAGAGAGTTTGAGCATTGCGAGAATGCGCAACTTCTACTGCGCATGTAAAAAAATATCGAGGTGTTTCGAACCGTTTTCGGTTTATTTCTGTTACCAATTTTTAGGTAATTATGAATTATTAACGTGAATACAATAATTAAAATGCAAATTAATTACCTAACATATTTCACAGATAGAATCAAAAATTTAAATAAACCAAATGACACATTAACATAACATTATTCTCAATAACGAATAATGTAAACATTACACATTTGGCAACACCGCTTTCTAAACACTTTAAAAGGTCTTTAGATTCCTTAATATGCGCAATAAAAGTTGCGCACTCTCTTTTTCACCCAATTTACCTACAGAATTAAAATATATAATCCCTTCTACGCCCAATTTACCTAGATGATTAAATTCTACAATCCCTTTTGCGCCCAATTTACCCAGATCATTAAATTCTACAAACCTATTTGCGCCTAATTACGCTATTATTACACTCCTCTTTATCCCCAATTTACCTAGATGATTAAATTCTACAATACCTTTTGCGCCCAATTTACCTGTAAAATTAAATTCAGCATTCAAATTTCCTCATTAATTAACCTATTATTACACTCCTCTTTGCCCCCCAATTTACCTAGAGGAATAAATTCTACAATCCCTTTTGCGCCCAATTTACCTAGATGAACAAATTCTACAATCCCTTTTACGCCCAATTTACCTGTAAGATTAAATTCTACATTCCCATTTACGCCTAATTATACAATTAACCTATTATTACACTCTCCATTTCTCCTAATTTACCTAGATGATTAAATTCTACAATCCCTTTTGCGCCCAATTTACCCAGAAGATTAAATTCCACATTCCCATTTACGCCTAATTAATAAACCTATTATTACACTCCCCTTTGCCCCCCAATTCACCCAGATGCTTAAATTCTACAATCCCTTTATAGCGCCCAATTAACACCGAGCCCGAATTACTTTTTCCAGCCGATTACCTGCAACACCTGTCCTGCAGGAAATCCGATCCCGCCTACGAACGGTGCGTCTTCGACGGCTTCAACAACGCCAAGCCCTTCTTCGTCAAGGGCATACCCGAATTGGGCGTCATGCCCTTGGACCCGCTCAGGATCTCCCAATTCTCGGTCAACAGGACCATCAGCAATCTGGTCAGCTTGCAGGCCGTTTGCAACGACGTCGAGGTCACGGGCATGGCCAATACGATCATACAATCGGTCAAGTAAGTACCGCCCGAATCCTGATCCTTGGATCTCTCGATCCTTGTGTGGGTGTAGAGGTATTGTGTTTCCATTTGGATCGACAATGTTTGTACTGAGTTTGGAAGGATGAGGATATTTATGAAGTTAGAGAGGTACTACAATCTCTCTACAGAGATGTTTTAATGGTTAGATGCACCATAGATCTATGTAGTAAGTACTAGAGTAAGTAATTCCTGAATCCTGCTCAAAGGATAAATATACTTTAAATAATCTTGAGATTTCGGTGGAAAAATGATAAAACTGTAACGATAGAGAGGTACTACAATCTCCTATCTAGTAAGTACTAATGTAAGTACTTCCTGAATTCTGCTCCAAGGATATGCTTTAAATAATCTTGAGATCTCAGTGGAAAAATGATAAAACTAAGAGGTACTATAACCTTCTGCAGAGGTAGGTACTACAATGCTTAGGTGCATCAAGGATCTAATCGTATGATAGAGTAATCATTGGATAGAGTAAGTACTACTTTGGACGTATTTTTCGAATTCCAGGGCCGATCCGATCAATCATTACGGCGAAATCAGAGCCACCATACCGTGGGCTTTCATGCAAATGGACTATGACGTCAAAGGACAATTGCTGGTAGTACCGTTGGAGAGCAGAGGTCATTTCGTCGGTAATTTCAGTAAGTGTACCACTCAATTTGACGTTTGAAGTTTGACAGTTGACATTTGGCGTTTGAAGTCTGACGTTTGAAGGTTGACGGTTGACGTTTGACGTTTGACGTTTGAAGTGGCGAAAAGTGGTAAAAAAATGTGTTGTTTTGTAGCTGACACGCAAATGTTGATAAAGGGATCGTTGAGTTTGTACGAAAAAGATGGCGTGGAGTATTTCAAAATAAAGAAATTGTCGACGAAAATAACGATCGGCGACGGAGAGGTGAAACTCGTTTCGAAAGATAAGGATTTCCAATACGCAGGTAATGCGAAAAGTCCTCGTAAAAAGTTATATAAGAAACTCCAATGAAATGTGTATAATAATTGTATTTTCCAGCCGATTTGATTAGCGATTTCTTCAACGAGAATCCTCGAAGAGTTTTGGACGCCGTCAATCCGATTTTCATCGATTTCACCGATTCCTTTTTCCGCTCGGAATTCGACAAGGTCCTGGCCAAATTGCCCGCCTCCGAATGGCTGCCCGAGTAAATTTAACTGCCCGTTAAATATTTACCAATTTTTTACCTATACATTATATTTTTTTTATCATTTTATCAATAATATTGTAAATAGTTGTTAGTTACAATAAATGTAGTACTCGTAGAGCCGGTTCTGTGCGAATTTTATCACAGAACAATAAAACCCATCGTAGCGAATGCGCATGCGTTGACAAGATAACAGCTGGAAATAAAAAAGCGTAAGGTCACAAATTCAATGAACATCGTGGGTGTTAAGTAATGGTAAGATGGCATTTACAAATTAATTTTATTGGTTTTTAATCGAAATGATTACTCTATTGTACACGCACACACATACACGCTAGATTACGATGCGTTATTTACATGTCGGAGAGTGTGAGAGAGTGAGAGCGGGAGAGAGATAGCAGAAGGTACAGTATCGGACTTAGGGGTAGAGAGAATTTTCGTAAAAGTATTTAATTTAATTGTCACAAGGAGTTTCAAAAGTACTGTCATGTTTTCTAGTTGATTTTGTATGTTTTTCGAAAATTAGTGCGGTTTTCGAAAATTTTCGATTGCTCAAAATTTTTTTGCATAATTAAACAAACAGTGTAATTTTATTTCAAGATAATTATTCATCGAATGACACTAGAATTATCCACACTAAAAAAACCTTAAACTACTAAGTAAGAGGAACATTGGAGTCCTTAAAAGATAAAAAAAACCCTTATGAATCCTTCATGACACTTTCATTACTTAAAAGAATCCTTTGTAAAACTACTCCTCTACACTAAGATAAAAAAAAGCCATAGGAATCCTTCGTGAGCCTTCTTCTCCACCTAAAACAATCCCCAAGAATCCCCTTTATAAACCTCTACTCATCTACACTAAGATAAAAGAATCCTAGTAGATTCTCTTATAGTACAGGAATCCTACAATAAATGCTCTTGTTATTGAACTATTGCTGTATTTATTACACCGCACAGCCGACCGGGTGTCTCTATTAAAACCTATCTAATTATTCGTAATAATCGCGGTTCGTTTAATCTAACGGGTTAGGGGACCTCCCGAAACATCACTCCACTCCACTCCACTCCACTCTACACCGACAGAGTTCATTGTCGAATCCATTCGAGAAGAACGTTCTCTCTACCATTATTAAAATAATAAGCAAAATGTCGATCTGGCTCTGTTCGGTCGGTAAGCAAAGCCTCATTACTCGATCCATCCGGATCGAATCGATTTAAATCCAGATTGATTTTCCAGTTGTTATCCTGACGACGACGACGACGACGGTAATGTCCAACAAACGCGTCCAGGATTTCTTCCCGGACGTCCGGGGGAACCTCACCAAAGTCACGTGGGCGCACGCCGTCAACAATCAATCCTACCTGGAATCCGTACTAGAGCAAAGTGAGTACTAGGATACTAGATACAACTAGGATACCGCGTTCTAGGTACGAGTAGTATAGATAACATGGTGTTTTAGGGTAACAAAGTTAGGTATAAAAGATTGGAATACCTATTAGGATATTAGAATACTAGGTTCTAGTTACTATGAGGCTAAATATAAGGGGGTTAGAGGGTACTAGATACTTGGACACTAGAATATTAGGTACTAGGTCACCAGCATTTTATAATACAAGAGTGCTAAGATACCAGAATATGATAGATGCTGGAATATTATATGCAAGGGTTCTAGGTAATTAAATACTATATAGATTCTAGTTACAATGATACTAGACATACCTAACGGTGATATTTTACTAGAATACTAGAATACTAGGATGCTAGAATACTAGGATGCTAGAATGAATGAATAACTCTAGAATATGCTACAGAAGACTGTGATGCTAGACATTAGGATAATATGCATTAGGTGCTAGGATATTATGATACTCTGCCAGGATACTAGACTTTAGGATATTAAATGGCATACTTAGATACTAGGATAATAAACGGTGTGTTCCAGATGACGTGATGATGATCGAAGCGGACGTGACGATGGGAAAACTCCACGACGGTGACGGTCTGTTGCCGATAATGGCGCATCCGCCGTCGAAGGTATCCGATCTGTCGTTGAAGGACTTCCTGGAACAGGTGGAGGAATCGAACGCGCGCGCCGACAGGACGCCCAAGGGCGTCAAGCTCGATTTCAAGGACATCGAATCGTTCAACGCCGCCATGGGACAACTCCAGCGAGCCGATCAGGTACTGTTTTTCTTCCTTTTTCGACCTCCTCGATTTATTCGACATTTCCTCGCATCTTTATCCAGAAACGCTATCCGCTGTGGATCAACGCCGACATACTGCCGGGCCCTGGCAATTCGCCGGTCAAACCGGTCGACAGCGCCCAATTTCTCGGCAAATGCAAGAGCCTCACCGGCGGCGCCGTCCTCTCGTTGGGCTGGACGACCACCGTCGACGACGACGCCGCCCCCGCCGGCTACAGCATCGACAACGTCAAGGCCATGATGGACGTCGTGACGCGCTACAAACTCACCAACTCCATCACCTTTCCCGTCAGGGCCAGTCTAGTGGCGAGAAGCGGACCCGAAATGCAGGCGTAAGTACAGGTACCATTTTATCATTGCATTTTTCTAGTATCATAGTCTCTAGTATCCTAGTATTTAAGAATATAGTATCCTAGTATGTAGTATCCAAATGTCCTAGTATCTAGTGTTCTAGTATGAAGTATCATAGTATCAAGTATCCTATTATCCTAGTATCTAATATTCTGGGCTAGTGTCTAATATCCTAGTATTTAAGAATCTAGTAACCTAGTATCTAGTATACTAATATCCTAGTATCTAGTATACTAATATCCTAGTATCTAGTATACTAATATCCTAGTATCATAGCATCATAGTATCCTAATATCCTAGTATCCTAGTATCATAGTATCTAGTATCCTAGTATCATAGCATCATAGTATCCTAGTCTCTCGTATCCTACTACCTAATATCATAGTTTCTAGTATCTAATATCCTGGTATCTAGTATCCTAGTATCAAGTATCCTAATATCTAGTATCAAGTATCCTAGTATCATAGCATCATAGTATCCTAGTCTCTCGTATCCTACTACCTAATATCCTAGTTTCTAGTATCTAATATCCTGGTATCTAGTATCCTAGTATCAAGTATCCTAATATCTAGTATCAAGTATCCTAATATCTAGTATCAAGTATCCTAATATCTAATATCCTAGTATCTAGTATCCTAGTATTTAAGAATCTAGTATTCTAGTATTTAATAATCTAGTATCCTAGTATTTAAGAATCTAGTATCCTAGCATTTAGTATCCTAGCGTCATAGTATCTAGTATTCTACCATTTAGTATCCTAGTATCCTAATATCCTAGTATCCTAGTATCAAGTATCCTAATATCTAGTATCCTAGCATCTAGCGTCTAATACTCGTATCGTACTTACTATCTAATGTCCCAAAATCCCAGCACGTAGGACATAATATCTAATACCCTATGTACTAGAGTAGGACGTAAGTACTATATGCTGTTGGTACTAGTGTACTAGGTACTACTAGATTGGATTTTGTGTGTGTCCAGTTTGCTTAGGGGTTTCGAGGATTCGACGTTGACGGTGTGGTCGGCTGCTTTTGACGAGGTGGACGTGGATCGATTGCGGAAGGTGATTTTGGACATCGGCGTGGAGAAGGTCTACTTGGACGTGCCGGATGAGATACGGGAGAGGCTCGAATTGGACAAGAATGGAGCGAGCAGATCGGCGAAGGTGGCGCTGACGAGCCTGTTGGTGGTGCTGGTGGTGTTGGTGGTGTTGTAAATGTACTAGCTGTACATGCTTCGAATAAAGGGTATTTAGGTGGCTTCGAAAACTGGTCTGGGAAATTTGGGTTATATGATGTGGACTGTATTATACATATGCAATGAATAAATTCGTAATAAATTGTTGATTTTTGTGTTTTTTTTGTATTGAATTTAGTTGTTTTAAATTTTCATCTGTCAATAGCACGATCCTATATTTCTAAGGTCTGGTAACTCCCTATGCTTATGAAATAGAGAATGTGTCTCGTTATTTGAGGACTTTGTTGACAGTTCGAGCTGTCAAAAACTTGAAAAATTATTATTTGACATTTCGAGGAGAAAATGGAGAAATGCATTAACCGAAGATACGTGAGGCATGATGTTAACATTTTTTTTTATTATTTATTAACTGATTTAATTGCTAATTTCAGTTTGTTTTGGTGGGCAACCTGTATAAGCACGTCTACGTGGTTTTTTACCTTGTACCGGGATGAGAGATAAAATCTGGTTTTCTCAATTAATATTGATTCTCTTCTCGATATTAGATTCATCGAATCAATCAAATACAGTAAATTTCCTTTATGATTGGAACATGAAACGCACAAACAATTCTCTTGAGCAGCCTCCTTATCGTTATCTCATATAATTTTTTATCAATAATTCAAAAAAAAAATCGTATAAAAGCCCGAATACGACACAGGAAATTGTAGTTATTATTAACTGGTAACAACATGAAAACCTGTAAGTACCACACTTACAAAATAAGTGTAAATTATAGTACTAAGTACAAAATCTAAAATATTTTGAATCAATTTTTTTCCAGTTATTCTAACAGTCGCCATCACGGCCGCCATTTGTCTGGCTTTCAACGGTAAGCTAATTTGCTATACACAATCGAATTAAACCAGTAATTTCGAATTTATTTCGCAGGCCAAGAAGCCACCGGAGCGCACATTCCAAGAGGTAATTTTTTTCTATACAATACAGGCTGTCCCGCATAAGAAACAACATATTTTAGGCCCCCCTGTACGCCCCTGTTCTCCATCTCTTCTTACGCGGGACACCCTGTATAGCGAGCTCCAAAGGTACAGCTGATGATTACTCTACCATAATTGAGTTTTTTAATAATCCCCTTAAATTGAAAAAGACAAGTTGAAAAGTACAGGTACTTCGGTACTACTTTTGTATGGTCCACTACACCTTTCAAAGCTCGCTAGAAGTTCCTTAGAAACTCCTAGAAGTCTCTAGAAGTACCATAAAAGCTGCCTGGAAGCTTTTGGAACTTTCTAGAAGCTCTTGCAGCTTCCTAGAAGTACCTAGAAGCTGTTGGAGCTCCCTAGAAGTACCCAGAAGCTCCCTAGCATCTCCCTACAACTTCCAAATTTCATTATCACGCGATTCTCGATGCAGTACCGGGCCCGCCTCATTGCACCAACGCCACCGAAGGCAAACTCTACCCGGACCCGTACGATTGCGGCAAGTACTACATCTGCTCGGAGAGCGAAGCCGTCGAGATGAACTGCTACCCGGGCACCTGGTTCAATCCGGCCAACGGCGAATGCGACTATCCCAAGAACGTACCGTGCGTCGTCTCCGTCACCACCACGCAGGGTACCACCAGCAAACCGCCCAAGCACGAGGCCGATCCCACTGTCACGCCTTCGGAATAACCGATCGCAAGAAACCAGTAGAATAAATCGAGCTTGTACATATCTGATATACTTTTATTCTACCTATACTAGCCACAATATAGTCCTGGAAGATTATACTACTAGATGTTTACGATCTAATGCTGCTTCAGAGGCAATAAACACTATAGATGTAGTTAGATAACATAACACAGTAGCAACTTTATTTAACTTACAAACGTTTCTCCTATACATAACTATAGTTTATTATTCATAGCAATCACCTTGTGGTGAACTAAACTGTTAGGGGTACCACCAACACTCTTCCTTGGAGCCCCCATCAGGAGTCCAACAACTGACTCCTCTACTGCATCTCACCAGTCACTTTACTGTAGCTCACCAATCACCTCTAGCACAATCCAATTGACTCCTCTAGCAGCTCACCAGGCTCACCGGACTTACAAAGCAACTTTTGCCATAGACCTCGCCAACTTTCCACCCTACAGCAAGGCTGACGAGCGTCCCTGCAGCTTCTCTTATCACAGTCCAAACACCACACCCTCACCAGAGTCTCCACCAACTCGCTCGACAACCTCACGACTTCCCGCCGACGCGCTTTTTGAACCCGTCCTCGATATCGTGCAACGTCCTGTCTTTGGTCTCCGGCAGACAGGCGTAGACGAAGCCGGTGCCGAATAAGGCGACGGCGCCGAACACCAGAAAAGTACCGTCGGCGCCCAACCGTTCGAACATCCCCGGCGTCGTCTTCACCACCGAAAAGAACGCCGAAAAGGCGGCGAACGAGGCGACGCCGCTGCCCAAGCTGCGCCGCTTCGACGGGAACAGCTCGCCCATCATCGCCCAAGGCAGCGGTACGAAGCCGCCCGTCACGAACACCATGTAAAGTACCAAACAGGCGATCGGTATGTACCTGCATTTGGTCTCCGGGTAGCTCTTCACCGCGTACAAGTAAGCGCTTAAGGTAAACAACGACACCGCAGTACCGACGCCGCTCACTAGAGCTATAGGCCTCCTGCCGAAGCGCCTCAGCTGCAAACAAGCCGCTATCGATACGAAGAACCGCAGGAAATCCACCAGCAACATGGCGGCGTACTCGTTCAAACCGTCGCCTATCGTTTCTCTCATTACAGTGATCGAGTAGAAGGTGATGGCGTTGATTCCAGCCCATTGGTTCGCCACTATATACACCGTTATAATTCCCAAAGGTTTGAGAAACTCCGGTACCAAAGCATCGCGTAGACTCTCCGTATGATCGAGCCCTCTTCGACGCTCCAGCAACGCCTCGAACTCCTTCTTGGATTCGTCGGTGACGCCGCGACACCAGTAGAAGGCCCGCTCGGCCTCGTCCGGGCGATCTCGATCCACCAGCCACCAGGGGGACTCCGGCACGAAGACTATTATCAGCTGGCTCACCAAGGGTAGTACGGCGCAAAGCAGGGCCGTGGTGCGCCAGGTCAGGAACGTGCCCATCAAGTGGCACAGGAACAAACCTGCAAACGATGGTATATTTAACTTCTAGTAGATACTACAATGGCTGGAATTGTGTGGAGTCCACACAAGTGCAAGAGAGTCTGTGTAGAGTCTACAGATAGTTGTATATACTCTTAGAGTAAAGCACCGTGTCCATACAGTTCTCCATAGTCTCTTGGTATGGATTTAGAGTAATTTGAGTGTGTGGTATAAGTACCGGAGGATACGGAGATGGATATTCCGCCCAAGAAGAATCCCCTGTGCTTCGGATCGGCTATCTCGCCGATGTAGACCCCCGTGGCGCTGGCCAGGTAGCCGGCGAAGAAGCCGGTGACGAAACGGCCGATGAGGATCATCTGGATGCCGGTGGAATGGCCGATGAGCAGCCAGCCGATTAAGGTGGGTATGCAGGAGAGCGAATGGGCGGTTTTTCTGCCGAGTTTTCCGATGGAAAGGGCGCCGAAGGCGGAGCCGATGGCCATGGGAAGGGCGGCCATGGATGCTGGAACGAGAGTAGTTTGATTAGTTTGATGGAGAGGGATGTGTAAGGTGTATTTGGATACCTATCCAGGAGGCTTCTTCTTTATCGATTGATAAGGTGTTTTCTGGATTTTCCGCGGATTGTAATTGTGGTAGTAGAATGGCTGAATAACCGAACGTCATGCCTGAACATACTGTTAACAGAAGTGGACTCAATACGACCAAACACTGGAATAGGAAGCAAACGGTTTTAAATGGAGCATTTTATAACTATGAGGGTAGAAGGCTATACACCCTGTATATAGCAGTATCGACAAAAAATGATGTTATTTCTTCATCTTCTTCTTTTCGTTTGTAAGGCCTCAGCTGCTGCGGCTATTCGGCCTAAAAATCTCATTTCCTCGTTGTCACTTTGACATTTTAAATATTTAATTATCGCTAGACTTCTTACCTGTTTGACGAAAGGTGAAAGGTGAGGGGTCTTCGCCGGTTCGTTTTCTCCGTCGCCTTTGCGGAGGATTTTCAAATTTCGCAACAGTTCCAACGAAAATCTGCAAGTAGTTAATTTCAACCCTTATACAACTCCGAAAATAAAAGTGACATTTGACGTGGATATAAAATCGAGTTGGGACAAAACAAAAACAGGCATAGAGATGCTGTAGCGTAACAGTTCCAAAATAACTGTTATTTTCTCCGAAAATTCGATGTTTTAACGACCCGGAAGACTTTGACACGCAATTAAATGCTTGAAATAAGTCTAATAGCGTATTACACGCACGTTTAAATTAAACGCAATCGGCTTTCGTTTCGTTATAAAATCCAATAGAGCGAGGATTACTCGCAATAATGTTTACTTACACTTTCACCGAGTTTGTGGGTCGCCTGTCCGCCCAATTTATGTAAATCATTTAATAACATTTAATTCAATTAATTAACAATAATTAAGGATTTAAAAATTCGACGAAAGAGACGCTCGTTTGCGCGTTGAATGAGCGAGAGAGAGAAGCTAAATTTCGTGGAAAATGACGTATGACATAAATGACTTAAGCGCATTTTCCAAGTTATTTTTCTTAGGAATAGTGTAGGGAAAGGTCAGGTAGGGTAGCAGAAAGTATAATAGGGAAGGGTAGAAGAGGGTAGAAGGGTGTAGGATGAGGATATGAAGGGGTAGAGAAGAGTAAAGGGTGTAGAGTGAGTGCAGGAAAGGGTAGAATACTTAATTCAGTACTGCCTACTTGATTGAGTAAACAAGCGAATATATTTATCCATTAATCGTTTATTTTTCTCGGAAAAGTTTCGCAATCGATTTCTTTTAATTATTCAATGGATTCGGTAACGCGACCTTTGTTATTCCGTACGAGATGTATTCTACAAATTGCGAAATATTTTAAATGTTACATGGAATGTTTATGGTAATGTATTTAATGCAGCAGGAAGACAAACAATAATTGAATGAAGAAAAGGGATTGTCGACGCGATAAGCTCGAATGAAATTTCATCATTAACATAAAGGGAAATTCGCGAAGAAATCGAACCGAAGAACCATCGTTATGTAATTGATAAAACGTACAATTTCCGAGATAATAAGCTATATTTACTTTACTCGTACTCGGTAATTTCATTACGATGAAAATCCGCTTTCTCCGGCCTTACACGGCGAAAAATTAGACAACGCATTGCGGAAATTCCCGCTCAACAAACTAACCAATCAAACGCAAAAAAAATCCCTTAACTCACCCCTTCATTTCGCCCAACAAAACGCGACCAATGCACACCAAAATTTCACAAAACCATATCTCATTTGACCGTCACCAACGACTCATTGTTTCACGTCTCTTGCACTCCATCGACTTCCGAAGATCAAGGCAATCCTCTCTCCCTCTCCCCCCCGAAGGAGAAGGAGAAATCACAACAAACCAAGAAGGCTACCAATCCCTCTCACACCGCTCGCTCTCGGTAAACCACCGAAACAGCATCGATTACATCAATCGATTCCAGCCAGAAATCGATTCTATCACTCTCCAATTTTGACATCCCCATGAATTCGAACGCGTGCCCGCCCGCCCAATCGCCCCTCCTCGGCCACGGCGCCGTCCAGAAGCGGCTGCTCGACCGCCCCGACCGCCCCCGTCCCGACGAAGACTTCGCCGGCCCCCTGGGGCTCCACAACGACGAGAACCGCGCCGTCTACGCCGACAGGCGGCGCCGCTTCCTCGACGCCTCCAAGCGCTACGAGAAACTCAACTGGGAGACGTGGACCTGCTCCAAGGCGCGCCTGCACAACGACTACGTCGCCGCCTTGGACCTCGACTTCCTCGGCGATGCTACCGACGAGGTGATTTCCACGGTCTTTAAACGGTCCTGGAGCGTTCTAAATGATTCTAGACCACTCTAAATTGTTCTAGGAGCGCTATAGATGATTCTGGATCGTTTTAAATACTACTAAATGGCTCTGGAGCGTTTTGAATGGTTCTAGACAATTCTGGAGCGTTCTAAATGGTTCTGGAGCTTTCTAAACGGTTCTGGAGCTTTCTAAACGGTTCTGGACTGTTTTAAATGGGTATAGACAGTTCTGAATGATTATAGATAGTTGTAAATGGTTCTGGAGCGTTCTAAATGATTCTGGAACGTTTTGAATACTTCTAAATGGCTCTGGAGCTTTTTAAATGGTTCTAGACAATTCTAGAGCGTTCTAAATGATTCTATACCATTCTAAATTGTTCTAGAAGCGTTCAAGATGATTCTGGAACGTTTTAAATACTTCTAAATGGCTCTGGAGCGTTCTAAATGATTGTAGACCATTCTAAATTATTCTAGGAGCGTTCTAAATTGTTCTAGGAGCGTTCAAGATGATTCTGGAACGTTTTAAATACTTCTAAATGGCTCTGGAGCGTTTTAAATAGTTCTAGACAATTCTGGAGCGTTCTAAATGTTTCTAGACCATTCTAAATTGTTCTAGATAGTTGTAAATGTTTCTGGAGCGTTCTAAATGATTCTGGAACTTTCTAAACGGTTCTGGAACGTTCTAAATACATTGAAATGGTTCTAGACTGTTCTAAATGGTGTTCTAGGAGACTATTCTTGGACATTAATACGCTTAACCTACCTAAAATTATACACAAAGAACACAAATTATCCTAACTTCTTTGTACAAAAACCTTGTGAACTAGCGCAATTTAATTAGTACAGTAATTAGCAAATTTGATTGGTAATTAGACGAATTCGACGATCGCCAGCAACGAGGAGTACACGGGGAAGTTGCTGAAAAAACGCACGGAGAGGCGGGTAAACGAGGTAACAGATTTCTTCCCTCTTACATTCCTCAACGGGGGCTTTATCGAAGGAATATTATTCGTAGATTCCCAAGGAGAATTCGGCCGTTTGCAACTTGGACACTTGGTTCAGGAAGTACTTGATAGTTAACAGGTTGATAGCCGTGGCTCGTTCGGTGGTGCTGCGCAACAGGCTTTTGGGGAACTTGGAGAAATTGAGGAAACTGACGCCGGAGGCGCTGGAGTGTTTCGAGCGGGATTCCAAGGCGTACTACGGTTGCTACGAAGAGATTTTCGCCAGGTTCGTTTGAGCTGGTTTTAATGTAATCGAACATTGAATATAGAAAAATAGATTCTGGTGTGTGTATTGATTAAATGTCTAGATCATCGTCGGGGTCTTCTTCGTCCCAATCGTCCGTTTCGTCGAATTTGTATGTGATTCTGCCTTCCTTCGGATCGTCCGATCTGAAACGTTCGCTCGTTAAAAAGCTCGAGTAATTATTTAGAGTATTACTTTGGTAAATAAGGTAATATTTCTCCCCGTCGTTCGTCTCTAATTTGCCTTTCTTCGGTGCTCAAGCCTATTTTAAAGGTGGCTAGTAGCTCGGGATCCAGTTGGGACGAGACCAGTTTCTTTGGATCGAGCTTTTCGATCTTCTTCGTTACCAAATTCCCTTTGATTTGGAAACAATATTCTTCAATCTACAACAATTTTCGATTAATAGGCATTGAGTACGATTAATAAATTCGTTACCTCTTTAAACACCTTTCCGCCGGGTTTTATGTAAACGTATTCAACTCGATTATTCCGTTTGTCCGATTGCGATTCGGGCAATATATTCAAAAAAAGAGTACTCAAATTCCGAAACAACTGCGAGGCATTAACGCTAACATCTAACAAATCTTTGTGTAGTACCGTAACTATTTGTTGTTGAACACCTGCGAAAGGAATATCGAGTTTAATCGAACAGTTTATACTCGACTTATTTGAACCCACCGCATTTTCTTAAAGCATTGAACAAGGCGTAAGTTTCTCCTAAACCTAACGAATAAATAACGTGCACTAGGGAATCGATGAAGATCGCCCCGTTAACTTCGCAAACTCTTTTAATGGCGTTCGCGAAGTCCATTTTCTCTTCGCCGTTCCAGCCCGACGGATTGCTAACATAATCGTACAAATTGACCGGTTTGTGCGCCAATCTCGCCTTGGCCCTGGCGAAGGGCTCTTGAAACACGAAATAATGGACGCTGGTTTGGGGTTTGTCCGAATGATTGTTCAACAGATATTCCACGAATTGTTCTCCCCTTTCGTTAACTGTGTCTGAAACGCCGAAAAATTAGTAAAAAATACGGTAAAACGCGTTACTAACCTTCTATAATTACGAATTTCGTTGGTGGAAAAGCGGTCAAGTAGTTTTTCAGCATTTTGTCGATGAAAATGTGGGTTTGCTCGAATCAAAACATTGTCACGTTGTGCACACAACAAATTCAAACGAAAAGTGAGGTTAGTTGTTGGAAGTTTACGTCAAAAGTTGCACTCCACCATAACACTACAACAGCCACTAATTATAATTTAATATGTCGTTATTTAGTTTTGTGGATTATAAAAATATTCTTGTTTGGGATAAGAATAATTTTGGAAATACCGCGGATTAAATTCAAGTTTGTATTGTGGAATTTGGTTAAAAAAAAAAGAAGAAATTATCAACGTCACCAAAACGTCACCTTTAAACGAAACGTCACGTCAATGTGGACATGTCATCAAATGTTGATAAATAATTGTTTAGATATAGGAATTACTTTACTAACGGAGCTCTTCGCAGCAAGGTCGCGAGATTGAAAGGAAACCGCCGCGTTTGCTTTTTGTTGCTTTTTTCCGATTTTTCCACGACCCCGATACAAATAGGAGATAGGATGGCGCCCAAACAAAGGATGCGAATCGCCAACGAAAAGGCCATGAAGAACGTTACCCTCAGAGGAAACGTCCCCAAATCGTCGGTAAGCGAAGCGAACATATTGCAATTTTTTTTAACACGCATTTCATTCATATCCACGTAGAATTCCGGCGATGTTTGGTTAGAAACGCTCGAGAAATTCGTACCATATGTTTCAACGCGAATTCCTATCGTCTTAACGATTCGATTCGTTATCAGCACAAATTTTTAATTGATTACAATAACGCAACGTTAATCTATCGTTTCGAGATGATTAGAAATGCTAACGAGTGGTTTATGAATTGTTCCAGAAACCGAACCAAGACGGTCCTGCGGTGGGTCCTTGGCTGTTGGCCCTCTTCGTGTTCGTCGTCTGCGGCTCGGCCGTGTTCCAAATAATCCAGTCTATCCGCATGGCTTAAAAGTCGCCTATCCCGTTAACGTTTTTATTTTCTATTTTTCTTCCGAAATAAAAATAAAACCGCTATGTATAAAATAAAAGCATCGACGTTTTAATAACATATATGTATCATCGTGCAATCATTCTACGTTTAAAACGATTAAAAACCGGCCATTCCAGTGGTTCGTTTGTACACGCATTTATGTATCGGAGTATATTTTTTCAATATAATATGATTTAAATGATTGTTTAGTTGTTTTTTTCTGAGCGCCACTCAATCCGATGGGGAGATGTTCTGAGCAGCTGCCACTAGGGTGTCGTGGATTTCCTTGGTGTAAGCCACTTGGGCCGTGGCGGTCGCAAGGAATTGGGGATAAGTCAACGTGTTATCGTTCAAGCCTAGGCTTTCGGTCTTCGTGGGGGCCACCGGTAGGTTCAGGTACTTTTGGCTGCTTTCCTGCTGCGTCAGGCACTTCAGTGATGTTTTCTAAAAAGAGTTTGAGCGAAATTTAGTTTCTAATTCGATTGTATTAGTGTTTAAATCGGCTTACCAAGTGCAGTTCGATTTGATCGCATATCGAGTAAAATTCTTCGAGATTCTTATCGAAACGGGGTATTTGCACGTCGACTCCTTTCCTGCAAATGTACAATATTATGTAGATCATTAGAAGCACTGAACTCTACTCTATTCTGCTCTGAATCTATTCTATTCTACCCTGAATCTACTCTATTCTACGCTGAATCTACTGCACTCTACCTTAGTTTGAATCAACACAACTCTACTCCAGATTATAATTTGAAATGTGTACAAATTGCTTCGAAATTCTATTTATTACATTCTATATATTCTCTAATTAAATTACAACCGTATAAACTTACTGTGATCCGATGTCTACTTGACTGTTCTGGTTCAAAGTTTGTGCTGAAGTTTTGATGGTATTCTAAAAAGAAATTTCGGCGTTAAATATTAAAAAGAGAGGCTTTCTAATGGGCTTACCGAAAGCGATTCTCTTAGAGGGCCGATCAGCGATTTAATTTTCGAGATGTTGTCCAAAGGTTGTTGTTGTTGCTGCTGCTGTTGCTGTTGTTGTTGTTGTTGTTGCGCCGCTTGGACTTGTTGCACTTGCTGTTGCTGCTGCATCAATTGCGGCTGGGCGTTTTGTTGTTGCTGCTGTTGTTGTTGTTGCAGTAAAATGTTCATCATTTCGAGCGTAAATCGTGCAAAATTTCCCTGCGAAAGTTTGTAAACAATACACTTTTCGCTTATGTCGTTCGTCTTCTTCTTCCAGTGGAATTTTCGATCTTAGCTGCTTGGATTATTCAGCCAACTGTCATTTGAGTCTTGATCTGAATACTCACGGCAGACGATGCATAATAAAAGTGTATAGAAAAAGAAGAACCAACGAATACATAAAAAAACATCCCTTGTGAGCTGGCCGGATGCGGTTATTCGCAAGAGGCCTTTGACTAGGAAAAAAGAAGAAAAAACAAAATGTCTGGTCAAATTGCAAAACTTTATTGCTAAAACTTACAACCTATTAATTACATAAGTTTATGAACAAATATTTATAGTGATGACGGTGTGGTATTTCACGAAATAAATTATTTACAAAATAATTATAAAAAAAATAAAACCCTAAATACGATCTAAACGACGAAAATACCTAAACTAATATAAAAAAAAAACTAGTAATCCAATCAATCTAATTCCAATTTCCTAAAACTACCGGCCAAGCCGGCGTCTCCGTCCCCGCCCGCAGGAGGGGGCCTCCTCCTTCTGATTATGCCCCTGTCGCTCAGCAACTCGGCCTCGTCGAAGCTCAGCAACCGCTTCCTTTTGCCCTCCATCTCCATCTTCCACCATTTGATCATCTCCTTGGCCGGCATTTTCCCACCCATCTCGGCCGGCAGGCAGTTCTTCTCCACCTCTTTGCACAGATTGTCCGTCGACGAGTGGATCTACGAGCAAACGATCGCGTCAATTGTCAACTGTCAACTGTCGTACGTCGCGACAAACTCACCGAAATTCTCGCCTTCAGTTTGTCGCTCGCTATGGAAATGGCGAAATCGAACACGAACTTCACCACCGACGGTAGATTCAAGATGGTGATCTTCTTGTGCCTCATCGGAACCGATTGCTAATAAATAAATAGGGTTAGAGTAGAGTATTCAAGAAAACGATTTGTAAAATAACAGTTATTTTGTAACTACAGTTACTGCACCTCTATACCAACATGTAGATTCCCACCTCTATTAAAATGCTGTCATACGAACCGTCAATAATGTCAGTTTTGATAAAAATGTATCATCGAACCACCTTAAAGTCGTTCAAAGCGAAAAAAAAAATGTAATTTATCCTGGATTAGCGTAGAGTACAATAGGGTAATCAGAAGAACGATATTTGATAACGTAACAGTCGTTCCTGCACCTCTACACCAATAAAATCTCCCCACCTCTATTAAACTGCTGTCATACGAAATGTCATCGGTGTCAATTTTGTTCAAAAAGTATCATCGAACGCATCTTGAAGTCCCACATTAGGCGACTCACCTCTCCCCAGCGCACCATTTGGGCGAATTCGGACACCGTGAAGAGTGGCACGTGGTTCAGACTGGCCCCCGACACGTTGGCCACGTGGCTGAACCCCAGCACCTGGTTCGCCTCGTCGTCGAGGAGGCTCTCGTAGGTGACGCTGTGGACGCGCGCCAGGTCCGTGCCGGTGAATTTCTCCAAATCGAATTTCGCTGGAAAATATATTATTCCGTTAAATTACATCTACTAATTACCATCTGTATTATACATACATAAATCGTACAGGATGACCCTTCGTCCTTTGGAATCCCTGTAGGGACTCACGAATATGTAGCTGAAAATTGATAATTATTTGAGGATATTTGTTTCGTACAAAATGGCGGCCGAATTTTTACCCGTCCTCGATAATCCTGCTGACGTTCGTGTCCTCGCAATCCATGTTGTACATAAAATGCCGGAATATCTTCCTGTAGTTCAAATACTTAAGCAACGTCTGCTGGGCCATGTGCAGGCTGTACTTCTTCACGCGCAGGAAGCGCAGCAGGAACAAATCATCTACAAACAAACAAACAAAATAATTCAAAAATGTAACTTCTTCTCGTTTCGCGCCGGCCTCGGACCTCGCGGGTTCTCGGTTCTCACCTGTCGGACAGTTCTGGATGTCGGGGTTCTGTTTGATCCACTCGCGCATGCGCTCCAGGCACTCCTTCTTCGTGCGATCGTCCTCTCTGAGCTCCCTGCGGGCCGACTCCACCAGGCTGGCCAGCGACTCGCCCCCCTCGCTGGGGTTCTTGTTGCAGGGCGAGCCGTTGCGAAAGTTGCCCCAGTTCTTCACCATCAGGAGCTCCGTGGAGGTTGTCATCTGTCAAAAATTGGCGAGGCGTTAGTCGAATACAACAATAGGACGAGGCCAGTGTAGTTGGTATCTTTTTGGAGAAAGTAGAGAGAAAGAAGAAGGGAATAAGAGGAATGGCAGTGACGTTTAATAAGTAAATTATCTCTCTTTCTTCTATAAGAACTTATTTCTGTGACGTTTATCAAATAAAGTATCTCTATCTTTCTTCTATAAGAACTTATTGCTGTGATTTTTACTAAATAAACTATCTATCTTTCTCTTGTTAAAAACTTATTGTAATGACGTGTAATAAACAAATGATTTCTATCCTTCCCTCTTTTAAAACTTATTAAAGGGTCAAAAATAGTGAGAAAGAAGAAGAAAATAAGGGGATTTACCTTCAAAATAACATCGATAATGTAATAATTATTCCGTATTAACCTACTAATAATGAAATCTCAATGAATATTAACGAACTGTTTTGAATAATTAAAAAAAAAATAAGAAGATGCTTTAGGGGATTTCCCCATTGTTGATGTGTTTTACGTAACGCGCGAATCTAAGAAGGCCGATAAAAAAATTCAAAATGTCACAATTTATAAATCCGAATAATAATGAGATGGAAAGTATCGGAAACCTTGAACGAGAATCTGAAATTTGTAAACAAACCCGACCCGAAATTCGTTAATTAAAGTGGAACGCCCTGAAAAATCGGCATTAAATTAACGTTAAAGTGTTACGTACGTTATTATGTATTAATAATTTAACGTATTTACGTATACATAACCGATTGTGCATTACACATTTCATGTACTTACCTACAATTCGCAAGACGAAATGTTGCTTATATAACAAAGGGAAAGTTTAAAACTTTAACTTTTTCAAGTTCAAAGTTACCTGCAGTATTAAATATGATGAATAATATACAGGATGTTAATTAATTGAATGCCGATACTTCAGGATGTGAATATTTGGATGATTTTAAGAGGAAAAGTTTATATCAATGTATGTTCTAAACCTCTTAGTTTTCGAGCTACAGGGTGTTAAAATTTTAGAAAAAAAAACTTTTCTATCATAGTTTTCTTATTACGGCAGATATTTTTTATTTCACCAAAATTTCATACCCCAAAATTCATAAAAATGTAGTTTTCTTCTTAAAATCATCCAAATATGTTTTTTTTGGTAATTTTATTGTAGTGTAATTTTTTTGAAAAAACTGTTCAGAAAACTCTACGAGGACAGATCATTATTTTTTTTATCAACTAGTTTGTATTATTTTAATAAGTACCTAATTATGTATGTAAATCGGTAAGGTTTAATTGAGAACCAGTATGAATATATTTGATTGGTTTTTCGCTAAATTGCGCTCAATTTGTCGCAATTAATATAGTTTTTTTTTGTAACTAATTCATATTAAATTATTATTATTAATCGTTTGGTAAATTGCATAAAGGACCTTGATATTGGAAAAACGCCTTCGAAAATTTTCACAACGAATCGAAAAAAAAGTCACGTATGATATAGAAATTTGTTTGTGGTAAAAAACTTCAACTGACCTTAACCATCAATAATTTTTGTTTATATTTTTGTGCAATGCGATTAATTAAATATTTTGGTTTGTTTTATATACAATTAATATTTAATTATACAAATACGAAACAAAATCACTCCGAATGTTGGTTTTATCCACGTAAAATAATTGGAATTTATGAATGAAAGTAGAATTAAAAGTGCCCATTTAGTGGTAAAAAATTCAAAAATATATTTAAAAAAATATTATCTAAAAATTAATATTATTAAATAATAATTTAATAAGGGAAAAGAAAGGGTGATATTGTGGGGTTGCAACTTTCTCACAATAATAATTGCTATTTTAATAATCTTTCTTTGTTTAACTCATATTAAACTGCAAAAAAATTGCAATTATCTAACATTAAATATGAAACAAAAGCATGTAATTATACATAAAATATTCTAAAATATACCGCGATTTAAATTAAAAAAAAAAACAACGAAAACTTTAGTAATTCTAAATATTCAAAAAACCCCAAAATATTAAAATTAATCGATTAATTAATTTGATTAAATGATTAATAAAGCTCACCTGTGCTAATCGTAACTCTGGTCTAACTGAAAACGCTTTGGAAAACAAAATAAAAACCGCCGCTCTCCGATCGAGAGTATCCGACCGTCAACTAAAAACCCCCTCTTTGATGAGAACTCTCCGGGCGATATTTGTTAAAAAATATAACAACAAATTAACAAACCGGCGAGTTCATGGTTCTTAATAAAAAATCAATATTTCTCCATATCGAATTGTTGTACTTTTGGTACAACATTTTGGTAGGATTTAAAAAATAATTTTAGTTTTTAGAAAAAGCAGTGGCGTACCATTTTTTTTCAATCATAATCAGTTCAAACCCAGTACGGACGTCACTGGTGAAAATTTTAAAAAATCTTATGCCTCAAAAAATTCTCCTTAATAATTAAAAAGTATTTACAAAATTTCATAAAAGTATCTGGAGTAATAAGAAAATTAAAAATGGGGCAGTATTTAATAGTAAAATTAAATATTTAAATATTACAAGTAGCCATATAGAAGATAAGGTGGGGTACAATTGAAAATATCCATCTTTCGCAATTTTCTTTGATAACCCACGCGAATTTAATTCGATTTAAATTACAGCGGAATACACCTAATTGTTTGATTATATTCGTCCGGATTGCCCCAGTTGAAAGAGATAGCTATTATACATTACGGATTTTACTTTCGACGCGAGCCGAGATGACGTAATAAGGCGAAAGAAGCAAAAAAATGAATGCGATTTTTAAACGTAAATCATAAGTAGGTCATTTCTCCGTCAAGTAAGCCATGAAATGCTGCATGTTGTACTTTTAAACGCACACGTCAAGGAAACGATGTGTGTGAGCGACAATGTGACATAACGGCCCACATTTATTTATTGCAAAATTTCAACGGAAAAGGCAAATATCGCTTTTTCGACACACGAATTTCGTATTTTTAATACAAACGATTTGTTTACACCTCGTCTAGAAGGCTGGGTTACCGACAAATGGAGCCATTACATTTTTGACACATGCACTGGCCGGTCTAGAAGGCTGGGCAATCGACAATTCGAGCTGTTTTGACACGTGAACCTGTCAAAAAATCGATTAACATTCGACTGTTTTGTCAATAAATCGATTTTATACGCGAACTAAAATGCATAATTTTAAAGGCAATTATAGAATTTGATTGATCGATTCATCGACCTTCTATACAACTCATCTCAAATTGATCACTGATGTAATTATTAAGTAATAAAAAAAAACTTGTATGACAACTTATTTGAAGATACCTATTAGTTTTATTAATTGCAGCACAAGAACCTCATCTGTTTTTGCGAGAATACTTCTAGACGTTTGTTTATTTAATATTATTAGGTTTTTTTTAACCGATTACCTCAATTTTCGAGTCCGTTTTACTAGGAATACTTTTTGGAATTTTACCAAATAAATTTGCAATAAATTTCTCTCCTTCGGTTCCGATGGAGATATGTTTATTAACCTTGGATCAATTCGATTTTATTGTCATCTTTTGCGTCTAGGAAAATTTCCTTGCCGTCTATGATTTGCATATAATAAACCGTAATTTTAAGATAGAACGGCGAATGGTAATTATTTAATTACGCTTCGCAGGCGGATCGATCAATTATCTAACGAAATATAACGGGTAAACAACGATGATGACATTACCGAGTCGAGTAGCACGATTTTAATTAGTATAATTACAATTTTAATACTCGCAAATCATTAATCAAACCTATTTTCTTTTCCTACTCGCTAATATAAGTAGATACGATAATGTTATGAAACATTGTTGATTGTTGCGCTCTTTTAAATCGCGTGAGACTATTTGGTACACTCTTAATACAACCCTGTTAGTTTTGTTAAAACTATTAAATCCGGTCCTGACCGTTAATCGCTATTTCGCTGAATAGAAAGAGGCCACTTTCGATAGAAATACTTTTGACAAGTATGACAACTTTGACACATGTTTGTTTGTAGTTGTAGCGATCCATTTGCGAACTTTTAGATAATATTTAAACAAATAACCGCAAACAAAACGCAATGGAAACGATTTTAGAACAACAACGTCGATACCACGAAGAAAAAGAGCGGCTGATCGACGGCATGGTGAAAGAGATGCTTCATAAAAAAAACACCGTAAGTTAGGTTAGGAACTCAAAGTATGCGTTTATTTATTTCTTACTTTCAGTACAGAGAAGCGATAAACTCGGACCACCGACAGAAGTACCTCCTAGACAGGTACATGACTTCCACGGAAAGACTGATCGAATTGTACGAGGACAAAGACGGGCAACGTAAGGCCGAGGTGGCCGCCCTGACGGGCCCCAATGAATTCAACGAGTTCTACAGCAGATTGAAGCAAATCAAAGATTTCTACAGAAGGCACCCGAACGAGGTAAATCAATTTATTTATACCCCCCAAATCTACTATATTTTATATCCAAATTATCCCGTAGATAAGCGTACCGATGTCCGTAGAGTTCGATGAATTCGCCAAGGCGAGGGAAAATCCCAACGAAGACATGGCTAGTACGTATAAATCCATAATAAAGCCTACTTTGATTGTAACTCGTTTTCTTCCACCAGATTTCGTGGAGTTCACCGACGAAGAAGGCTACGGCAAATACTTGGATTTACACGAGTGCTACGAGAAGTACATCAATCTAAAAGGCATCGAGGTACTACGCGTCATTTAACCTCAAACGTACATATAGAAGTTTAATGCATTCCAGAAAGTCGATTACATCACCTACCTGGCCATGTTCGACCAACTCTACGACATACCGAAAGAACGAAAGACCGGCGAATACAGGAAATACCTGCTCTACCTCATCGAATACCTCACGTGGTTCGTGCAACGCATCAGACCGCTGATGGACCTCGACAGCGATCTCCAGGACCAGGTCGAACAGGTGTTGGCCAATTGGGATAACGGGATGGTGCCCGGGTGGCCGGTGAGTGCACCGATTAATACGATTCGTACATTTTTTTTTATTAATTCTCGATCGTTAGAAAGAAACCGGTTCGGCTTTGGCCAACGTCGGCGCCCATTTGGACCTGTCGGCCTTCTCCAGCTGGGAGGAATTGGCCTCGTTGGGTCTGGATCGTTTGAAATCAGCCCTCATGGCGTTGGGATTGAAATGCGGAGGGTACGTATCGTTTCTCGAGCACTCCGAATGGTTCTGGTTAGTTCTAAAACGGTCCTGGAGCGTTCTAAACGGCTCAGGAGCGTTCTGGATGGTTCTAAACGATTCTGGAGCGTTCTGAATGGTTCTAAACGATTCTGGAGCGTTCTGAATGGTTCTAGACAATTCTAAATGATTCTGGAGCGTTCCGAGTGCTTCTAGACAGTTCTAAATGAATCAGGAGCGCTCTGAATGGTTCTAGTAGACAGTTCTAAACGATTTTGGAGCGTTCTAGCTTAGTCTAAATGGTTCTGGAGCGCTCTGAATGGTTCTAGTAGACAGTTTTAAACGATTTTGGAGCGTTCTAGCTTAGTGTAAACGATTCCGGAGCGTTCTAGCTAGTTCTAAACGATTCCGGAACGGATAATATACCTCTAAACATAACCGACACGTGTAATTCGTTTAGAACGTTGGAGGAGCGAGCCCAGAGATTGTTCTCGACGAAAGGAAAAGGCTCTTTAGATCCCTCTCTCATGACGAAAAACAGCAAGAATCGCGTGACGAAGGAGAAGGAGGCGCTCAGGCAACGGGAACTGGCCACGTTAGAGGCCCAAATTTACAGGTAAATCGCACGAATCGTTCGCATTTAGTGAGGCTGACGAGGGAATTTGTAGATTGGCCGATCTGGTGTCTGCCCAACGGGCGGCGACCAAAGAGAACGTGCAAAGGAAACAGGCCCGTACCGACGGCGAACGGGACGACAGCGAGAACGAAGAGAGCGAGGAGGAGAGCCCCGACGAGGCCGACGACGATGTACCCTACAATCCCAAAAACCTGCCGCTCGGTTGGGACGGAAAAGTAAGTTAGGAGTACCTAAAACGGCCGCTAGGAGGCGATTTTAGGCCTATTAGTAGCGAATTGTGTAGGGCAGTAGTTAGGAGTAACCGCTCGAGCGGTCTAATACATTGTGCGTTTCCAGCCCATTCCGTATTGGCTGTACAAATTGCACGGTTTGAACATCAGCTACAATTGCGAGATATGCGGTAACTACGTGTACAAGGGCCCCAAGGCGTTTCAAAGGCATTTCGCCGAATGGAGGCACGCGCACGGGATGCGTTGTTTGGGCATACCGAATACGGCCCATTTCGCTAATGTCACGCAGATCGAGGACGCTTTGGCTCGTAAGTGGAGATTAAAATGTGTGTTGTATTCGATTTAATTTCGTTGCGTTGTTTTTTTCAGTGTGGGAAAAGCTGAAGGTGCAGAAGCAAAGCGAGAGGTGGCAGCCGGAGACTGAGGAGGAATACGAGGATTCGCAAGGGAACGTGGTGAATAGGAAGACTTACGAAGATTTAAAACGACAGGGTTTATTGTAATTGCCTGGTTATTTCCCAATAAAAAAATAGATAATAATGCTCTAAATATTAACGAGTGTGTTTGTTTATTTGCCGCAACCGCCGCCGCCGCAAGCGCTCCTCTTTGGAGCTTTGTACGTGGATGAACTGCCGCTACCCATCAAAGGATTATATTCTAAAAGATAATTAATTTAAATATTGAATTGTTTATACACGAGATACATACCTGGTTTAAATGATTGGGATCTTTTCGAAGTACTAGGACCCAGGGTATTTCCGCCATTATTGTATTTGTCTAATAGTTCGTTAACCTTCTTTTCTTCTTTCTGAAATTATACGAACCGATATGAATAGTGAAGTGGATATAAAAATGAGTTCTTACTTCTTGTTGTTTCTGTTTAAACAATTCAAGGTCCCTTTTGTATTTTTCTTGTAATTCTAGGGTTCGTTTTTCCTGCGCGCGGAGTCTCTCCGAGAGCAAATCGGGATCTATTAAGTAGTCGGTTAGTTATATACTTTGATTGATTGATCGTACTCACTTTTATGGTATTTTGCTGAGTATTCGGCCTCGTCCTTTTCAGCTTTGTACGATCGAACCAAAGATCTGAGGTATTTGTCGTATAAATAGAAAGTTATCACAAGTGAAATTAGCATATACCATCCATAATTGGTGATTATATCTAAAACTAATTAGAACATTATTAACATTTAGCGATAAATGATTATACGAAGGATTACCTGGTGATATTATATTCGAAAAATGATTAGGATACGTTATTTCCTCATCCATTTTTGATGTATTTTGTGATTATTGTTATAATTGAATGAGTTGTGAAATATTTTTTGGTAAACGTCAAAAATATTTCTAATTCTTTTACATAAAAATTTGGTCTCCCACACTGCGGTTACGCAGCACACTTAAAAAATCAGCTAATTCATAAAAGAATTTTATGTAAATTAATTAATAAACAAGTATTAAACTGTAATTAATGATTTTCAGCAAAGTAGAGTTTATTAATAATTAAGAATTTTCAATATCCAGTGTCAACTCCGAACGCAGCCCCTACATTCTGTCAAAGCTGTCACCAGTGTCAAATGAAATGTCAATCAGCTAATGAATTAGGTAAATTTGTGCTGTTTTGAAACCTGCCTTTAGTTTTAGTGAATTTTTTATGTACGTTTTTTATTAATCGGGCGTTCGAATTTCGCTTATCGTTTGAAATTCGAGCGTTCTCTCTATCGAACAATGTACCAATCGAAATCGTACTTTAAATATCGGTAACTCGGTCGAAGAAAAAAAATGGCGCCATTTTAGCGTTTACTATTTTGCCCCCTTTTCGTTCGCTTCCCCAACGAAGATTCCTCGCTTTTCCACTTCATTTCCAATCAATCATGTCCGATGCGTCCGAATCTAGTTATCTCGACAGGAACGCTACGTCCGTTTATTTCCAAAACAATGCATCACACATCGGTTACAACAGAAAAAGAAAAGCTTCATACAATGAGAAGATTTCATCGGACGAAAAGGATTTGTATTCACCGCAACTCTCCAGCACTCTGAACGATTCAATGGAGTTAGTCAATAAAGATTGTAAGCATAAAACCGCTAAAAACCCCCCAAATTAATTCATCTCCGTTTGTTTGTAGTTGCCAATAGGAAGTTCAGTTCGGTACCGAACACTCCCGAACAACACGTCAAGCACAACCGAGGAGAGCCGGTGCACAAGCGAGCCAACACCAGCAGCTTCGTGAAGCATTTCTCCCAAATCGGCATCCACAGCCAATCGCCTCTTCGCCGAGAAGCCTACGATATACTCTACCCCGAGCTGCCCAGCCTCGAGCCCGCCAAGCGACCGCAGACGCCTTCGAACGGCGACAAAACGGGCCCCAACCCGGCGAAGAAGCGCCTCTTCCAACCGGCCCGCATTCGACCGCTCACCCAAATCCTCTCCAACACCCTCATCATGAACAAGATCCTCAGGCAACTCTCCAACGGCGACCTCTACCGCCTCGCCAAAGTGTCCACGCGCTTCCGCAACGCCATCGCCAACGACTTCGAGGCCTATCCCCGCTACGTCGAGTTCCTACGCGCCTACAAACACCAGAAGGAAAACTACAAAATCACGCCGCCCAATTCGCCCGAAACCGTTCACAAAACCGACCCCGACCTCAACCCCGAACTCGAAAACTTCAACTACTTCTGCGAGGTAATCCACCTCAACCTCTCAACACCTCTCGTACTTATCTAATTCGTTCGTAGTTCGCCAAAATCCTCAACAAGAACCAATCGTTGGTGAAGTGTCCTCGATGCCAGAGGGCCTCGATCGTAGACAACGACATCGCCCAATGCCAGGACGTCAACCGATGCGGTTACATATTCTGCAAGCGCTGCAACAGCTTCGCCGATCATCCCAAAGACTTCGTAGACAAGTGCAACAACGCCCAGCTGCTCAACGCCTCAAAATCACGGTACTACTCGTTGTCCTATTAGATCGTAGGGTGTTCAGTTGATCGAAGGTTTTGTACCTGCGTGGACAGTTTTTGCCTGTCCAAGACTCTTGCTAGCTAGAAAAGGCCCCTTACTAGCTAGTCAGTCAGCTACTTTCGATTACCTCGTTCACAGGACATTCTACGATGGTTGTTTTGGGTTGTCTATCGAGGTTTATTTCGCGGATATTAACGAGCAATGCGATTTGCAGGAACCTGTTGGGAGATTTGAGCAATTCGCCGATAACGAGCGACTACGGTACGGGCAATTCGAGTTCGTTTTTCTCGTCTTCGTTGACCCTCAGCTCGTCCTCGTCGTGCATTCTGTCGGAGTGCGAGGCTTCGACGCCGAAGGAGCGCGTCAGAAGGAACCTGTCCAAGTCGCTGTTGCTCTCCTCGGAGGTACGTTTGCGATCGATCGAGTTAATCGATTTAACCGGTTGTTTGATTGTAGATGAAGATATTCTGTTCGAACGCTCGTAATGATTCGCCGCAGAGGAGGAAATCGCAACGGAGGGCGTCGCTGGTGCCGGTGGTGTCGCGGGACGGGGAGAAGAGGCCCGACGCGGACGTGATGGAGCCCTCGAGCCCGCCGAAGGTGAAAATGTATTCGGTGTGTTCGAAGCAGAGCAAGAGGAATTTGAAGAGATTGTGAGCTCTGGACGGTGTACTGGTTGATATTTGTCTGTGATTCCGAAACGAATCCCTGTTTTTTGGTTTTTTTTTTCTAATTGTGTATCTGTGTAATTCTAAGTTATGAAGTTTGCTAACTTCAAGTGAAGTTTGCTAATTTAAGCTAAGTTTGTTATGAACTAATAGATAAGTTTTATGGCCCTTGGTGTTAGTTGTTTGCAACTTATCTGTCGGTTTGTAATTTGTAATCGTTTTTTTTTTATTGTCATTCTGATGAATGGTTTTTCTTGAAATTCGACTTAAATGATGAATGTACATAAATTATTGTTAGTGATATTTTTACATTCCCTTGTAATCATTTCAATTTTCTGTATTTCATACGTATGTGTAAGTCGGGAATTGGAATTTCGACGATTCCTTTCGGTTCGTACGTATTTGCTTTTGGTTAAAAAATACTTTTTTTACAGGAGCGTTGTTGTATAAATTAAAATTTTCGAAATTAAATATTTTCTAGTATTACGTTCGTATTATTGTGCATGTTCTGAATTTGAGATAAAATGCAAAAGTTGATATACTGCACGGCTACGCTAGGTAATAAAAGGCCATAACTGTCAAAAATGTGACGCAAGGGCCTTAGTTACTCCATAACAACAATGTAAATCTGTCAATTTGAAAGAATCTCCTTAGTTACTCCATAACAACAATGTAAATCTGTCAAGTTAAAGACGCGACTTTAAAGTCACTTTAAAGTTAAACAGAGGCGCTGAAAACGTGCCATTGACTTTTTAGAACGGATAAACTTTATAATAAATGCGATAATAATCCTCAAATCCCAATAATAACCCTCAAATCAAAGATGTCGCAATCTAAACAAATCCCTGGCGGCCATCTTGTTTTTTGGCGCACTCGAGAATCCGAAGAATCATGATCATCGTATTCTTCTTCATCTTGTTCATTATCATCGAAATGCGTGTTTTGAGGTCGACTTTCACATCATTTATACCCCGTATGATTTATTAAACGTTCTCCGTTACGCAATGACGATCGTCTGGTGGGTAATTAATGGCGCGAATACAACGGGAAAATATTTCGGTAATTGATCGAAAAAAAAAAAACGAAAGTGAGCGCGTCTTTAACTCGTCTAGGACTCGCCGAATGAATGAATGAAGCGCCTATTTCAAGGCTCACGTCGATTTAATTGCGATTTATTAACTCGAAAAATTAATGGTTCTGATATATTAAATGGACCTCTTTTCCTATTGTTATTCGGAACGTTTGCGCTCAATTAACGATTAAATCACGCAATATAATTAATTATTAATGATAGAAAGTCATAGAGCACAACAGATGATCCGCAATAAAATTATTAGATAAAAAAAACGTATTACATATTAATGAAGTTTTTTTGTATAATGCAGATTTGCATACGAACAAACATTTAATTCGAAATTGGATAATTAAATAATACTAATTATCTATTAGGGTCAGAGTTACTCGAATAAATATCGCATATACCCGAATACTTTCGTTATTTCGCCATATCTAATAAATAATATTTGACGAGACCCGGTTAGACAAACAATAATTTCTCTTGGTCAACAACGAAAAAATAAATACCTAATCCGATTTATTTGAACAGAGTTCAAACGGCACTTTCACACCATCCAAAATTACGTCATTTGTACCATTACGTTTCAACAAAACCAAACACCCAGTATATTCGAAAAATCAATCCCACAATTAAAACAATCCCACCTTATACATGTTAATCGAATTAACGTTAGATAACCATTGAAATATGTACATCTAACATTTTTCAAAGGCCACACGAAAATTCACTTACTCGAAGAAATGACCTCAATGTAATAAATCCGATTTTCGCGATTTTTTTCATGGTCCAAACGGCGCGCGCCCGCCGCGAAAAGCGCCGTTTGCACCAACACATCGCCGAAAAATCCGGTTGAGTAACAGCAGCTGTTATGGCACCACGAGGAAGCGACGGCGCGATTTATGGCTGTAATATTCGAAATATTATATTAATAGATACCCCGGGGGGCTCTAATGGCTCTAATGCAACGCGGCGCTCTATGCATATTCATGAGCGACAGATATTCGTTCGTACATTAATCACGGGCCGATTTTTTGATATGTTTCTAATTCGGATTAATTTGCATAGTTATCGACGCGTCATTTGCATTTAAGGCTTTTGGATTTCCGAAAAGGGGGGTTTTTCGAATATAAAAAACCATCTTCCATTTTTGAGACAGTGTCGCAGTTCGTTGAATTCGAGCAAGATGGGACTATTATACGTTGTAAGTGATTATTGCTTATTTTTTTTTCATATTTTTTCGTTGGTAATTGCGTATAAATAAGGGCGCAAAGATTCCTTATAAACAATAAAGAGTTATAGTGCAAATGATGTAAAAAACACGCAATTTTGTTCATTTGGTTCATTATTGTAGGTTTTTCTTGAATTTTATTTGGATCAGAAGAGCACTAAATTTATACAGGGTGTTAATTAATAAGTGTGACAAACTTCAGGGGGAGATTCTGCATGAAAAAATAATGATATTTTGCTATATAATACAGGGTGTTTCATATAATACTAAAGATTCCTAAACAACAAAGAGTTATAGTGCAAATGATGTAAAAAACCCGCAATTTTGTTCGTTTGGTTCATTATTGTAGGCTTCAAAAGGGCACAAAAAATTTACAACTTTCATACAGTAAACGTTCGTTGGTATATTAACGCAAAAACCTTCCACCAGGTGTTCGCGCTGACAGTAGCAGGAGCCCACTCCTCGGACAGTTACAGCTACCCCTTGCCCCAGCAACCCCTCGAACTGGCCACCTCTCCGCTCGCCTCCCTAGCCGACATCCAAGGCTACAACTACCCCCAACCCGCCCCCGCCGACACCAAATCCGTCGAAACCCCCGTCCCGGCGCCCGCCCCTCAGCCGGCGCCCGCCCCCGGCTACCGCTACGACCAACCCCTCGCCCCCGAAGAGACCAACAAACACGTGTACGTCTACGTGGCCCCGCCGGAGCCGGAGGCGGCCGCCGCCCGCCAGGTGTTCGTCCCGCCGCCGCCCGTCAACCACAAGATCATCTTCATCAAGGCGCCGGCGCAGCCGACGCTCAGGAGCCAGGTGATAGCGCTGCCCAACCGGCAGGAGGAGAAGACGCTGGTCTACGTGCTGGTGAAGAAGCCCGAGGAGCAGCAGATCGAGGTGCAGGCGCCGCCCCAGCGGCCCGCCGCCAAGCCGGAGGTGTACTTCATCAAGTACGATACGAAGAAGGAGCAGGAGGAGGGCGGCGCCGAGTCGCGCCCGCAGCCGCCGTCGCCGGTGTACGGGCCGTTGCCGGGGGTGGTGGACGCCAGGAGGAGCCTTCGGGACGTCCGAGTCGGCGCCGGCGCCGGTCGGGCCAGGCCTGCTGGGATTTACTCTCGTTGAATGGACGGTTTTTTCTCTTACTATATAGGTAGTGCTATGTATATATTGTTTATATTTATGATATAAATGTTGTTCGCAGATTAATAAAATACGGTGACAAATTAGTTGGTTGTTGTTTGTTGTTTCTTAGATAATAATTAGATATACTAAAAAAATTGTTGATAAATCTACACCAATTATCTAAATGATTTCCGAGGGGGAAATATAGGGAGAGATAAGGAAGGATGGGGAAAGATATGGAAGGATTGAGAAGGATAGAGAAGCATTGGGAAGGTTTGGGAATGTTTGGGAAGGATAGAGAAGGATTGGGAAAGTTCAGGAAAGTTTAGGAAGGATAGAGAAGGATAGGGAAGCACTGGAGAGGATAGAGAAGGGTATGAAAGGATTGGGAAGGATTGGGAAGGATTGGGAAGGATAGGGAAGGATTGGGAAGGATTGGGAAGGATTGGGAAGGATTGGGAAGGATTGGGAAGGATTGGGAAGGATTGGGAAGGATTGGGAAGGATTGGGAAGGATTGGGAAGGATTGGGAAGGATAGGGAAGGATTGGGAAGGATTGGGAAGGATTGGGAAGGATTGGGAAGGATTGGGAAGGATTGGGAAGGATTGGGAAGGATTGGGAAGGATTGGGAAGGATTGGGAAGGATTGGGAAGGATTGGGAAGGATTGGGAAGGATTGGGAATGATTGGGAAGGATTGGGAAGGATTGAGCAGGATATTTTTAGAGTGTAGATATAGTCGGTGCAAAACAAATATCAATGGACGTCACCTATGATGTACTACGTCACAGGTAGGCAGTGTTGCCGAACTTTTACAGAGTTTACAAAATCTGAGAATTTTCTAAAATTGTCAACTAGCAAAATGACGAAACCAAATTGAAAATCATCATCATTATTATCATCTGAAATATATTTAGTAAAAAAGTAAAAAATTTAGTGTACAATTCACCCAATTCAAGAGTACATAGTGAAATTTCTGAGAAAACTTCTGAATTTGAATTATTTAGAGCCCAAATTGTATCATTTACAACTACGCAAAAAAAAATCTTATTTCTCGATTATTCGGCCGAACGGGACCTTAATTACAGCCCATTTTGAAATCCATCAAACAAAACAAACCCACACTTACACGTCACAATTCACATTTATAAAAAAAAATATATTACAGCATCTCCTATTAACCTCAACATTTGTGTGTAGGTAACAGAATTTCAAGTTCAAAGCGAAATTATCGCATCGTTGAAATCGCACGGTAATTGCCCAAAATTACGAATTAAATCCCCGCTCGGTGGCCGGCCGAGCGAAGGGAAAGAGACCATCTCGAACGGGTAGGGGATTTTTACGCCGAGATTATTTTAATTAGACGCGCTACCAGTATATATAAAACTAGACACACCGCAATTAGAATTAAATTATTCCTCCGATCTCAATTTGTGCGCTCCGTTCGAGATGAGATTGCCAATCGTAAGTCAAACACATTTTCGTTTCATCCAAAAAATCAACCAATTTCATTTCGCTATATCGAGTCACCTGCGATTTTCATCTATCCATACAAACAAACAGCTCACTTTGATTACATTTCCAGTGCTTAACAATCATCCTGGCTACGGCGCATGCGCGTCCCGAACCACCGACGGGCTACAATTACCCATCACCAGGACAACCCTCGATCTCCCAAGGATCCCCCGTAATCGAAGCCCTATCGCAAGGATCAGGTCAATCATCCTTCGGCTCCCTGTCGCAAGGGTCAGGTCAATCATCCTTCGGCTCCCTGTCACAAGGGTCAGGTCAATCATCCTTTGGTTCCCTGTCACAAGGGTCAGGTCAATCATCCTTCGGCTCCCTGTCACAAGGGTCAGGTCAATCATCCTTTGGTTCCCTGTCACAAGGGTCAGGTCAATCATCCTTCGGCTCCCTATCGCAAGGGTCAGGTCAATCATCTTTCGGCTCCCTGTCTCAAGGGCCAGGTCAATCATCTTTCACTTCTCCATCACAAGGAAGCCATTCGTTCGACTCTCAATCGCAAGGAGGCCAATCATCGTTCGGTTCTCTCTCCCAAGGAGGTCAATCATCGTTTGATTCTCTATCGCAAGGAGGTCAATCCTCCTTAGGATCTCTACTACAAGGAGGTCAATCCTCTTTAGGATCTCTACTGCAAGGAGGTCAATCGTCCTTCGGTTCCCTATCGCAAGAAGGTCAATCCTCCTTGGGATCTCTATCGCAAGAAGGTCAATCGTTGGGTCAAACATTGATCCACAAGCACGTGTACGTGCACGTGGCGCCGGAGGAGCCGCAGGAGGTGCGCGAGCGCCGGCCCGTCGCCGTCGCGGCGCCCCAGAAGCACTACAAAATAATCTTCATCAAGGCGCCGGCGCCGCCGGCGCCGGTGGCGCCCGTCATACCGGCGCAGCCGCAGAACGAGGAGAAGACGCTGGTGTACGTGCTGGTGAAGAAGCCCGAGGAGGCGGCGGAGATCGTCGTCCCGACGGCGGCGCCGACGCAGCCGTCGAAGCCGGAGGTGTACTTCATCAAGTACGATACGAAGAAGGAGCAGGCGACGGGGGGACATCAGGGGTACCCCGTGGAGGGGGCGCCCGAGGTGGTGGTTAATAAGGCGACGGGGGGGTCGGGGAGTGTAGCGGGGCAAGTGGGGCAGTCTAATTTGGGTAGCCTCGATGTAAGAAGTGGTAATAATAATGGTAATTTGTCTAGTAAATACGGGCCCCCCGGTTACCAAAGATAAATTATGTAATTAAAAATAATATATTGTATGCGTCAGTGGCCTCTTTATCACACTCCGATTGAGATGGTGATATTTATTATTTTTGTATATTTTTTTGTATATTTTTAATTGTAAATGTAAAGAAACGGTGACACGATTTGTATAAATAAAGAATTATTTTATCATATTTTCTATTTTTCATAATTAAAATGGCCGCGTCTCGAGTCCCTAGTTACTCCATAACAACAATGTAAATCTGTCAAAAGTGAAAGAATCTCCTTAGTTACTCCATAACAACAATGTATAACTGTCAAGTTAAAGACGCGTCAGAAGAGTTACTCTAAAGTTAAACAGAGATGCTGAATACGGGACAATTGAAATTAAAATAAGTTTAAATTTATGAAAAATGGGTTCTTTAGAAACTAATTTGGAGGGATCTTTTTTCTGAAGGGGGCGCACGCCACTGGCAAACTGCGTATTTCTCATTCATTTGAACTACTACATTAACACTAAAAAAAAGCGAAGAGGCGTCATATTGCACAATAATATCTAATAATGTTATTTATTCTATAAAATAAACGAAACCTTTCACTTTCACCGCCATATTAGAATAATCGAATGGCGTTTTTTCTCTAATTAATTCGTCCGTAAAACCGAAAATATTTAAATATTTTTCACCGAACCGACATATTAAAACATTTTATTGGGTACTTAAAGCGCAAACCGGCCGCCAGTGGTGTAACTGTCGTTCGGAATAGGGGGGAACGGGGCAAAAAAATTTCTAAATGTTCGAATAGTAGGCTGTTTAATTTAAAAAAAAATATGTATCAATTTTCGACAATTTAAAATGTTTTATAATCTTTATTTATTTACAATAATTAATATTTTTACAACAATTTTATTGGCACAATATAGGGGAAGCGGGGCAAATAAATTAAACAATTCAATCACGATATAAAATTAATCAAAATTTATTAATAACCTGCATTAGACACAATACCCCCCGGGGGGCCGTAACTTCCGTCCGGCTTCGAACCCGCCTCCAACAAACCGCCCCCCAACCCACTACCCCCTAATCCATTCAACCCAATATCATTTCCCCCTAATCCATTAATACCGTTAATTCCATTGTCCCCCTTCTTGGTCTTGTACCGGATGAAGTAGACCTCGGGCTTGGAGGGCGGCGCCGGCGCCGCCGCCGACGCCAGCTCGCTGAGATCGGCGGCGTCCTCGGGCTTCTTCACCAGCACGTAGATGATGGTCTTGTCCTCGGCGGGCGGCTGGGCCAGCAGCTGGGCCTGCTGGGAGGCGGCCGGCGCCGCCGTCGGCGCCTTGATGAAGATGATCTTGTAGTTGCGTCGCGGCGGCTGGACGGGCTGGCGGAGGGACTGCTGCGGGAGGTGGTCGTCGGGGTCGGGGGGCGGCACGTGGACGTAGATGTGCTTGGTGATGAGGGACGGCCGGGAGGCGGGGAATAAGTCGGGTTGCGGGAAGTTGTTGGAGAAGCTGGGGATGTGGGGGGATAGGGAGGAGCCGCTGGTGAAGTGGTTGGTGGAGGGTTGGGGGTAGTCGTAGCCCTGGGGGCGGGCGCTCGATAGGGTGATTATCAGTGGTAGAAACTGCGGAAAAATATTATGTAAAAATTGTAAAAATTAGAAAAAAATTTAGGTATGCTTACATAAAAAATTATTATAAAAATCGGTGAAAAATAATAAAAATAAAATGAAATATTAAAAAAATATATAAAATATAATAGGTATAATAAAATTAAATTAAAATAATAAATATCCAGAATATACAAAATATTGCAAGTAACTTCCTGATAAAAATTTCTAAAATTGTATTAAAATTGAACAAAAAATATTAAAATAAAAAAAAAATAGAATAAAGTATTAAAAAAAATAAAATAAAATAATATACATAACCAGAATATAAAAAATATTGCAAGTAACTCCCTGATAAAAATTTCTAAAATTGTATAAAAATAAAACAAAAAAAATACCAAAAAAATATTAAAATAAAAAAATAAATAGAATAAAAATTTTTTTCTGACTTACCGCGACGATTCGCCTCATCTCGGACCTTTTTTGCGAACACGAACGAAACAAAAACCCGGCAAAAAAAAATTAAATTCGCCGAGAGTCGGGCGTATTTATTCGATTTTTATTCGATTTCCCCCGGCAAAAGTCTAATGCCCCCTTGGGTGGACCATAATTCTGGAATAAATTTATGTGCATACGAACAGATGTTTCGAATTTTGGAAATTTCCATAGCGGCGTTGCCGGATCGAAATAAAATACGCAGAAACTTATTTATATACTTAATTTATAACCTAACTTTTTTTATTTAAACCCTTTCTATTGATTTGTTTATAAGAATATGAAAAAATGAAGTTATCTACATAAAAAGGTATACTTGTACCATTGTCATCTTTAAAAATCTAGTAGGAATGATTTCTTTTAACACCTTGACATTTCGATAAAATGACATTTAAGTTTTTATCATATTTTGAGGTTGCTCTATACTTGCTCCCAAAGTTTCAACACTTATTTCAGAAACACCCTGTACAACTTGCATTTGCCTTTAGATCCAAATTACAAATTTCCCACGACCGGCAACGTTGCAAGCTAAAAAAATTAAATTTAAACGAAAGTGAGCCCCCTCGGTCCCCTCGCATTTAAACGATTAGTAATCACGTTAGCCCATTAAGAAATGCAACCGAAAAATTTGAATAATGGATGAACTCCGACATATACCGAATAATTTCTAACTTTTTTTTTTCTCTTCTTCTTCGACTTCTCGTCCTCTTTTGTCATTTCTCGGCTTATTTGAATAAGTTTCACTTCCATCGCCGATGACAATCGACGGAAAACATTTGGCGATCGATGTTCTATCGGTAATTGCATTAATTTCAATTAGTAGAATTTTTGGAATGTTTCCCTAAATTAGTCGATTTTTCGGTTGAAAAATTCTGAATGGTTTTCTAAAAGTTCCTAAAAGGATTGTTCCAAAGTCCTGAAAGTATTATCATGGACCGTTCTAAATGGTTCTGAACTGTTGTGGTTTTTGCTGGACTGCTACAAACAGTCCTGTATTTGTTCTAAGTAATTTTAGATAGTTCTAAATAGTTCTAAGATCGTCCTGAACGGTAGATATCAATTAATAGTCCTGAATTTGTTCTAAATGATTTTCTAGTTATTCCTGGACCGTTCTGAATAGTTCTGGACCGTAGTAGTTTATTTTGGAGCGTTCTAAATGGTTCTAGATTGTTCAAGTTTTTCGTAGAATGGTACAAATAGTCCTGAAGTTGTTCTAAATAAGTTTATATAGTTCTAAACAATGGTTCTAAGAACATTCTAAACTGTTTCAAATAGTCCTGAATCCGTTTTAAACGATTCTTGACAGTTCTAAATGATCCTAAGTGGATTATCGAAGATTTTTAATCGCAATAATTCAATTTCATAATGTGGATTCAGTTCTTTCGTAACAAATTTTCAAGGAGCTCTTCAAATATTATCGACATTTTAAGAGGTATATAACTTAATTGTCGCTAATTTTTAACACGTCTACTGACCGGCTTTCTAACACGTCAATCTGCACTTCCCAATATACAGGGCGATCCCTGCATGCATGGTTATATAAAAATAGTTCCGGACTGTTGCGGTTTAAGTTGGGGACCGTTCTAAATAGTTTCGAATTTGTTCTAAAAGTAATTTTGAACAGTTTTAAAATCTTCCTGAATTAGTTCTAAATAATGTTTGGACTGTTCTAAATGGTTCTATAAGATCGTCCTGAACCGTTCCAAATAGTCCTTAATCCGTTCTAAAGGATTAATGGTTCTAGATGAAGATTTCGAATAAGATATTGAAACTTCTCAATACAAACTAAGTCTTTAAAGGGATTGTTCTAAATAGTTGTGAAACGGTTCTAAATAGATCTGAACTGTTTTAATTTATTCTAGAGAGTATTCTAAATTATTTTGGACTGTTTGAATTTATCCTTCGAGCGATACAATATGGTTCTGAGTCTGTTCGAAATTATTTTGTATATATAGTTCTAAATGGTTCTGAAGCGTTCTAAACGATTTAAGACTGTTTTAGTTTAGTTTAGATTTCTCTCGTTTGTAATCGAGAAATTACCTCGCTCCACCCTATATATACAAAATGAAACATCTATATAATTTCTCAAAAGAACTAACACTACGCTCGATCGGAATGAAACAACAAGAGAACACGCCTATAACAAAATACAAAAAGACGAAAGAAAAAAAAAATATCCATAGTAAAGGTTGTGACCCTAATTTTCACCTGATGTCCCCGCGGTACAAAAGAGAGCCTCTCGTTACACGTGCAAAGTATATAGTATTACATACGCGGTACTTATTTTTCGGGGGGGCTCCGTTCGATTCCTATAAAAGTACTCTTCGTTATCTCGGCTTTTCGATTTCCAATTTCATTGTTATCGTTTCCTCTTCGCGCCGGTAAAATGTATTTAATTTTGACTGTAAGTACCTCGAAAGATTTGTTTTATTTTATTTTTTTCAAGTGATGGTTTTTACGTTTGATTTAATTTTAGAATTTGTGGGGTTTTGTTGGGGTGGTAATTAAGTTTTTGGGTTGTTATTTCGTGCATTATTTCTATTTTTATGAAGCGAGTAGTTAAATAGGTGATGAGACAGGAAACCCACTTTAAGTTGGAATTTTTTTGGGAGATTTAAATAGGTGATGAAACAGGAAACTCACTTTAAGTTAGAATTTTTTTGGGAAATTTAAATAGGTGATGAAACAGGAAACCCACTTTATCCATATTTTTTTTTTGGGAGATTTAAAAAGGTGATGAGATAGAAAACCCACTTTAATCCAGAATTTTTTTGGAGGATTTAAATAGGTGATGAGATAGGAAACTCACTTTAATCCAGAATTTTTTTGGAGGATTTAAATAGGTGATGAGATAGGAAACTCACTTTAACTCAGAATTTTTATGTGAGATTTAAATAGGTTATGAGACGAGGAACCCATCACTTACCAATTTCGAATACCTACTAATTTTTTGCTAGATTAATTTTGTGATAAAATAAACCAATTTGGTATTAGAATTTATTGAAAATTTCGAACCAACTTCCCTCAAATTTCGCAAATAAAAAAATTACATAATCACGTAAAAGGGAGAAACTTTCCCGCCCAAAAAAGGGGGACCGGTATTATTCGAAAATGTCATCACATAACCGCTTTCGTGGGTGGGGTCGTGTGTTCGAAAACCCGTTATTTTCGACGAGCAAAATCCGCGAAAGAGAGATCTTAATTGGCATATAATATAATATTATACCTACAGTACCTGTACAAAAGTATAATTTAATTTTGCCTCTGCATTTCGACCTTCACCTCGTGACACGCGGTTACGTAAACGAGCAACGCTCGGTATATTATAAAATGCCCGTTTATATACAGTGAATGAAAGTTGCGTAAGTATCGGGGGATGTCGAAATGTTTCCAAATGCATCGGAATTTATCCACTTTTTTTGGACAAATGGGTTTTTTACATAAAACGTAGATGCACTTTTCACCCTCTATATACTGATTGAGGATTTTAAGGATTTTTTGGAATAAGTATTTCAATAATAAATTGGTAGATTTTTCAGTTGAAATATTAAGTTCTTTAAAAGGATTGTTCTAAATAGTTGTGAATGGATTCTAAATAGTTCTGAGCTGTTTTAGTTTATTCAGAGAGAATTCTAAATTATTTTGGGCTGTTTGAATTTATCCTTCGAGCGATAAAATATGGTTCTGAATCTGTTGTAAATAATTTTTGATAGTTCTAATTGGTTTTAACACCGTTCCGCACTGTTTTCAATAATCCTAGTCGGTTCTAAACGATTCTGGACTGTTCCAAATGGTTCTGGACTGTTTTAGTTTATCCTGAAGCTATAAAAAATGGTTCAGAATATGTTGTAAATAATTTTGGATAGTTCTAATTGGTTCTAAAACCGTCCCGTACTGTTTTCAACAATCCTAGTTGGTTCTAAACGATTCGGTACTGTTCTAAATGGTTCTAGACTGTTTTAGTTTATCCTGAAGCTATAAAAAATGGTTCAGAATATGTTATAAATAATTTTGGATAGTTCTAATTGGTTCTAAAACCGTCCTGTACAGTTTTCAACAATCCTAGTCGGTTCTAAACGATTCTGGACTGTTCTAAACGGTTCCGAATAGTCCCAAACATTTCCAAAACCAACCCGAACAATTTGGAAAATATTCCAAAAAGATACTTCGAGATATTACAATAGACCTTTTTTGTTGACCCACAGATAGCCGCCGCCTTATCGTCTCTAGCCTCAGCCCGTCCCCAATACAACTACCCGCCTCCCACGCCGCAGATACCCGGCACAAACTACGGCACCCCCGCCGGCGGAGGCGGCTCCATCGCCACCAACGAAATAACCGGAGGTTCATCGATATCCGGCGCCGGCATATCCACCGGCAGCGGCGCGATATCGACCGGAGGCGGCGCGATATCGACCGGAGGCGGCGGCGTGCTGGTCCAGAAGCACATCTACGTGCACGTGGCGCCGCCGGAGCCGGAGGAGGCGCGCCCGCAACGCCCCCAGGCCGCCGCCCAATCGACCAAGCACTACAAGATCATCTTCATCAAGGCGCCGTCGGCGGCGGCGCCCACCGCCCAGCAGATCGCGCTCGCCGCCCAGAACCAGGAGAAGACGATCGTCTACGTGCTGGTGAAGCGGCCCGAGGAGGCGGCCGAGGTGGTGGCGCCGACGGCGGCGCCCGCCGCCCCCTCCAAACCCGAGGTGTACTTCATCAGGTACAAGGCGAAGAGCGAGGCGATCGGAGGCGGCGCGACCGGCGGCGGCATCATCGGGGGCGGTAACATCGGGGGCGGTAGTACCGGGGGAATCATCTCTACCGGTAGTTCGGGTAGCAGTAGTACCTTGGTGAGCGGGGGCGGTGGTAGACCTGCCGCCCAATATGGACCGCCCGGGCAAAGCGGTCCTTATTAATTTACTTGTGATTTATATACAGGGTGCGTACGTGAAGTATGTATGAAAAAGTTTCTGCGTATTGGATGTGACCACCCTGTATAGTTATGATAATTATCAAATATACCAGGAGCGTTCGATATGTTAGTAGGAAAGCTTTCGTTGTTCGTAAAAAATATTTTGAATGCTCCTGGTATAATTAGCATTCCGATTTGAATTCATAATCATTAATTCACCGACTGGCATTGGACAGTTCATTATCTATACGTATTATTAATATAATATGAACATTTATTTTTATTATTATATATCTATTAATTATTAAATATTTTAGCGATATTTTTTTAATTAGCAAAGAAAAAAAAACGGTGACAAATGTAAATATAAATAAATATATTTTTTAAGATAAACGAGTTTTTCGAAAACCTTTATTTGCAAAAGGCCTTTTTATTACCAGAAAATCGACTCCGGCCGTGACCTTATCGAATGGAATCCAATTAAATCCTAATTTATTCGATATATAAAAAATATATTTAGATAACCGACGGAAAGGTATCATCAAATCATCTCTGCCTTTATGAGATATACCTACTAAAAATACGCAAGTGTCCTTGTAAACAGGAACTTCTTCTTGGTGGGGAAAATTCAACAAACCCAAAGAGAATCCAAACAATTCTCAACCGGAATCACAATCGCCATGAACTTGCTACTGGTAAGTCAAATTTATTTCACCTAATTATTCACTACTCATCCACAATCAATACCAATTACAATCATCAATTGAATCACCGCACAACATCAAATAATTCTCGAATCGTTCCATTTAAATTTCCCCATTTCTTCCAGCTATTCCTCGGCTTGGCAACAGCGCAAGCCGGCTCGATAAACCGGCAACGCCGCCGACAAGCCGCCTACGAATCCCCGTGCGGTCTCGCCACGCGCCTGCGCGCTCTAAATCCCTCTTTTCCCGGGACAATCACCCGCGAAGCTGATCAACAACAGCTAATCCACGACGAACAATTCGTTTCGTCTACGCCGGGGTACTACGAGCTTAATCGAGGAGTATTAGCAGCTGGTCAACCGATATCGGAAGATGAAACCGGCAAGTTTGAAGCTAATCAACAGCTAATACACGATGGACAATTCGTTTCGTCTACCCCTGGATATTATGAGCTTAATCGAGGAGTATTGGCAACTGGACAGCCGTTATCGATTGTTGAAACTAACAAATTCGAAGCTAACCAACAGCTAATCCAAGCTTCGACTCCAGAAGAACAATTCGCCTCGTCTACGCCCGGATACTACGAGCTCAATCGAGGACTATTCGCAGCTGGTCAACCGATATCGACAGTCGAAGCCGGCAAATTCGAAGCTGAGCAACCGGTACTCAACCTGCACACGGGCAAATACGAAGCAGCTTCTGGACATTCTTCGAACGCCTTCGAAGCTGACCGATTTCTGTCGCAGTTACAAGGCGATTTCCAGCATACGAAAGCCTCGATTTCCGGCCATCCTGGACGAGTCCTGAAGAGTTTCTACTTCTTCGCGGCGCCGGAAGAGCGCGCCACCGTCCGATCGAAGATCAGGCTGGTGCAGCCGAGCACCAAGCACGTGAACGTCATCTTCATCAAGGCGCCTGAAGCGCCCAAGGTGGAGCACGTGGTGGAATCGCAGCCCAATAAACATGAGGAGAAGACGCTGGTCTACGTGCTGGTGAAGAACCCCCAGGAGTCCCAGGAGGTGACTGTGGAAGCCGGCGAGCCTGCGAAGCCCCCCAAGCCCGAGGTGTTCTTCCTGAAGTACTCCAACGAGGAGGAAGCCCGGGCGGCCGTGGAGGAGGTGAAGCTGCAGCAGCAAAACCACGGCGGGGCGCAAGTAGAAATCCTCGATGGAGGTAGCGAAGCTGAAGCCGGTGGAGGTTCGGGGGTGTTGGCGGTGCTGAAGGGGAGCCAAAGGGGCGGCGGGTTCTCCACGAGTCGGCCTTTGTCGATAGGCGGCGGGTTTCAGGTGCAGGTCGATGGGAGTAGGGTGGAAGCTGGGGGAGCTTCGGAGGTTTCGTCGGAGGTGGGGGGCGGTTTGCAGGAGTTGCTGCCTCCGGTGTCGGATGGCGCGCTGGGCGGGTTTTTCGTGTCCACGACGGTGGCGCCCGTGAAGACCACGCCTAAGTATTTGCCGCCTTTTTGAAGAAGGGTTTTGATGTAAATGTTGTGAGATAATAAAGGATTAAGTGATTGATGAGTTTGGGTTTTTTTTTGCTGTGTTTTTTTGTAGAATTGTAAGTATTTTGATTTGTAGTAAATTCGTTGAAATTTTCTGTGCGTTTTTATTAAAGTTTTGTGGATATTTCTACCTTCGTTGATCAGTTTTCTGTGTATTTTTATTAATATTCTTATGAAATTCGTTTGGTTTTGATGATGTTTCTAGTATATTCATTAATTTTCTATGTTTTTTAATTGCATTTTTGCAATTTTTGCTTATATTTCTACTAAATTTAATAATTTCTGCTATGTTATTGTAATATCTATTGAATTCTCACCATGTTTGTCGATATTGTTACCAAATTCATTAATTTTCGATACATTTTTATTAATATTCTCATCAATTTCGTCTATTTTTGTAGATATTTCTACTAAATTAATCAATTTTCTGTGTATTTCAGTATTTCTATTAATATAATTCTTATGAAATTCGTTTGTTTTTGATGATATTTCTAAGAAATTAATTAATTTTCTATGTTTTTCAATTGCATTACCATTTTTGCTCATATTTCTACTAAATTCATTAATTTTCTATACATTTCTATTAATAACCTCATCAAATTCGTCTATTTTTGTAGACATTTCCACTAAATCCACTAATCCTCTGCAAATTTTCTACACTAATAAAAACACCACCTTCGTCTTCCCATTCCTAATTGCAACAATTCCTTTCTGTTCTTATAACAACTCTATTCCAAAAAAAATATATAATATATACAAAAAAAAAGATATAACACAAAACTCGCGTGTAAAACCTCGTTAAAAGTAACAATAGAATTAAAAAACTATAATCACCGCCGCTCGGAAACATTTTCCACGGGATTTTCCGCTGGATTTTCCCGGCCTTTTTTCTCATCTATCGCACGCGTTGGGATTCGTGTAGCTGAATCCCCTGAACTGCGTCTGATCTATCCTCTCCTGAGCCGGTTCCTCGCCCGTCGTCAATTTCACCGTTTCCTTGGTGAAATGCGCGTCGAAATACTGCGTATCCAACGGATGCACCTGATGTGATACAAGAAGAAGAAAATTTAACAGAAAATATCTCAAGTTAATTTAGTGAATTTATACACGGCGGAATTTTGAACAATTTTTGAACGAATGTGTTAGCAAATCAACTTCCAAAGAAAGGTTTGAGAGAAACTAAAAACTAAAGAAATTTGATGTGAATGAATGATTGCTCACCAAATGGGGTTTGAAAGGGGGCTCGATTCTCCTCGCCTCCAAATCGGACCAATCAATGTTTTTGAAGAAAGCGTGGTCTCTAATAGAACCGTGCTCGCAAAATCTGTTGCCTAATCGTTTGCTTTGGTCCTTTTCCAGCAGCTGAAAGGTCAAAATTGTACTAGTTAATTGACTTAAATTACCTAAAATGGGATATTTCGGTCCGAAATATTGGCGAAATTAGACGAAATTAACGACCAGAAATCAACTGATAGCCTAATTGAATTAAACAAACTTACCAATTTCAATATTTCAACGGCGTTAGTGGAAAAATGTTTCGGAAACACCGGCTTTTCGTTGCAAATGGACCAAAACAATTCGTCCTCATCGCAACCGCTAAAGGGCGATTGCCCCGAAAGCATTTCGTAGAGTAAAACTCCGAAAGACCACCAATCGACCGATTGATTGTAGTGCAGCCCTTTAATTATCTGGAAAATATCCATAAAAAAAATAATTAAAATTATTGGCCTTTGCAAAAATATATTTCGTACACAACGTAGCTTTGTACTAGGTAAGTTAAAGACCACCGATGAACCGAAAGATGGTCTCCAACTTCTCAGGTATACATCACTGTAAAAAGCCAAGTTGTTGTCAAAAAACCGTACCACATTTGGCCTTAAACTTTTCAGTTATACAGCTAGATGTTCTCCAAGACCTACCACGTTTCAGTCACCTTTCTCCTACGAATCAACGTGTACAGTCGGTGCAAAACAAACATCACTCCACGTCACTACTGTCAAACGTCATACTTGCCAAGCATTGTGACCAACACAGCCTACTTGTGACGTATTAAATCATAGATGACGTGCATCGATATTTGGCTTTGCGCCGACTGTAGATATAAAACAAATAATAGTTTACCTCTGGAGCCATATAATCCGGCGTGCCGCAAAACGATTCCGCCATTCTATCGAGGAATATCTGCAACTTGCACATGCCGAAGTCCGCCAATCTGACGTGACCGTCGAAGTCCAACATGACGTTGTCCAATTTCAGATCCCTTTCGATCGACAAAGAAAAAAAATCTCATTATTCGAATTGAAAAAAAAAAATGGAAAAATGGCTCTCACCTGTAGATGATGCCCTTGCTGTGGAGGAACTGCAAGCCGGAGATGACTTCTGCAGAGTAAAATCGAGCGTAGTCTTCGGAGAAGTAGCCCGTCGTGGTGATGTGGAACATCAAATCGCCGCCGTTCAAATATTCCATCACGAAAAACAGGTGGGACTGAAAGAAAAAATGCAAAATCAAATGGGCTGCTTTTCATTGGGACATCCTGTATTTGTAATGTCTGTCTTTTCTATCAACTGCCCTTTCTGTCAACCGTTGAATGTCAACTGCATGTCAAATGAGAAAGAAAAAAAAAGGGGTGTAAATTAATTTTTTACCTCGGTTTGAAATGTGCACAACAAATGGCAGAGAAACGGATGTTTGGTACCCAAAGCGAGTACTTTTCTTTCGATCAAAGTACATTCGATGTCATTATCTTCGATTATCTCGTCTTTCTTCAAACATTTCACCGCGTAATAATATTCGGTATCCTTCAATTTGGCCAACATCACCTAAAAAAAAACGAAGAATATTAGTTTAGAGTACATCCTGTATACTACAGAGGGCTTTAGTTCGATGATTAAACTCGAATCGCTCTGTACAATTTAAAATGCGCCCTAAAAAGTATCAGAAATGACTAAAGAACTGTCCTGGACAATATAGAACAATTCGGAGCGAATTAGAACTGTCCTGAACAATTTAGAAAGCTTCAAAACAAACCGGAACAGTCCTGGACTGTTTAGAACGGTTCAAAGCGAATTAGAACTGTCTTGTACAGTTTATAATATGCTTCAGAAAGAACTAGAACTGTAATAATGAAAAGTACTCACCTTGCCGAAGCTGCCCTTGCCCAGGACTTTGCGAAATTCGAAATCTTCCGCGCAATATTTCTTAAATCTGGGAATCGTGGTGGCCGGGGGAATGATTTTCCCGCATTTCCGCAAATCCGTGAGGAAATCCTCCACGTCGAGCTCGTCCCGATCGCAAACCTGGCCCACTCGATTCTCCGGTTGCGCTGCAGAAATCACAAAATTATGTTAAATTTACTTAAATTTTACAAAAAAAAAAATTAAGTTGTTATTCGTAAATAAAGAAATTTGTAACTAAAAAAAAAGGTAGATTGTTCAAGACCAGCCGTAGTTTAAATGACGTTGTAAATCGTGCTTTTAGGTACATTTTTAAATAAAAATAGGTAGTTTAAGTTACCTACTCGAAGTAGTTCAAATAATCCATTTCCGCAACATTTGTAATTTCCGCAAACAAAAGTAGTTCTAGTGACCAGCAATAGATCAACATTTTGAAACAAAAAAAAAGTAGTCAAATGACCGATTGTAGTTCAAATGACACCGTAAATCATCCTTTTCGGCAATTTTTTAAGCCACACAAAGGTAGTTCTAGTGACCAGCAATAGATCAATATTTTGAAACAAAAAAAAGTAGTCAAATGACCGATTGTAGTTCAAATGACACTGTAAATCATCCTTTTCTCTAAAATGATCCTTTTTACCCAAAAAAAAGGTAGTTCGAACGACTCGTTGTACTCCAAAAATGATCGTACTTTCGAAACGTCTAAATTTGAACTAGTTCGAAGTATTTCCGTCCAAGTGCCAAGAACAATAGAGTGACTCGTTTAAAAATACACACACACCGGGCGATTTTTATATTCACTTCAATCGATTCGCGATCGAATTCGAATCGATTTACATATCTAATATCGAAAAGAGCGGGCGATTCATCGCGACGCGTTTGTGACACTACATCGAATGGACGATTGCCAAAATGCAATTACCGGGATGGCAAATACGCAGTGGAAGTGAACTTGAAATTGAAAATCCGCCGCCCAGACTTGATATATTTATTACATAAACTCGAGCTAATAAAAAATAACGCGCCGAGAAATTAGCATTAACAGTGCATGGCCGCCTTTATCGTCCACAAACGATCATTAAAAGATTAATAGCGTCGTTATAGAAATCTATTTTCGGCGGAGGAAACGTTCGTTTCTAATTAAAATTTAATTAAAAAAAAAAAAAACTCTCGAAATCGCAAATATCGATACTTCGCCGATATAAAGGCGGCCGTGCACGGGATAATTTCGAATCGCCCTGTATACAGGTAAGCTCAAACGTGTCGTTTGTTTACATCCGAGTAGGCGTCGCGTCGGGTGTCGTTGGCTTCGATTCCGGCATTTTCCAATAATAAAAAAAATTTCGAAATTTCCACTATTTTCGTTCGCGATTTATTCGCGCCGCACGTGCGCCTTCGAAATCGAAAACACGATATAATTTACCTTTATTTTTTCCAAAACAAAAAGTTAAATATACCACTGACAACTTTTAACTGTCATCTGCCATCCGTCAACTGTCATCTATCAACTGTTTATCAATCAACTGTCGTCTATCAACTACCAATCGAACATTTCAGCTGTCTTTTTGTGCCATTATCGCCCGTTTGCTGTCACCTTTCATTTGTCACCTGTCGCCTTTCATATGTCGCCTGTCATCTGTCAAATGTATTTCTCGATCAAAATCTAGAGAATTGCGCTTACAAAGGATGGCTCAATGCTCTATTAACTTCTACGTTCTCAGTCTCGCGTAGTTCTGCGCCATCCTTAGTAGCTTCGAGTAGCCTGAGTAGCCTGAGTAGCCTTAGTAAAGTCACACACACACACACACACATACACACGTTACCGTTCAATTTCTCCGGAATGGTCGACCCGAATCCGGAATCGTTGGACTTCAAACTGACACTGGTGGCCTCCTCTTCGTCTTCCTCCTCATCGTCCTCCTCCTCGGTGGTGGTGGTGGTGGCGTCGTCGCTGTCGGCGGGCCCCTGGGGCTGCTGCTGCTGCTGTTGGTGCCTGTTCTTCCTGCCCCTCGGATAGTGCCGGCCCTTGATGACCTTCGGACGGGCGTAGATCTCCACGGGACACTCGTCGTACTGCTCGGGTTTGGACCACGGGTGCATCCACTGCGAGAGCCTGTTGGACTGCAGCGGCACGAACGCAGGCTCGGCCTGCGCCGGTGCCTCCGCCGGCGGTTCCTCGGGCGGCACGAACACGCTCAAATCCGGATCGTCCTTCATGGGTTTCTGGAGCAGCGAGCGCTTCGAGGTGACCTTCGGGCTGCGCTTCTTCTTCTTCTTCTTGGTCTTCTGGAGCTCGCGCAGCTGCTGGTGCTGGTGGGCGGGCGGGCGGCCGGCGAGGAGGCGGTGGAGGAGCGGCCGGCGGGCGGCCGGCGGCGCGAACACTCCTTGATCGACCCGCTTCGGTTTGGGTTCTTTCTTGGCGAGCTCTATGGACACGCAGACGTTGAGCTTGAGCTTCTTTTCTTTGTCTTTCGGGGGTGTTTGTACTTCGACTTCGTCTACGACGGCTACCAAGGTGCGTTTGGGCGAAGGCGGTTCTTCGATCGATGATGTCGATGTGATTTTCGGTTTGAATTTGAACTTGATTTCTTCTATTTCGACGTTTGAAATGTCTTTGGGTGCTTCTGTTTCATCGACAATTTGATTGGTAGCTTTGTTATCGTCTGCTAGTACAGTAGGAATTTCTTCTGGCTTGGATTCTTCCTCTTTGCTTGGTTTAATAGTTTTGTTACCAACAAGTTTTTTAGCTTGTTCGATAGGTTTTTCTTCTGTTAATTGTACTGTTGGATGGATTCTGTTGATTCGTTCTTCAATTTGTTTACTTTCACTAGCTTCAGAAGTAACAAATTGCCTACCAATAGTTTTAACTTCTTCAAATTGCTTACCAGAAGTTTTTATATTTTCAATTTGCTTACCGACAGCTTTAACTTCTTTAATTGGTATATCAACAGATTTAACTTTTTCAATTTGCTTGCCAGAATCTTTAACTTCTACAAATTGCTTTCCAGCAGCTTTAACTTCTTCAATTTGCTTATCAACAGCTTTAACTACTTCAATTTGCTTACCAGAAGCTTTTACTTCTACAAATGGTTTTCCAGTAGCCTTAACTTCTTCAGTTTGCTTGCCAACAGCTTTAACTTCTTCAATTGGCTTAGCAGAAGCTTTAACTTCTACAAATTGCTTACCAGAAGCTTTAACTTCTTCAATTTGCTTACTAGTAGCTTTAACTTCTTCAATTTGCTTACCAGAAGCTTTCACTTCTTCAATTTGCTTGCCAGCAGTTTTAACTTCTTCAATTTGCTTACTAGAAGCTTTTACTTCTTCAATTGGTTTACAAACAGCTTTAACTTCTTGAAAAGATTTAACGTTCTCAATCGATTTATTCACAACTTTTCCCTCTTCTCCAATTCGTTCGCCAACGCAATCGCCAGCTTCAATTCGCTCATCAACAGCTACACTTTCGGATCCTTCAAGAGATTCTATCAGCAACGAACCGTCCGGATATCTCGATGGGTATTGTTCAGTTTGCGCCGAGCATTCCGCCGCACATTTCGAAGCTTCAGCTTCGACAACTCCTCTCGGTTCTCGTTCGACGCGGTACAACGTGAACTCGTCGTCGGAACTATCCCCCGAATCGCTCCCTTCCGCCGCCAGAATCGAATTCAGCACGCGCAGATCCTCCGGCGACAGCTCCCTCGAAGCCCTGCGGATGTCGTCGAGCAGATCGCCGCGGCTCTGCCGCCTGCGCACCGCCTCCGGCTGTCCCGGATTCAGCTCCGCCTCGACGCCCTCCGACGTGATGGCGTCGCAGATGTCGCGGAAGCTCGCCGACCGCGCGAACGCCTTCTCCTTGCTGCGCGACCGGATGAGGAACTTCTCCTTCAGCAGCTGGCCCAGCGTCTTGCCGCTGATCTGCTGGCGCAGCCGGTCGGGGTGCAGCGTGCGCAGGCGCACCGTGCCCCTGTCGCGGCTGACGCGCTCGCTGGGGCGCGCCTCCTGCGGCTTGCTGCGCCGCTCGAACTTCTTGTAGCGCCCCGACGAGACGTCGATGTCGGCGGTGTCGATGACTTTGATGGGGCGCTGGGGGCGCGTGGATGGGAGGTAGAGCTTGGGCGCGTTGAGGCGCCGGTAGGGCAGCGATATCTCCGATATGGTGGTGAGGTGGGGCTTGTAGAGGTGGCTGTAGCGCGAGTAGGTCGGGTACGCGGGGTAGTTGTAGCGCGTCGCGCCGTACAGATCGCCGTACTGAGGCATCGCGCTTGATTTTTTTTTATTGTTCCTATGCACCGATTTATTATCACAACAACTACGAGGCTAATTCGGAGTGCATACCGAAGAGGATCGGTATTTGGACGGGGTTTTTCGCGGTTAAACTTTCGACGGGAAACTGAACAACAATTCGCGAGGAACTCGCGTGGAAATTTGGACTATTTTTACGCGGCCGACTCGATGACGCAGGCTGGTGTTATAGAGAGTTTTTCCCCTGCCAAAACACCTGTATTTGATGTATTTTCGTATACGTATACCGGGCGATTTATGCCGGGCTATTTATAAACAATAAACATTACGAGCGGGATTTTTAACGAGAAATTTTTTACTATTTATTTTTTTTCTCTCGTTTTTCTTTTGTTGCCTTCGGAATTGTACCGAACGGTTCTCGATCGGCACGAGGCCGGGATGTAGTTCGTTTTGAATCGTTGTAAAATTGTCCAAGACAGTTCGAATTCGTTCTAAACTGTCCAGGACACTTCTAATGCTTTCTGAATCGTTGTAAATCGTTCAAGACGGTTCCAATTTCTCCTAAAGCATTCTAAATAATTGTCCAGAACAGTTCTAAGTCGCTCTGAATCGTTCTAAATAGTCCAAAACAGTTTCCGTTCTTTCTGAATCGTTCTAGATTGTCCAGTACAGTTCTAGTTCGTCCTGAAGTGTTCTAAATTATCCAGGACTGTTTTAATTGGTCTTGAATCGTTCTAAATCGTTCAGGGGAGTTCCTATTCGTCCTGAATCGTCCAGAACAGCATTTCTAATTCGCTCTGAATCGTTCAGAGCAGTTCTCGTTCTTTCTGAAACAGTTCTAAATTGTCCAGTACAGTTCCAGTTCGTCCTGAAGCGTTCCAAATTGTCCAGGACGGTTCTAATTGGTCCTGAATCGTTCTAAATCGTTCAGGACAGTTCTAATTCACCCGGAAGCCGACTAAATTGTCCAGGACAGGGAATTATTCAATAAAGCACGCAACTATAAACAATTAATTCGATAAATATACAAATATAATAAAAATTCCGCTTATGTAGGTACTTAGGTAATTGTAAATTAGAATTCCACGGATTTGCCCAGGCCGGTCCAATGGTCCGGTACTTCCAAAAAATACTTGTGCATCGCCTCGATGAACCTCTTCCGGTACTCCTCGGGCGATATGATCGTCGGCAATTTCCCTTGCCCGCCCAAAATGCCGCTCCTCTTCACCATCGTCTCCAATTTCTTGTCCCACGTAAACGTCCTTATGTAATCTACGATAAAAACGAATGTAGCAATACAAAAAGCAATCGTTTTACTGGGGGTGTTTTTTTTCTTCATTCTTTTTACCGATAATTCCCAATACGATTTCCTTGTTTTCGGCGTCCAAACCGACCAGCAGGGAATAATCCATCACCGATTGCGTGGAAAGGAATTCGGTGTCGCTTTGGATGGCGCTCATCAAGACGGCTTTGGAATGCGGTAGAACGTACAATGGCGATTCGCAGGTCACTACAAAATTATTGTATTTATACGTAAAAAATGTTCGTTTAAAATACAGTTCGAGATTAATTATGAGGAATTTGCGCAGCTAAAACGGTCCATTATTTACCAAAGAGTAATAAATGAATGTAGGATTCGTCCTGAAGCGTTCTGGATAGTTCTAGTTCGTCCTGAAGCATTCTAATTGATAACTAAAGTGTTCTAAACTGTTCTAAACAGTTCTCATTCATCCTGAAGCATTCTAATTGATACTAAAGTGTTCTAAACTATTGTATACAGTTCTGATTCATGTTGGAGCATTCTAATTGATACTGAATTGTTCTAAACTGTTCTAAACTGTTCTGAACAGTTCTCATTCATCCTGAAGCGTTCTAAAGTGTTCTAGACAGTTCCGATTCATCCTAAACGGTCCAAAATAACCGTAAAACTCGCGATATTCACTCACTTTTCATCAGATTGGACAGTTTTCATTCATCCTGAAGCATTCTAATTGATACTGAAGTGTTCTAAACTATTCTAGACAGTTCTCATTCATCCTGAAGCATTCAAATTGATACTGAAGTGTTCTAAACTATTCTAGACAGTTCTCATTCATCCTGAGGCATTCAAATTGATACTGAAACGTTCCGAACCGTTCTGGATAGTTCTAGTTCATCCTGAAGCGTCCTAAAGCGTTCTAGCCAGTTCCTATTCATCCTAAATAGATAAAACACCCTTTTATCACTCACTTTTCATCAGATTCTCGTCCAACAAAACGATCTCGTCGCTCTGGCGATCGGGCGTCACCAGCCTGTTGCGCATCGAACCCTTCAAATCGAACTTTTGCAACGACTTGCGGCCGTAGAACAGATTCTCCATCACCAACACGTTCGAACGATAGGGCACGTTCGAGCTGTTCTTGAACACGATCTGATAGACGCCCAATATCTTGCCCAACAGCGTCGGCTGCCCGCTCGATTGGCACCTGTGCACGTAGCCGAAGTAATTCGAACAAGATTCGAGGAACAGATGCACCTCCGTCTTCGACATCTCCTTCAGCACGAAGCGATCGTCTGCAACAAATATACCTTATAATTAGCTTCATGATGTAACAAGTAAAAGGCCAAAGGGGGATGTGGACGTTAGCCCGTTAGCCGGACGCGGTAGTAAGTAAAAGGCCGGGAATGAAAGAAGAAAAAAAAACAAAAAACGAAGAATCTGACCGGTGGTTTTGGAGAAATTCGAGCCGGACTTGCCGCCCCTCGCGTCCCATTGGGCGGACCGCGACAGCGATCTGACGTAGCCCTCTTCGCCGGTGCTGAGCACGGCCCGTCTGAGCTCGGCGAATTCCTGAGCCATGTAGGCGCGACAGAAGAAATTGCTGTTGCCGTCCTGGAATTGGACCTCGACGTGCGCCTTGCGCGCCTTCTTCGCGTCGTCCTGCTGCTGCTGCTGCGCCTCCTGCTGGTGCTGTTCGGAGCTGCGAAAAAAAAACCGGTCGAAGGATCAGTAAAAGGCCGTTCGATGGGAACGGTCGAGGACCGTTTGGAACGTTCCAAATTGATTTGAAACTGTCTAGAATGATCTAAAACTGTTCGGGATGCTTTACAAATGCTTTACAAATGATTCTGAGCGAATTACAATTGTCTAGAACCATCCAGAACTCTCCAAAACCATTTAGAAATCTCCAGAATGATTCAGAACTGTCTTATAACAATTTATAACTCTCCTGGAATCGTTTAGATTAATTCAAAATGAATCAGAATAGTCCAGAACCATTTAGAACACTCCAACCTGATTTACAACTGTTCACAAACGTATTACAACTGTCTAGAATGGTCTGAAACTGTTCAGGATGCTTTACAACTGTCTAGAATAATTCTGAACGATTCTGAGCGAATTAGAACTGTCTAAAACCATCCAGAACTCTCCAAAACCATTTAGAAATCTCCAGAATGATTCAGAACTGTCGTATAACAATTTATAACTCTCCTGGAATCGTTTACATTAATGCAAAACGAACCAGAATAGTCCAGAACCATTTAGAACACTCCAAACTTATTTACAACTGTTCACAAACTATTTACAACTGACTAGAATGATCTCAAACTGACCAGGATGCTTTACAACTGTCTAGAATGATTCAGAACGATTCTGAGCGAATTAGAACTGTCTAGAACCATCCAGAACTCTCCCAGAAATCTCCAGAATGATTCAGAACGTTCGTATAGCAATTTATAACTCCCCTGGAACGATTTCAAACTGTCCAGGATGCTTTACAACTATCTAGAACGATCCTGAACGAATTAGACCTGTCTAGAACCGTTCGGAACTGTCCAGAACAGTCGAGAACCGTTTATTAATCTCCGTAATGTCCCGGCGACTCGCCTGTTATCTAATTTATCTTTATCCGCGTTGACGGGGAGCTTTCTCTTCGTCGATGGACTGCCGAAGGAATCGCCGTGGGTCTTCCTGCTGGTCAATTCGTCCAGGAGTTTGGCGTATTCCTGCGACGCGAGCGTGTAAGCGACTATGGAGCTCGGCTCGTTTTCAATCACCACGACCGGTATGGAGGAATCGGCGAGGTAGTGCTCGTTTAGGGGAAACGGGGCCTTAAAATTTGTACATTTTTTAATTGATTAATCGAGGTGTTTTTTTGACTAACCGGTAGCGAATTGGAATTGCTGGGCAGTTGTAGAAGATTCGATAGGATGTTCTTGACGGTTTTTTTATCGGTTTCTTTCTTACCGTCCGTGGAATCTTCGGCGGGTTGGTTGTTTGTAGTGTTTTCGTTTTGGCAGCTTTCTATCGAAGATGTGCAGGATTCGCCTGTTTAAAAATATGTTTTAGAACTGTCTAGAATTGTATAGGACTGTCCAAAAGCAATTGGATTGCTTCAAGACGAATCAGAATTGTCGAGGACCGTTTAGAACTGTTCGAAACGGTTTACAACTGTCTAGGAAATGATCTAGAACTATTCAGAATGCTTTAGAACTGTCTAGAATAATTCAGAATACTTCTGAGCGAATTGGAATTGTATGGAACAATTTAGAATGATTTAAAACTGTTTAGTTAGAACGATTTACAATTAATGAAGTGTTGAACAATCTACTCACTCTCGGTATAATCGTTTGGTATTTTTTTGGTTTCTTTTTCTTCGGAAGAAATTTGAATTTCGGTGCTATCCTCGGTTTTCTCCTTTTTTTTATCGTTGCTATCCTTTTTCCTGGTGATAAAGTCGCTCAAACGGCCGTTCCACATCTCTACGATTTCGACTAGGCTCCTTTTCAATCTCGTTAGAGTATCGGATAGTTTCCAATAGGACAAATGGACCTCTGAAAATTAAATATTTTTAATTAATAAGTCGAATATATGTCAATAAAGAGGCGTTATCGGCCATTTTCTTGCGTATTTCGTGAAAACCAGTGCACTAGATGACATCGCGAAAAAATGACCTGTCAAAAATTGACAGAAGTGACAGTTTAAATGAAAAGAGTTTAATAGAGTAGGGAATCGTGTTTTTTTAGTACAGATATATCGCAAAATAACCGTTACTTTTTCCAATTTGATTGCAAACAAACCTTTTCTTGCGCATTTCGCAAAAACTAGATTGCTAGATGACAACGAAACGAGACAACAATAACAATCTGTCAGAAATCGACAGAAGTGACAGTTTAAACGACGCGAATTTAATAGAGTTGGGAATCGATTACTTTAGGTATAGAGATGTCGCAAAATAACCGTTATATTTCTCAAACGAACCTTTCTCGTCGAACGGTTTCCGTTCCAACGACGGCGACGTCAGTTTCATCTGCAAATCGTCGATCGACTGCTTGAAATTCGCCTGTTCCTTGGCCAAAATCTGCCTCAGACTTCCGTTCAGTTCCGTTTCTTCGGCCTTTAATTTCTCCGAGATCGACACGAAGAAATCGTGGCCTTTCTGAGCGGTCGATTTCACGTCGTCGACAAGTTGCCGGTGCAATTTACCGCTGTCCAAATGCACTTCTATCGATCTAGGAGGCAGCGATATTTCCCATATGGTTATCGCGGTGTATCTGCAAAAAAAAACAGTCGGGACTCAGAATACACAGTACTGAGTTTACTAGTGAATGATGTAGAACTGTCCAGAACAGTTTAAAACGCTTCAAGACGAATTAGAAGTGTTCAGAACAGTTCAGAACCCTAGTAGAACGCTCCAGGACGATTTAGATCGGTTCAGGGAGAATTGGAACTGTCTAGAACAGTTTACAGCACTTTAGTATCAATTAGAATGCTTCAAGATGAATAAGAACTCTCCAGAACAGTTTATAACGCTTCAAGACGAACTGGAACTCTCCAGAACACTTTAGAACGCACCAAGACTAATCCTGGAGCATCCAGAACGCGTTCACACACATGCAAACCGTCTCTAAAAGCCTCTAAACCTGCCCCCCAAAAAAAAAAAACCTCCACCAAAACCTACTTGAACGTCGCCACGTAGTTCTTGTAACCGAAATACTGGTAGTGGTCCTGGTGCAGGCTGTGCGAGCAACCGGCCGGGCCGCGCCGCCCGTACGCGTCCCCGTAGAACTTGATCTCCAGGTATTTGGCGAACGGATAGGACCACGAATCGGCCGAGAGAGTAGCGATGGGCGACACCGTCTGGCACCCCGTGCACCAAGTCCACGTGCACACGCCGTCGTCGGCGAACGCCTGATCGAAGTGATTGAGACCGACGGTCACGCAGCCGGCGTTGTGGACGAACTTGCGCACGTGGCCGGCCATCGGCGTGTCGCACGTCAGCGACGGGCACTCGTAGCTCGGGCGGAAGCAGTAGCGCTCGAGGAAGCAGCCCAACGGGATGTCGTTGCGACCGTAGAAGTCCATGTAGACTATCCTGGAACCAAAAGGAACTGTCCAGAAGAGTTTAGTATGCTTTAGGACGAACTAGAACTGTCCAGAACACTTTAGAATGAACTAGAATGGTTTCAGAACAGTTTAGAATGCTTTAGGATGAACTAGAATGGTTTCAGAACAGTTTAGAATGCTTTAGGACGAACTAGAATTGTCCAGAACACTTTAGAATGCTTTAGGATGAACTAGAATGGTTTCAGAACACTTTAGAATGAACTAGAATTGTCCAGAACACTTTAGAATGCTTTAGGATGAACTAGAATGGTTCAGAACAGTTTAGAATGCTTTAAGATGAACTAGAATTGTCCAGTACAGTTTAGAATGCTTTAGGAAGAATTACAACTTTTTGGGACAACTTTAGAACGATTTAGGATGAACCAGAAGTATCCAGAAGAGTTTAGTACGCTTCTGAATGAACAAAAACTGTCTAGAACAGTTTAAGAACGCTCTAGATAGAATTAGAACAGCCCAAAACGGTTTAGAATGCTTCAGGACAGAGTTAGAACCGTTCGGGACGATTTAAAACTTTTCAGAATGAACTAGAACCGTTCGGAACGCTTTAGAACGGTTCGAGATGAACTACAACTGTCCGGAACCGTTCAGAACGCTTCGGAATCGAAATTAGAACGCCGACGGATTACCAAGGATTGACGCAAAAGGCGGGCGCGTTGTTCGATTCGGTGCTGTAGCTGCAAAACAACACGGCCAATCTCTGATGATGGACGGGATCCAAAACGTCCTTGTGGTTCGCCTCGGATTCTTCGAAGGGCGCCGCCTCGGCGCGGGCCTTCTCCACGCGAATGGTCTCCTTTTTGGCGTAGCGACCGCCGCAGGCGCGGAAATGCGCCAGCAGGTCCTGCACCGGCGCCTCTTCGACGCCCATCGTCAACTTCGCTGCCAGAAACGGGTGGAGGGCCTTCACCTGCGGCGATTTCAAAAGCGATTAAAACCGTTATTTATGTTAAAACAACGCCGAGATTTACCGATTTATCGCGATTTTCCGGCGCGATGGCGCGCCCGTCGAGCGCCCCCTTGCGTTTGGTTTTGGCGGCGGATTCGAACGAGCGGCTGTAGTAGAGACAGTCGGGGAAGAAGCGGCGCATCGAGCACCGCTTGCCCGCCTCCGTTTCCAGATAGGGCGGCGGCACGACGACGTGCGGCGAGACGCACAGGACGACGTCGTCGAGGTGCTTCTTGAAGCCGTCGGCGAACGGCAATCGGGCGACGGAGAGCGTCTCCGACGGGCCGCCGGCGGCGGGCTGGTGCGCCTGCGCCGAGTGCAGCGGATCGGTGAAGTCGTCGACGAGCGTTTTCTCGTCTTTGACGAACCGCTTGATGGCGGGTCGGTCGATTTTCCTCGCCTGCTCGGTTTCCTGTTGGCGGACGTTAAAGATGCTTTTGTGATTACGAAAATCGACATCTGCTCGATAGATAAATTCGTTTTTGTGCGCAAAATCGAAATTAAAAAAGTAAAATTGTTGACTTTTAAATAAATTATTTGACAGATGTCACCCGTTCGTTTGGTTTCGACGGAACTTACACCGGAATGCGAGACTTTTTCGTTATTTCGACAATTTCGTCGCTTTTAATGGACGAAAATAAAAGAAAATACAATAATTCGCAAAATTATATAATTCTCGGTCATTTGTGCTTACCAAAAACGGAGAAACGATCAAATTATTTTTAAAAAACCTACACTAATGACCGCGGCGATGAACAAACTTCGAACTGTCAAAGTTGTCATTTCCGTTACTAAGGGATACGTTGACAGTTGACATTTAATTTGATTTTTCAATAAGGAAATCGGAAAAATCGATATACGGAGCGTTTTTTTTTATCTTAAATGATAAATTATTCGAATTTAAATTGAAATATAGTACAGGCATTCGGTTTTAAGTAAATGTTAATTAAATAAACCGAGCGAGCGATGCTCCAACTATACAGGTTGTTCCAAAATGGCATGCTAATATTTAAGAGGGTGATTCTTGGGCCTATTCTAAGGAAGAAACTTCACATGAACTAATATCCTAAAGGTCTTAACTTTTGAGATACAGGATGTTAAAGTTTCAATAAACTTAACGGCCGCAAAGCGTTCAGCGAATCTTCTTAACACAGAACCACCTACAAAAAAACCTACCGTAGACGGAACCACCTTGACCTCCCCGTCCTCCGGACTATCGTCGAGAAACCCCTCGGCGTTGGCGGGCACGGCGAACTCGTCCATCAAAAACGACAACTCCAACCGCCAGTTGTACGAAGCGAACAACATCAACTCGGCCGCCTCCTTCACCTTCTTCAGCTCCTCCTCGGCGGCGCCCCTCAACAGCACGGTGGCGCCCAAATGGGCGCCCGGCAGCCCTTCGAAGTGCATCAGAGTCTTCAATTTACCTACAAACCAACCTCTTCGTCAACAACACCACCTTCTTCGAACCGGTCGGTTTCGGTACCTCGATCGGTCTTGTAGTTCCGCACGTAGAACCTGGCGCAGGTGCCCAATTCGGGCCGGCCGATGTGCGCGTCGACGGCCGTCACCAAATCGGCGCCGGTGCACCGCGCCAAGCGTTCCATCACGCTGCGCTTCACGTTCCTGACGAGCGTGACGTCGCGCCTGCGCAGCATCTCCTGCGCCAAGCGCGACACGTTCTTCTGCACGAGCACGACGTGCGGTCGCAGCGCGACGATGCGCGCCGCCACGTTGCGCAGGTACTCGTACTCCTGCATCGACGAGAACCCATTAGAAATACTACTAACACGAGGGGGGCGTTATAAACCTGCATGAGGATGGGTTCGAGGGACATCAAGCGACCTTCGGTGCGCTGGTAGACGACGGAGCATTGCAGGAGGAGGATCCTCGGGTGGTCGATGTCGGTTTTCATGTCGATGTGGGCGACGTTTTTGCTGCACACGATGCCTTCGACGAGGGCGGTGTCCGCTTTCGAAGCGCCCGGGAGCGTCTTGAATCGGACGTAGTGCCTGATGTCCAAGTCGATGGCGTCGTGGTTTTTATCTGGGGGGCGTTTGCGAAATGAGAATTCGACGCGTTGTTTAACGGCGGATCGCGTTACCTGGTCGTACGAGGCCGATGAGTCGTTGCAGCACGTCCTGAACGGTCGAAGACCAGGCGTACGAGAGACCTTTCGATCGTAGGATTTGCTTGAACAACGCCGTCTTGTGTTGTTCGAACGTTCGTTGTAGTACGGTGTACGCCAGTTTCTCGCCGTTTTCTTCGCGCAAATGCGACGCGTTAAACCAACCTAAAACATTAATAATATACTCTGTTATCACGTTAATATTTAATTGGAATAATACCCGATTCGGGCGCGACTTCGACTTGCTTCGACGGCCGAACCACATCGGTCTCTTTCACTTCGGGCTGCTCGGCCTGCTCGACTTGTTGATTGTATTCGTTCAAAGGCCTCGACAAATACACGGTGTTCGCTTCCACGTTTAAATCCAGCATATACGAAGAAGAAGATCTCATTTCTGTCACACCGACGATTTGCTCGCTGTCCGAATCTACCGAGAATTCCAAACTGGATTAAAACATCGCGTAAATTACGAGTAAATCGAACCTGTTATGTTGGAATCGTGGGGTATCTGCTGCACCCAATGGGGCTCTTCGCTGTACTGCACGTCGAAGTCTGTTCCGGACGAAGAGAGCTCCGGATAGTTGATGAGTTTCTTGCGATAGAAGGCGTAGCCGTCGATGAAATTGGTGGGATCGGAGAGGCTTTCGATGTAGCCGGCTTCGAGCAGGGCCTGGCACATGGCCGACGCTTGCACGCGATTTTTGGATTTGTTCTGGAATATCAGCCAATCGACGAGGTCGGAGCCCTGGGCGCAATCGCCGTAGGTCTTCTGTTTGTATCGGTGCGTTTCGAATTGCACGCCCGCCGCTATCTCTTCGTACAAGTTCCTCAACGACGTCGAATTCCTCAAGGCTCTGGATTTCTCTTCGTTCGATAGATAACTCGCGTTCGAGCTGGAATTACGTTAGAGTGAAACGCTTCGAGGTGTTCGATTTAATCGAGCTTACTTCTCGTAGAAGAACTTCTCTTCCTGGTAACACACCGAATTCTTCTTCTTATTACCGCAACCTTCCTTATCCGCAGAAGATGTTCTCGAGGTGTTGTCTTCCAATGATTTGGTGGAAACTACTCCGAATTTAACCTGCAGGCTCTCCTGCAACATCTTCAGATCGTTGGACAAGACGACGTTGAAATCCGACGATTGTAAGTAGGACAAGACCACTTTGCAGCAGTACGTGCACACGCGTAGTTCCCCTGCAACAATTTCGTGCTCGTTATCGATGTAACGGAGGTATCGGGGGGACGAGTACCGGTGCAACCGAATATCTTCCCGGGGATCTGCTGGCTGCAGCATTGCCAGCAGAATATCTGGCCGCACACCCTGCAATGGTGGCGTCGGCGGAAGGTGGTGAATTTCTCCGAGCACTCGTAGCATTCCTTGCTCACCGAGTCCGGCATCCAGTACTGCTTCAATTCCGTTTCGCTGTAGTCCTGCAGGTTCTAAAACGGGCTTAATGATCGCTTAATGTACAACACGTTTGTGTTTTTGCTTACGCTGCTTTTGAGGGCTAGAAGATTGCTGATTCTCTTCAAGACGTTGGGCAAGCTCCTGCCTTCGTTTAAATCCACTTCGTACACGTTCGAAGCCGGGGCGTCCGGTTGATTGGGGGAGTTGGAGGCCGTCTCGACGGCCCAAGAAGGTAGATTGTCGCTCGTGGCGTCCGATTTGTCCCCATTGGGGTCCTCCGAGCTGGTTTTCTTCCAGAAAAAATTGGCCAAAAATTGGCTGACGCTCGCCGGTTTGGGGTCCTCCGCTTGTATCGGCCCGAATTCTGTTAATTTCGTAGGTGTTTGTAGGTTTTTACTCATTTTTAACGCGTTTAATCCATTATTTCTATCCGTTTTTGTGGGTTTGTATTTTTTTTTTGACATTGACAACTAATGTCATTCTTCTCTTTTTTAAATTGACGTAATGTGTTATTGGCCTTTTGTTTAGTTACTATACAGTTAGTTTGAGTTGTCAAAGAAGAGTTGGTTCGTGAATTCGATTCGTGCCGTGTTCCGTGCGACTTTTTAAACGATTCCGGGCGAATTTCGCCGTTGAATTGTGGAAAAACCGCTAGTTCTACATGAGAAAAAAGCTAAAGGCAAAGTAGCGGAGAGTTTTCATGAGGTGAGTGTGGGATTTTCTATCGGGACACCGGAAAACGTCAGTCGGGCGAATAAATTTTTGTCAAGCCCTACCGTTAGGTGTCAATAAATGGCAAATGAGCCGGTTTAATTTAATATTGATCTGCTATTTGACGGTGTTCGTTATTTCGTACGTGATAGTCGTCGGAATTTTGATATATTTCTATAAGATGATGAACGAAATGGTTTGATTTATAAAGTACATCATTCATCAGAGGTACCCTAGGCAACTGAAACAATTAGCGATCAGTTTGTTTGAAGACAGTTATTCTAGTTTTTTGTAGTGATATGTTCTGAAAACCTTCAAATTTCGCAAAATATACATTTTTAAGGTACAAACGGTTCTATTTCACGTTGAATCTATCGATAACGTTTGCGCTTTCGTTTCAGTTTTGGACTAGAATAGTAGAAAACTGTAAATCGATTTCGGACCAAGCAGCTTTGGAAGAGTTCAAATTTCATATGCATAATGGAATTTAGTAAGTACCACCATCAACTATTCAAACAATTTTTATTCGATATATAAAACATATAAAAAAGAATCTAAAAAAAATCGAGATATTTCCATATCGGACGGAATGTTAATATTAATACGCTCGTACGTACACAAATTACCATTAAAAAAATTCGATCCAAACGCATCTTGTCATGTATAAACTCTAAAAAACAATGTACTCATAAAAAAAATGGACGGTAAAAACCTATATACGAGATTCAAAAGGCACTTCAATTACATTTTAACTGCGCACTTGATGTAAACCTAATCCTAAAAAAAAAAAACTACCCTCTAACCGAACACGTACAAACCGAACGTAACGATCAACACCGACAGCAGCGTCGCGACGTCGACGCGCGCGTGACCGGCGCCCGCCAATCGACATTTGAACATGTTGAAACGCGTCTCGTTATCATCGACGAGATTGGTGAACTCCGCCTCGATCAACTGCCCATCGTAGTAGGTGATGGGGTCCTCGAAGGGGTACTCGAAGCCCTGCTTGCACTCGCACTTGTACCCTCCCGATTCGAAGCCTCTCCCTTGGATGGGGACGCACTGGAAACGATAATAATATAAGAAGGTTGTGAAGGTTTGTGGGGGTATTGTGGGTACTTACATATGAGGTTTTGTGGTCGCATTTTTCGGTACCTTCGAAGGCGTTGGTGGTGTAGTAGGGATCCGGGCATTGGTTGATGTCCAATTTGAGTAAATCCATCGTAACAGTGACAGCGCCCCTTCGGAAATTAAAAGGTGAAATTAGTAAGATATCGAAGTATAAATGGAGCGAGATTTACTTGTATTCGAGCTTGGCTTTGAGACTGTCCCAACCGAAGAACGGTGCAGCGTACATGACCTTCCACATGGGCACTTTGCCGTAGCAATCGTAGAAGGGCTGGCTCCAATAACCGTGCTCCAAGCGCGCGCCCCTGTAGTAGGTGGGGAACCGTTCGAATTTGATGGTGCTCTCGCCCGTCTCGTTGAACCTGATCCGGATCTTCATCCAGAACTTCTCCAAGCTGTCGAAGTTCGACGCCCACCGGTACTTGAGGAACTTGAACCAATTGGTGTTGGTGTAGACCTCGTCGGACTTGTTCAGCCGCGCCAGGTCTTCGACGTTGAACTTTCTCGTGTTGAGGATCTTTTTGTAGGCGTAGGGCGCGAATAGGGTGCGATTGGGGAACTTGTTGCGGTCCCAGTAGGTGCCCGCCGACCAGATGCGGCTGTTGCCGAGCACCAGGGCCAACGTTTCGCCGACCATTTGGTCCTCGGTGAGGTCCTTGTCGGCGACGCGCTTGCCCGAGTAGACCTCGCGCGAATCGGACACTTGGAGAAAGGCGCTGATGAAGTTGGCCAATCTGAGGGCCATTTTGGCCTCGTTGTCGAAGAACTCTTCGGCGCCGAACATGATGCCGCCGTACAACATCAGATCCTCGGGTTTGTATTGTTTACAGTTGTCTTTGTTCATGCCCAAGATGTAGTCGAGCACTCGATGGATGTTTAGTTGCGGTTGGCTCAGGCTGGACGGGCCGAACGTTTGATTGCGGTACTCGGGGTACTTGTCGAGCACCTCCTCTCTGAGGTACCTGTCGGATTTCTCCCATTGCACCGGCAGCTTTTGGATCCCTGCAAGTTGATTTTCGATATACATCGACGGTTGTAATTTGATATAATATATTTACATCCGATTTTTTGGCAGTCGAAGCCGTTGTAATATTGTTCTGCCGTAGCTCTTTCCACTATTTCGCCTAGATAGGGTCGCCTGCTTTGTAATGGTAGACGATAACCTGGTCTACATCGACATTGGTAGCCTCCTCTCCGGAAACCCCAACCGTTGAGAGGTTCGCACTAAAAACCAAACGCTTTTATGTAGACTCTTAGTAGATCGAATTAACTGAGTGTACCTCGGTAGTTTCTTTTTTACACCTAGCCGTATCGGCGAACTTATTGGGTCCATTGTTACCCATACTAACGGGACATTGGTTGATATCGATCCTTTCGAACTCCATTTCGACCACAGACGCCGCTGTATAACTAAAAGAAACAGGCCGTTTTTATAATGTAAATGTATCTACTCGATCGAGGTAACTTACGTGGGATATTCGATGTGCCTGAAACCGGTATGCCTGGGATAGATATCCGCAATGGGCACCACGGCGGCCACCAGCCACCGGTTGGACCGGCCGCAATCGAAGTAGGGCCTGGTCCATTTGACGGGGCCCGGCACTTCGTCGGCGCCGGGGGGCCCGTGGAACGTGAACGTTTCGTTCGTGTTGTTGGCGTAACGGATCTCCACCTGGTAGGTGGTTTTGGTGTCGTGCCTCTGACCCACTACGTCGGGCAGCCACTTTTTGAACCACTCGTTGATCCTGTAGTAGTCCGAGGTGTAATCGTCGCTGGTGTCCGGTTTGATGGCGCCCAAATCGTGCACCGTGAAGGTGTTCAACGTGGAGATGCGCTCCAAGTGGATGGGATCGTTGAAATCGTCGGCTCGGAAGGTCCTCGGCGCGAATCTACGGTGTATAAATAATGAGAAATAGGTTTACGCGGAGGGTAAATGTACTAACCGAGGGAAGGTTTTGTTGAAGAATCCCCTGTAGGAGCTGGAGTAGGACATGTTTGGCGAGAAGTACACGGCGCTGGCGTTGATGTGCTTGTTGGTGGAGACATCGGCTACGGTCGATAGGAAATAGTACATCATGCCCGGATCGTAGGTGTCGTTGATGGCGGGCCGGATGAACCTGCTTTGCAATATGTAGGACCAGAAGAAGGCCCTGTTCATGGCCATGTTGTGGAGGTGCAACAGTTGCGTTCTGTTGGGGAACACCGGATTGATGTTGATGTCTTTGATGTCGGGCAGATGGGAGACGGAGTCTTCGGGCAGGTAGAGATCGCCGACGTGTTGGATTTCGCAATTGTCTTTGTTCACCCTTTGCATGGCTCGCCAGATTTCGTCGAAGGGGTCGCGCGCTTGCCATTCGTATTGGCCGGACACACCCATGGTGCACAAACAACACGCGACAAACGCGATGCGTAGCATTTTGTCGAATAAAAATTTAACACTGTTTTTTTTTGGTATTGGTAATATCACCGCATGCTTTGATTCGGTCGTTTCGGGGCGAATCGCAATTAACCACCGCCCTGCCCTGAAATGTAAACACAAACAGTCATCGATGATTTAATTCGATCCAATCATTTCGAAGAGGAAGCTCATTAGCTGGACGGGCTGGTGGGAGCGTTAAATTTCACCTGTTTTTTACTTGATCGCTGAAACATAGAAACAAGTGGTTGGTTGTTTGTATTGTTGTGACAGGTGACGCGTCGTCTGATTGGTCGATGGATTTTTCGGAAAAAACTACAACTTCCAATAAAAATATTAGTAATCCTCTAACATTAATTTAAAAACTGGTACGTTTAACAAAAAACTATTTATAAATCGACATTATATCTACATTTACTTGTTTCCTCGACCGCCGAAGAATAAAACAAGTGGTTGGTTGTTTGTATTGTTGTGACAGGTGACGCGTCGTCTGATTGGTCGATGGATTTTTCGCAAAAAAACTACAATTTCCAATAAAAATATTAATAATCCTCAAAAATGGATTTAAAAACTATTACGTTCATCGACAAACAACTTATAAACCGACAATACATCCACATTTACTAAAAAACGCGACGTTGCCATATCTGACCGCATCCCCCGAACCGGTTGTAATGAGTGTTGCATACCTACCAGGTCGACTCGATTAATTAGCGCAAATAACAAAAAAAAAAAAAGATCCTTTCAGTGTGGGCCCCGTTGAGTTAAACGACCGCGATCGAATCGTTTTTAACGACATTTCTCTAATCTTTGACCAGCACCGCGGCCATACCGAACCGCCGATCCGGGGGTTTTTAACCGCCCCCGTCCTATCTTGGTTCGGCGGCGACCGCGGCTAACCGGGCGAATAGCCGGCGGTACTTTCTACCAGGCATCCGAGGACCTTCCCCGGGGTTCACCCATAGATGGAGTTACCGGGAACTCTGTGCGTAACCCCGTAGTCGAACGTGAAAGGATCACGTCGAGTCGACTTTGGAATTTCGCTTTTGTATTGAATGGTACTAAAGTATCGTCGGCGAGAGGTTATTTGACATATTTTTTTTTTTTTTTGGAACTCTGGTAGGAGTTTGGATAGATTTAAAGTTTAGATAAATTACTAGATATGTATACAGGGAGTGTAAGTAAAATAAAATAAAAATAGAAATAAAATAAAAAATAATAAAATAAATAGAAATAAAATAAAAATAGAATTAATTACCAATTATATACAGGGTAATTCAATTTGTCTACTATCTATACATACTGTGATATACAGGGAGTAGGAAAAGTTGTTAATTGAATAGATTAATAAGAAGACTTGTAATATAAATTATTATGAGACTAAATTTGCCGGTTTAAATAGACAAACTTTTAATTGATATATCGAACAACTTATTTCAATATAAAATTAGTTTGAAAAGGTTTTTTTTTAGCTCGTTTAATAATGTACCAGGTGCGTCGATGGCTATTAATTAAATTGTACGAGGGCGAGTCGAATTGTTCGCGGCGCTCGATTAAATGTGAACGACCTTTTCGATATCGTTTGTTTAGTTTTTTTTGCAGTCGTTTAGTTTTTAATATACCTTTAGTTTGGGAACGATCGCGGAACAAAGAACAGGAAAAGCGGCGGAAAAAAACGTTCCCTACAATCGTCTGTTCGGGGGGTTCTTTACGAGAGTGTGTGGAAAAAACGAACATGTGTCGCTCTCGGATTTTTTTATTTTTTATTTTTCTGCGTGTACGCATTTAATTGAAGAGGAAAGGATATACAAAAAATGGTACAAAATAGGTAATACTGTGCATGGGAAGGAGTCGTGTGAAAATTGTAAAAAACAATGCATATAGTATGGTCAAACTAATCGGGTCGTGACGTCAAACGTTACCTAAAAATATTTAGCGTATTAGAAATTGACGCATTAATCCAAAAAACGTAGACAGACGTTTCTTATATACCATGTAAGAATAAAAGAGGATTTTTAAATGCAAAGAGCAACCCAATTTGTATCGGGTCAACGCCGTTTCCCACGATATTTGTCCGATGCGGTGTTGGAAGGAGACTGCAAAGAGATGCCCCCCATCTCTCTCCCCCCCGACCCCGCCGAAAAAAAAAAAGGTGTTGATTTAAATTTCGCAAGTATAGAAATAGTCTCGAATTGCAAACGTTTTATTTCGTGTCGTCTCTTTCTCTCGCTCTCTCCAAGCCGTATAGCATTCCCGCCGTTATTATTATACAATATCTCCGTCCTCTATACACACACACACACGTTGTATGTGGTACTTGCTCGCCCCGTTTGAAATTCGCATGCAAACAGGTTATACGAGATGTGGCCCTTGCCCGACACAAAAAACGCAATTTCAAAGGGGGCGGAGGCGGTTAAAAATCTCTCGCTATATACACGATGTGCTCCACCAAACTGGTTTCTCGCTCTTCTTCATCTTCTTCTTCTATGCTGCTTCACAACCACGTTGAAATTTGAGTCTCGTTGGTACACCTAATATGAATATTTCTTCTCAACGGGCTGCATATTGCATATAACGCTGTTAGTTGGATTTATTGTAGGTAAAAGGCACATCTAACACCCACCTAAAACCCATCTAAAATGCACCTATACAAGTCTACATCTAAGACCTTTATACTAAATATTTATAAGTACCAGTAATAGCGTTAAATATATCGTTTATTATAGTATTGCAAATCCAGTAGAACCTTGGAAGAACTAGTTGGGATCGCTTTTTTTTGTATCCCTTTACACCCTTTACTCGTGCAGCTATATTTGTATACGTGGAAAGATCTGCACGCCAGCTGGACTTGCGAAATTAAATTCATCGAGCCTCTTTCTCTATCGCTCTCTCCGTCTTTCTGTTTTATACAGGGTGAGCCTCACTGTATAATACACCTTCATGTCTTTGGTAACCTTAGTGTTGATTTGATATCGAAATGTGCATCGTGAGTGTAGACTAAAATGCAATTAATGTAAGAAATTTGCAGTTTTGTTGATGTAGTTACTGATGGTTTTATTAATTATAATGTGGTAGATTATGTATGTGATTCGCCCTGTATATAGGTGCGCCCTATTCGCCCTTAGTACGTTCGCATTTCCATCTCGTTACCCGCGCTTGGGCCAGACTGGCCCAGAACTTGCACTTGCCGAATGTAATTGCTATAGGTCGATATGTATAGTTGATGTACCAGAGGTGTGCGAAATGTATACCAGACGAAAGGACAGTTTGCGATGCAGTGGCGTGCATTTGAATGTGGCAAAATGCACTTTTATTGCCTTGAAATATTTATTATAAAATGGAGCTGTTAAATATTTTTTTTTCAAACAGCCCTCGTATATAATTGAATTGAATTGTGTCTTGTAATGTATTTGTAGGTTTTGAGGGTGGTGTAAGAAGATTCGAGTTTTTTTTTATTTTGCTAAAATTTTTGGAGGTTTTTTTTGTTGTTTTAAAAGAGTTTTAATTTGATTTCTTTCATGATTTTGCTAATTTTTTTGAATATCTTGAGTTTGTGTGTTTTTTTTGAGAATGTTTGATGTGTGGATAAGTAGATACAAGAAGAAAGAAGGATTATTATGACAATATAGTGGTTAAAGTGAGAAAGTTGCAATTCCACAATGTCACTCTTTCTTTTTTCTTTATATGGGACTAATGGAAGTTGTCTTTGTTGCACTAATAGGCACCATATTGCATACAAATTTGCACATACAGATTGTTTCATTGCAACATAGGCTATAGGTGCAACAAAGACAACTTAAATTAGATACTTATAAAGGAAAAAGAAAAAGTGATATTATGTCATTGCAACTTTTCACTCTGACAACTGTCATTTTAGCAATCTTTCTTTGTTCAACTCATAGAAATGCCCATGTTGCAATCGCGAATGAAGCACGGTGTATGTCAATTCTATGAGTTGAACAAAGATTATTATTTACAATTTAAATAACAGTGCGTTAGAGTGAGATAGTTGCAATCCCACAATGACACTCTTTATTTTTCCTAATGGGACTAATGGAAACTGTCTTTGTTGCACCCCATAAATTTGCACTTAACTGTCTGTCTTTCTATCAAATGGAATGAAATGTCAAAAACGTCAAAAAATCCAACATTCTTGGATCAAAATTATATTTTAGCACGTATTTAAAATTGAATAATCGTATAACGAATTTGCATTTTCCTTCCGCACGATCGACGTTTAAAATCCTCCGTTTTTCCATCGAACCGATGAAAATCTTGTCGAAACGGCAACGCCGCCCGAGCGAAGGGCTCTCGACGCGCACGCGCCGCCTTCTACCAACTCGAATGCAAGCGAATCGGAGCGGCTGTGGAACTGGCGTTGCAAAACAACGGAATATTTGCGGAGTGCACGCACACGCCACACACACACTGCATTTCGAAACCGCGGGAGTCGGTACACTACACCAAAAAAATACCGAAAAAAAAAAACCGAAATTAAATTTTCCGGAAAAATCGATCGCCGAACTTCGGTCCGTTTTGTTATGAGAAAAATCGCGTCGCTTTTCTCGGCCCACCGACGACGATACGGACGAGTCGCGATTTTGTTGTTATAAAAATTTCTTTTTTTTTTTGTTTGTTGTAAACGGTGTTGAATTTATTATTGATATTTTTTTTTATTATTATTATTATTATCTACAATTATTGCAATTAATCATGTTTGTTGTGTTTTTACGAGTGTGCTAGTTACAAAACATTAAGGATTCTTTACTATTAACTTATTGGTGAGTACGAATTTTTTTATTAAATTGTTAATTTTGAACATAACCTAGAAATATCGACGCCATTGCGATAAATCCAGCTACCGGCCTACTCGATTTTGCTGTTAAAAAGTTTCGAAAAAGTGCATTATCTTAACGGTGCGTCCTTTGTTTGGCGTTTCTCTCTCTCTCTCTCTCGCACGTTCTCCCATCGCCTTCTGTCTACGATATTTTTTTATTCCT